GAAAACAAGAATAAATTAGTTGAATGAACAGCGCATGTTCATACCGTAGGGATTAAGAGTGTTGATTTGGAAGATAAATATTTGGTCTTGTGTTTTACAGCTCTCCGAGCTGCCTAGATGAAGGGAAAGGCCACAAACTGCCATATGCTGCTTAGAATGGTTAGGGAGATTTAAGTGTCTAGGGACTGGTTTGGATGCGTCCTTGTCATTTCTTTGTACATCGCAAAGAACTGATGTCAGGACAAATGACAATCATGAAAGAATTGACAAGGACACATCCAAACTGGTTGCTAGACATTTTAAACTCCTTAATCATTTTAAACAGCATAATTGGCAGTTTGCAGCCTTTTCCTACATCTAGGCAGTTTGGAAAGCCATAAAACACAAGAATAAAAATTTATGTTCCAAATCAGCACTCTTAATCCTCATGGTATCAATGAGTGCTTTTCATTCAACTAATTTAGTCTTGTTTTCTTGTCACCATATCCCCACCAGACTCCCACCAATAGTGTAGCTCCATTATCTGCATATAAACCCACATACAACCCACCACTCCTCCAATCGCTCTGACGAAGGGCTAACACTCAAAACATCAGCCTTTAAACTCTGAACATTATAGCCAATTTGGGTTTTTAACTCAGTTGATAACACTAAATTGCCTGTTATACTCTCGCACCAATGCAGCACCACATTCTCTTCAGAAACTTACACCCTTTATTCAATTTCCAGGGTAGATTATGATACATAATCCATTAACAGGGTAATTTAGTATTATCAACTAAGTTGGTAATGTAAATTGGCCATCATAAAGAGTATCAAAGCTGATGTTTTCAAGCATTAGCTCTTTGTTGGAGTGAATGGATGAATATTGTGGGTTTTGTGTGTGTATGTGTGTGTTTATATACAGAAAATGGAGCTGCCTACAATTCCTCCATTTGCTCTGATAAAGGGCCAACACTCGAGACACCAGCTTTGAAGCTCTTCACTGAGGCCAATTCATGTTACCAACTAAGTTATACCCTATAATACTCTCCCACCAGCACAGCACCACAGTTTCTTTAATTTTATACTTAACCCCTTCATTTATAATCAATTAAACTGCATTTATGCAAAGAGTCAAAGTTGTTGTTTTGATGCTTTCCTGTTTTTATCAAGAGAACCATGTACAGCCAACACAAAATCTCACCATTGGTTTGGTCAGCATGCCTACCAACACATCAACAATTTTTGATGAGGTATGAATGAGGTGATCATATTGCTTTGATGACCCTTTTGACATATGTTCTTATAGTAAACAGAAAATTTACTTGCTGTTGATCCTCTGATAAGCCATCTCTCTTTAAGAACCCACCTCCCCTCAAATCTGAAACTTAAACTATCTTTTTGATAACCACTTAACCTTTGACCTCTAAGAATGACCAGCATCTAATTTCTCCTTACACCATCAGCCCTGAATCCCACATGAAGGTCATGAGAATAAAGGAAATGATCACCAACTTTAGAAGTTCTTGATTGTTAAACAAATTCTCCTTGTCAGCACCATAGTGTCAAAAATGTGAAAAAGCTGTACCACACTTCCACAATTAAGTCACGGTTTATTCCCTTGATTGAACAATTTTTACTGCTGCACTTTGGTGAACTCCCACTCACAACTCTCAGCTTATTCAAAAGGAACACACACTCAACATCCTGTTGTAAGCACATGGAGCAGTGCCATATATGAGGCAATAAAACACATGCTGCATACATGTTTATTTGGTTATGTATAGATAAACAAAATCACTTGTAAATATCAATCAAATTAAAAATAAGTAGCATATCGCACAGTTTCCAACAGTAGGAAATGTAAAGAGAACAGTATGGAGAATATACATACTGATGTTAGAGTGTAAAGGATCAATCAGAAGCTTTGAAAATTTAGCAGCATCATATTAACTTTAACTTCTATCTTGTTATACGCATATTATGTTGAGAAACTGTTGGAACATTTTTGTTTAATTTATCAATGATGTAATTAGTGTGGCATTTCCAACAAATGATTGATTTAAATGATTACTATACCTTGCAGAAAAACATTGGAATTATGTGCAGTTCTACTTTGGATGAGAAAAATAGGACTGTTGTCTTAAGAACAATGACACTTCAGTTTAATGAATCTGTCAAGTAAGGGTAAACACTATCAATTGACACTTTCTCCTTACAATATCAATGTAATATCAACCTGATAAGTGATGAGAATAAAGAAGATATCAACTTGGGGATAATTAGTTGATCCAATACCAAATAATGTGAACAAATATTGTAAGAATTGTATGGTTGAGTGCAAGGAAAATTACAAATTTGATGTGGGAGTTAAAGGGTTAATCATAATTGTAACTATAAGCAATTATCAATATATGATGTTAAGGTGTTCAATAGTTGTAATAACTACTAATAAAAAACTTGTTGGTAAAATTTTAAGAACGATCTCTGGCTGATATAATTTGAAAAAATTACAAGCCTTCGAGTGCCTGAATTGCAGTCTTTGATTAGTGAAATGTGAATGATTACTGTACCTTGCAGCAAACTTGTTGTTGGTATTCTTTTTATGAATATTTTGTAATAATGACTAATTTTTTTAGTTATAATTGATTAATAATTGCTATTAATTACAACTTAATCTATCAATTTGGAGTTTCACAGTTTGCAAATTTCTTAACTCTGTTCTAAATTAAACTTCCTGTACAGCATAACGCATGTGGCTGTGACTGCAACCATTCCATACCCAATTGCCATTTCAGTGATGGTTTTTCAAGAAACTGATCTTGAAAAGACACATGGGGTAAGGCTTTTTTTTTTAGAATAATTTTCACATTAGAAGAGCAATCCATTTGAAAATTCAGGCATTTAAACTGTTGTTGAATGTAGTATCTCTTATCTAACAAAAAAAGTTCATTTGCTTTCTCTTTCAGGTTGTTATTGCATCCATCATTTTAGTTGGAGTCTACATACTTATCATATTTGAGGTACCAGTTAGCTGAATGTTTGTTTGTCTTCTACTTAATTTGCTTAGTTGAGTTGAAGCAATTTAAGGGAACTCCTAGCTTTTGGGTTTCCTTCCGTTGTGCAATGGGTCATTTGATCACCTTACAAAATCTGATCACTTGGTTAGTTCTCAGCATAAATTGGTTCAATTTCCCCTTTTTTAATTTTGGTCAGCAAATTGATTTGTTACTAATTAACTTATAACACAAGATGTATCATTCCCTTTCAGTTTGTTCACCGAGCTATAGCAGCAATGTTAGGTGCATTGGCAAGCTTAGCTTGCTTGTCAATCAGGAATAAGGTATTGATAATAAATAATTATCATGGTAATGAACACAATCATGATCACTACTCAGACCATATGCAGTCATGAACATGATAGCAATTTTGATAGTGGTCACTATCTCAATCACAAGAGTCAATTACTGAACATTTTAACCCTTTCACTCCCAAGATCTCATTAGTAATTCTCCTTACTGTCTGCTATACAGTTCTTTTGGTATTGGATCAACTAATAATCCTAATAATATTTTCCTTTATTCTCATTTCATGTCTGCTTGACATTGTATTGATATTGTGAGGAGAAATTCTGTTTTGATCACTTATGGGAGTTCAAGGGTTAACTGACAGTATTATAAAGAATTGAGTCTCAAGTTATTAAACTTGGGCACAAGATTCTTTATCGGTATAAAATTGTTTATTTTTTAGCACAAGAAACCCTACAAGCTTTTTAGCTGTTAAATCTCATTGTTTTTTAAATAAAGGCTCTTTATCCATTTATTTATCTATCCATGACAATGTGAACAAAAATGAGGATGATATTGATAAACATGACAACAGCCAGAGCAGTGGCAACAACTACAATGATATACTGTTTGATAATTTCCTAAATAAAATAGACTGGAGTACTGAGCAGTAATTATTAAACCTTTGGAGAATTTTGGAAATCAATGCTTCAGTATTTAATCACCTCCTAAGGGGTGATTAGGGAAGATATGAAGTAATCCCCAACTGACAAAAACAGGCACATTTCTACAATTGCAAGTAAACATTTGTACGTCTAAAAAAATCATGTGGTCATGAACTTATCTTATTTTCCTTAGAGACCTTCATTTGAAACCATCATCAGCTGGGTGGAGTGGGAGACACTTTCTCTTCTGTTTGGAATGGTATGCACCTTATTTTGATAACAATTACATTTGTTAATCCCTTAAACCCTAAAATCAGTGTGCATATTCTCCATACTGTTCTCTATACATTTCCTGATGTGTTAACCGGGAGAATTTGTTTAACAAACAAGAGCATCTTTAGGTGGTGATCATTTCTTTTATTCTTGTGACTTTAATGATTGATTCAGAGGTGACATTGTAAGGAGAAATTAGATGCTGGTCACTCTCAGGGGTCAAAATGTTTTAACATTTTCATGAATAAATGCTGAAAATTTGTTTTTTTTAGCTGTTTTTGATTTTTTATCCTAACAGATGATTTTGGTTGCCATTTTTGCTAAGTCTGGGTTCTTTGACTATGTGGCATTGAAGGTTCGTGCAGAATTTATGCTTTGTTAATCATTTCTTGTGTATTTTTAATGCAATTGCAAAACTTGTTACACAATTTGTTCACCAAGACATGCTGCTCTTTATGCCATTCCTGAGCAAAATCAATACAATTGCCTGGGGCACGCTGTATTCATTTTTATCTTTAATCTTCATTGCATCATTTAATTTTCGTTTGATTGGCCACACGCACCAAAACGTACGGTAACCACTTGATAACTTTGTGGTTACTTAAATATTATTGCATGTGGTAACCATGCGTAATGATTTTAGAGAATGCAGATAAATGACTAAATTTATGCCACATCTCTTAATTGTGGATCAATAATCTTGACTTCACGTTTCCTAGAAACTGAGAACGGCTTGAAACAGACACAAAGCCACATCTAATTTTAAAAACTCTCATGTCATTCTTTGTCTACTTACATTTCAAACAGGCTTACAAGCTCTCTAGAGGTCATGTGTGGGGTCTAATCACTCTTCTATGTGGCTGTACAGCATTGATCTCTGCTGTTCTGGTAAATTAATTTTTATTTGAATTGGAAACGTAAAATCTATCAATCCATTCTAATAATGTCCACTTATCTGCTAATCCACAGGTCTTTTGGGCAGTCAGTCCATTAGTCAGTCAGTTAGTTGCTCAGTTAGTCCGTCGCTCAGTACATAATTAACTCAGACAGTCAGTTGCTCGGTCAGTTAGTCAGTGCATTAGTTAGTTAGTCAGTCAGTCTGTCAGTCCATCAGTCATTACATTACTATTAGTCAGTCAGTCAGTCAGTTAGCCAGTCAGTCGTTCAGTCAGTTGCTCAATCAGTCAGTAAATCAGTCAGTATATTAGAAAGTTAGTCAGTAAGTCAGTCACTTGGTCAGTCAGTCAGTCAGTTGCTCGGTCAGTCCATCAGTTAATACATTACTAAGTCAGTAAGTCAGTCAGTCAGTTGCTCAGTTAGTCAGTCAGTCAGTTGCTCAGTTAGTCAGTCAGTCACGTGGTCAGTTAGTCAGTCAGTTGCTTGGTTGGTCAGTCAGTCAGTCAGTCACTTGGTCAGTCCGTCAGTCAGTACATTTCTAAGTCAGTAAGTCAGTCAGTAAGTCAGTCAGTCAGTCAGTCACTCTTTCAGTCAGCCAATCAGTCAATCAGTGGCAGATGCATGCTAAAAAATACATGTGTTTGGGTCTTCAGTACTGCAGGCCATTCCTATGAGGATGGGATTTGTTTGCATAAGACTTGAGTATAATTTTCTTGTTAAAGGTTTTGCAATTCCCTTAGTTTTAAAACAGAAGATTCGGGCATATCGTAATGCTTCATAAACACAGCTGATGTCGTGCAAAAGATGGAACATTACATCAAAAGCAAAATCTCCTTTTCACACGGTTATAATACGATTTGTAAATTCTTAGACAGGAACAAAAACGATGAGTAAATTTACCTCTGTCTCCACTTTAAAACAGGATAATGTTACGGTCATAATGCTTTTGACGCCAGTCACTGTGACGTAAGTGAAGTATGTTTTTTTTTTATTGTTGCTGATTATGCATTTTGGTTTCTGGCTTTGGACCTTTAAACAATGATTCTTAAACGGGTTGTTTCCATTGATGAAACTAAATTACCTTTCAGGTTGAGTCAAGTCCTCAATCTTAATCCTACATATATCTTGATAGCTGAAGTAATATTCTCCAACATTGGGGGAACGGCAACAGGTAAATATACTACTGCTGTGTTTTAATTAATAATTAATTCAAATATATTCAATAAAAGAGTCCAGCTCGACCTCACATGTGACAATCACAGGTAAGGTGTATTTCAAGCCAATCATATCACTAGATGAAATCTGCTTTTGTCACCAGAGCCTTTCTCCAGTTACATGCTCTCGCCACGCGTGTCAGTGGTTTCCCATTTTCCCGCGCTTGGCACTGGTTTCTCATTGCCAGCGCTTGGCACGCTTGGCACGCTTAGCACGCTTGGCGCGCTTTCTCAATTTTTCACCCTTTGCCGCAGTTACCCATTTTTTCGCGTCTCGCACTGAGCACACACTTACCCGTGCATGGAATCAGCTAATCGTTTTCCTTTGCCGCAGTTTTCTCGTGATATTCGTGATTTTTCGTGATTTTGATGTCGATCCCTTTTTGTCTCAAGCAGATCAGCACAGCTGGTTACCTGAAAATTGTAACTGACTCGCAGTAATTTTTTGTAAATGTCCCAAACTTGCACCCTCTTATACGTTCCTTGAATATTTGTCCCTTTGTTTCTTTCCTTGTAGCAATCGGTGACCCACCAAATGTAATTTTAGCTACCAACCCGGACCTTTGTAAAGTAAGTTACAACTCAACTGAAATGTTTGGTTTTTTTAATCCTGGTTTGTTCTTTACGCTTTTGATCTCTGCTCCTAAGTTCCTTCCTTCCTTCTTTCCTTCGTTCCTTCGTCCCTTCGTATCTTCGTTCCTTCGTCCCTTCGTATCTTCGTTCCTTCGTCCCTTCGTATCTTCGTTCCTTCGTCCCTTCGTATCTTCGTTCCTTCGTCCCTTCGTATCTTCGTTCCTTCGTCCCTTCGTATCTTCGTTCCTTCGTTCCTTCGTTCCTTCGTTCCTTCGTCCCTTCGTCCCTTCGTCCCTTCGTCCCTTCGTCCCTTCGTCCCTTCGTCCCTTCGTCCCTTCGTTTCTTCGTTTCTTCGTTCCTTCGTTCCTTCGTCCCTACGTTTCTTCGTTCATTTGTCTCTCGTTTCTTTGTTCATTCGCTCCGACATTCATTCGTTCGTTCACTAATTCGTCCATTCGTGTTGTTTCTCATCACTCTTAAAGTACAGTTTGCAATATTACATCAACGTTTCCAAGCTTATGCGAATTACATTGAGGTGAAGTTACTCTTCATCAAAACTGTATTGACAGAGCTCCCTTTTTATCCTTGCAGCATATTAAGTTTCCAGATTTCACAAAGCATCTCGCTGGGGGTATTGTGGTCTGCGTATTAGTGGCATATCTAGTTTTAAGGTATTCTACAAAATGATATTTTCTTGTAAAAAATAGTTTCCAGCTGATTATCGTAAGCTCTCGTACTCATTTCTAAATGAAACTTTCCTCTCATTTCAAAGGCTCCTTTATCGAAACGTGAAAATTGTCAATGACGATCCGCCAATCATTGAAGGTAACTAAGCTCGTACTTAGTGTTGTGATTTTACCACATCATTGAAAATCCAGCAGTTATTGATTTACCATACGCACTCTCATTTGAGTGTCAAAAGTAATACTGTTTTGCATTCGTTTTACTTCACTACGGTCTGATTGGTTTAGAAAACTCAATCAGATTCAAGTTTATTCGCAACATGGTCACGCGTGTTTTCCCTCGAGGCCCGTCACATGTTTGTGCTACCAGTTCTCATTGGCTCCTCGAGCGGTTTTTATTTCCCCTGATTGGCCGTAAGATATGGTTTTCACATAAAACACTTCGTCAAAATTTGCTCTAAAATGATCTGATCATCCGCCGACTGGGAGCTTGCTGCTTTTTCTCATTTCTTTATTTCCATTATTTTGCGCAGAGCTTAAACGAGAAGCTGAGATCTGGAAAAGAACTGCCGAGCGCCTGCCAAGTGTTTCAGCCGAGGAGAAAACTGTCAAATTATTACTACTGCAGAGGGTTATGTTGCTAGAAAATAATGTCAGGAACATGAAACGAAATTCGTAAGTACTGACAAACGTGTGAAAATGCGTTTACCACCACCTCCTAGAATTATTTCACCTTTCTATTAGCATTACAGGTAAAGTGTGCCTACAGGACTTACTCACGACATATAGCTGCAGGAATTTAGCCCGTTTTCTGCCACATGAAGTGATGAGGCGTATTTTTATTTCCCTTGGACGAAATGCTAGTTCATCGTTACCTACCTCCTCCCTACGTTACCTACCTCCTCCCCCCACCCCCCCTTTCCTTAGTCTTAAGTCAACTTTCCCTAACAGTTCGCTGATATCAGTTTGTACTCTCCTGGGTGAAGAGAGGCATTTTGAAGTGTGACTGCTTAGTATCACTTTGTTAATATGTTAAGACGATGATGTGTCAATATGAATTGAGAATCTCGTCATTGACATAAACGTAAACGTTTCATCTCCAACTTTGGACGGAGGTGTAGGAAGGTTAATTGAATTTTTGATGCTTGAATTAAAACTGAATTGCAATTAATGGAATAAATAATTTCTGTGACAGGTCCAGGAAAGGAGCTTTTCAACGAAATCTACCAGCACTTGAAGAAAAGGTAAACAAACGAAGCAAATAAGTTCATAACTAGGCAGTTTCTTGACTTTATTGTGCAATTTTGCTTTACGTCAAAGCTGCATAGCAGCTTGGTATAGCTAGATTTGTAGTGTGCCATTGACGTTTACAAACGTAGGTAGAATTGTTAGAGATGGCTACGAAGCTCTTCCTTGTCTGCTAAATACCTTGATTAAGTTTATTTATGACTTGATTTGTGTGAAGATTTAAACTTTATTTTCATGTTTAGTATGTCATCAGAGATAAAGCACTGTTATTTAAGAGTCTACTCGTTATCCTTCTGGTTGTTGTCGCCTTTTTCGTGGAACCGTTTGAGGAGCACAAATTTAATCTTAGTGTAGGTAAGTGCTGTATCTATTTAAGACCTTCCCCGAAATCTTATGGAAGTGTCACTAGCCAAAGAACAGCTTGTATATCCCCGCTCCAAACCCCCCGCTGGGTCTGGGTCTCCATGGAGGTCTTGAACCGATTCAGAAGGGTAGATCCCCTCCAAACCATCATGCTACGCCGATCATGCGGTTCGCTTTGTTCCTTACTTGTGTCTGTCTTCTGTCTGATGTAGTTATCATTTGCCTTGCATCTTTTAAATTCCCATTCGAACATATTTTGACTCCTTCTTCTAGACGTAAACCTCTATTCCTCTGGTTATCGTAGCCTTTTCATTTTAAACTTATCACTGACCTTCCCCCCATCCCCATCCCCTTTCCCCCAATCCCCCCTACAGCAAAACATCGCTAGAAAACAAAGCTTCTGCCTCTAAGGGAGAAATTTCATTTCGCGCATGCGCATATCGCTAGCAGAAGACCCTTTCAAAGTGCAGCGAAGGTAGGAGGTCACGAGGGCACTGTAATCTTGTAATAAAGCTGGGTAAGGTGGTAAGGGCTGGTTAGCTGGGAAAAGCAAAACTGAAGGAAACTACTCGAGGAAAATAAAACCTTGGATAGTAGTTTTTCTCAGCCAGAAATAAAAACAGAATCGAGCGAGAGAACGAGCAAATTGTCGGAATTGTCTATTTAAATCTGGAAGTTTATTATAAGTGTTTAGTTCAGACATTTCCCTTCAGCCGAAAGATTTTGTGAAAACTTAAAATTACGTTCAGTTTTGAATCGATCTTTTTGCACCGTTTGTCTCAGGATGGATTGCTGTCCTCGGAGCCATACTTCTTATCTTGCTGGCTGACGTGGCGCACTTTGAAGAATTGATGGAGAAAGTTGAATGGGCAACTCTGGTATTCTTCAGCGGACTTTTCATCCTAATGAAGGTCAGTCAGAGAGACTTTTTTGTGAGACATGCGGTTGACATTTAGTTTCCGCGCTGTATACCGGGTGGAGAGGTTTGGGTTCTTGCCTTGGGCGGCTCATTACGTTGTGTTCTTGATCGAGGTTCTCGCTCAAGAACATCCGGGTAATATGGGCTAACGGCGAACTTTCAGAGAACCAAAAAATTGCTGGTGGGTTACTTGTGTCGAGCCAGCATCCCAATCAAGGGGGAGTGAATACACTCATATTCGCTTCATTTTCACTGATTGCGGGATAACAGCCGGTAGTTATGGGCCACTCTACCGAAAAAAAAAAGAAAAAAAAAGAAAAAAAAAGAAAAAACAAAAAGCTTACCCTGAAATGCATGGGACTGGCGCTAGTGCGTGGGTGTGGTAACAAAAGGGTTTAATGTGAACGAGAGATCTTGAGACGAGTATAGGTGGATCAACCCCCTTTGTGGACAGTAATTATTATAAGACATATTTTCCCTTTGTAGTCTTTGAATGAACTAGGACTCATGGACTTTCTTGGTGAGAATACGTTCAATTTAATAGAGGTAGGTTCTTCTGAAGATCTGTTGATATACCTTTCATAAAGTAAGACATTCTTTGGTCTTTCGCTAACCACCTTTGCCCTTGGCGCGGATTCTTGGCTTGATGGAGTCTGGTCTCATCATTACAAGACCATGCGCAACCGTTAAAGTAGAAGAGTAGTTCTGGGAGTAAATTTTTATGTTTTGTGCCTTGATGTATCAAAAGCTCATCTCTAACTTTTTTGTTTCTGCTCCAATTTCCCAGCATCTTTCTCCTAGTGGTGATCGAGAAGGTAAAATTAAGGTAAATAAAATACGCTGTCTCTCACTCTTTTCAAATATAACTGTCTTCTTAAAAAGTATCAACACCTTGATCACCCGTTACGACTGATGACAGTTAGAAACGGGAAAATTGGACTGCGTGGGGAAAAAAAAACTCAGTTTGGGGCCTGGGGAAGAGTGCAGAATGTGTTAACAAAACTCGAGTAGGGTTGAAGTAACAGAAGGTTTAATTAACGAATCAGCTTCCGAAGAAAGTTGTTTGATTATTTAAATGTTTAAGTATCAGCGATCGCAGGTTGTCATCGGTCACCTCCTTGAAGTAACTTCGTTTCCGAAAAAGAACACGCTATCACCAATTAACCCCTTTACTCCCGCAAGTGACCACGACATAATTTCTCCTTACTATTTCTATACAATATCATACAGACAAGTGATGAGAATGAAGAGAAATGTCAATTGTGGGATTACTAATTGATCCGATACCAAAATTCTCTAGACTAACATAATGAGAATCGTTTGGCAGACAGTAAGGAGAATTACTTATGAGATCTTGGGAGTTAAAGGGTCAAACATAGAGGAAGGAAGGGGTATGTGATAATAGAGTCCTTTTGCGCACGTGGTATACTTAGGGGAAATCTCATGACTATTTTTTTTTTTACACCGGAAAACAAATTTTTGTTTATTTTGGTCACAACAATTTTTTTCCCTCCTTTTCAAAGACGTTAATGAGTAAATAAGCGTTGGATAAATTCAAACTTGTTTGCCGTTTAGTTTCTTTTTTTTTCTTCACCAGCTCGGTATTGCGATTATTATCATTTTGTGGGTCTCCGCGTTGGTTTCCTCCTTTATAGACAACATTCCTTTCGCAACGGCTATGGTAAGAAATACTCCAAGGAACTCTTTGGTCCGCATAGAAGCTGTGTCAGTATCTGACAAAACTGCGCAGCTACCCGTCCCGTAACCCAACAGCAGTCAACTGGTAACAAGTTAGAGTTATTGTGGGGTTTAGTGAGGGATAGGTGCGCAGTTGTTCAGATACTGACTTTTGAAGCGAAGCTTCAATCTCCCTCACACGATTCTGTTATCATTTCTGGGTAGGAAAACCATTAGTCAAAATTTTTTTGTACCTTGAGTAGTTGCGTTCAGTTTGCCTCATGCTGTTGACCAGTCCCCCGTACCCGGTGCCCTCTTGGCCCCCTGCCTTCGTCGCACTTTTCAAAGGTTAGCTCTTAGCTGTTAGCTACATGCGCAAGTGCGAGATGAATGTCCCCTCTAGAGGCAGAAGCACGTGAAGTTAGTATGGTTGGTAGGGTTGTTTCTTCAGATTTCTGTACCCAGATAACTAACCCCTTACCCCAGGAGCTGATTTCTTATTAGATCCCAGTACCCTCTGGCCCTCCTTCCTTTGCCGCACTTTGCAAAGGTGTTCTGTGAACTACACGCGCATGCGCGATATGAGATGTCTGTTTTATCTGAGGCAGAAACAGGTTAAGGTAGTTTGATCAGGACGTTTATTTCAACAATACTGCTTTCATTTACAGATTCCAGTTGTTTTGAAACTCAGCGCGCATGGGATAGACCTTAAACCCCTTGTTTGGGCACTAGCTATGGGTTCCTGCTTAGGAGGTAAGCCTCAAAGCAGAAAAAAATCATCTGCCCGGCAGATCTGATCGATAGTACACGTCATGTTTCATAAAACTTGTCACCGCAAAACTTTTAATTTATCGATTTATCGCACTCGGTTTTCTCAAGTTTGTAGAGCACCGTACTGACGTACGGGAGGTCGAGGGTTCAAAACCCAGATCGGACCAACGCTCGCGGTCTTAAAATAATTGAGGACAATGTGCTGCTTTTGCTATGACATTTGGTTAAAATGGTTGTCGGATTAGGACGATAAAGCTTAGGCCACGTCTCCTGTCTCTTCTCTGTTGCGGCTAGCAGGGCATGTTATAGATTCCACGCTCTTCTCGCTAAGATTGGGGAACGTAGCTCCCGGTGTTGTGATGATAACGTAAATTGGCCACCTTTAAGATTTTCAGTGAGACTGGTGTTGTGGTGTGGCCTTGTTTTTTGCTTATCTTTGTTTTACCCCGTTCGATCACGTTCTCTGTGTGTCGCGTTCACGTGTTGTTTAGTTGTAAAGGTTTGTTTCCTCTCAGGAATAGTATTTTATACGAATCTAAGTAACCACCATCAGACAAAGTAAACGAGTCTCTCGTATTTTTTGGCAGGGAATGGCACGCTTATTGGTGCGTCGGCTAACGTTGTCTGTGCTGGGCTTTCAGAGCAGTATGGCTACCCTATTAGTTTCAACACATTTTTCAAGTGAGAATTCTCATTTATTTTTATGAAACCACAGGGAATCCAAGCTCAATTTATGGATGACTTTTCGTTTCGTCCATGTCGCAAAACTCGAAAAAGGATGTCTGATGAAAAAAACAAAACTAAACGCAAATCGAGGAGGGAAAAGAACTAAAGCATTAACAAAAAAAAAGCGACAATGTTACAGAACATTGAAGTCACACGACGTTGAATGAGTCGTTTTTTTTTTACACACTTTTGCACAGCAATGAATGAAACGTTTGGGTAAAACCACTCGGCCAGGAACCTGGAAAGTTGTACAAACCCTCATAATTCGAGCTTGGACTACCTTTTTTAAATACTGGAAATTTTTCTTTTTTATGTTATTAACGATATCTTTCTTTTGGTTTTGTTTCAGAATTGGATTCCTCATTATGCTTGCAACCACAACAACAGCCATGCTTTATCTGTTGATCATAGAAGTTCTCGTGTAGAGAGAATAATGCCTTCACACGCTTTTATTCAATCTTCAGATTCATCAATATTACATTGGCTGACCCGCAAATTGCAATAACTAGTCTAGGACGGATCAATAACAAATTAAGATTTAGATAACTAACTAAGCTATTAAGCTAACTGCCTAAACTGCATTGGATTCAGAGTTTGGAAAAGCTTAAGTTACAACTCAACACTGGAATTTTAGTGGAAAGAAAAGGTAAAATAAGAAATTATTAAGTAAAACTCGGATGTTACATCATTATTTACAATACTGTACTTTTGTCATAATTGTTTCAGTATTCAAGTAATTATCTTCGTTTGCGTGGATGCCAAACAAAATATCATGGTGTTTTGCTGGCAAAGATGTTTTGGTACTGGTCTCTTCGGCAAATTGTTCAGAATTGTGTAATTGTTAAAATAATTCTGCAATATTTAAAATGACAAAAATCAAATGTTAAAGAAAATTGAAAATTGTCATTCAACGATTTTATCAGCTATGCCACGAAGGCAACGTATTTAACAATGATTTAGCCTTTCGTTGCAGTTTATTCTTAGTTAAAAAGGAATTAAAAGGCAAAAAAACGCGCTTTATGATGTGCTTTTCATTCTAATCTTTTTTTAACTCAGGGCCTTGCAATAAACTTATTGTAAAGCCGGTTTACCAGGGTAAACTTCGTCAAGAATGCTTTTCAATGGAGTGACGCAAAACTTTAAAAAGAATGCATCTAAACGGGAAGAAGTGGATTTATTAGGGAGCCAATGAGATAAAAGCCACACTGAAGGCACATTTGTATTGGTTGTTTGATCACCGGTGCAAGCCTCGAAAACTGAACCAGATCCTTCCGGATTGCGTGACGTCAGATTATGTTCCTGAGTAGGAGGAATCGAGCGCAGCGAGTTCCGGGTGCCATAACCTCGAGCTACATATTTTCCCGTGTGGCCCGACTAAACGCAGTCATTAAGCATTTTATCACATGACCACTAAGTGTTGGAAATTTTGTATCAACCTTAATGGGACGCGATAGACGGGCGGGCGCGGGACACCCCCCGAAAAAGGTTCTACAATAAAAAAATTTTTCTTTTATTTTTTCGAGTCAGAACAGGAGACTCGCAATTCATCGGAAAACGCGACTTACTTTCTAATTTCTCAATGTTTTATTTTTGCAACAAAGCCTTCCGAGTGCATGGCCGGACGGCTTTTTCCATGACCGGCTCCCGTCATCCCATACAGCCATACATCAAGCATGTTAAGTTTTTCTATGCGATTGCGTAAGCGGGGACGGACGGGTCATGTGATAACTTATGATATTACACCCCTCCTCCGGATCTTCACCCCAGTTACTATTTGAATCTGCGTGGTTCATCAAGCTGGCAAGATGGCACTCCGTTTGCTTCTTCTTATCTCGTGACCTCTCTCAGTCGCATGTGCGGCCCGTTGGGAACGTAGCTCGTATGTTAGCGTTTTTGTCTCGAGTGGAAAACTCCAAACAGATTATTAGCATCAAGGTATGGGAAACATTTGTAGTTGTTCCCCCTTACATTGCTGACTTTATTTCATTAGTGTTACTTTATATTAAGCAGCCTCATTATTTTATTGCTGGTGTTTAAGTTTTCAATCTTCATTTTTTATTTACCTACCTGTATATTTGTACTTGAACTGTACAACGTTTGTCACTTTTCACGCTGGCTTAATAGAAGCTTGACGCTACAATAGATTTTTCATCGATCCATGTGCTTTTTCACTTGGCGAGTTTTGATTTCTTCAGCGGGTAAATTTGTTTCCTTTTAAAACCGCATTATTAAGACCAGGCTTAGAAACTGCCCTTAACTTGAGTGGGTGATAAAAGTTCTCACCTTAAGACCGGAAAACTACATAGGCGGTAGACAATTGAAAGCTGAAAATTTTTTATCGCGTTGAAAAATCCACTGTTCTTTCGGTTGAATCAAAGCCAAACGCCCGATTTGCCCTTACAAAGCTTGTTTATCTTAGGAATGATAACTTCCGTCCCTCGCCAAACGATATTTAGTTACACCGACAGCCACGCCGCAGCCTTGAAAGCTGAAAATGACATTTCCTGGGTGAAAAAGAAAATATAACAAAGGGTGAACTGTAAATGAAAATCAAGGACAGCAATGAAAGTCGTATGCAAGAGGAATTAATACGCTCTTATGTCTGCAGGGTGCGATTTTAATTAAGACTACCGCTCTTTCAGGTGTTTTTTCCCCTTCGTATATCAGTTCCTATTTTGGGCTATATATAATGTATTGACAAAATAATTCATGACTGAATAATCACAAGATCGTAGAGTAAACACGTCATACCTGTTTTAGTACCTCATGACATTATTTAAAATAAATCAGTTTAACACAACAAAATAAAAGCCACAGAACTCTCAGGCTTTCACCTTTTCGACCTGAAGAAGAGATGAATTTGTGCAAGGGTCCGTAAAAAGCATTTCTGCAACTGATCAGGGAAGCGCTTAAAAAAAGACAATAAAATTACTAAAAACGCTTTTCGTGCTAATTTAGCGTAGCATCGAGTACACTTAATTATCTTTTTTCAGCCCAGCTTGGTCTTACGAAAAGAAGTGAAAAAGGAAATCTGGGGACGACTTTCGAGTGAAAAATCACTCTAACAAAGAGAAACTAGAGTTAAAAGATACAATTTATTAGTAAAATGGGTAATTTTACGTTCTTTTAAAATAACACAAACTTTAACAGATAAGTTTGTCTGTTGACTTTTTTCCTGGATAATCTAAGGAAAGTTTGAGGATTATCACATGTCCGGCGTTATTCTGGTTTGAAGAAGCTTATCTAGAAAATACAAGACCTTCAATATGTTTCTGTTTCTTTTTCGTGCAATACGTGCAAAACCACCGCGTGAAGAAGTCCCAATTTGAGTTCCATACGAATCTACCATTGACGTTTGTAATTGGCTGAGATGATTAATTTTTATCATAAAAAATGTTTTTGCCATGAAAATCCGATGAAATAAACTACAAGGCCTTTATGAGATAGGTGCCCGAGCTAAGAGCGTTTATCTAGACGAAATATAGATGGGCGTTCCTAATGTAAGACCTAACTTATTATCAGGTAAACATTAATAAAAACAATACTAAGCTTATAACGAACCTGGCGTTCATTCATAGGATATTTGATTCTTATCACTGGAAACTTTCCAGGGTCTCCCCAGTGCTGCATTTAGATGCAACTGAAAGAACAAGTCACCTGCATTCCGTCTAAGACTGCAAGCTACCTAAAGCGTGCGGTTGGAAATGTGGTTAGCTGTAAATTGCCTGAAAGCCACATTAATCATACATGCAAGTCCTGTTCAGAAAAAAAAGGCGAGAAAATTAAAATAATATGATATTTCTGACCACAACTACTGTTCTAAAAAATTCGTCATTCTCAATAACATAATTTGTTTCCTTTTTTGACGTCTAACATTTTAAAATTTTAACTAAGTTGACGGAAATCGAGTAATGTATCATGGTTTGTGTGCGATACGGAAAAATAATACATCCACTCTGAAATATATGGTTTAGTGTCTCACTTTTTATGTGAATTTATTTGTTTGTGTAATAAACTTGCGAATGATGTGAATGTTCCCATAAACAACAATAGAGGTGACAGGTGAAGAGAGCTTGTCTTCTGCTACCCTGGTGTTCAAAATTACCGCACTGAATTATTCATAAGACTTCGCACTCGCGCATGCTAATTCACGGGCAAGCAGAGCGAATGGCGATGTATCGCATAGCTTCCGACGGCTGGAGTAAGAGAAGCACAGCTGAAATTCTCATCGCTTAATTCATGGGGAGATAAATACCATACAGTCTACTGATCCATACTTTTCAGTACAGGATCCGGGACTCTTGAAGGTGAGCAGAATGATTTTATTACGCCAACTTTTTAAAGCAAACTGTGCTTTACTCGAAGGTTCGTGTCTGAGGATTTCGCGAATGTTTTAGCCGAAATATTCAGCGATTGATTGGAGAGCGCGGCGTGTTTTGAAGGGCAGCACTTAAATGACCTCCCTGTGTTGTATTAAGAAACTCAGCTCACCATAATGGGCAACTTACCATTTTTAAAGGCCTAAAAGGTCTCGAATGTTTACCTACTTTTTTCCTATAGCGTCTTTGTTGACAGATGTTGGAAACGTTATATTTTTTCCTCGAGAATCTCTTGATACGCCGACGTCGCTGGTGAAGTTTCAAAATGAGAGGATAAATCTTAATTTTATGACCTACATAACCTGGAATAATCATTCTGTGAAATGACCAAAGAGTGACGAAATTTAAAACCGCTAAGCTTGTAAGACCCAGTCCGTGCAGATTGCACTGGTCTGATATTCACCTGTGCTCCAACCATTTTGCGTGAATTCAAGTTTGATGATGGAGTATGTTTTTTTTCCAAATCCCCTCAGTGCCGAATAGTACCTACAACTGTATAATTGCCCAAATTTTAGAGAACTTTGGCGATGTGTTTTGGTAAGAAAACTTGAGCTTCATGTAGGTGGTTGTGTACATAGCGTGTTGATTACCTGCCAAACTTTCAGTCGACGAGGATACGATACAACTTGGTTAACAGTTTTGCACCTCCGAAAAATAGTTTTTTTTCAGTTGACAGCAGAAAAATAAAATTTATTGCGTTGGAAAACATCGCTGACCGTGATATTTGATTGGTTAGTGGTTACCGATCGTCTCTTCGATTCGGTGCGGTGGTTTCGCGTGTGTGTTCTTGAAACTGATAGCGAAATTGGCGTTGAAAAGATTTCGTTGGCGAATGATTCTGTCACCAAATCGTTAGATTTGATTTGTTTAGCCATATTTCACACGAGACTACTCCGCATACGTAGTCATCTCTTATGCAATGTGAATTTATGTTTAGTGATTACATTGAAAAGCTTTCAAGCTTACGTGAGTCTAGCGTTCAGCTGTCGAAGGAATCAGTTAGAGGTACATCTTGATCAAATGTTAATTTCTAGTTTTTATCTTTCCACGGCTTTTTCTATCGATCCCGCGATAAAATATTTCGGATCTCTTGTTTTATTCCTTTGTGTAAACAAACATATTTTAAACGCGTCTTTTTGGACTCTTTAGATGTCAAAATACAGTTGATGTGTTGTTTCATGTCGTTGAAGCGTATCCTTGGAGTGTTGATTTAGTTTTGAAAACAACTCCAGTTCATAAACACACATCAAAGGCGAAACTCATTTTCTATTATATGCTTTCGACATGCTGCCCCCGCTTCAAGTAAATAAAAAATCTGCATACACTTTAGAAGAGATAGATCATGATGCAAATCAAGGGGCACTTAAAGATATTATTTTGCTGAAAAGTTTCTATCAAGGAAAACTCTTAGAAAATTATTAATTTCGTCGCCTGTCGAGCGAATTTTGTTGTTTAACTTTTTTTCGTGAGACTTCCTTTATATAGTAGCACCCCACTGATTAAGGGATTTTTACTTCGAACTGTCTTCAGCCCGTATTGGTTTCTCTCAGTCAAGATGTATTTTTACCAAAGGAAAAACAAAAGACTGTTTGATCCCACTCTTCCTAACACCCGGGGCCCTCAATTAAACAATACAGATCTCGTATATCAATTTTTTCTAATGAGGGCTGCTATAAACTTGAATCTTTACATGAGCATTTTCAAACGATTTTGCAGTCAGAATCTCACTCCCGACAATTGTCTGGCATTCCTGGTAGACATTTCTATCACTAACATCGATTCTTGACAACATTTTAAAACTTGATTAAGCTATTCTAATAATTCTGTTGTGTAAAGTCCATGTCGATCAACAGTTAATAGGTAAGTTTCCAACATACATGTACCCCATGACATGATAAAACAATACAAACAGTATTTCTTTTCTTTTTCTGCAATGTGCAAATTCATATTTCAGTTAAACATATTTTTTTTGATCAGTCACACTTTATTATTATAATTTATAATTCTTCAAACTGTTTCCCTATTCAGAAGACACTGTTTGCAGTTGACTTGTGCTTCTTAAATTGAAAACAGTGAGAATTTTCTTAAGTGGTCTGAAGAAGCGCTTTGTATATGGATATACCTTGTATGATCACTACACAATTTACATAGCAAAATTTGTATTTCATATTGTTCTGTATTTTGTAAGGCAAAACTATTTTAATTAAGCAGATACCTCTGTTTCAAATTTGATGGAGGAAAGTCTTTTAGGAGTTCTCCTTTGACAGATTTTTTGCATGAAATGCAGTATTTGGAGTACTATCTGCAAAATAACACGCACAAACTGATCAAGAACAATACAGACTATTTACAAAAAGTTATCCATTACTTAAGTTAGCTTGATTAAACATGACTTGGCCAGTGAACTTGATTGTGGAAGGGGAAAAAAGTCTGTTCTATTAACCAAGATTCAATGTTCTTGCCAAGCTGGGTTTGTCCTGTGGTAAGACGATGTCTCTCAGCATTTTTATCCTATGAGAAAGATTTCAATAAACTAGTTAGGTTCTTAGTGCTTGTAGAATTCGAAGATAAAATTATTACAGAAGACAACATGGTTTTCACAGTTTTGTGCCTAAATTGTGAGGTTTCCATTGTGAACTGATATTTGTTATTTTTTGCTATGAATAACCACTTCCCACATCACTCCCCGACAGGAGTTCAATCAGTAACTGGTTAATAAGGTGTTATGAAATCATGACTCAACTATTTTGAAACTTGATTAGCTCTATAAAATATGTCCCCTAAAAGCACATACTCTGGTTGTTTTTGGAGATAATATTATTGAACAGTTTTTATTCTATATTTTATAGACCTAATTAAAAACTGCAGGCATGCAGGATTAAACAGTGCTCTGAAAAGTCTCTTTGTTTCTCTCTTAACTAGTTAAATGATGAAAAATAATGGAATTAAAGGATGATTTATAAAAGTGTGCAATAAATTTTTCAGTGTGGTATTAAACTCTGTCAATCTGCAAGCAGTTATCTTGCATAAAAGTGACCTATGAAGTCCTGGAGACCACATGCTGAGCTGCTTTCTGAAGATGACAAAACATCTCCACAACTCACCAGAATTCATGTGGCCTCTTCTATAGGAATGGCAAGTATTTTTAAACATAACTACATAACTGTCACAGTTAAAATCTGGGTAATTTTTAACACTTTAAGGACAAAAATGATCTCATTTAGTAGCAGAACATTATGGAGAAGTTTTGCGATATAATTAGCTAAATATGATGTTGATATACTTTTAGTGGTTATCTCTTTTTTTACTGTTAAATATATATAACTAAATGAAATATTTACAATACCTAATTTAAGATAAAGAATTGATACTTGTCAACCTTGAATACTAATGATCATATAATGATGGTAAATACTGGAAAACTTAGTAATGATAAAACTATAAGTTGTTCGGCATTTTGATTTTACTTAAATTACTATCAGGGTAAAAATGACAGTTTTATTGCAGTGTGAATATAAATCAGTGGAACTAGTCAAGAGTAGTTGACATTTGCATGTGATCTCCATAAAATAGTTTGGTGTGGACAGAGTCAGTTTGGATGTTCAGAGTTGGCTCGAGATCTTGAATAATTATCATTTTATGGATAATTAGACAATATTAATAATGATGATGATGATGATGATGATAATGATGATGAAGAATGTAGTATTATTTTGGACTTTTGATAATATGGGTGCTGTATAGGTGTAGTTTGTAATTTAAGGAGGGTACTTGGTAATATTTAAGTATCCTGGCTAATACTTAGTGGGAAACTGCTATTTTTTCCGACACTGGAATAAAGTATTTAATTACTATTGTTAATAATGTTGTGATGATTATGACCATGGTGACAATTACAATGATAATGAAATAATAGAAATGTTTTCCTCATGTATATATTTAGAAAGCTCAATTTGCTTTCTTGTCATACAACGTTATGACTAAAAATACAATTAAAACTATAACAAATTATTTTCATGCCTTTAAAAGCTTCCAAAATGATAATGTCCCTGTGCTAATCTTGAAAGATCAAAATTAAGGTAAATTGAATATGAAGTAGAATTTTGGAATCCAAGGTTTTCTTGTAATCTGCACAATTTGTGTACACAGAAGGCAAATGCACAATGACAATAAGCCATGGAATTCACTACAACTTCGAATGAATTTATGATCATGTGATAGGTTGTTGCTCTCAGTAAGTTTTCCTTTTTATTGACATTGATAAAATGTCATGATTTTGTCAATGAATTAATTCTATCGGAGGCTATAATTTCTATGAAGTTAGACATTTTGACTGCACATGGTGATTGAAAGGTTAATTAAAGACCATAATTTCGACTTCTTTAAATGTTCCAAAAAGCATTCAAGAATTGGTGTTAAATCCAAAAAAAATTGATTTAAATTGGATTTCTTTTTCATAGACTTATCTCTTATGCACAAGACTCACGAATCATACAAAAATTCTCAGCATGACCTAAAAGTAGATCCACATGTCTTTGATGTTGAATTCAAAACACTTATTAAATAAATCAGATAAAACTATTTGCAGCTTATAAAAAATCAGAATCAGATAAATACAACTTTGAAGTTGAAAGTCATGCAATTTTAATTATGCTTTTTAGAAAATCACAAGCCTATCAAATCTTCATCTGACATACTCTTCATTTTTTGATAAAATGGTCAAACACATCTCTAGGCCATAGTGATCTGCACAAGATATTTATTCATAAGAAATTTTATGTGCTCAAATAATTTTTGTCACTTGAAAACACGGGTGAACAGTTTTAAATATTCCTTGCAGTCTTGTAATTCCTAGACTGATGTTTTTTATTATTTATGCAACAAATCAAATTGGATTTTCACAAAGTGGTTTTTAGCAAGTTTCAATGTGCATTAATTGATTCAAGGAAGCTGAATAATAAATGTCTCAAAACAGAAAAAGGTAAGAATTTTCATGTGCTGAACAGTATTTCAGTGTTCAAAAAGAGAAAAACAGAGGTACAGTGATTTGATTTGTTTTTTATTTGCTGTCTTGAGTTTCTCAATCAGTTGTATTTGTTATTCAGGGATTATGGAAAGAGCGAATTATTTCTTCAAAACAAGCTACTGGCCTTTACATACATGTACTTGTCTGAATATATTTGCGGTGATGGCTGACTGAAACCAAGTGATCATGTCTTCCTCTAATGTGACTTTGTATACATTTCACATTGTCCAAGTTAGTTTTGAAGAATTTCAATTTTCACCTCCATTAACTCAGTAACATTCTGATGTGCCTGTGGAAATCAGTGTTAATTTGAAATATTTTTCCTATTCCCGAGTATTTTATATGCATAAATATGTTTAAACGTTTTTATAAATGTTCTGCGTCTTTTAAATGGATATAAAACAAATCTCATGTTTGTTTTTGATGGTGGATATAAATATGTACACGAAGAAGTATTTATATAGTTTTTTGCTCTTATATATATTATATTATATATATATATATATTTGGATGGAAAATATTGACTGCTTAATGTAATATCTTCTATGAAGAGCAGCCAATAAGAACATCTCTAAATTATTTTAATTTGTTTATCAGGAGCCCATTGTTAGATGTTGATAAATTCTGTGTTGTAGTTGGTACTGAGAAACATGATAACAATATAGAATTGATGTCAAAGATGTGAAAGATAAACTATTTATTGGTGGTTCTCTACAACATCAGTATATTCAGTTGATAGGAATAGACAGGCCAACATTTCTGCTATTTTCTCATGGCTTATTTTCAAAAGAAAGCATAATAACTAGAATAGAAAATTACTAAGCAAATCATGTGGGTTTAAGTTAAATGTTAACTCCAATATAGACATAAACCAACATGAAATTTTGACTGGGATTCAAAACAGTTACTTCTGGGAGACTTCTAATAATGTTCTCATGGACTCTTTGGAAATTTCATACAAATGTACTTTGAAACTGGATGTGAAATATTGAGTTAGGAGTGTATGGTGTGCTTTCTGGTTCCTGTGAGTTGATCAGAAATATTGAGAGTTTTAGATAAATTAGAACATTTACTTAATGTTACAACCAGTTGATATGCTTTTGTTGCAGGAAATGACAGTAAATGATGGTGGATTTCTCAATGCCGTCAGGGATGGAAGCTGTACTCATGTGCTGAATCTGTTGCATGGAGGAGGGGTGGATTTGGAGCAGAGAGATGAGGTTAGAAATGTTGGAAATTAATAAGGAAACAAACTAACTAACAAACAAGGTTACCAACAAAAACAAGGTCTTGAAAATTGTTGCTGAGTATCTTTGTTGAGCCCTGGAAAATTAATTTGAGTCTTGGTAATTAATGGCAATTGGGAGAAATGACCAAAAATGCTCTTCTCTGAGAATGGCAAAGCAAGAATTACTGTGCATTGGATGAATGATGATTTTTTTCATTAGATTGAAACCAACCTTTTAGTGGTGCATTGTAGGTTGTACAGCAAAAAAATACTGGAAAAGACTGTGAACCATTTTTTGTCTTATAATTAATACTTTATATTCTCTGTGTCGGAAAAATATGAAGTTTTACATAACTTATGTAGCGTTTAGATGAAAATGATGTTGTCCATTTTAAGTAATTTTAAATTAGTTGTATATGAAAATAAAATGAACCTATGAATTAATAGATTGATTATTTATAGGTAAAAGTCGCTCCTAATAAGCAGTCAGTAACAAAAAGTTCTCATCAAACATTTTTTAATAGAATGGCCAAACTGCGTTGATTATTGCTGCTGAAAAAGGGAATGTTGAAATTGTTCATGAATTGTTAAAGAGGAATGTTCAAGTCAATATACAAGATGAGGTGAGGTCTGCCATGGCCATTGGTAAACATAATTAGGTATTTCAATTTGAAGAGTTTAATGATTGCTTTAGAAGTTAATTCAGTTAGGACACTCTCTTAAACTCCTCTCTCTCTATTGAACTGCCTCATCTTATCTTATCTATCTGGCACCTCCTTCTTCTTTGATAATCCCCCTTGTTATAAGGTGGTGTTGCGTAGGACAAAACTTGAATTTGAAAGCCTGTTCATTTTGGTTTGAAATGTCATAGTTTTTTTAACCAAAAAAATGAATACTATAATGTTCAGTATTTAATAAATGTGGGCAAGAACTCAGATGTTAAATAAAGACTTTCATTTTGGCCCCCAGTGAGTTTTAACCAAGGGCCCCCCCCCTACTTCTCTCATAGGTCAACCTCTCTTGTGACCTCACTTCTCTGATAAGCTCTTTCCCCCCCCCCCCCCACACACACACATCTAAAAGTCCTAGACTTTGGGAAGCTTCTTGGAATATATTAGATAAGAACACTTAAAAAAACTTTGTAAATGATTATTATTTGACAATAGTAATAATAATAGTTATAATAATAATGTGAATAATAATAGGTATTTCAGTCAATAATTTTATTATTGATTCATCAATAAAAAGCATTAATGTTGGCAATTAACATGGTTCAAAAAATTCTGGAACTGAGTTTAGTTTCCTCATATCTTAGGATGGCTGGACAGCCCTTATTGCAGCTTGCAAAGAGGGGCATTACGAGGTTGTCAAGGAGCTCATGGAGAATGGAGCAAAAGTTCAGTTACCGGACTTAGTAAGTTCAATATATCTGAATCATAACATTACGAGTGACCAAGGTCATTGTGTTAAGTTCTGAGCAAGGGAGTCTGCTCTCTTAATGCACCTCTCTACCCAGAAGTATAAATTTGCAGCTATGGGAATTAAGCTCATGAACACCTACCGTATCTTTACACATCTGTCACAATCCTATGACCAACAGAATATTCTCTATTATAGGGAGGTTGGTCTCCTTTGGTATGGGCTTCATACAAGGGACATGCAGACATTGTAAGGGAGCTGTTGGACTATGGCGCAGATCCTAATGAAAGAGGACAAGTAAGCCACCATTTTAGAATGTTTGTAAAACGCTTATGTGAGCAGCCAGCCAATCAGAGAGGAGTATTTTGGGCCCAAGATGGAGAGGACCAATCCGCTTAAAAATTGTAAAAGAAGTTGGATACCTTCGTTGTCATACTTGCAGTTGATTGACCCATTCTGGTCACATGTGCAAAAGATTCTCTTCTCTGATTGGCTGGCAACCAAGATAATCGTACTTTGTAAACCTAAGTTGTGTGCAGCTTGGTGCCCAGGATCCCTTTATTTTTTTCGCTTAAATTTACTCGGAAAGAGATTGAGGAAAATAACTTGGGTTTTGAATTTCGTCATCTCATTTGACATGCGCTAAATGAAGCAACGAATTTCAAAACCTAAAAGTATACGGTTCTGTTCCCGACATGGTTAAATATTTCATTCCTATTTTGCTGATATTTCAAACTTTTTTTTTTAATTTGGCGACATTTGCAGTGGAAATATTAATTTATAATACGGCAATGCATGTTTATTTTACTGTAATTCATCAGGAAATTATAGACACGACAATTATTTTAAAAATCCCGATAGTGTTGTCTATGAAACTTTGACTTATCACGGAATACTTTCAAGTCTACTTCGAGAAGACCAAATATTTTCGTGCTTTACCCCAGGGGTTTTGATAATGTTTGTCATAAGCGCCTGCCGATGATTTAATAGGCGGCTGTGTGACTGTAAGGCGAAACCCAAACAGGAGACCAGCTCGCAGGTTGAACAGACGGCGGTGAGAGGTCTTATCGGTGGTGGTAGACCGCTAGTAACGGCATTTATTGAAACCCATGGCTTAAACTTGCAGCACAAGTAGAGTTGCTATAAAAAACCTGCTCTTGAAAAGACAAATTTCGTAATATTCTTGCGTTTTCGCGCTGTTGTTTGATTGGATGTCGTGCAGCAGTTAAACGAGCGCCATGACGAGAATTTCCCGAAAGCGACTGTAATTTCGATTCAGTGTTTTTTTATTTATCTTTCAAAAAATACGGCTCTTGCGTAAATTACTATTGATGAAACTAAGAATAAAAAAAACTTAGGATTTTGTGGCAGAACGGAAAGCATTCTTTAAAGTTTTTTTGGCATCGTTGGTTTTTCTATTTCGGCTTCCCCATGGCTTCCTTGCAGGAAGTTTTGATGACTTATGCATGCCGCGAACCGTCACAGGGAAAAAATCAGGAAGCAACAGAAGTACGTTTACCCGACGATATTACGTAGTTAATTATTTATTTGTCTCGTGTAGAGCACTAGCTGTAATTAGTTTCCCGCGTAGAACAACTCAAGGTGGTAATTTCTTTTAGAGCTATATTTACTCGGGACAAACCATTGCATTTCTTTTTGTCTTAATTTAATGTGAATTGCTTTCAAGTTTGGAATCAAGTATTCTTTAATTTAGCTTTATCGTGCACTTGATTTTTGTTCTCACAAAGTTGTATATACGTTCATTCAGTTGTTAAGTAAACGTTTCTTTTGTCAGCAGCAAAAACCTTTGTTTTGTCTTGTCAATTATAAATAATGCTCGATCTTTCGAAAAAGTTTGTAAAATGACAGTTTTCACTCACCAGGGAAGCCGAAACACTTGCCTGTTGTTTATGCATTCGTCAAGTTTGCTATCATGAAAGTCTCTCGACTTCAAATCAATGATAAAATCTTTTATCTCTCTGCTTCCTATGACTTACTCTTTGAAGGCAATTGAATTGATAACGTTCTTTAGAAAAAGTGTTGTCGCTTGAGGGAAAGTTTTGTCTACAGAAATAAATCCGGTAGTCTGGTCGCGTTAGGACATCTTCGTATCTTTGCGTTATTTAAGTGAAAGAGGATTAAATTTTTGTTTCAACTTTAAGCTGCTGTTTTTCGAGATTAATATTTTACCATCGCTGCTCTAATTGCATGCTAATTGAAAAAACTTCCATCGGCGATCTGCGTCAGTATTCATTTAATGCATTTCGGGTTTCTGTTATTTGGTTTTAGCAATTGTCTTTTAAATCGGCGCCACAGATCTGAGAGCTCAAATTCGACGGGAATATACTGACAGAGCATACAGTAAGATTTCTTTTCTTTGTAATCAAAGAATTGAGAGGTGAAGGACTGTATTGATGTGAACAATTGTTACTTAAGATACTCTGACAGGTGCTCTTTGGCGTAGACGAATTTACTAGATTCTTCTCATCCGATCTGCGACAAAAAACCACGACAGAAACCGCGCATTTCAAGTTGCTCTCAAAACGAGCTCGGCGGACAGATTTGCTTAAACTCTGCTTTTTAAAAAATCCGGGTTATGTTTCTTCCTCAGGTCGCGCTCAACCGCAATCCAGTTGGGTAGACAATATATACATTCGTTTTGGTCATCATTCGCTGTGTCTTTAGATGTTGTTTAGTTTTGCATATATTTTAAAAGTCATTAACGATTCGTTCGGCAGGTGAATTGGGTTTAGTTCAGTAGGGATCGAACTGTGAGCAAATTGAGATCTATATTTTTTGTTATATCTCGTGTGGCTCGTTAAATCTAATTACACTCGGAAAATTTTGTTCGTGAGCTGGTCTCCCTTTTGGCACCATCAGAAGACAGCACTTAGGATGAATCCATCTAAACGTAAGTCGTTCTTACAAGCTATAAAATAAATCTTACGATATCTTTTAGGTGATAAGTTGGAGTGTATCTGACATCTCCAGGCATCTAAGGGAATTAGCACACAACTGCGTTTGCTATTGTCAGAGATTTTTTAACGACATAGGCTTGGTTGACATAAACACAAGTTTTCATTAGCACTTTACATTATACCTCATCGTACAAGCTTCCAGTTCAAATTTTAATTATTGTAAGGAATTGATTTTTTTATAAGGAGCTGAGAAAATAAATGACTTCCTTCCAAGAAGTTCTTAATCCTGAAGTTGTATACAACCGCATGAATTATGTAAACCAATATCAGAACGAATTTATTTTTTGCCAGTGTGCTTGTAACCCTTTTCATAGCAACGTTTTTCGATAATAATTCTTAGATTGACGCTTTCAATCATCGAGTAGACTGTTCATCCACACTAACGCTAAAAAACATTTCCTGATTTATTTTTCAAGGTACGGCGTTTTGTCTCTCTTAAATCTTGTTTTCATTTCCAAAAGACCTCATGCATGCTCTCCGTTTTGTGGACATCGAAGAGTGCAATTTTTTCTTCTCTTTCAATGTTTTTATTCTTAATTTACCTTATTGTATGTTCCGATGAAAGCGGCTTTGGTAATTTTGATCTCGTCTCATTAATTTGAGTGTGTTTATTTTATTTTATTTTTATTTTATTTTGTGCCTCGTTTATTGTTTTTAAACGAAACTGCAGAACTGCGCATTCTGTGTCCGCGGGAAAAAAATAAGAGACAGCTTTGCAAAAGATGTATTTTTTTGCGATTGCTTCATTGACTCGTATTTTATGAAACGTGATGATTTTGGTGGAAATAGTTATAGCACCCGAATTGAGTATCCTTATTTTTTTGTCTGTTTTGCATGAAGTAGGAGACGATCGGTGATATGTGTACTATAGCTGATGGTATTCCGAGGCGTGAAATTATGTTTAATTTATGTGTGGTTTTGCTGTAATATGTGCCCCTTTTACTCTTAATTGGATCTTTCTATTCTCTTTCTTAAACTTGAGTTGAACACCGAAAATTATGGCATTTGAAACGATTTGGCAAATGTATGTACTTGTAAACGAAGGAGAAAAATTCTTGTCGGCGTGTTTCAATTACAGTCGATGTTGTTATTAAACTATGCGGAATACCCTACGTCTTCTGGCGGACACTTTACTATAAACAAAGACGGAAGTCTGTAAAAAAATTATTATCCTCAAAATATCTTAAAGCAAACTAATATGTTCTCAGATGGATGTCTGTAATAGTGTTAAGATTTATCCAATGACGTTGAATGGATCCACTTTCCTAAGCAGAGGTGATTATGCTGTATTGCACATGCATTCAGACGGTTGTTGCTAAGCTTCTCTACTTTCTAGATCTCCGTGTGGGGATTTTCCCTCTCGTAAAAATCTCGAATAGAACGCTATTATCTTCGGTTCTGGAATTGGAACAACTGATACATTAGGAAGCACTTTTGCTGCAGATTTTCACGTCATTGTATCGATCAAAAAAAATTGATATCGACAGGAACTTCGAGGATTGTTGGATAAACTTAAAATGAACTATAAAAATAATCTAGAAAAAAATATGTGGTAAGTTTATCAAAATTCGACGGTATGTGCAAATATGATGTACTGTCCCAACTTGAAGAACGTTTTCCATTGTGATGAAATATTGAAATATTTTTGCCCACTCGAGATTGGATTGAAGTCGATGGTACATCTGATGATATTTCCTCCTAGACATAATCTGTTCGCCTTCACGAAACAGATATGTCCACCGAAAAATATTCGAGCATATTTCCGCGCCAAACGGAAGCTGATGTTTATTTATTTGAGAACAGTAGCCGAAGGTCATACTATTTGCAATTTATCTGTGGTGTGTTTCACAGGTAATGTATTGCTGTTTTTCCGCTTTACGTCATTCAAATGGAAAATACTGGAGACCTGAAGTAGGTCACAAAGGCGACGGTGAAGAGACCGTGGTGAATGAAAACATTTAGTGAGCAGAAAATAACTGCGGCGCACGTGCGTTAGAGGATTCTTGCAGTTGTTAGCTGTCATCTGTAAAATAATAAAGTAAAAGAACAAAATTTTGTCCATTCTAAGGACGGAAACACTGATAGCAAATTAGTTATTTTTTTAACCCAACGTTTCCTTCATCTTTTATTTGGAAGTTACATCAGGTGCCGTTAGAGAAGGTAAAAACATCGAGCTATTCGATAAAATTCTAAAAAAAATTTCAGTTAATATTTTAATCGACCCTCACGTTCCGTCCCAACATCTTTGTGGCTTCCACAAAACTATTTTTCTTTTTATACTCACTCTAAGGGCCCAAGAGTTATTTCATAATTCGCTTGAATTAAATACACATTTACTTTTGTTTCTGTCATTTCCTCAGTTGACCCGGCACGGAATATATATAGAACGGGTCATTTTCCTCAATCGGTTGTAAATTTATGAGTGTCTTTTTGGCGATCTCTGATAATTCGCTGGCCAGCAACTATCTGATACAAAAAGTACAAATATCCTATAAATATAGAGGATAAATGAATTAAAGACAACAGCAATACTTTTGACAAACAAAGTGAATGCTCTGCGGTGTTATAATATGCGTGTAAGTTGTCGCACGGAACCTGATTGATGTGTGTGACTCGAATGAACGTTTTCTGCTATCGGTTGGTATTTCAAGACCATTGAAGATTTCAGCCTTTTCGTACATTAGTTTAGAAGGGAAATGAGACAATTTGCAACAAATCGACTCAGTCTGGCTAAACCGGGCAACTTCAAATGAAATTCGGCCAGAAATTAGTCTTAATACACTGCAGTTACAAATGTCGTCTTCACTAGTATGGGCAACAATCTTGACTTTCATATAATCTTGATACTTACCTCGTTTGAAGACATTTGATGTTGACTGTAGTCGATCCAAGAAAACATTTGTTTTGTGAGAGAAAACACCTCGACTTATTTTGAGAAACATTAACAAGGTCACGAATGTTCTTAAAATTCCTTTGGCGTTCTTTCCGGCAATGAGCGCTGTACTCAGTTCCAAAGATCGCCCGGGCGAGGCTGCTTCTAATTGGTCAACTGAGACTGCATTCGATCACGTGAAGGCCTGGCGTGACACATGTCTTGCTTTTTTTTTTCTTCTCAGCATGGTATGACAGCCCTTATATGGGCATCAGGACGGGGACACAGTGAGGTTGTTGATCATTTACTGGAAGCTGGAGCCAATCCCGACGCTGCTGACAAGGTGCGTGACATGTTTGTGTAGATGACTCTCACGTGTTAAACACGCGTGGATCTAAAGATTGATGCCTTGTCGTCGCATGTAAAATTGTGTCAATGTATCCGTATTTTTCCTCAGGATATGTTCAGTTTAGGCCGGGTCCTCGGGTTTGAGCTTTTGTCATTGTATTACTGAAATTTATCCTTAGATAACTCAAACTTAGGCTGGGTCCCCGGGTGTAAACAGAACTTGTGTCTAGTGTAATTCCCCCCCCCTGGATATCTCTAACGTAGATCGAGTCCCAGGTGTGGAACTATGTTGGTGGATCACTGTAAGTTAACCGTAGATATATCAAAAGCCCGGTCGCTGAAACCAGTTTTTTTGCTCCCCCGATAAATTTTCTGTCAGGAGGCTAACATCCCATTTGCAAGCTTGTCCTGTTAATCAATGGCATTCCTCTGGCTTGAATAGTTTTCGTTTTTTCTTGTTTCAGTATGGGACCACCGCTCTTGTTTGGAGCTGCAGAAAAGGACACTTAGGAACTTGTCGAAGTCTTGTAGCAAAAAACGCTAACGTCGATACCGCCAGTAGTGTAAGTAACTTAGTATTGCCATGGATACTATTGCTATGCTGCACTTCATGTTGAACCAATCAGCTGCAAATGTGCATTTGCTTTACATTTTATTGCATTATGCATGCGCCAAGTTCGCAATTTATATTCTGACGGTGTATTGCACTTAAATTGAGGCGTACTCTGCAGTGATTTTAGCTTTGAGGCCGTAAGAAGAAACTTATCATGAGACAGTTTTATTTGGGTTATTTTAGAGAGGTTGGACCCCGTTAATAATGGCAGCAAAAGGTGGTTACACAGAGGTAGTGGATTGTCTCTTGGAAAAGGAACCTCACATAAACGCTACGGACCAGGTAAGAATAAGATTTTAAAGACAACACTGTCTATTCATTCCTTTTTGAGCATGCCCCAAAATTTTTTTTCTGAAATAAATTGGATAACTTGGATTAACAGTTAAAAGATATTTTAAGGTGATGATAGTTCTCTCACTGATTTGAAAACAGGAAGGGAATTCCGCGTTGAGTTGGTCAGCCAAGCATGGGCATGAAGAGATCGTCCAACGACTTTTGGCAAGAGGGGCGTACTTTAATTTACCAGATAAAGTAAGTGATCCTCTTTTGAATCATTTTAGGCAATCTTCAACTGGATGTCGAGAGACTGCATTGATTTTGCTTCACTTTGCTCCTTGCTTGATGCAGAAAACTCGCGCCATTCTCTCGACCAATCAGATGCAGAAGTAAAACCAAGCGTGATTTGAATGCCCGCGTTTTCCCGCGCTTGAGGCTGTGTTCACGTGTTTACTTTGAGTTCTGATTGGTTCGTTATGTTGTACATCTTTTTTTCTGATTGGCTGTTGGGATTGCTATGGTTTTAGACACTAAGTCGAACCACGTTCTGTTGGAAACGATTTTAACCCAAGATATATAATTATATTCAGTGCGGAGAGGTTATTGTTTTCTGCGTAAATTTCTGCTCGTGTGCATGTACAGATTATTTTTCTCTTCTATGCAAGCGAAGGAAAAAACGAAAAGGAGAAGTGATTTTTATTGCTATAGATTTTTTTCTTTGGCCCTAATTAGAGATATATTTTATCGACCTTAAAAGGAGGCAATTATAAATAATTGTTGTCTATCGAATCACTATAAGTGTGTTCTCCATTGTCAATTGCTCGAGGCGTTTTTCGACCGGAAGAAACCAATTTTCCCATACGCCCCTAATTTTTGGGTTGAAAATTATATCGAATTATGGTCTAGAGCAGCTTTTTTTAAAAGTAGTTTGTACTCGCAGCCTATTAGAGAAGCTCTTTATTAAGTAAAGTAAAAAAAAAAGCGTAGGTGTTTTCGAGCTAGTGGTCAGATTTGGCTTCGATTCAATCAGTAATTTCCTTTAGAGCCCATTTAAATGGGTTGCATGAAACGTGGTTTTTGCGTCACCATCTTGAAGTGGGCGTAATTTGTAAAATGTAATTGCCCGGAACTTTCAATTCACGGTTCATGTTTGTCTGTTACCGATTTTCTGTGCATGTTCTTACGGTTTCAAAGTACAGTGAACCGGATGAGCAAGGTTTATTCCACTTATTGGAAGGTTAAAGCTTTCGAACCAGGGACAGATGTTTGTAAGTTTAGACGACAGAGTTTTGTCTGATAATGATCTGAAATGATATTCATTGAGGTTGATAGATAACTCAGCCAAGTTCACCCTTGAAGCTTTTTGTTCGTGCGGTTTCTGTTGACAATTTAAGCTGTTTTATTGCGAGTTTTGGTTTTTAAAAGTGAATTCTGAGGTTTTGTCCTCGATCAATGGTAAGTTGCTTCAAAGAGTTTCAAGTTTCGAGCAAGCATCTTCGCTTGAGTCTGCAGTCCGCAGCGAGCGAAACGCCCGCCATTGAAAAAAAGGCACCACTTTGGCAAATTCAACAACGCTTTGGGTATTTCAATGGAATGTAGAAACTGCTTTGGATTGAAATGTGAATAATTGTGGTAAATTGGATGAATTCAAATAGCTGCAGGATCACGTGAACTGTAAGCGATACGCTCTGAATCAATAAAATCTGTGACTTCAATGTTGTATAAGAAGTTTTAAACAGAAAGTTTTTGTTTTGCTTTCAGGAAGGCGAAACTGTTTTAATCTCTGCTGCAAGAGACGGCCATTTAGAGGTTGTGCGGACATTGTTAAGCAAATATGCAGATGTGGAGGCTGCAGACACCGTAAGTTTTTAAAAATGAACATTTTGAACGTAGCATTGGCTGTTTCAAGGCCCAGTTGCAACAATGGAGTCGTTTTGAATGAACTTTGCAGTTTCTGTTTTGGTTTTCTGTAATATCAGCTCTGAGGAACAAAAGCAAACGAGCGGAATATGGCGTTTATTTACTAAAACATTTCATTTCCACCTCCTGGTGTTAGGAATAACATCATTGTTCCAATTCTATAGAATCTGTTTGCTTAATCAAATCGTTTTAAAGTCGTGTCGTGCTGATCACAGGGAGTGTTTTGTTGATGATAAATGCCGCTCACTTCTCGTTTGACTACAGTAGTCTTGCCGCGTATCGCAGATTTTTCATCAGCTAATTTGCTGGCGGCTGTTTCATGTCTCGTTCCTTCGAGTATCGTTTTCAGACGCGCAGGCTTTCAAAGGTCAGTCTCTGGTCATAACTTTCGAATGTACTACGTCATTATATCTCTTGGGGGACACATACACGACTTTTCAGAGTTCGCATCCCTTATTTACCTTATATACTGCTTGAATTTTATTCCAAATTGTGTTGAAATGTTACAGTAAGTGGGCGATAGAAATAAAAAACTTATAAATTACAGCTCTACGTATCAGAGGCCGATGCAATTCGACCGGGTACGTACGCGAAGAGCTATGTGCTTGCATTGCCATAACTAGTTAATTTTTCCCATGTAACAAATGAATTAACTTTTGGTCTGGAGCAGAGCATATATCCAAGCTTGTAGCGTCATCTGTTATTTTATTGTCGAGTTTAGGGCTATTCTGAAGTTTTTTTTTTCTCTTTTTTTTTTTTTCCAACCTAATGTCTTAATTCCTAGACAGCATGGCGTCGCTGTAGAAGTACCAGATTATTTCAGATTATTTTCAAAACAGTAATTAAGTGAATAAGTGGACTTATTTTGACGGACTAAACCAAATATTTCTCTTATAATGCATGAAAATGTAACATTTTTTAATCGTAATAATTTCGTGACGTGAGTCACAGATGGTGACATTTTTACTTCAATAAACGGCTTTGATAACAAAACAATTGAACAGCAAGTTTTGAACTTTTTGGAATAATAAATACAGCTTGGCTTTAAAATTTTAAGATAAATGGAAAAGCTGATAACTTGTACAATGGTTGAGTCATTAATATTGCTAAAATATTCATTGCTTTTGATGCAAAGAGTGACAGAAAGGAGGGATGGTTGTTATTTCGATACCGGAAAAACTTCAAGAGGTTTGATTCTGGAAGGTTTGTTAAAAATAGTTCCGCATCCTATTTTCGATTGCTTGTTTTTTTTTAAAGAGGAAATCGATTTCGCCTTTGTGTGACTTCGTATCAAGACTTCTCATGATCTGAAGTAGTCCACAGCCGCTATCTTTGATAGTCGCGTCTGACATCGCTTCGTCGAACTAGGTAATCTTTCAGAGATTGGTACATCTTTAAACAGAGCGGAACTATCCATATCGCGCCATCTTTGCGTTGCTACTCAAATGGGATTTTTTTTTGACAACGGGAGGCGAAGATTTTTAATTCAAACTGATAATCAGGCATTGTTTTGACAGCGTTTGAATGATAGTGGTCTGAAGAGTGAGATAATGTGATGGAATACAATAGTTCGCATGTTTGTTCAATGTGTAAGCATTTACGTTTGAAGTACGGATCTCTTATAACAGACGTAGTTTTGTAGATGAACTTCCTAAGAAAGCCTGGATGCAGAACTAAATCTCTTTAAGCACTTACGCGACCTTTTCTTGTCGAGCTCTTTGTTACATTGAGAAATGGTAAATGACAATGTTTTGTTGTCTGTGCTGTCCAGTGGACCTTTTAAATTGAGCTTATTTTTAGATATCCATCAGTAAACGAAAGCGGTTGAGCAGCATGTTTTTGTGTTCTTTCAATGGACAGTGTTTGTAAATAAAACGTGAATTATTTCTCTTGTCAGGAAAGCAAGACAGCTTTGTTTCATGCAGTTGAGAAAGGCCACGTCTTAATTGTGAAGGAGCTTTTAGATGCGGGAGCGAACACAGAAACTCAGAACAAGGTTTGTAATATGCTTCAATGCGTTTTCACTGGTGGAATTCATAATGGCGGACACCTTCTGTTTCACTCTTGTCTACTTGACTCGTCATATAGAAATCTTCTTTTCGAGTTAACATAAATTCATGTTTTTCTGTTGTTCTTTTCACGGGTGAAGAGGCTTAAAGCTGCCTTTTAAATTAAGTGTTGCCATTTTGTCTTCTCGCCATTGATACCCGGTAACAAGATAGATTTCAGAACAAACACATTTTCAAGCAGATTCTATTACCATACTCTGATCTTAAAGATTTTCTCGCGCTTTCGAAGATAAATAAAAAGAAAATATTGCAATGCATTTTGTTAGTGTTTTTTACCTTCTCTTTAACTGTGTTATTGCAGGACGGTGAAACGCCACTTATCAGAGCCACACAAAAGAAGCACACTGCAATCGTATCTCTTTTGCTTGAAAAAGGAGCCAGTGTCTCCGTAGCAGATAAGGTTCGTGATGTGTTTGTCCTGTTCCCTGTTTCGAAAAACGCTACACGGAGAGGAGATCAGCATGTAATCACTCCTCTCAATTCCAACTCATTATTAAGAAAGCAGGTGATAAAAATACAAAATTTTATCAAGTGAAGCATGTTTCTTCTATGCTACGCTGAAATCTGATCTGGTCCATATGGATTTACAAGGAAACGACGTAAGGAGTGAAATTCAATAATCAGATTTTGTGAAGTAGGGGAATAGCAGATTAGTGTAGTAATGTTATAGTACGTAAGGCTTATGTAAACAAACCCATTTTTTTAGCACGAATTAAAATACATGATGTTCTCTTGAAAAACAATCATTCGATGAAAGCTCGTCTCTCGCACGCCTCACTTGACCCCGTTTTGACTCGGGTTTGTTTATCTCAGCGAGGAGATACCCCAGTTCATATTGCCGTCAGAGGAAGATACCGACGCATTTGCGAACTCCTGTTAAGGAACCCAAAGGACGCTCGGCTTTTATATCGTCCCAATAAATCCGGAGAAACACCGTATAATATCGACAGACAGCACAAACATAGTCTGCTGACGCAAATCTTTGGCACTGGTAAGGTTTCTGTTGGATTATTTGTCTAAAATTTTATCTAATCAAGTTGTGTATTTTGTAATCCGCGTAAATCTTCTCCATCTGCCACCATTCTCGTTCATTTTTGGTTTATTTGTTCCATTTTGTTGTTCATCTTTCCTATCAAACCAATATTTTGTGTTTTTCGTCGTGTTCAGGGTGATTCTGCGTTTCGCAACCCTCAACTACATATGTTGAATGTATCTGAAGGCTTTCATCTAGGAATCATATTGTGTTTTTCTCGAATTAATGTGGAGTATGTGTTTGGAGACATAGAAATTACCGAAGGTCTTTCAAATATTAGGTCTTCTCACGAGAGAGATTTTCAATTCGCAAATGAAGATTCATAGCACTTGAACTTGAATACAATTATTTCAACTTTACCCAATACCGAATATGCTCTAAACAGTTCATTACAACCTCTTGAATGTTTACCAACTGTTCTAGTCAGTCTTTCTTTCGTTCGTGTCTTCGTTTGGAATTTGCAGTCTTGTGAAAAATTAATGACACGTTTTCAGAACTCAGGTTGACGTTTAAGTGGTTAGAAAAATACAGCATTGCTGGTGTTAGTGGGACTTCATTACCAATTTCCAAAGGGGAATTAACTAACTGTTGTTCCAAGATCTCTCTTTCAAAAGGGCTCGAGCATTATCTGAAAACTCTAGTAATGATCAGACTCGCTATAGAGTTCTCTGCAGCTCATTGGTGGAGCGTCAGAGCGCGGGGACCGAAGGTTTGGGGTTCGATTTATCACGGGAACTCGGATTTTTTTCTCTGCTCCACGCTTGTGACAGGACAAATAACACTATTTGAAAATAACTTATTATGACGATGTGCTTATCATTTTTAAAAAATCATAGTTGACTCGTTTTGTTCAGAAGATAGTCTTAAGTATACTCTGTTTACAGGTCTTTTTACTCCGGGTAAGAAATACAGTGAGGAAGTGATGGGTTATGAGGTCTACACCAGTGCCTTAGCGGACGTGTTGTGCGAGCCTTCGCTCACCATGCCGCTGACTGTTGGAATGTATGCGCGGTGGGGGAGCGGCAAATCTTTTGTTTTACGGAGGTTGCAAGGTAAAAATTGAAATCAATAGTTTTCTGATTTTAATAACTGAATGATATTTTTGTTTCTTTTCGTTTGGGTTCTTTCTTTCATCAAATATAGTCAGATTCTCTAAGGGAGAAAAGAACTCACTTATCTTTTTCGCGCTGCCAGCATTCGGTCTTACACCGCAGTTGGTAACAGCACTCAGCTAGTCTCTGGCACAGGCAATAATTTTTTTCGATCAATGAAATATCTGAGCAACTGCCTACCTGCCCTTCCCTTAACTCAACATTAACCCTAACTTGTTATCAATTGAGTGCTGATTGCGGGTAAGTGCGTAGTTCCTCGGATACTAACATTGATCTGAGTTTTTCAACCTTCTTTTTCTGCAATTTCTAACGCCATGTCTCTGTTTCGTTTGTTGCAGATGAGATGCGTGAGTTTGCTCATCAAGATCTTCGTCCAATGTTTCACTTTTCTCGCTTCATATTTGTAATTCTTCTGGTGTTCTGTGTAGTGATTGGTGTTCTACTCGCGGCAACTACGAGTCTTGCCGCTGGCGTTGCCGTAGGAGTCGGTATTTTCGTGACATGTTATCTGCTGTTTTTGTGCGCGTATGTGGCAGATAGACGCTACAACCGCGGAGAACCGTCTTGCGGCATAGGCGGTTACGTAACCAAGGCGGTGGGTACCGTAAAATTGTTGAGCCAACTGGTATTTTGTATTCCTCCGTGTCCGAGTGCCACGAAACCGAACATGCCAGTTCGCTTCCTCTTCACAGACTTTAGTAAATTGACTTGCAGTGGAAGCGAAGCGGCTTCATTGGTCGGAATGATTGAAACGTTATGTGACGTTGTCGAGAAAGAGTTCGGATTTTTCGTGACGAGGTTATATAGAGTGTTTCGCTCCCAACCTTCCGATTATGATGAATCGACGTTGACAGAAGCGCGCTGGAAACGCTGCTGTTGTTGTATACCAACGTTTACGATATTTCTTGCGATTCTAGCGCTTGGTATGATCGGTGTTGTGTTTTTCAGAGTGTACGGGACGAAGGGCAGTTCTGTTATAACAGGCATAGAAATCGCATCTGCTTCGATTGTGGGCGTGGCGGTTTTGATTCACCTGCCCACCCTGTGCTCAATCTTATACTCCTTGGTTTTCTCGCAGAAGAAGCGAATTTCTGTGGTAGCCACACAGCTGGGTTTGAAAGAGGAGGGATTCATCCACGCGCTGAAACAAGAGGTAGAGCTCTTAACAGATTTGGTAAATTGCGTAGATGGATTCACCAGGCATCAGACAAGAGTTGTGATAGTAATTGACGGACTTGACAACTCGGAGCAGTCGAAAGTGTTACAACTTCTGGACTCTGTAAACCTGCTTTTCACTGATCCTGAAGCGCCTTTCATTATATTAATGGCTTTGGATCCTCGAGTCATCATCCGGGCAATCGATCAAAGCTTTAGCAGTATTCTGCGCGAGTCTCATATCAGCGCGTCTGATTATTTAAAAAGCATAGTACAACTTCCATTTTACCTTCCTGAACCCAAGTCTAATTACACCGGAGTGTTGTCGACAGGAGTTGTCACCCTTCTAGATGAACTGAGAGGTGAGCTTCAGACTGATAATCCAGGTGCAGCGGAGCGCTCCAGCATGGCGCGTTCCAGTGTGGCCGTGGACGATCTGGAGTGGGACGGAGAGATGTTGGAATTCAACGAGGGTGACAACTGTCTCCCTCAGGGGCATAGAGTATCACGGGATTTGCATAACTGTAACGGAGGGGTGCCGAGTCGGATCCATCCCGAACTAGAGCTGCATCACTCCATGCTCTATGAGCCAGAGTCTCATGAGGAAGAGCGCTGTTTGGATCATCAGAAGCTTTTGGACCACGAGTTGGAGCTCGAGGAGCGTCGCCGTATCTCAACTGACCTTGCGCAAGTGCTTGCTGACAACGAGACTGTAAATCCTCTCGGCGTGAAACGCCTCATGAATATCGTCTCTTTAACGTGTCGTCTGCTTCGTGCGCGCGGTATTGATTACTCATGGAAGCGTCTTGCAGCCTGGGTCAGTGTAGTTGATGGATGGCCGTATCGGACATCCTGGCTTGTTCTTCTAATCGAGGACAGCAACACCCGTTTGCAGGATAATGTACCGTTGAAGGATCTTTACGAAGCGACATTGTCCGCCATGCCAGTAATCAATGAAGTGGATTGCGCAGTAGACGGAGACCCTGTGTATTTTGAGACTTTCCTCGCCAGTCATCATCCGCTTCTGAGCACGTCTGATGTGAAGCGTTTCCTGCCGTGCACTGTGCATTTGGATCCGTCGTTACGTAGGCAGATGGTAGAGTGTTTGCATTCAGGAACCAGCGTAGCGGGCAACAAATCTGATACTGGTAGCGTTGGCAAGGGAAATCCACATTTGCAGGTGAGGGGGTCGCTAGGTAAAAGGTTAACTTTGTTGTTAGCATAAGTGAATTGGAAATGTGGAAATTAAAATGAGGTACCTTGTGCCTTCTCTGAAATTTAATCTTGGTCCCAAATAACTCGACAGTAACCATGAAAACGTTGCGCGTGGTCTATAAACTGTGCGCCTACTTGAAGCGCAGGTCACACATCTCAGTATTGTTGTTCTTATTGTTCGTCATGTCCACTTTACATTTAATGAGGCCAAACTTTTAATTGCTTTGCTTTGTTCAATGTGCTCGATGAAGCTTGCATGTTTGCGAGCTGCTGAAACTTTAATTATCGAGTTTTGGAGACTATTTAGGATTTGTAGAATTTGAATTAAATCTTTGGTGAATCATGTTGCCACAAAATCATACTTTAACCCTCGTTACACTCAAACTGCTTATTTTTCTTCTCGCTTCCGCTGATCCATTGTTGCAGTAATGCGTTTCCATACCAAGGACTAAACCACTTTTTGGGTCGGTTAACTTTGATCAGAGGTGAGGGTGGGGTAGGTGAAATAAGCCTATTATTTTGCTTGGGATGAATGTTGCTCTAACAGGGCAGAATGTCTCAACAATTTTGTGTAAAATGGTGGATACAGTAAATGGTTTGAACCTGGTGGTTTATTGAGAAGGATTGTTGTCGGTAGTGGTGACTACTAGTCATAACATTGTTGAATTGCTTTCTGCAGCAATGTCGAGCTGCACTCAAGCGTTTTATCCCCACTAAGCGCTGTGCAGCAAGTACCCACAGCTCAATCAATGCGTACTGCAATGCCCAGTGATCAATAAATCATGAGTAAGAGTTAAATAAAAGAAATTCCTCTAACGAGCATGACTGTGTTTCTCTTCAGGTCGGCTCCATAGGAAGATCTGAAAAGCAAACAAGCTTAGCTACTTTAACTATCGAAGATGTTTGCAAACAGGTAGGCGGAACGGGGCTGTTGTTGTAATGTTGGAGCTTAAATAACATGAGAATTTGTCTAACTTGACTGTAAAACGGGCGGTTTTCAATTCCACATACAATTCTTTTGAGGTTAGTTTGGAGAATTTGGTATTAGATCAACTATTCATCCCCTGATTGAAATTTTTCTTTTTCCTCATCACTCGACCGCTAAATATTGTATTTATATCGTAAGGATTCAATTATGGGATTGGAAGGGTTAATGTTATAAAATCGGAACAAGTTCCAGCTTGATGGGCGAGATGGCTTATTTGCATGCAGGCTTTGCCTTCACCTTTGTTTCTTTTTCGCTCTACAGCTCGCTGAAATGGAGGGTTTGGATCAAAAGCAGATATCAACTTATCAGACCGTCGTAACAGAAAATAACATCAACGGTAAAGTTCTGGCGTCGTGCGACTTATCTGAACTTAGCCACATCATGGCGATGACGTTCGGTGATTGGCAGCTGTTCCGCGCATGGATTCTAACAGCTAGAAATCCAAACCAAGAATGTACAACGTGGTTAGTAACACTGTAAATCTATGTCGATCTTTCGCAACTTTTTTTGTTCCGTGAACTTATTTTGATATTCATTGTACAATATTTATCTTTTGCACGCGCTGTTTGTTATTTTCTTTGCTTGAAATTAGTACCTAAAATAGAACGGTACCTACTAAATAGAACGGGGTGTTTCCGATGTTCGGGAGGATCTTCGATCTAATGGATTTTGGATACCTTGGAGTATGGGAGGATATGTGGGAGGATATGTGTTCTGTGTTAGGGCTTGTTTCCTCGTGGTTTTACTCTGTTAAGCAACCAGAGGTGTGGGACTTGGTGAGCGGATATTCCCGGTAAGCCTTGAAGCAGGACCACCGGTGGGTTTCATGCATGCTAAACCCACTACAGCATTATTTAACCAAGCTGGCTGGCTGGCTGGCTGGCTGGCTGGCTCGTGCGCCTTTCCTAGTTAAAGTCTCGCTGCATCATAGCGACTCGTGCATGACGTGCGTTATCTCTCTCTCATGTCTCATCTTCATTTGTGAACATTACAGTCACCTTCATTTTATGTTCACTCAAGTGTCCCTAGTGTATTCATCTGAGCTCCTCCTCGTTCATTTCTTCCAGTCACTTGAGTAACAGATGCGTAAGTCCAGGAGAGATGAATTGCCAGCTGCTCAAGACATCCTCCTCAGGTTAGATAGTTAGCTGCATGCATGCTATTTTGGTGAAGTTTACATCACTGGAGCTTCTCCTGATTTCCGCAGCATTAAGCAACCGGAAGTATTGCTACACTCCATCCAGGCATGCTAGTTGTGGTTCATCATAGTTTACACCACTCTCCGCCCCCACGCTGGTACTCATCTAGACTCCTGGGTGGGGAGAGGTACGGAGAGGGTTTAGAGTATTGCGTAAGATCACTAGACAATGACCTCAGCTAGAGGTCGAACCCAGACCTCTCAACCTAATACACCACTCTGAACAAAAACCCTTTTGCTATTGAACAGTGCTTTTTATTGCTTTGGTAAGATTTTTTAGTTTTTTTTTTTTAAACTTTAAATAGCAGAATCATTCAAGAATACGCGATTTTATTCATGTTTAGTAATCTGTCTTCCAAGACTAATTTACACTCAATCATTTTTCGTGTGTTTTCTTGTTGAAATCTTCAGGGGCATGGGATCACGCCAATCCGCTGACTGCCCCTGGGAGGAACCGCGCAGATTCAACGGAACAAGCTTCACTAGAGTTTCATTCATCGAAAGCCCCGGACATAGTACTACAGCCTCCGTCGGCGCCGGACAGCGAGGAGGAAGACAATAACGGGGAAACGGTTAACACGGCCGAAACAGAACTTGAAAAAGATGAAAACGTAACGAGAATGAATGAGTTATCCGATGGCGATGAAGATGAAGGAGTAGGAAGCTCCAGTGCTGGCTTGAATCAGGTCAAAATTAAGGAAGACAGTGTTCTTATTTCGCTAGAGGACGATATTAACCTCCCACCCCAGCCTCATCTTCAAGCAGCGTTTAAGAACGATGATGATAATGACGACGAGCTCCCTGCTCCTCCCCTTAGCGGTACTGATTTGATTACGTTTAGTGAATCTGAAGACCAACGCGAACGTTCAGACGTTGAGAACGATATTTTTGTAGTTCAGCCGGGTGCTTCGAATGCACAAGGAAAAGCAATTAATACCCCACCAGTCATGGAATGCACGTGTGAGAATCTAAAGCTCATGGAGCCTGTCCAGGAGCGCAAATCGTCCAAGAATTCTCTGTTCTTTGACACGGAAGATAGCGTAGAGGTTGGTCGTCCTGCACCCGTTGTTATTACACTGAACAGAAACGGACCGGTTAAGGCTGCTGTGGCCGTCAAACGAAGCAATAGCTCATCAGGGAGTAGCACAGGTAGTTCCAGTTCAGGTCGATTACCAATTTCACAATCAATTTCTACTGATGTCCACCACGAGAAATCTGCCCCCAGTTTTTCTCCCTCAATACGTCAAAATTCTCTCCCGGAGCCTAGTCACGTAATACGACCCCACTCTGCCTCGGATGTTGTCACTATCGAACATCGGCCCAAATTTTTAAGAAAGAGCCCGCCGGTTGATTCGGACAGCGAACCTGAATCGTTCGCGCAGGCGTCGGATCCGTTGATTCCCGAACCAACGAAAGAAGATAAAGACTTACAGCGCTGTAGTCGTGATTCAAACGACTTTCCACCACCTCCACCGTCCATCGAAGACAGCTCAAATTTCGACCAAGGGGACTGCCCTTGGGTGCCACTTATGAGTCGATTTCAGGTCGAGGCTGGTGGTTCGTCTGTGTCAGAAAGCGAGCAACCGCTGTTACCGGATCGTCGTCCCAGGCCTAAATCGTCAACGGGTGTGATTGAAAATAAAGCGCCCAAATTTCGCACGTATACTCCGAAACCGAAACCAACTTACGTGGAGACGAAAAGTAACCAACATCAAAACCTGAAAAGCGAGACTTGTGTGTGATATGTGGAGTTTTACGGAATCTTTCGGACGACAGCTTTGATTTGACTTAAATTCAGGAAATTTACAGAAGGGTGCAAATGACAGGAGAGCAGTTTGAACAATATGATGGTTGTTATGGTTTACAGGAAGAACCGACCGTGATCTGAAAGCGTTGTATATATTCTAGCGTGTAGTGAGATCAAGTCTAAAATCCACAGACCTGAAGCTAAAATTCATTTGGAAAAGAAATTCGTTGCATCCTTTGACGAGGTCATTCTGTCTCTCAATATTGAAGGTGTGATAGGAATTATTCCATCAAAATGATCAGATTTTTAGAATCGAGTTAATTTGACATTTCTTTTGTTGAACAATTTATTTGAAATTGAAGTGATAAGAAGCGTGTTTGAGATTTAATCTTTTCAGTTTTTTAAAAATTAGGCAAACTTTGAGCTCACCAAGCACCGAATCTTTTACAAGTAAATGATCAAGTTTCTAAGCAATGCTAGGTATCGTGGAATTTTGTTTCCATAGTTTCGATATTCGTTATTTTGATGAAAGAGCGCTTTTCGATTGAGTGTCGTAGAACCAAAAGCAAAGTAGTTCACAACGGCCAATCAGATAAAAGGAAAAAATCATAAAGAGCCAATGAGAACTCAAAGTAGAAACAAGCTAACCGCCTAAAGCGCGGGAAAACGCAGGTGACCAAGTCGTGATTGGTTTTAATTTTGCATCTCATTGGTTGAGAGAGTGGCGCAAGTTTTCTGGACCAATTACAGAGCAAAGTAAAGCAAAGACAAAGCAAACCCGGATTTCTGTTGACTCTCAATTGGAAATTGCTCCAGCAAAGATAATTCGTTCGTTAGATTTCTGGTATTCCGAAAGCGTTATATTTAGCTTAAAGTTCAATGTTTGAACCTGATTTTTATGTACGTTTTTTAATCTCAGTTTTACTATTATATATTTGTGACTGTTGCAAAGGTGAAACCAATGACGTCAGCATATGTAATATTCTTAGTGAACCAATCATAAAACAGAAATATCTTAGCCTAGAAAAACACGGGAAAATAATTGGCGTTAACCAAGGGAAGTGCCGTTTTTCCCCCATCCGATTGGCCAGGGACTCATGTATTAGATCGATTTCAAACTCAATCAAAGTAAGAGCCTAAGCGAGTGATTCTTTTTCGAATTTGCTAGCTTGTTGATATAACCTTGAAGTGACTTCCTCAAGAAATGATTTCTATGGAGTTGCACAACACTCCATCGCAATTGCAGTCTATTTATTTACAGATGTAAGTTTTAAGTTTACAAGCTCGAGAATGAGTTGAGAAAACGAGAAATTATCAATGAAAAACGATCAAACTGTGATGTGTGTGTGGTGTCAATATTTGTGGGTTTGGAAGCAAGGTCTTCTGCAGGGGATGGGAGAGGTTCAAAACAGTCGTTTTCCCAGGATACTGTTGCACGAATTAGAAGTCAACGCCCTTAATCCTTGGACCAAAATCAAATCAATTTCGTCTGTGAAGCCTTAGTTAGTAAAATGATTGATGTTGATACAAACAAGATTCATATCCACAAGAAAGACTTAATGCTTCAAAAGTGAGCAGTATTGTAATCCCGAAAGGACCCACAGACTTCCTTTTCATCCATGCTTCGACAAAATACTGGTGATATTATCAAATTTATGGATTAAACCAAAACGAACTGGGAGAAGATGGAACAAAACTCAGATATCCTTTAATAAGAAAGTACTAGTAAGAGATCAAATGGTACAAAGCCTTGAAATGTTGTTTTAAAATAGATTTATTTGATTTTTTTTGGTGATTACCTTTGTACAACTACCACTACTACAACATAATGAACCCTCGCAATTAAGTGAATACCAAGAACTGCAAGTTAAAGAGCCATAACTGCGACCAAACTTTCCAGTTCAATCGAAGACCAGGACATTGCGTAACAAGGTTCTTTGAACATGCATCACGAGGCTATGTTCACGCTGGTCTTCGATCCACTAAGAGGTGCACACAGTCTAAAGAAGCTACAAATTACGTCACTAAATAAGTTAGCAGTCCCTTAAAATTTTCCTCTAAGTGTTGGGCGGTAAAACGCGATAAATAACCTAATTCAAATTACTCAAGTTTGTCACACAATAAGCTGTTGTCGCAATACAATCGGAAGAAAAATACTCTTGGGAAGTTCTCATAGAGTGGCCGAAAGTCTCCAAACTGATTAACCGATCAGGAAAGCGCACGAGCTGAGAAGTGCCCAAAACTCGGGCCAACAATAATTTCGCCCAAAAGAGGAAGTCTCTTCCAATTGTAAATTTAAATTTTACAATTTCCAAAATTATACTAATCTCTGCTCTTGCCCAAACCAACAAATCGACCAAATTTCTGTCCTCAAATGCGAAACAACTTTCAATTTCATAATGCTACAAACTACTGGAATTACACCTTTGAAAATGCAGACATGAGCTCATGCTACACGAATGCTTGTGAAGGTGTAACTCGTTTTAAAATCAACATAAATTTAATTTACCTTGTCGCAAAAAGAAATCTTAACAATCATTGTAAACTGCAAGGTAATTTCAATTATAAACTGCCGGTGACCAAAGCTTCTATATTTTGTTCAACTCCAACTTTTAACTGAAGAGATATTGGGCGATTATAATAACTTAGAGATCTCTATGTACAGCTAAATCATACCGCTATATTGTTTCAGTGGGTAGACATTGCAAGATAATTTAGAAGACAGTTAAAAAGTTTGAAGAAAAAGAACTTGATTATCAACTCGATTCACTTACAAAAAAATATCCTTATTGCAACAAGCTAACCGCGTTTCAAACGCACCCCTTACGTCATTCCCTTTTTTCCTGTCACCCTTATAACGTCACACAAGCGACTTAACGCCACTAGAATGTTCCAAGACACGCAAATTCGAACCAAGACACGCAACCAAAATTTGATAATACCAAAGTAAATATAATTCCTTCGCAAGGTACGACTAAGGTACGTTTTGAAGCAATCTAACTTCAGATTATTTCTGCTTTTCACATGAAAAAAATCACATAGCAAACCTCAATAAATTGATCAATTCTCTAAAGCAGTGATTCCGAGTTTCGCGATAATTACAGACATGTTCACCTGATAGGTTCCGTTTAATACTTAAGGCCAGCTTATTCGAATTCATATAATCTTCTGTAAAAGAAATTTTTCAAAGGTCCACAACATGTCATTCAATTCTTGGATCGAAGTTATAGATTAACTTTTCGCTTTTTCCACTTCACTTACCACCTCACCTGTCTAACAAACCGAACACAATCCTAGCTCTGTCACATCAACAGTGCAAACCACTATGTCAAACCTAAGGCTTTGAAGTCTTCTACAACTGACAGATCCCTTCGAACAACACAGCTACCTTAACAACTCTTGTGCCCTGAAGTTTTTCCTTGCAAAAGAAATATTTCCAGTCTTTCATTATCTGCAAGTACCCTATCCCAAACTAAGTCTAACGATGAAAAAGAGAGCCAAGGCCTAGAAGTGAGAGCTAGTGAAGAGATTACAAAGCTTTGCCCCAATTGAAGCATTTGATACTCAAAGGTGGTTTCTTTTGCGCAATTTTCACACTATGTATAATTCAATAATTTTTCTCTATGTTCAACCAAAATAATAACAACACCGACAGTTCAACTCACCTTGACAATGATAAAAATAATTTAATAGTTTTCTAGCGTTTGAGGAAATCCCTCAGCTGCTCTAGTGGGATCGTCATAACAGTGCTCGAAGAATATATTTTCTTTGGATAATCAGGTCTCCATCTCCTAACCTGACCAAGTTGAGAGTGAATGAAGAATGATCACCATGGGAACGAAGGAGTGCATGAACTTAGGAGGTAATTTAAAATGAAGTTCAATTTTACTCTTGTTAAATAACAGCTTCGTCTCTGAGCCAGGATGACCGAAGTACTCCGACTATTGACTCCACGGAGTATATTCAATTTGTGCAGGTATCTGTTGAATGATTGACATGGACAAAAACAACCTTCCTAACCAGGAAGATTTTTGTTCTTGCTTTAGTATCTTAATGTGTTTTTTTGATTCAGTTGATCATTGATCCTCTATGGTATCCTTGGCTGAGTCCACAACATGCCACGATAATATTGCACTGCTACTAAAGTTCTCAAACGCCATTTCTTGAAATCTGGAACACATGCCACCTTCTTCACTTCTCAAGTAGCAGTTGTCTTGATACTCATTTGTATTCAGGAGGTGCCTTCTCACCAATCACAACCAGAAGTGTGACAGTTAACGGTCCACTAGTAATATTTCCATGTACTTTTTTTTCAGCGTTTTCATCTTTTAACTTTTTTTTTATGGTATTAAATTAGAATGAAGTCAATTGCTTTACTCAAGTCTTTATGGTTTGTTTCTCCTTCCTAGGAGGCGGCCACTTTATCAGTGGCTACAGATCCTTGTTGAGAACTTTCCCGTTTGCTAACATTCGTTCTTTCCCCGGAAGATGATTTTCCAGAAGTAGCTTTACCAGACGGGGATTTACCGGAAGTGGCTTTAACTAGACCTGCTTTAGCACCTGCAGATTCTGAAGTTACATTTTCAGAAGCATGTTTACTCGCTGCAGCTGTCTTCTTATCTTTTTCATCAGATGAGCTCTGCTTTTCAACTTTGCGTTCTGCACTCTTCCTTCTCGAATCACTACTCTCAGTGCTTTTCTGACCCTTCTTGTCCTCTTTACCAGTCTTTTGTTCTTCCTTTCCACTTTTTTCTTCCTCTATAGTTGTTTTCTGCTCTTCCCTGCTACTGGTGGGAGGATGGTCATATTTGTCACCGTGTGAATTATGCCGTGACCGTGGTTTGTTGCTGTGCGGATCAACTGGGAACTGATTCATAGGCTGAGGGAAAGCGAAAGAAAACAAGATCAATTCTCTCCAAATAACAATACTTGCATACACAACCTCGTTAACCCTTTCACTCCCATGGGTGACCAAGATAGAATTAAACTAAAAAATATCAGTACAATATCAAGCAGCCAAGTGAGGAGAATTAAGGAAAACATTAATTAGGGGATTAGTAGTGAATCCAATACCTAATTCTCTGAGGTAACATCATAAGAATTAAACAGCAGACAGAAAAGACAATTAGCCCATAAGCTGTTTAATTTTTTATAACAATAAGTACTACGGGTGTATAGGCAGTACATTTTACTGATGACCCCTATAAAGAATTGAAATGCAACTGGACTTAATTAATGACTATACCCTACTACCTGTACAGTTCATAGTACAATACTGCAATACATGTATAGTACAGAGAAAGACTGTCCTCTGTGGGGAAGTATCAAGTTTCCTGGATTTGTTTCAATTGTGAGAATGAGTATTCACTTAGACAAGTGCTTAAGGGACAGACTGACAAGCTCTAAAAACTTTTTTTTTAAGATGTATCATTACTTACATCATTCCTGAAGTCATCTATTGTCTTGTACTTATCCAGGCGTTTTTGCAGATCTGGGTCAATCTCAAATCTTGCTTTGCCCTGTAAATAAAAGCAAATATATCAGTGGCAGCGTAACCATAAACTTAACTCCTTACAACACTTTTTTTCCATCATCAAGGACAGGCAACAAAAGACTTCCTTTCTTGACCTGTTTCAGTGACTTTCAGACAAGTCTAAACAACTCCGGCAAATTACAGAAATATTCACTTAGAGTTGACAAACATAAAAAAAACATAAAAAAGACTCTTCAAACTCACTTTGTAATATTTGAGGAATGCCCAAAACTTCTCTAAACCATAAAGGTTCCCTGAAAGTAAATTAAAAATAAATATGTTATTTGACTTTACCATAGTGCAAGTTTAAGAAGATCACTGTGAAATATGGGAAGACGTTATTTGTGCTGTGGACATGATTTCACAACAGAATGCTTTACTACTGAGCAACAGGAGATAGCATTAGCAAGCCAAGCCATTGTATTTAGGAGTCAAAATTTCTCCTCATAACATATTTGCGATAAAACGGAGAATAATTTCTTAATTCAATGTTTCAACTCAAATCTTATCAACTTTCTTATCATTTTAAAACACTATGAAACACCTGCCTAGTCACCAACTGAAAATTGCGTACCTTGGTCATGATCTCTTAACGTTTCTGTCTGGAAATCTTTGAACAAGTCAGCTTTGAACTTCTTTTCAAGGCCATAGCTAAAGAATCTGAAGAGGCACTCCAGGCCATACCTAGAAGGAGATGTATTGAGATAAATAATTCAGAACGTTTGTGTTTCACAGAACAAACCAACCAAGTGTCACAAAAGTTAAGCACAAATAGCAATGTAAATGTAGTTAGATTGTGCAGTAAACTGTCCTGGTAAGAGTACACATAATTCTGAGGACTATCGTTGCTTGTAATTACTGATGTTTTGATCATAGGAGTGCTATGATGATGATTTTCACTAAGGTTGTTGAAATACCAGTCACTACGACCAACAACACTCATTCTTGGTACTACTCTCATCAGGGATGCATTTGCTGAAAGTTCCACTAACTTAACAGCCCATAGCCATATCTTAAAATCAAATTTATAGAACAGATAAGCCAGTTCTGGTACCCCATTGTATAATTTTCAAAAGTTTTGAAAACAGCTTTACAGGCCAGATAAGCAACAAGGACCTTCTAGAAATGTGCCCATAGACAGTTAAGATTACATGATCAAATGTTATCACCAGTTTTGAACCATTAATGATAACAAGTTTGTGGGTTTGAAGCTTTGCGATTGATTAATACAACATTACTGGGAAAAAACTCTGAATCAACTTCCTTAATTTTTTAATTTCCTAGTTAACAAAAGAGAAAGTCACAAGGTCACTGGATAAGAACATTTTCATTAAGGAGCATTAGAAATTTTCCTTGCATACTGTTGATTAATGTTGCTGTCATTAAGATATAAACACACCAAACAAAAAAAAAAAAAAAAAGAGGAAAACAAAGCTGCGATTCTGAAAATAAATTAAACAAAGTTTCTACATCATACCTATAACCAGCTGCAGCATCCTCTACAGCCAGCATTTTGAACTCTTCATACATTCTCCTGGAAAAGTAAAAATGCATTCCATACATCAATTTTCATCTACTGATGTAAAGACAAGTGATGCAAGAGAATCACAAGCTGTCCAAATCCATGCTCTCACCTATTAAAATGTGATCTCAGGAAAAATGACCAGAATCTAAACAAGGTGTTCATTTCTTGAGACTGACCAATTCCAAGCTTCTTCCTCTCTGTAAGAAAGAGCAAAGGTAAGAAGTCAGCATGGTATCATAGTGGTATTAAAAATTCACCATTTTTAAAAGAGTGACAAACCTTTCAGACACTTGTTGTAATATTTATGGTACCGTTGTTGAGTAAACCCATTATCTTGGAGAAGTTCATGTGAAGGGTGCTGAAAACGTGGTATTGGCTGCGGCATTGACCCATAACTTCCAACCACAGAAGTCATACCCTCAGAGACACTGAGGCTTGGACTGAAACAAATTAGACAAACAAACATTAGCTTGCTTAGAGAGAATTTAAAATATAATGATATTAAATCCACACATCTTGTGGCTGTAAAACTAGGTGTACAGCACATGCTCTATTTTTACTAGAAGTCTATTCCACTTTGTCTGACTATGTTGCCTTGCAACACAAAAGAAGGGACTATAAGCAGAACATGACCACAAAGGTAACAAGGACATGGTAATACAATAGATTTAGCCAGCAGAACTATAGCTCAACAGGTGTGATTTGTTGTTCAAAACCTATGCATTTCCTAACCACCCTCCTTGATAAAAAATTTTGAAATCATCAAAATTCTGCCAAAAAATCAACCCAAAAAGACAAATTCCTGCTGCAGGTCAATTATCACTGTGGAGTGCAAGATAAGAAGCTTTACAGACCTTCTAGGTGGCGGATAATCCCGGCTTCCCATAACCCAACCAACATGCTGTTCAACAGGTGGGTTCTGACTGTATTTTGTCTTTCTTTTCTTTGGACCCTGATAACCAAGTTGCAAAAGAATATTAAAAATATAATAAAATCATCCAGCCACCTTTATTAGAAAAAGGTAAAGACCAAACCTTAACATACAATTTACAAATTCAATACTGGTCTAAGACTAAGATATGCAAATTTTAAATTTGGCTTTGTGCTTTTGTTCTCAGTAAACTCTGTATAAACATGCACAAGTTAAGTTTTTTCCCTTTTTTTTTTTTTAATCAGTTTCAAATTTTCTTTTGAAACAAAATCCTTTTGATCAGTATCAAAACCTGATGGAAAACATCTGTAATTTTTATATAGCACAGACATCCACTGTTATAACAGAAAATCAAAATCAGCTTTTGATTCCACTCACCTGGTCACTAAGATTCTCCTTGCTGAATGCAGGGAAAAACCTTGGAGCTACTTTGACATCCTTCCTCTTGGGAGTACGGGATCCATGCCGATTTTCTTGGGTAGGAGACTCGGGTACAGTGGTTGGAAGAGACCTAGACACAGGTTCAGAGGGGGCAGTGTTTGCTCTTGGACGGAACACTTCAGCTGAAGGTGATAATGTAGCATGAGGAACTGTTGTGACAGGAGGGCTGGGTGGAGGGAACTCTGCCTCAGTGAATGAACGAGCTCTTTGAGGTTCCAGGGCATCACGCTGTGTGTTAAATTTGTCCTGACTGACTAGTTCTACGCGTTTCATTGATGAAGAAAGAACCATCTGTGGACAGCAAGAGGGGCAAAAACTTCAATAATGTGCCATTCAAGTCAACTTATCTGATGCACAATTCAACAACTGAGGAAGTTGGGAACTTCCAGACAGAATTTTTTTGTCTACAACAAAACAAACATGTTACCTTTCTATTTAGATAACTGTCATCACTATCATCCCAAAGATCCTGCAAGCAAATTCACAAATATTTAAACATTTCAGAAAATTATAAAGTGCTCCTCAAATATCATGAAAACTATCAACTCCTCCAGTGCTAAATTTTACTCCATCTCAAATAGCAAGCTGGAATTTAGTTCAGCCCTCCACTATGAACTGTAAAAATGCGCCATACCTGCTCATAATAATAAAGACCATCATTAATTGCTTTAGAGAGCTCCTGCGTCATTTTTACTCTGGTGACATAGTTTCCTGTCCTGTCATGTTTCTTAATAGGAGGTGGGGTCTGCGTCACAATCATTATTTTGTGTATGTCTTGATCGTCAATTTCGTCATCTGAATCATCATCCCTAATAAAAAAATAAATAGTTCCTTTATTATAACCCTTAAACTCCAAGAAGTCACTGACAAGCAACTTCTCCCTATAATATCCATGCAATACTCAGCAAACAGGTGATGAGAGTACTATATCAGGTGTAAGTTGCTATCTTGATTAAGATGCAACTCTAGATCTTGGAAATTAACTTAAAATAAAATGTGTAGCCACTAGAGGGGTGAATTAACACTCAGATCTTTGGAGTTGGGCTATAGCTAGCAATTAATTTCATCTTGTTCTCTCTTCACCAGGATCTTGCTAAAAAAAGGCCACAAAATCTCTCTATAAGATAAATTTACAAAGTTGAGGTTTGCTACCCTCTCATTTTTTAGCTCAGTCAGCAGCCAGGTTTTACAAAGTATCAAGTACATGGTTACCAACCAGACACAAACAATGCCCTTCCAGAGATTACTTACCAATCAGAGGAGCATATTGTTGGCTGTTTGCCTTGGTGTTCTAGTTCTTCATCAAACTGAAAGTCTAGCTCTTCTTGGTCATTGGTGAAACTGCTCACCTATGGGAATGAAATCCAAATTAATAAGTAGGACATCCACAAAGCTGCAATTTCTTTCCCAGGAATATGTCTCCTTGAGATAGTTATTACACTAAGAACCTATGTGCATGATACGAACCAAAGACTTACAAACAACACACAAAATTTGATGCTTCTTTACATTTTATTTAAATTAAAGTTATTTACAAATTGCCATCTTGTTGACACAATCATCAGTTCTTTATCCACTTTAAACTGTATTTAGGAAATTGACACCTTGACTGATTCAAACAACAATTGAATGTTAATGTTTCACACCCCACTAACCTTAGTATCCACTGACTTTGTTGAAGACGGTTTGCGTCTTTTTACCTCTGTCCAAGCTTCAGGATCACGCTTGTTGGTTTCTACAACTAAATAAACAAATTTCCGAGCTTCAATTAAAAAAACTACCTGCAAATTCTTAAATAGCAACATTCGTGATAGGAACTTTCTTGGAGAATAAATCTCCATCTACATAATGCACTTGAGCAATGATAAGTAGCACAATCACCATACCCACTTCTGTAACATGTATGGAAAATGTGAAAATTGCTAGTTTGGGACAAAATCACTTCTTTAGGTTTGTTTTAAACTTGCATCTACTATTACAACTGATTTATTTCAAACTATTTTATTTTTGTCACATTTGATTCAAATTTGTATTTACCCATAATCCCTTGTGGGTGTGGTCTTTTTCACAACTAATCAATCTCGAGTTCACTGACACAGTAAAAAGTAGAAATAATAACATTTTGTTTTACATGGAGGCTAGTATCTTCTCAGTGAGATCAACTGGCACTCTAAAAACTGACTTTCCGCCTCTTTTTACAACTTGAAGATCACATCACCATTTTTCTCTTGGAAATTCAGCTCTCTTTTTGCGATTCTTTTCAATATATTTTAGATTCCTTAGCCTATTCTTTTCCTGCTTTTTCCTCCTCCACTCTTTGATCCTCGCAAGCTTTTCTTCCTTTTCGTTAACCATAACTCTTGTGAAGCGCACTTGAAGCGATATTTACAGATTGCTAAATCTCAGAAAAATTATTGAGCTTGAAGACGCCGTGACCCTTGATAACATTGCAGAAACCCCCAAAACAGGAAAGGTTACCAAGCTGTTTTCAAGACAGAGATGAAAAGATAAGGCGAAAATGGCGGAGCAAACAGCAGATTTCATAGCGCTTTTGGTGGCATTTGTGGCAAGACTCAGTTCTCAATATGGCGTCAACATGGTAAAAAGCATAGCGACTTGGTCAAAAGTGAATAATTTGGCCGTTTCTAAAGATATGGACCCAAAACTTGGAAATGACAAGAGAAACTTGTGAGCATTGAAGTGCAATCGATTTCGAAACCCGACTTTGCCGCGTTTGAAGTATAGTGGCAAAGGAGAAGGTAAGTCGATGAAAAATATTACGTAATCAGGTTTTAGAAAACTGTAGCGACTGTTTTACACTGATATTTCTCCGTTTATAGTCAATCCTTTAGACTGATTTTTCGCTATTTTAGAACACCAAGTATGAGCATTTGGTTGATGTGTTTTTGTTCCCACAAGATTCCAGTTCAGTCAATCTGCAGACAACAACTTGGTGTACTTCCAAATTATGAAACCCAGCGTTACACAAAGGATACTTAGGAATGATGAATCTTTTCTATGCATTTTAATAAACTTGAATCTATACGTTTTAATAAACTTGAAATGTCAAAGTTTTGCTCAAATGTAGTGTTTACTGTGTGTTATCATTAGGTGTAATTTGTTTGCTCAAACGAGCTTTCTTTTCACTGAAAAATGTATTTCAAAAATTTTACCACCGAGATTGTGTTATGCATTACAACTAAAATTGGCTTGATTTTTCATCTTTCACAGATATTGTTTCGAAGACAGTAATGTGGTTTTCTGATTTTTTGCTTTTACAATAATCAATAAGAACAACTTTACCTGTAAGCAAAGATTTGGCTTCAATGAAAATGTAAAACAGAAGAAATCATTGAAAGTTTGCAATCAACCGCCTATAGGCATGGTGATTGTGCTACTCATCAAGGGGTAGCTCAGTTTAGCAAACAGGAAACTACTGGATGTTTTACCTCTCAGTTCAGAGTCAAACTGCTTGTCCTCTTTGACAGATGCATAACTGTTTGAGTTAATGAACACCAATCCATTCTGCCCTTGTTTTACAATCTCATTGTTCAATCCACCATCAGTGTGTTCTTGTTTTTGTACCTCCATGCTATTCTGCACCCCAATCTCTGCAAATTTCAATTCATATTTACATTTAAATCTAAACATGAAACCTCTGGAGATAACCTTTAATTCTACATTTGTTTATATTATTTTTTGGTTCCATGAAAAAAGGAGAAAAACAAACATAAGTAAACAACAGTGTGTCTCTTTCCTTACAAAAATTTTAATGGTTCAAATTCAACTGGAATTTGCTGCTGCTTTCAAAGTAATTAACAGCAAAACATTGCCACTCACGCTGAATTCAAATTCAACCAAAAGCTGAAAATTTAAAATTGTACTGAGTGTTACCTGCTGGGACATGTTGCTTCAAGGAAGGCATGGGCTCATAAACATGCGTAATGGTGTTTTCAACTGAAATCACATCAGTATTTGCACAGATTAGGTGGCTACCTTAATAACAATGTTGCGATGAAGTTAACCGTATTTTAATGTCACAAAGTTAATAAAAAGTGTCACCGAATGTGTGATCTTTTTAGAAACTGATGTCCAGGTGCCACCACCTAAGAGTTCTGAACAACTTAAGAGTAACCAATACCTACAATCATCAACAAAATGTTTGGGACACATGCCTTTGACAGAGCTTTGTGATTTGCAACAGTTGGTCAATAACAAATTCAGTGAAGAACTGACTCAGTGTTAAATCTATTCTCGAACAAAACACAATTCATTACTGATGTTAAGTGAAAGAAATAAAATACCTGTGACTGGTTGGTCTGGAGGGATGGCCCATATAGCAGGGTTATCTTTCTTCCTTATCTTGCCATCAATAATTTCAACAGCTTCACTGCCTCTCAGCGCCTGTGAAATATTTGCTATTAGTGGCTCTTCAAAGTATAACAAAACATCAGGGAAGTAACAGAAAAAAAAAGCTTTGAATCATGCCAGACCAGTAATAGATGAATGAAACATAATGCTATGGATGGGATGAGAATTCACTTTCCAGAAAATTAATGAATGAACTATCTGAAAAAGGTTAAAGGGGACTAAATATCTTTAAAGTACATTTAAGGTGAATACAATTGTGGTTTAAGGGTCGGTACTTTCACCTGGACCCACATCATGTTATGATATATGAAAAATTGTGTAATTTGACAAAATATCTCATCAAAGGCTACCCTCAATTCCTGCACATTGTGTTTACAAACCTCTAGAATGAGATTAACATCCTGTGTGAGGGCCTGAACCCTATAAAAGCTTGCAATAAGTCCAATAGGTATAAAGCCTTCAGAGTCCATCTGAGCATAACAGAAAAATAAACATACGCAAGTGTGAATTGACATCGAAAATCAGTTTAATTTTGTGAAGACATTAAATTTTTTGCTTTAAATGTGACCAATTATTGATAGGCAATTATTACCTGGCGTCTCAAGAATATGTCTTTAGTAAGATTCTGTTCACTAAAGTAATACTCTCTGTAACAAAATAAGAAAGAATTATTTCAGTGAAACATTATACACCATCACATCTGCAAGATCCATGATTTTACACAACTCCTCTTTTTTATTACTACACTTACATCTGGTTCTTAATATATTCTTTGAGTGTCATCTCATCCAAAGTTATAGCAGTGGCGGCAGCAGCAGCAGGGGCAGGGGCCGGGGCAGCAGGTGTGACAGGCATATAGTTACCAGAGTTATAATAAAAACTAGTGCTGTATGGCTGATTTGCAGCATACTGGGGCTGTGCATAATAAGTTGTTCCATTGTACATCTGATAGCCAAACTGATGACGGTATGCTGGGTTGTAAGGCATTTGCTGATGACTACCATCCCCTGAAGACAACAACAAAAAAAACATCAGCCAATGCTAAACAATAATTTATTTCAAATCTACTACCAGATATGAAATTTTTGACCCACTCAGACTACTGAACAATCAGTCCAGTTTAGAAATTCTGCTGAACAACTCCTAGTGAGTTAATAAAAGAAAAAAAACACACACACACACAATCTCATCCATTAGTATTTACCCATTCAGATTTAGACATTGCCTCGCCCTGCTGTTAACTCTCACAAGGACTAGAGGTAATAACATGTCCACCCCATTAAACACAAGAGACATAGTGATGCTAACGAGCTGATGATATCTTCCTGAAGGATTGTTGAAGCATCAGTCACTACTACTCTCACCTGAATGATCAGGCTACAAGATAAATTAAAGACTGATAATGAGCTCTATCTTCCATGTTCCAAGTGTCAGTCATTTGCTTTTCCAATAAAGCAAGATGCTGACCTAACTCCTCTCACTTATAGATTTTAAGAGATCTTCCACATGCAGTTGTGTTTGTAGGAATGAACCATCAATCTTTTGTTGTCTAGTCACTATTTAAATACCCACTGTCCAATCAGTTTCACTACATTCAAATAACAGGACACAGCGCAAAACTAAAACACAGCACCTCTGGGTGAACGTCGTCCTCGTCCTCCACGTCCACCTCTTCCTCCACCACGTCCCCCTCTGCCACCCCTCACAGGAGACACATTGCCTGGCACATGTCCTGGACTGAACCTTGTGGTGGGTGACTTTGTCGCCTTGGGGTTAACAGTTGTTGGTGAGGTGGCCTCAGGTGATGTGGGTGATTTTTCCACTCCCGAATCATTAGCAGAGTTCTCTAAGGCACTTTCAGCACCTTCTAAGTTCAGTGGGACCCATTTATGTCTTCCACCTGGAAGCCAGATACAAAAAAAAAATTGTCAATGATTCAACCCGCAACCCTGTAAGGGATAAACGCCAAGCAATAGAAGCAAGTCTAGAGTATTGCATATTAAGTTTACTATTAAGGTGTTACAAAAATTGTTCACAAACCATCAGATGAGAACAGGAAATAATTTGTTGAGTTTGATTTTTTTTAAGCCTTAGTCATCATTGTAGAGAAAAAATTATAAGCAGAAGATGGCTTTTCAACTTAAAAAGTGCCACACATTTTCCTGTGCATCATTGACATTAAAAGTAAAAATTTATCACGGGACATTTCCTTCTTAAGTGTTTTTCAAGATGTACATGCATTATTGTCTTAATACTGCCAGGAATAATAACATGAAAAACATAACATTTCCTTGCTGTAAATTTACCTTTTACTTTTTCATTATTTGAGATTATTTTAGATGGTGATTGCTACTTCTGTTTTTGTCTTAAAGAATATTTAACAAATGCCAATGGAAAAAAATGAAAAAGAAGAAAAAGAACTATGCGGTTGGTCTTGTGTTGATGACCAACAGTTTCACTAACAAGTACAGAAATATCACAGATACTAGCTAATTATTTAACAGCAGTGATGGGGAAACAAAAGAAAGTGAAATGAAATCCATAACCATCATATGATATTTCTTTGCAGTATGAATTCTCAGTTCTTTTCAGTTGTTTTTCTTCCTTAGGCTAAACAAGAATAACTTCATTTCCTAAAATACTTCTTTAGGTAAAAAAAATCAACAGCTGTCAATGTGTGTAAGATTTTGCAATAGATATGCATTGAAGCAGAGACTAGTGGACACTCTTCAATGTTGGCAGCTAGGCAACCAAGGAAAAGAAAAACTATTTAATTATTTTTTCCTTGCATTGTGATCAAGTGTCAATTTACAAAGAAAGATATACTTTGAAAGCAATATTTAGAAGAAACATGTGTACAATACCCTATGAAAACTACAATAGAGATGTTCAAACAACAAAAGTTTTGCCATATTGAAAGTAAACTTTGGCAAAACTAGATTAAACCTTTCAGACTAAGATTTAGAAATTATAGACCTGCTGTTAGAAAGTTGGATTATACCAGCACACTTAAATCATGGACCAGCAGCACAGAAAAAACCACATGTAGTGGTGAATTAACGATTAATCATGTTATTACCATGTTCTGCACTTTGCACTACTTTCAGTTTGAGAAAAGTTTCCTAAATGGCCCCATTAAGAAAGGATCAGTTACTCAACCATATGGCATAAATCTTTCATTTTACAGCAAAATATCTTATGGTGAGAAACTGCAAAAAATCACCTTTGAGTAAAGAGAGATTCGCTAATGATGCTCAACAAAGCACCACAATGAAAGAATTCTAACATGAGAAGTAGACTTCAGAAGCCATACAATTTTTAACCCACCACTAAGAAGTGTAAATACAAATTTACTACTTGTTGCATCTCATGATTCTTAGGAGTATCCTGACCAATCTAAAATTGTCTTCAAATTTTCTTTTGATCACAGATGCTGCCATTTTAAAATAATCAATGAACCTGGCTACAGAAGCAAAACCACAACTCACAGTTCACAAAGATGAGAGAAAACAAAAAGAAAATAATTCTTTCTCAAGTCAAAAGTGTCTTTCCATGCAGCTCTAAAGAGCATCCAATCACCAATTACAGAAAAAAAGTGTAATACCTCCAGAGTCACAAGGTTGTTGAGCAGGATTCAAGATAGCAGCATCAGCAGTAATAGGGGTTTAGTAGGGGTTTCAATAATTTTTTCAATAAAGGGTGGCTGATGATGTGATAGGTAGCTGTGACCAGAAAAAAGTTGGTAAAACCCAAACATAAGAGCCAGCTTTAAAGCCAGACAGACAATGATAAGAGTTCTAATAAGCAGTGGTAAACTGCTAGTAACCAGCTTTTAATGAAACTACTGCCATTGTCAACCTTTATGAATAACTTAAGACAACTATTCTTCAAATTTGGTTTGTTCATAATTTCATACACACTTTTTAGGACTGGTGAAAAAAATAACTCTTAAAACATTTTACAAGTATGTGACCTAACACATTTTGAGTGTTGCAATAATTTTCATGACAACAAATAATTGCATGGACAACTGAACATTTTGGTGGTATAAACCACCCTGACTAGTGATTTAAATTAACCAAACATATTGGTAATAAACAACACCTTAGAGATAATTTTCATTGTAACCAGTAAGCCAGTTTTGGTTTCATAAGACACAAAAATTGCTGACAACATCTCGATTTCTTCATCGACTTGTTTATCCCATAGACTTAAGAAAAATCATTATGATGCATTTAAAGCTATAGTGAACATGACACCTGACTGGTGTTCCTGTTATGCAAATGTAATTCATAATTGGAATAGTCTCTTCAAATGTATCTTCCCTACACATAATTTGCCAGATGCACATAACAAAACTGTCTGGAAATAAAAGGCTTCCAAAAAGTTGAAGAAGAAAGGACAGTGTACAAAGGAACCAAATACTTTAAGTAAAACCTAGGCTACCACAGTAGGAATTAGATGTTACTATTTCAAACCACTGCAACAAATATATGGGGTAAATATAATTGCAATTTGGTGCCATAACAATACAAAAAACGCTAAACTAGATTAAAATTATACTAATCAGGTTGTAAAATCATTGACCATAACCGTTTTAGTGAGAGTCAATTTCAAATTTTAATCTCTTAGACTGTTGCAATTGTTAATAGTCTGTTGTGGTGTATACAAAAATTAGCATGCACAGACATTTAGAATCTGGTGGGAATAAATAAAAGAGCATTCAAACAATTTATTCAGATTAAAGAAAAAAAAGTTTATATAGGAAAGCATAGGGTATGAATACTTGAAAGTATGTGTACGGCAAACGATATTTAAATTCGTATAAGAAAATGGTCAAAAATTGTGAGCGAAACTTGAACTAAACAAAATTCCGAGCGTTAAAGGTCAAACTAAACCCAGCAGTATCTTCCCGAGATAAAATGTTTCTTGGATTATGCTGGCTTAGTTGTTTTCTCCCGTTGTTATCGAAAGCTATAAACGAAATACAACACGCGTGAAGTCTATTTTGGGAAGTGTAGGAAAAGGGAATAAATTTAAACACTTCTATGCCCAAAGAAAAAGCCCTACTTCAGCCAAAAGATACAGCTCATTAATATTTCAAACAAAACCATTCCTAGTTGGTGGCCGCAGCGACAATGTTCTTATGTTTGCAGAGAGCACTTTAAACGTGTGTAATTAGATCACAAAACCTTTTTTCTTCGGCGTGGTTTTCTGGTTTTCATCGTCTCCAGACAGTTCGTTTTCAGCATTTTCTTTCTTGTTAACAGAGGCCTTCAAAAAAAAAATAAAAAAAGATTGAAAAACAAACGTTCAGTGAAATCAACAAAGCAAGTTGGTCGTAAATATACAAGGCTAAACATGAAACACAAATGCACATCTACATATCGTCCCTGCCGTAGTGATATTATAATTTGCGTTACCTTTCCGTCCTTAGAGGAAGCCGTAGATTCGCCAGGAGTTGGCCAATTTGTGATATCCGTGAACTCACTGCCCTAAAATTCAACAGACAGCAACACCTGAGCAAATGAATAACCCGCGTTGTGGCTCCATTGCGAGCATGTAGCAAACTAACCACCAACCCTATACCCCTGAGTTTCACTTACCTTGCCCTTGCGTTTAGCGGCTTTCACAACAGTTGGTTTCGCAGCTTCTTCTGAAAGAGATATACACACAGGGACTAAAAACGAGTTGTTTAAAAAACCAGTGGACGTAAAGGAACCTTTTCCTTTCGTACCTTTTTCGCCATTGCTTTTCAAGTGTCTTGTCCAAGGATTTTTCGGCGGGGGAGGTACTTCCATAGGATCATTGCGATTCCCCTCTTTCTGCGAAGTGTTTTCGCTTGAAATATCGTTGTCTTCTACTGCAGCAGTATGGTTTTCGACTTTGACGTGTTCTTCATCATGTCCACAACTGTTGTTAACTTGATTTTTACCCTCCACGATATCAAGTTTCGTCTTAGGAACGCTTTCGACTTCAGTCATAATACGGAGTTGAACGTGTTGTTACGTCGACGTATTTCAAACAATTCCACAAGGCAACCTTCAGCCGACGAACAACCTTGAACCCCACACACGAAGAGCAGATAGTCTCAGATTGTGTCCGCGAAGGTTTCCTGCGTTCTTCCAAAGGTAAACAACCTAAAATATCAGGCAAATTTACCGCTTTTCTTCACCATTCAGCCATGTGGCTAGAGAGACCGAATCTTGACTCCGCAAAACCGTAGTAGCCATGCGCGGAGCAAGTGATCAGGACTGCGAATGGACCAATCAGCTTCGACATTAGAACAAAGAAAGGAAATAAATAAAAGCTTGTCTTTGGGTCAGTCACAGGCTGTACAAATATGAAAGGACTACCCGTGCTTAGATGAAACATTAAAGACAAAATAATGGCGATACCTTCCTTACCTGTTGTATTAGAAACGTGAAGCGAATTTCTCGACGCCTTATAGCTCTAAGACGTGGAATACTCTAGCCAAACAAAAGAAATCAATTTGTCTGACGGTTTTTTTTTTATTTACGAGACATTTACATCAAAGTGCTTCTTTAAAACTATAGGCGAAAAGTTTGATTATCTTGTCATGAATATTCATTACTGTTTTCTGACTGTTGAAAGCAGCTGTTTTCAACTGAAGAGTGTTTTCTCACCATATTATCTGAATTTCCGAAACTGGTACGACTGGGTCGGAAAAGGATTTGAGTCGGTCATAAGCTTAATTGGAAACAAATACTAAGTAAATTATGCGACAGATTCGGGCTTCAGGCTAATCGTGCACTTTAATCGACTGGGGGATGCTTTAATTTTTTTGTGTGTGAAAACTCAAACAAGGGCAGTCAGGGAAAAGTTAGGACGGCTCATTTAAATTTTATCAGTCACCGCTCTTGATATTGAATTGACCTCTTTGGATGATCAATATCTGCCTAAATATTACAACTCGTAAACCTTTAGATCACCGTAAAAAAATATAGTCTAGTCTGCGCTTTTCCTCTTGTTGAAACGTTTCTTGAAATTATCAAAAAAGTGTACTACATCAAACTTGAGTTAGGATGCACAAACGGTTAACACAATCTCATGTCAAATCAGTTTTCCTTAGCTGACTGCCCATGCATCAATATTTGAGTTGTGATACTATATATCGGGCTGTATAAAATATACTTTAGTATCTCTACACGTGGGGAGTGCACTCAGTCACGCGGCCATTCCCGAGAAATTCATAGCTAGGGGATCAAAGTTCCAGCAAATTTTTCTAAGATGAAGTAATTTCGTGTTTCATGCTTTAATTTTATTTGTGTCCAAGTCTGCCCATTTACGTTTGTCATTATCTTAGAGAAGGTTGCGGTTATCCATCGGGGTGACTACCCTTACAATGACGTAGAGCTCGTTTGTCTCAAAATGTTATCATTTCCGGAGTGGATCGTAGCGTTTCGACCGCATTTGACATCGAGTCTTCTTCAGGTGATAAGCTTGACAGGATACGCGACACCTTACAAACCACTGCGCTTAACTGTAACTAGCTGGTACTCAACAACTGTGATCACAGGCAGCCCAAACTCCAGCTGTGAGATGACCATCTTGCGTTATTAGAGTCATGGCGAAAATATAGCAGTTACTATGGGAATATTTACGACCGCTCTTAGGAAGTAAAATGCAGACAGGTTTTCAATAAAAAAAACAGCTCACCTTACTTCAAAAGTGCATCGCTTGTTGTCTGACCGCTTACTATGTTGAAAAGAAACCATTTTAGCGAGTTATCCATTTCTAGGTTTACTACTTCTAAGAGAAGGGCTCCTTCTCTTAGGAGCAGTAAATCTAGAAATGGATAACGCTCTAAAATGGCCTCGTTGCAACAAAGTAAGCGGTCACAAAACAAGCAATGCTCTTTGAAAGGAAGGTGAGGTATTTTTAATCGACAATTTGACTCTATTTTTTATTCCTAGGAGGGGTCGTAAATATTCCCATACAAACTCTTATATTTTGGCTATGACTACTATTACGCAAGATGATCATCTCACTGCTGGAGCTTGAGCTGCCTGTACTGTGATTAGCCTATTTGAAAGCGGAGCTCGCAGCGCGCGCGAATGGCGCAGCTAAACACCATTCGCAGTTTAAAAAAGTTGGTAGCCAATCATGAAGAGAAAATTTCGTAAAAAAGGACCCTGCTACCGACCGTCTGTACATGACGCTACTTTTAGCATGCGCGTTCAGGCCCACATCCACACTGCCACGTTCCTCGTGTTCATCGGACGACTTTGACTTAATTTTTATTCAACCAATCATATGGTTGAGAAAATAAATACAATTGTACAACCATTAATTTTAACCACTGTTCTGCGGCATTTTGTAACAACTACTCATTTTGTGATAAAGGTGGCAACATTTTGATTGAAGTGGATGCCCATTTCAATGGAAGTGAAGTTTAACCTTTGTTTGCAAGTAACGCAAGTAACGCTATATATCAAAGTTGTAGCCCTATATTCTGTCTATACCCAAATAATGAGGCCTAATAGTCATACCTTGTCACTAATTTAATAATATCATTTTTCCTTACTTGTTTGTATGTTTTTGTGACAGTTGATATTATTAAAATTTGAGTCACGGTGTTGTCACAAATTGCGTCGACAAACAATTACGACAAAATGATGCAGTTCTTACACCAAAATACGCAAACTATTACAAAATGCCGCAACCGTAGTTACAAAATACGTAGGTAATTACAAAAGGCGTCGTCATTACAACATGACGTTGAATCACCACCTTTATTACTATCGATATTCGTATGAAATCATGTGTACATATGGAGAGTCTTACCATTCCCTTCAAATGAAATAATTATATTTAACATAACCTTACGCTCTCAGGCGTATAAATACAGGTTTTGGTTTAACTCTTTCACTCCCAAAATCAAAACCTCAATTCTCCTTTCAGTTTTCCATTCATTTCTTTCAATTTTAGAACTGAGGATTTGGTGTTGGATCAAACCATGTCACCTGGTTGATAGTCTTCGTACCTGCAAGTCACCTTTCTACATGAAAAGGTATCGATACTGTGAGGAGAAATTAATTTTTGGTCACTTCTAGGAGTGCAGGGATTAACATACCTATGATGTCTTGCATCCTTTCTTTAACCAATTTCGAAGCTAAATTTCCAATTTATCCAACACTAAAACAAGCTATTTTAAAAGTATGATAAAAGACAAAATAACTAATTCTCAAACTACCCTAAATCTTTGAATAAAAACTACCCTAGAATTGGCACCCCTTAACCCTTTAACTCTCAGAAGTGATAAACATGTAACTTCTCCCTGAAGAATTCATACATTACCTTGCAGACAGATAGTGAGATAACTCAAACTTATCAGGTACAAGATATTATCTTGATTGAACACCAAATTCTCATAACCAATTTACATGGAAATGTGGAGCAGCTAGAGGGGAGAATTACCAATCAGGTCTTGGCAGTAAAAGGGTTAAAATAACCTCCTGAAGCTTGCAATTGCACTATTTGCAAATTTGCTTCTTTACAACATGTTCCTTTTTCAGTTTGGCAAAATGCAAGGTTTTAAAACAAGGAGCTGCCCTGTTATTTTAAAATTCATGATTAACTCTGCATTTTAATACACAGTCAATGAAGTCATCTATGAGCTCTCTCTATGGAAAAAAAATTCAAATTTGAGAATACCTCTACCTTTGCAATACAAAAGAAAAAGGAAAACAATTTCACGGAGTGACATTAAGTTGAAAAGTAAAACACTATATCATTTCTATCGAAAGGTCAACCCTTTGATATCAAAGACTGACCAGCATCTAATTTCTCCTTGCAATATCACCACCGAACACACATTGAGGTGACAAGAAGAAAGGAAATAATCACCAAGTAAAGAAGCACTTGATTGTTATACAAATTCTCCTTGTCAGCACCTTAGGAAATGTACAGAGAACAGTATGGAGAATTTATACTTCCTTGTCTCAAAAACTGGGTGTTCTATGGGCTGGAAGCCATACTTGATAAACTCTAGTCTTGACTCAGTCATATAATTATTTACAGTATGTACTTTAAAGGGGCTGAGTCACCTAACATCTTAATATTTCAACTGACCATTAGCTATGGAATATATTAAAATACCATCAAAACAGCTCAGACCTTGAACTCTCACAATCTAATCTGTGCTTTTTATTACTTAATATTATTTTTGTCATTGTAAAGTAGTTTGGATCATATTTTTAATATCAAGATGATGCTCCTAAGCAGATACAAATTGTCTATTTCCCCCACCTAGTTTGAGGGAAAATGTACTTATGACATAAGGAGAAATAGCAATAAAAATTTGAAATATAATTCTTTGTAAGCAAACAGAGGCAAGACTAGAAAAATTTGGAAGCTGAAAACCAAGTTAACTTGGAAAAACAAAGCACAATCTTTCTTCAGTTTCATGTTGCTCATCTTGGGTAAAAAAAGTCTTCTAACATTCATCAGAGGTAATATTAAAGTTAAGGGGTTCATCCAAGTCTCTGTAACATCACCTTGGATGCAATGCTGGTTCATTGCAAGTTCCCCCCACAACCACACCCCCCCCCCCTTCATTTCATTACTTTTCCCTAACAGTTCCATAGAAACCATTTACACCTCTAAGAAAAGGGATACTGCAAGAGTAAAGTACCATACACAAGAACATGACACAGATCTGGTCTGGGATTGGAGCCAGATATTCTGGCCCAAAGTCCAGCTGAACTATTTTTCATCGTATCTTCCACATTCAGAAATGTTCTTTTTGTAAAATGTTTGCTATTCTAATTCTAAGTTTAGTGCTCACAATTAAAAAAAACAAACAAACAAATAACAAAACAAAAATAAAACTAAATAGCTGAACAAAATGACCTTCCTTACTCTAGTCTACATTGCTTTTAGGACCTTCCTTACTGTTGTCTACATTGCCTTTAGGATTTTCTTTTGATTATCTAATGGATAAATGCAAGGAACTGGATATTTTCTTTCTACTTGCATGATTTTACAACACTAATACTCAGGGTTGTCACTAAGCACCAGCTGCCTGCAAAAAAATGGCCAGTAGTCACTTGGTGAAGCACAACAGGCATGTACAACACATACATACAATTGTTCGATATCAAACACTATCATTGAGCTGCCTTACTTGAATTTTCAGCCACCAGCCTCATTTCTTAGCTACAACCCTGAGCACATCACACTCCTAAGCATGTCACTGCTTTCCTTTCTCTGCAAGATGTATGTTATCATTGGTTCTGCTTTTCCCTTCATAGTAACAGGTCCTCGCTTTTTGAACACAAAGTGATCATGTGGCTGGCACAGCAGCGATCTGAAGAGAAAGAAAATGACAAATTGTAGTCATTAAATAACCTCTTCACTCCCAGAATCTAAATACCTTGATTTGTGATCAACATGCAACAACATGCAACAACATGTAAATTACTATCTAAATTTAAATTCATTATCAAATTAATAATAGCTGATGACTGAGGAAGGGGAAGGGAAAGGCCAAAATCCCTGCTGATGGAATCTCTTGGGAAGGAGGGAAAAGCCAAAATCCCTGCAGATGGAATCCTTGGTGTAGCATCCCTGGTGGATTCAATAATAACTACTGGTGACTAAGGAGGGAGGAGGGGGAGGAGGGAAAAGAGAAAAGAGAAAAGGCAAAACCCCTGAGGGTGGTATCCCTAGGTTGGGATCCTTGGAGAAGGATTCAATAATTATGGTTGGTAACTAGGGAGGAGGGAGGGAAAAGGCAAAATCCCTAGGGTGGTATTCCTGAGGGTGGATCCAATAATTACAATTATTGGCTTTGACAATTGGTGACTTATTAGGGAGGAGGGAACAGCCAAGCTCCCTGCAGATAGAATCTCTGGGGTAGGATCCCTAGGGGGTATGATGACCAAGGAGGGGAGAGGGAAAAGCCAAAATCCTTAGGGGTGGTATTACTGTGGGGGATCCGATAAACATGGCTGGTGACTGAGGAAGGGGAATGAAAGGCCAAATTCCTTGGGGGTGGTATCTCTGAGGGAGGTGCTCAAAGTTTGGGAGGGGGGAATGGGGCTTTAGGAGACAAAATATGGGTTGGTTAACCTATAAACCTATAACTCAAACTCATTAATCCCAATCAGTGACAGACCTGTAGGCATATTCTGTCACATTTATCTTTCCTCTCAGTCCAGTAGTTTCTGTGCGACTTGTCAGGTTGACAGTGTTTCCAAATAGACAGTAGCGGGGCTTCTTCTGTCCAACAACGCCAGCCACAACCTCCCCAGAATGAATTCCAATTGTGATCTAACATGAGAAAAGCACATCTCTTGGAGTTCACACATAAGTTATCACTTTAACTAAAATAAAAATAATCACACTTTGAACAGCCCCAATTCCATGTAAGCATGATTGCATCTGCTGACTTTTAAAGACATACTATTACCTGCATCTTTCTACCACGTGCATTCACTTCCTGAACAATGTCGATCATGTCAAGAGCAAGATTTGCAATGTTAGCAGTATGATTTGTGCACCTTGTTGGCAACCCACTCACAGCCATGTATTTGTCTCCAACTGTCTCAACCTGTAAAATGAGCATAAGGTAAGGTAAGGTAAGGTTACGCCTCACATCATGGGGGGAACCAGGTTGTACTCCTGGGTAGAGGAGGCACTATGAAAGTAAAGTGCCGTGCTCAAGAACACAACACAATGACCCAGCCTGGTCTCAAACCCAGGATTCTTAACCCAGAGTTGAGCCTGCTAACCATAAGATCAGGGGCTCTCCTTTGCAGTGGCTACAAGAACAAATAGTATCTTTTCTTCTCCAGGAATAAAATAAGTCATAGTATTGTTTTGCCTCCTCAATTGGGTCACAGATCCATCTCAGATTATCCCCCCCCCCCATCTCTCAATGAGTTTCCAAAATATCTCTTTCATACCTATCCATATTCCTCATTGGAAATAGGCAACATGTCTGGCAAAAGGACACAATACAATGACCACCTCTGGGGCTTGAAAGCAGCTTCTCCCTTGCCTGCTAACAGGCTACCTCCTACGCTTAGGGCAGGGAAGTCTCTGGCCAGAATTAGCTCGGTTTTTCAGTAGAGACAATTCTACTAAAATAGCAATGTATGCCTGTTTTCCCAGAAAGTTTTTGTTCTTATATTGTACCTTAAAAACTTCATTGTTCTTGTCTGCCAGAGCATCAAACCTGATATAGGTCTCATTCAAAAGTTCCACAATTTCCATTGGTTCACTGCTCTGATTACAATAATTTGTAAAATCCACAATACCACTGAACATAATTGTCACAATCTCATATTTTTTGGCCATTACTGGTCGCTTCAGTCTGAGGTCATTTGCAACTGATGTCGGTAAGATGCTGTAGAGGAGCCTATCAGTAAGCTGCTGCTCCTGCTGCAGCTCACGTGAGGTCTGCTGAAGCTTGTCAGTCAGTATCTCAAGTCGCTGAGAAAGACGTGATTCTGCATTGTGCTGTTCAGAGAGTAGAATGAGATCTCTTGTGGCATCGTGAATTGGAATATCACTGAGGTACAAACCTTAAGCGTAAATAAAAACAAGTATCAATATTTGGATTCACACAGGCTGTTGTGGAGCCAGATGCCACTAAAATTACTTGACAGGAATGATAACACGATTCTCCTTCACATTTTGCAGACAGCAGACCTTAACCTCAATGAACCTGAACCTAAGTAAATAACTTTACATACTATATGTTAAAAGTATAAAGACTTTGAAAGAGAATTTGTATTGTGACCATGGGGGTTATGGGTTTATAGACTATGAGCAATCCCTGCTTTTGACAAAGTCTGTTGTGCAAGTAAAACAAAATTATAAAAAAAAAATTGATGTAACCAACTCAAGTGATGGACCTCACAGAAAAGGAGGAACTGCTCAAAGACTAATGGGTTTATGTAAAGTGAATCATACCAATTTCATTGAGACCATCCAGGTTGAGAACACTTGGAGAACAAAGGAACATGATGCTGTCACATTCAGGAAGGTACATCATTTGACCACGAAATCTCATCGTAGGAAAATCCAGGGTACCCACATCATCTTCAGAAACTGTTGTCAAGGTAGCAGAGTCTAAAAGTCCTTCTTTTGTTTTAACAACATATACCTTATTGATAAATTGTAAAATGTTATCAAATGTCAGTGAAATGTGAGGACGAATACATTCAAACACTTCTTCCACTTTAGTTTCACCAACTTTAATGGAAGGCAAAACTCGCAGCAATGAAATTCCAGCTTGGTAAATAACCATTTCATTGTCAAAGAGAATATGAAAGGGACATGCTTGGCAGAAAGTCTGACTACTGATGCAAGACCCCAATGTAACTAGCTCCAACTTCTGTTCAATCTTTTGAATCTGCTCATCATGTTGTTTCAGTTTCATTATATCTTCATAGTTCTCAGGAGTAACAACAATCTTAGACCAAGTCTTCTCTTGGTTTGTAGACACAGCTACCTCAACGTTCACCTTTGTGTTGTAGACCTCTCTTGCCACGGCTTTTACAACACCAACAACCATATACTCAAGGCCTGACCTTTCAGAATAGTAATAGATTTCTATCCCACTGCCATCCGGACTATCTTTGGCATTAAATGAAGGCGCTCGTATACCAGGGAAAATATACAGCAGATGCTCGTGCAGTGCATCTAGACTGTTGAAAAAGTCCTTTAAGTTGCTTCCAAGACTATCCAGCATCTTCTCGTAGCCAGAGTTTTGGCAGTACTCGAAGAATATTTCCCCAAACTTCTCCAAGATCAAATTGTGCGATAGCCCTAATAAAAGTTGATAAGACAAATTAATTATATTCAAATAGCAAAGTTTGTAGATTAAAATTTTAGTATGGGTCACTGCTTAGGGAAGAAAAGGCTTAAAATCTTAAGGGAGAGGAAGAGGGCAAACTAAGTTATAACAACATCCAAGGGATATTGTTTGATTTAAAAACCAAATTCTCAGAGAGTACATTAATAGAATATATGGCAGTCAAGAAGGAGAATGGAGAATGAGATCTTGGCACTGAAAGGGGTGAAACCCTAAAGGCTCCTGAAGACAAAAAGAATTTGCTTAAATCCAAAAACAATGTGTTGTTTGGCAGCTGCAAAAGTCGAAATCAAATAAAAGAAGGCCTTACAGATTAATCTGTTGGAAAAAAAAAACAGATTGTCTTATGCTATGTGCAAAAGGTATTTTTCATCTGAAGTAGTTGTTAATGCTGGTGTCAATTTGAATAATCTATTGTAAGACGTGTCAAAATCGATCTACTGCAATTGTCAAAATTGTCATCACATAAGTTGTGGGACAGAAAGACAAATCCCTCCTCTAGAGAATACCCTGAAATTTCTGCGCCATTATACTTTTTAACGTACCATACTAACTCGCGGCATTATTTACAAGCATGGATGAGTAGCTTGATGTACATAAATGCTTGATCGCATTAGTCTTTGTTAAAAAACAATTTTTGATTAGCGCACGGAAGAATTCATTTGGCTTCTTACTGCTTTAGCATTACTAATAGAAACTGCTCTTTTAAAAAGTTTTTTCACAAAGCTTTCTCAAAATCGAAATGAATCACTTCTAGAATATGCATGTAATTTGTAGTTGTGATTGAGAAAGTTGCAAACCCCCAAGCTCTTTAGGAAACAAAAACAAGATGTATGCAAAAAATATGAATTTTCTCCCGATCCAATTTTCTTTTTCACAACGTTAAAACTTGTCTTAAGAGGTCATCTCGGCTTATAAAATACTCTCTGTCCAAATCCGCAAACAACACTGCCAAGTGATATGATTTCGTGCAATTGCTTTTAATTCACAGTCACATTCAGAACTAAACCATTCCACAAAGGCATAAATAAATATAAATAATACCGCAATTTCTAACGCGTTGACCGGCATTTGCCGATATTTAGCTTCTTCAGAAAACGAGGGTCATCTATTCAACCACAGATCCGGAGACAGGTAATAATAGAAACCCAACCGTGACCATAACAGTGAGCCAATACAAGAACCAAATGTAAACTCACCCAGAACCTCAGAAGCGACTCTTAGCAGGTCAAACGTATTTTGATCATCATATATTCGCCGTTGATTGAATTCTCCTGTTTCTCCTAAATCGATATTTGCTTTCTTCCTAAGGAGATAAAGATTAACAGTAATCAATCACGCTTAAGCGAAGTTCTCGCTTTTATGGATACACGAGCAATGCAGTTGTTTCCTTCGCGCGAGATTCATCGCTTGCGCGCTGTAAAGCTGATCACAAAAAGCAGTACACAAACAAAATCTGTTTTGTTATACATACAGTATTTCTTCCCAAGTTCCGAAGCTGCTCTCTCGCAATACTAAATCTTGCAAAGCTTGGTTTACAAAGCCGTACATGGTCACAGTTCGTCAGGATGCCAGGCGAAGATGTAAACAACCCGAGCAGTCGATAGATGTATCAGCTAAGGAGCAGAGTTGACACTGGACACTTTCTAGTAACACTAATCATAAACGTCCATAACAAATGTCACCTATTTTGCATAATAATGGTCATTCTCATTAATACAAATTGTTTCGATTGGTTCAGACTCGTACATATCCGTTAAGATAAGCTTACCTGGAAAGAATCAAATCTACTGATATCGCCGAAAAAATGACACTTTAAACCAATATTGTTATTTGCTGATCAACCTCATACTTGCTACATTGGCCAGGCGCCAAAAATTTGGAATGGCGGGAATTTGCTAGAGAAAATAACACTCACCTCAAACGACCTGCATATCATATCGCATTTGACCATCTTTTAATTTAATGTTGGAGCTCACCTTTACATTCTCCAACATTGTTCCTTTACCAGAAGATAAAAAAAAAAAAAAAAAAAAAAAAAACAAAAAAAACAAAAAACAAAAAACAAAAAAAAAACACTTACGCCAAAATCGAGGGAAAAGACAGACGACATAAAAACTCTTGAGGGGTGGGGTAGGGGGGTTACAAGCCAGTTCAGTGAATAAGACGTATTCCTTTGCGGTGAGAACAGACGACCTGCTCAAACTATCCTGTGATATGGAAATGCACAGATGGAAATCTCGTAACCGCCGCCTTAATGCACCGATTAAGTTCAGCTGTTCCAAGTAAACAACTGGAAGACCCCCCACCTTGTTTTCCTCGCTTCATACCTCCACTACGCTGTACCGCATACCCGGATATTGTTGAAAATAGAAACTGTATTTTTTTTCTCCGTTTTCAAAAAGAATTCGCACCTACACGTGGTGTTTCCGGATCGATTCCTTTCCGCTAAACGGGAGGGAAGCAAAAGATTTACAAAAGAGAACAAACACTCAGGTCGCCGTTTTCCACAATGCGTTTTAGTCCTTCCACTCAAAAACGACAAGCCGGCGTTTGTAAAAGAGAACTGTTAAGGACAACCTCCGTCTTTGAAAATGTGTGTTAAAAATCACGAGACACAATCTCCTCCCGACTTTTTAAAGCATTAGAGAGCAAACAAATAGTTCACAAAGTAGGCAGTATAGTCATGCAGGTTCAATTATCAGTCAAACCCCTCCTTTGCGAATTCTCGAGAAATTCTTATGGAGCCACAAAATGTGCTTCCCCCTTGAAAGGTGATATATGCTTACCGCAAGAATGCATGTTCGGGGGGGTTGCAGGGGAAGGGAAGGGGTTCACTTTGACTCTTTGAAAATACCAAATATTTGACAGAAAAATTTTGTAATCACTTGCTAATTCACCCAAAGGGCTGGTTCAAAGTTTATTGAGAAAAATAAGTTATTGATCAAGCGTGAGGTCAGGATTATGCATTAGTACAGGCTTGCTTATCCAACCTACTCTAAGAGAGCAATTTTCTCATTAGCGTCGATATTAATCTGACATTGCATTGTTCTTGCTTACTATGCTTTGTAAATCACCACTCTCTCAATCAATCAGATGTAAAAATAACACCAATCATGACTTGGTTGCCCGCGTTTTGCCCGCACTTTAGGCGGTTTGAACACCAATCACGACTTGGTTGCCCGCGTTTTTCCCGCGCTTTAGGCGGTTTGTTTGTTTATTCTTCAAGTTCTTATTGGTTGATTGGCAGTTGTGATTATTTTCGTTTTGGTTTTTACGACATTCAATCGAAAAGCGCTCTTATAACAGAATAAATAACAAAAAAGAAAGAAACATCAGTCACAAGTTTCGTTATGATATTGTTATTTAAATGAAGGTTCAATGTTTTCAGTTTTTTCAAAGTTTGAGATTTCACAAGCCCGCGAAAACGGGTTCCTGTTAACATTGTCACACAAGTGTTGATTTGCTTTTCATTTAAAGTATCTTTAAAGGATTCTGAACGAGAGAAGGAATCATATATTCACATACTTAGGCAACAACTGAATGAAATAATTGTACGCTAAATCTGTGGCAGTTAAAAAATATAGCTCTAGCCATTTTTATATTCCTAAGATACATCTGCAGGGACCTTAGATTCGAGTGTTATTTACACTGCGTAAATTACATATGACTCTGGTCAGGAGTAATCTTATATTACTTATATTCCTTACACTCCAAGAAATGATTGAAAATTAGCTTCTCCTCACAATTTGAATACAACTTCCACCAAAAAGGTGATGAGAAAAGACATATTTATACACAACACCAAATTCGCCGATAAATTAGAAGAAACTGTATGGCAACCAAAATAACTGCCAAATAAAGGTTTCAGAAGATCTGTCAAGGTGCTCCAAAACTTCGATTCTTCAATGATGCAGAGAAATTATTTAGGTCTTTTTTTAAGTGTATTTAGTAAGTTTTTATATAACGTAAGTGATCTCACAAATTGTCGCTTAGCAACGTATCGAAATTTTTTCATAACGCTGATGAAAAGATGTGGATTATTGTAAATTTTTCAGCTAAATTTTTAAACATTTCGTTCGTTTATCTCTTGTATAAACCTAATGATTCAAAAAATAATAATTTTTGAAAAAGAATGGCGACTTTGTGTCTGAAGTCTTAGATCAGTTCATGGATAAATACTGCTTCAATGGTGCTTGCAACTCGGAAACAATGACTTCTTATTCCTCATCTTGAAAACTTGGGTAGCTAATCGTATTTACATCCTATTTGGAGGGGTAATTTCCTGGGAGCCCCGCTGGCGGCCACGCGGGGAAAGCCCGTTTCCTCTGTACCTTAATTTTCTCAAAGAAAAAGGTCTACATCCACAGAAGACGACGAATAGTTCCCTAACCTAATTTCTCCTAATGAAAGGGACTGAGTACTAGCCATACGCCTCAGTTATAACGTAGTCTCAATTTTTTGGCTTAGCTCTACCAATTCCGTCAAGGACTCCTCATCCATTCCGATCAGGGAAGCGTCACCATTGATGTTTTTAATGTCAAGATTACTGTCCTCTATTTCCTCGTCATCATCCGCAGCTTCGTCAATACTGTCGTCTCTGTTGAAGCTGTTGGCTTTGCGCACAGGACACAGAGAGGTTACCGTTATTCTCCGTTTCTTAGTGTTCTTGTTTCCTTGGTCCTTTTTCAAACTTTCCAGCCGTTCGTTAACCGAGGAGGCGAAGTCAACCGAGCTGATTCTTCGCTGGGGCGGGCCGTCTGGGGAGCTACAGCGGTAAGCGGCAGGTCCTGTATCACTTCTTCGCTTCATCGCTGGAGAGTGCGTCGGAGAAGTCCTCGGGGACCGAAACATGCAGATGTTGTTCGGTGCAACGGATGCAGCGATATCCAGAATTGACGGTTGTTGTTTTGCGTTCTTGCTCCTGATCAGGAAGAAGCATGGTAGTGGGTTGGGGATCTCCGTGTTAGGAATGAACTCGAATTCAGAGGAACCTTTGAGAAAGCTGTACAGAAGGAAACGAAAAGCATCTATAGCTAATATATTTTAAGTGCTTGAGTCCACCTTCTCAGAATGTTACAAAAATCGCTTAATCTGTCAATCAATCAATCAATCAGTATGTCTGTCGATCAGTCAGCGAGTCGGTTGATTGGTCAATGAGTCAGTCAGCCAGCCGGCCAACAAGTCAGTAAGCTAGCAAGTAAGTCAACCAGCCAGTCAGTCAGTGAGTCAATCAGCCAGTCAGCCAGTCAGCCAGTCAGTCAATCAGCCAGTTAGTCAGTCAGTCAGTAAGCTAACAAGTAGGTTAATCAGACAGCCAGCCAGCAAGTCAGTGAGCTAACGAATCAGTCAATCAGTCAGTCATTCAGTCAGTCAGCCAGTCAGTCAGTCTGTCAGTAAGACAGTTAGTCAGTCAGTCGCTCAGTCAGTCCGCCAATAAACCTCTCAGTCAGTCATTTAGTCCGTCGCGCAGTTAACAAATCAATTACTTTGTCTATCAATGCATCCGTCAGACAATCAATCATTCAGAATAGCTTTGTTTTTAAGTATCGGAAATCTTGGAATTTAATGAATAACATGATTCTCATTACAGGTCTACTTGTCCCTTTGCCGCTGTTTTCGTCAGCTCTTATTTCTCCTCACCGTTTAGTCTCGTAGCTGACGTTTATGTATCCTGGTTTGCTTCCCGATTCCATCTTGTTCGCCAGTGTGACAGTGCTTCCAAACAAACAATAGCGGGGCATCATTTTGCCAACAACTCCAGCCATAACCGACCCACTGTGAATTCCGATTCGAATCTGCCAAAGAAATAAACGTTCCCAGTGATTCCCATGTTACCACAATTTGCCGCGGCTGACCTTGCCGTGGGATTGAACTGGGGGTGGGGTAGGGGGGATGGTCAGGAGGGCTACCTCTTGTTTGATAAACAGACATCCCCCTTGTTCACTTTCAACGACTCTCCCTCGAACTTAGCTGCTTGCGCAGTAGTGCTAAATTAATGACTGCCTGCAAACTTTATAACATATGACAGACTCCTATTCAGTGAATACGAGCAAAGAAGAAAGATAGGGGGGTCGTCATCACACAAATTTTTGCCATCGCATCGCATCGCATCGCATCGCATCGCATCCCATCCCATCCCATCCCATCCCATCCCATCCCATCCCATCCCATCCCATCCCATCCCTGCCATTTGCCACTAGCCATGGGTACTTGCTCCACACCCAGATGTCGTGCGCCTTGGAATACGGGATGGCGCATTGGGCGTACCGAAGTTATGCTCATCTTTCTCGGAACCGCTCAAGAAACGAAAGTTCTGTCTCTTGAATTATCATATGTGTAATTAGTGCAAATCACATCTAATACCTTGAGAGGAGTTCTGTCAACAGGCGACAAAACCTTTCGAGAAGCTTCCATCATTGAGCATGCCATGTGAGCTACCTTCTCTGCATGATTGTCACATGGCTTTGGTAAACCTCCAACGACCATGTAAGCGTCACCAATTGTCTCCACCTAAGTGATGAGAAGAAACAACTTGGAGAATGAATACATTACCACTCTTGCTTTAATAACTGCTAAGAGAAGAAAGCTGCAGCTAAGCCCCGCGGCAGGCGAATCTTTAAATGCAACGGTTGCTAAGCTAAATAAAGAAAAAGCACTTTCAAACCCTAATCCTATGCGTATCTGAGAACAATGGGAGGAAAGTGTGACTCTAAACTAAACAACCCTATTCCTAACTCAACATTGAGTGATCTCTTAGAAATATCTTACGCACAGAACGAAGGCAATACAAAAAACAACACTACATGAAAGCATGAAGAAAACGAATCGAACTTCGTCATAATCCAAAAATTAAAGTGAAGGAAGAGAACAATTTTTATTCCCAACACCTGTGGGGGAAAAAAATTGGTGGATGCTATTTCAAAGTCATTGTTTTTAAAATTATTTAGTTTACACATAGATTGTCCATGGAGAAAGACCCGTTTTGGTTCTTTTTAAGCCAAAATGAATAATTCAAATTTTATCGGTATTATAAAAGTGATAAAGGCAAAATTTAATTTTAGTTTCGGCTGTAAGTTGTTAAGTACACCTCCTCTTCAATCCTAGGGGTAAAAAAATTAAAAATTAATCTTGAAAGGATCTAGGCCAAGGAGCGGAAGACTATTCTGATTGGAGATAAATTTTAAAAATGTTTTTCTAATTTTCCTTTTCCTTTTTTTGCCAGACTGAAGTTAGCTGAGTTAGGCAGTTTTTTTTTTTTTTTTTTGCTATACAGATAAAGCAATAAAACACCCCTGAAACTTCAAAGGCATTACAGATTATAAACATTGAAACCACATTTTCTCCAAAAATTTAAATCGTTTTTGATGATAAAGGATAGAAGTGAAGTGATTTAAGATACTGACTGTAACTTTGTAGTTTAAAGGGCATTTGAGTCGTTTTTCTTTTCTCTCGTTCAGTTCTGTTGGGTTCCAATCAATTTTCATTCATAAGCTACAGAATCCTAGCAATCAACGCATGCAAATTCACTCCAAAATGCCGCATCTCATGATGAGATGACCGTCTTTGATAAGATGCGGCTATGGACCCAATAAGGTCTTAAATGATGATTTTGTCGGATCAGATAAATGACATAGCTAATTCTAAATACTGATTTTGTATCCTGCAAAAATCCTATCGCTCAGAGCACGTAATGATTACAGAGGTAAATTCAAATCTCTCAGAACTCGTTGTCTGCTCCATTAACCGCCTACAGCCAACGTTCTATGTTCCCGTAAAAAATACGATGATTAGTTTTTTAAATAAAGCATTAACTGTAAACACAAAAAAAATTGCCCGTAGGCAGCAGGTTGTCTGTTTGTTATAAATAGCACGGAAACGCAAAAACACGCGAAGAAAAATATATTGATTAATCTATCAGTGTTAGTTATTCGTTTCCCTTGAGAAACCTTGGATCTTTCTCCTCGGATTACTCCCAAGCTATGAGCACTCCATGTGATCGAGAAAATGTGAACTATAGACTCAGTTCAAACTCCTTAAGAAATATCTTGTCACTTCGCATATGAATAATCTATAAATTTTGTCAGTTCATGCAAAATTCATAATTTAAACTGCAAACTAAAAATAAACGGAAAAACTGATGAAAATGAGATCTATTGGAGTCTACTTTTCATAGACACTCCCACACATTTGAATTGAAAAATGAGAAGTTTTTTTAATAGGCGCCAAAACTTCGCACATATTGGCATAAAATTATTAGTTTAATAAAGAGGCCCTTCGTAAATTCGACAAAACTTGACAATGGGTGCGTTGATAATCTTAATCTTAAACATTATCTCGGTACAGATGGAAGACATATTATTTTCTATTACCGCTAACCATGATTAGACTATCATATACAAAAAAATAACATTATTAATTTGAAGCGTAAAAATATTATTCCTTCGAAAATAGTCAAAATAACTGATGACAAAAAAATGTTATGGACTTTTCAGTGTAAATTTTGTAGACATTAAAACCATGCTGATAAGCTATTAATTTTTTGGAAAAAAAAAAAAGAAAAAAAAAGACGAAAACAGAGATTGACGTTTGGAGGGTAATAAAGAAAACTTTTTATCACTCGATCTCCAGTGTAGCGTTTCCACTTGCCTTTAGAAATTTCGTAAGTGGAAAATGGGAAAAAAAATCCCTCTTATATTGAAATAGTAGGTTACGTATTGCTATTCAAAATGTGGTTTAATGAATGCCGTATGTGCGTGCTTTGTTTTGATTTAAACCTTAAGCTTTTAATCTTTCTGCTTTCCTCTTGCAAATAAACAATTTTGTTCTGGTGGAAATATCCGGAGTCGAAATTGCAGAAGAGTTCCAACAGAGAAAATAAGCTTTTTTGGCCGTTGCAAACTGAAGTCCATTGCCAAAATATAAGTTTATCGTGAAGATGAAATAATTTGTTACGTGGGGTCATAGCCGAAGAGAGATGGCAAATAAAACGCTTTTATCCAGGAAGTCTCAAAAGCGTCTCAAAGAAGTGGGACTGTCAAAGTAGTCAAATATCATGGGAGGTGATATTTGCATAAAAAGTTTGGACAAAAAATAGAGATGATAAGAAAAGAATATTGTGTCGATGAAAATGAATGCTGCGGCAAACCTTTCAGTATTAATTATTGATAGTAATGCGAAAAGAAATACGAATTAAGATGCTAAACGATAAGATTCAGACAATAAAGGCATAAAAGAGACAGATTTCTGTTGTTTGACGCGTCTATAGAAATGTGCGAACAACGAGAACAGACAGTTGTTTGCAGAAGAACTGACAGAATTTAAAAGAAATATTATCTTCGCGTGTGTGTGACAGTTACATCTCAGGCGCGAGACTCATAGAGATCAGCGTTGTCATCGCTAATAAAATATAAACCCGCTAAAGGAGATGAACGGAGATCGAAGGTTTATTATAAACAACAGAGCCACCAACGGTGAAAAAAAGTCGCAGGTTTAGTTTTGCAGCGTTTTGTAAACACTTGTCAATCACAAAAGACCATCTCTCCCACAAACACAAAAGCAGATTTAAAGGGCAAAAAAGAAGTTTATTATTCTTACCTTGTAAACATCGTTCATCCCACTCAACATGTCAAAGTAGGTGTAAAGTTTGTTCAGCATCCGCACGATGTCCATGGGAACAATTTTGTCGTCGGAACATAGCGCTGTAAACCCGACGATGTCGCTGAAAAGGATCGTGACCAGCTTGTAGTTTTCCGCGGGCACCGGTTGATTCAACCGCAGTTTAGCCGCGACTTCTTGGGGCAGAATAGAATGCAGCAATTCGTCTGTGCGTTTTTTGTTTTCCGTCAGTTTAACTTCCAGTTTCTTCAGGTCGTTGCTAGTTTCTTCCAACTTTTCCACCAATTCTCGCTCGGCTCTTCTCGCCTGTGACATAAAAATCAAGTCACGCGTAGCGTCGTGAACAGGTATATCGTTGAAAAAAATACCCAGATTCTTAAAACTGTCTAAGTCATTTGCCCGAGGGGAACACAGAAATAGAATACTGTCGTTCTTGGGAACGTAAATCATCTGACCCTTGAGGCGTAATAATGGATTTGCGATGCTCATTCTCCGATCTTCTGGACTGCCTGACACGTTGGACACTGTATCCGCCGCAAATCGCAGCGCGGACTGTTTTACTGTTACAATAAACACTGTATTTATATGCGCAAGAACAGAATCAAACGCAAATTCCATACGCGGTCTTGACAGTTCAAAAATTTCCTTGAACGAAAATGAATTAGCAGTCGTGAACCGTTTGTCCAGAAGGCGCATCATGGCAACCCCAGTTTGCGTGATGTTGAGTTTACGATCGAACATCACGTGAAATGGAAAAGCTTTGCAGAATGACAACAAACTGAGCCCTCCTCGCCGTTTCTTGCCCATGTTTTCGCTATCCAATGACATCATTGCACTATGATTATCTGCCATGGTTTCTAAATCAAAGGCCTGTAGCCCAAGCTTGGATTGCGTTGCATTTGTGCAGCCTGTCTCTCTGATTGAAAACACCACATGCCCACGTTCGTCTGAGCGCGCTTGCTGCACGCACACCTCCACCTCGGTGTCAAGCATTTTATTCGCTACCGCTTTAACGACTCCAATAACGATGTGCTCCAGCCCTTGCCTCCGTGAGTAGTAGTGGAGGAGCAATGTTCCATCTGGCGTCTCAGTACAGCGAAACGACGGTGCTTCCATTCCTGGGTAAATCGTAGCGAGATGATCGTGGAGTGCATCCAAGTTACATAAGAAATCTCTCAGATTTCTTCCCAGCACCTTCAGAATCCGATCATAGCCGGTCTGCAGACAGTAGTCCAGAAAATGTGAGCCAAAAGCTTCCAAAACAGCGTTCAGAGGCAGAGCTGTTCAAAATAAGTTTACGAAGCAGATTTTCAGGGTTTTTTTGTTTTTATTAAAAATTTCAAATGTAAGATGCGCAGAGCTCGCGAGATAAAATTACTTATGCGATAACCCTGGTTTCAGACCGAGTGGAATGTTTGTTAAGGCGATTTACGGTATATCAGCCCATGCGAACTTCGTCTATCTCAAAACCTGTTTGTAATCAATAAAATACGAGCTGAACAGTTTACTATATTGCATACCTAGAGTCTCGCAAGCCGCAGCGACCAAACTCAAGGTCTCCTCATCATCGTAAATTTTGTGAATAAGGTATGATCCGCCGTCCAATTCTACCCCAGCCTTCTCGCTGAAGAGAAAAACAAAAAGAATATAATTGCACTATACAGGGCCCTTTTCCACTTACAATCCATTTAAGCGTTCCAAAAGCTATTATTGTCTCCTTACACGATAGATCGCCAAACGTCTTCGCCGAACTTAGAAACGACCAAGTCAGCTAGAGCACAGTGAATGAATCCATACTGCGAGAGAAACAAAAATACAGTTGGTAACACGCTACACAGATAAGTCAAGCGATCTTTGAAAACGGGAGCAAGGAGATCTTACCATATTTCTGCTGCACTCGAGAAGTTCAGCCCTCTGTGTCAAACTCGCGGCGCTCTCTTAATGATTTTCCTGATTGTTTTAGGTGTTAGTCACGTGTCATTGTATCTACCAAAGCATCTAGGCTGTAATTACTGATAGCTCAGGAAATCCAATCGCCTTGGAGTGTCTTTGTCAATAAGACACCTTAGCATCGTATCTGCAAAGCAACCGGCTTGTCAAAATTTACAAAGACTAATTGCGCGTCCTCAGCTCAAAACATCTGATATTGCATTTGCGTTTGTCAAAGTATCAACAAGGCTTATAGTGCAAACTTCACACGATAGATAAGCTTTAATTCGCACGAAACATAACAAAGTCGAGGACAGAAATTCTGATTTATTCATCCAATTTTCTCCGCATTCTCCGCATTCAGTGCCCAGAGTAAACAAACAATTCGCTCTGCAATACTTTAGGTGTCGAAATCTTATCGCGTAGAATATCTTTCCTGTGTCCTTCCATATCAGTAAGCACAATTACCTTTCTCTGCACGTTTTTTTGCGATTATTCAGAAACGATAAATTGTCGTCAGCGATCGCGAACTCTGTTTCATAACGCGTAGGTCAATTAGGGATTTAAAACCCTCGAGGCAACACAAAAATGTGACGCCACGATGAAGGATTTTATTGCCATATCTTTGTAGTTTGATATAAAACATCCTGATTGAACAGGCATCATGACAGCTTATTGTGTGCGAAGTACCATCTTGTACATGAACAATTCTGAAAGTTCAAAATCCAGTTGCTCCTAAAATTAAACATGTGATATTTATGAAAGCGTCCCGTTGGGGCAATAAAATCTACGGATATTAAATGCCCTCGTGCTTGTTGCGTCTTGTTAATACGGGCATACGTGTTTTAGTTAAACTGCTCATGGACCAAAATACGGTTACCGAAAAGCCATTAATATAATTATTTGCCAAACGAGTGTCATTTCTTTGCCCGCTCGCGTCGAGAATCCATAAATGCATAATGAACTCGACGACCTCTTGGTGAAAAAAATTGAATGGGTCGCCCTTATTTTGACGTTAGTTGCGAATATTCGAAAGGCTTCAACGGTTTTCATGACAATGTGCGTTTTAAACTCACGGCGTTAGCTGGCGATTTATGTAGTTAAGAAGACACAGAAAAGATCTATAATAAAATAAAGTAAATTGAATACTTCACATTTACCGAGGTTGCTGTTGATATCTTATCAATCTGTTTCGGCTTTCAATAACCACTTTGCGTCGAACTGGTATGCTGGAAACACTGGTGGTAATATGTTGGATCAATAGCTTTATTCTAGGTCCACCGACAGACCAGTTCACAGAGGCACTGTGCCTTCATTTAGATATTACTTTGGCAAAAGCTCGACATGAAACAAATCTTTCCAGACGCGATTTTTTGTAAACTACGGAAGTTCAATTAACGCATGAATGGGCTCACCTTTGAGAGCTTTAAAACGAATTCTGTTTGATTTAGTCCACGCATACACAGCCAAACCTCAGCAGTGCCAGTCAGAAGTATAGAGAAGAAGCAGATTTTACTCCTTGACAATCACAGTATTCATTTAGTTCCTTTAAATTCAAGTGAATATGACCTACGTAGAAGCAACCGCGGTTGCTAGGTAGCGGTGGGCTGAGGGAAGTTCGTAATTTGAATAAACGTTTTAAGGCTGAAAGGATGTAAATTTTTAGCGCGAAAATAGCAGTGCCACGTTACCCTATAGAAAATAAGTAGGAAAGTGTTTTTATTTTGTTATGTAGCTTTTCCTTTTACACAGTTTGTTATGCAAAATTAGTAAAACGTTTTTTTAACGGTCTCGGAAATTCCGCGGAAAAGTGACAAAATTGAATTTCAATACTATCGATTTCAGTACAAAAGATTCTCCATTTAGTGCGCATTTGGAATCCATGTGTTAAAAAGGTTTTTGGAAAGGACTTTCATTGATTAATGGAAAACAATATCGGGCATCATAGAATATTGAAGCAAAGGTAATGAATAAAATCTCGTAGAGAAAATACCCAACTTGTGGATCGCTTCTAATATTTACACAGATCCTATGTCGGAAATCTGACACAATCAGTGATTTTGAAATTCATTACGTGAAGGAGCTCCTGGTACAAAATCTGATTTCATTGGCTGTCAGTAGTGTAAACCCATCCACGTTAAGTCCCGGTGTTCTAAGTAAGCACTTTATATTCACGGCTATCAATTATAAATCAAAAACACATGTGAAAAGCAGAATGTCAAAGAAAATGTTTTTATGTAATTGAAAAAAAGTGCAACTCGCAGGTGACAAGAAAAATAACAACATTATCGGCCACACTTTCCTTCGATGAGACTCTGATACAAAACATTCGAAGGGATAGCTACTTAACCAGCAAACTCAGCATTCTTTTGTAACTCACGAAATAACTCCAATTCACAAACCTCTCTCTTAAATTAACTAAAACCATCAAAAGTGATCTCATCTAAAGCTTTTTTTTCTCAGAAATCAGATACTGTAATTATTTTCTCGAATTTTCTAGCACTTTAGTTGAAAGAAGTATCTACCGTGACCCAAATCATTACCTGATGTAGAAACCCCGAGTAAAAATATCAACTCTCTATAACCCAGAAAACATCTCTTTCCCCCCAAGAAATTCATAAGGCGATTAATTTCGTCATAAAGCTTAAAGTCTCATTTTCTGATTTTGTGGAAACGAAATTCTAGCTATGGAAAACAATTAAGAGTGTCATTCGCTCAAAACCCGTGCTTTTGGACTGAAACCAACGCGCTTAATGTACCCAATGCAACAATTTTTTACGTTCCGCGTTTTATTTAGTTTACCTCCCGGGTTGTGGTCTTCGTATTGGGTTTTGTCTGTAAATAAAGATCTGTATCTGTAGCATTTCCTAAGGACGTGTTTCCCCTTAAATTGCCTATACAATACATCTGTACCTTCCCATTGTTCAACTCCACATATGCCGATTTTTCCCGTAAAAATTTTCTAAGGTTGCAGTGTTGACTTCGACTTGGGACCTCGCAGGATTTGGTAAGGTACACCCAATATTACTGAATACTTTGTTCCAACGTTAACTTCTCAATATTTCAGCAAATTCTACACGATTTCGTTGCTGTAGACTATATGCATATAAATACACCAAGGTTCGCATTTAACATATTTGAAATTCTCAGATGTATCTAGTTAATTAGGACAAACCTATTAAAGAATTAATACGTGTTGCTTTCAACGAACTTCATGTTTTCCATCATTTTCGGGTCTGCAAACGCCCATCGCATTTCTTGATATGAACTTTTTGAAATTAGACGTCTTCTATTGATAAACAAGTTTCGTTTCAAGCCGCAAAGCAAGCGAAGCAAGTTTGCTATTATTTCCGTGTGTTTCCGTTCGATTTTCAAGCCAAACTTGGGCTAACACAATATCCATGCGTAAGTGTGACGTTACATCTACACATGAAGAACATATGATATAGTGTTTTCTAGATAAACATGTCATGTTGGCTTAAATGTATTAGTAGTTGAAAATAATAATATTCATGTTCGTTCTGGTGACCTTATAACATCAACACGCTATCCGACGTCGACGTTGCCAAAATTCTCTTTCATATCTTTCCGTCCAATAACTCTTTCCAAAAGAAGAGCACATTCAAAATAACTAATAAATAACACTTACTATAATATCCTTGAGCAGGACTTCTTGCGGCAAAAGCAGAGTTTGAGTTTCCGTGAGTTCCCTCAGGCTTAACAAAAGAAAATTTCCATATGCAATGCTGTCTCGAGGTAATGGCAGAAAATTTTATTGTGAGGCGAGATATTTAAATTCGCAGCCCTTTGTAATATGGCAACGTAAGAGGTAATATATTTTCCAGTAATGTACGCGGCATTGATTAAAAACCGTCCTTTCTTAATTAATCGTTTCCGACTGTTTATTCGCTACACCGCGCGGAGAAAATTCCAGATGAATTCCCTCTTAGGTCGTTAGAAGGTTGTTGATCCATTTTGCCAACCAGCTATCCACAAAAATATTTCACAGACCAGACTAATTCAAACAAGTAATTAAAATGCTAATGAACTTCACTTCTGAATGTTTATTTGAAAGAGCACTTCCATGTTTTGACTATACAGGCAATTAATAACATTTCAAGTTGTTTTTTTTCATTTCAAGGAATGACAATCTTCGTTCAGACGCCAACGTGGCATTTTAAGAGAGCTGATAAAGCAGAGCATATCTTCACTAATCAAATTATTTAATAAAAACAATCACCATCTCATTAAGAACAATATTTTTTCGACACGGAGCGAGTGGGGGAGGACTGCCTAAAATTCTTAACGAGTCCTTTAGGTAGCAGAGCACTATCTCGTAAGTGTATCTCAACAAACTAACGCCCCTTCTTCTTAAATTATTTTCATCTTTTCTCCGCACCTTATAAGCTCCTAGTTTGGTCAACTTAGCCGGGGGTGGTTTTAGCCACTCCCTTATTTCAACCCGCAAATCATCTCCTTTTCAATGTGGGACCCTCCTTTCTCTCTCCATGCATAGATGATCATAATGAATGTCCCTAACAAAGTAGTATAGTGATCCACACCCAGCATTGATAAAATACCCCAAGAGAATTTGATGCCAATAAAGATATTTTTAACTTACGACTTAAGCAAAAGCATTTCTATATTTGGGATGTACTTAAGAAAAACATGATGCGCTAATAAGTGCACTCTAAATGAACAGGATTCTTTGATTAAGATACCCGTCAACGCATTCTCCCCATTATAACGTGACGACAAGATGGGAGTGGTCTTTGGTAAAAATATCAACATTCAGTGTTATTGTTGCGAACTATAGTTAGGAAATCCGGCCAACTGGAACTGTGGCTCGCCATCGCTCAGGGGAGACCGGACCTGGAACAGGCTTGAAACGTATGAAGTAGACAAATTATGTGGTAAATGAATAAATGGAAAATATATATAAAAATTCTTAACAAAGAAATTCATTAATTGCTTTCAGCTAATTATTGACCTTCGGTACCATAGCGCGACCGTCACATTTAATGCATTCTATAGCGTTAGTAAGGTGAAGCGTTCGGTCGTACGGCTAAAATGATCAAGGTGGTTTTTCCTAGTTATCGCTCAATCCTTGATTGCAATATACCTTTATAGAACTCACAAACGAAGAGCACACGTGCACACGTGCACACGTAATAATCAACTGGTCATTTGAGAGTATTAAGACACACCATGAGGTACTTCCTCGGAGCCTTTGATTTTCTTAGAGAAGGGGGGCACGAGAAAGCATCCATATGTTAATCATTTGCGTTTGCATGCCCATAGACTATCTTACCACAGAGAATAAGCGCTCTTGTTAATTAAGTTATTTGATAAATAACAAGACCTAAATTAGCGCAAATAAAGGTGGAAATTATTGTCCAAAAATTAAAGCAATAAGCTCCTAGATTTCATAATGAAGGAAATTAATGTTCTCCGATTAAAGAAACGGAATTGGTTGAAGCAAAAAAAAAAACAGATCTCTATCAAAACTTGAAGTAAAGATCCGCAGAGCATGCAGTACATAATGTTTGTGGAGTTTTCTCTTAAGAGAAGAAATGAGAAGGAGAATCTCTCTACTTAGTGCTTTCTTCACAGTGTTAATGATTCTGGCGAATTTCCTCCCTACTAAAATAACACTTTTTGGTTATTTTTTCTTAGTTGTCAAAAAAATAATTGGAATAGGATATTTGAGGCAAAAATGATGAAAATTTGGGTCGTGGAAATTAAAAATCCCCTCTGTTAATTACGTGGAAATTAAAGCTATCAAAATCAATTGCGACTTAAATTCAATTCATAAACAATTTATATCCTAAAATTTAGTAAACTGTGTGCACCATGCCAAAGAAGAGATTTATAGTTGTTAGTATCACGATTTAAGATCACTGAAATGAACAAACTAAATTTTCCTTTAAAAACCATTGTAACAGTTGTTTTCCAAGTGTGGCTCGTTGTAAGTGAGTAGAGAAGTGACCAAAACTAACGTACTAAATGCAATCAATCGTAACAAAGGATAGCGTCATTATTAGCCACTGAGAACTCATAGAAAATACAGGCAAACTAGCACAAGCGCGGGAAAACGCGGGTGACGAAGCCACGATTGATAGTAATTTTGCATCTCATTGGTTGAGAAAATGGCGCTAGTTTTCTGGCTCAATCACAGAGCGAGGTGAAGCAGAAACTTATGTAGTCCTGGATTTCTTTCGACCCCCGGTTGAAAATTATTCTTTGCAATGTCGAAAGTGACAACTATGGTTTTGCTTCACTTTCCTCTGTGATTAGTCGGCCAAACGCAAGCCACTTTTTGAACCACACAGATACAAACCACCGCCAATCTCTATCTGGTCTCTTGCGTTTTCCCGCGCTTCCAGCAGTGTGCTTGTTTTCACATTGAGTTCGTACTGACTCGTTGTGATTTTTTTTGCTCTGATCGGCCGTTGTGATTCCTTTGGTTTTAGTTTAACGACTGACTCGATCAAAGTCCGCTGCGACCTAAGCGCTGCATTCTCCAATTACATGAAGGGCAGTTTTCAAAGAAATATTTGATTTGAAGAGCGCTATGGTGAAGAGTAGCTTGTGGTTCGAGTAGCATAATCAGTTGAGCCACTTTTAACAAATAGGAGACTGATTTTAACTCGATAATTCAATAATTTACAGTTTTAATAAAGTTTTCAAAGACGTTCCTGAAGGTCTCTCGAGAATCACATGATCGGTGATCTGAGAACGGATTGCTCAAGTAAATTAGGCCAACACGCGGGAGTGCAAAAGCCAGGCGCACGCGAAAAAAGCTGCTTTTTTTCGATGCGTGCCTGCTTTCTCTCACGCGTGTCTTACTCACGCTCAAACAATCTGCAAGCAGCTGACCCAGAATTAGTGATATACAGGTTTCAGTCATTCCAGCCTTGAGGATGTGAAGATGTGTCATTCCCCAATAAGAAAAATACAACGAAGAACTACGACGCACAGCTGAAGTCATTCAATGGTATTCATTTCGGTTTACAGTCAAGTCGCCCAAAACCTGAGTCATGCTGCCCGAAATTTTAGCTATGTCGCCCGAAAAAAAAAAAAGTCAAGTCGCCCGAAGAAACAAATACTGAAAAGATCAGAATTTCAGACTGTAAATAGGCAATAACGTTGAGAAATTTTTATCACTAAAGCGGTCTTTGTTCCCAACAACACCATGAAGATTCTTAAGGCGTTGTTCGTTCCTAACAACAAAAGGAAACGTTGTTCGTTTCCAACAACAAAATGAAGCGTTGGTCGTTTGGTATGTAATCGTTTCTTACTCACGGACGTTTCGTAAGCTTGAGAAACTTTTTCTTGGTTTTTAACAAAACCATGAAGACTTTGACAACACAGAAATCGATCGTATGGTCGGAATTGAAATATGTTTGAGTAACGATTCTAAAAGCGTTTTCCGTTTCAAACAAAAAAGTTGAAGCGTTGTTTGTTTGGTACGTACTCGTTTCTTACTCACAGACATTTCGTAAGCTTGAGAAACTTTTTCTTGGTTTCTAACATAGCCATGAAGACTCTGACTACACAGAAATCGATCATATGGTTAGAAAGGCCATATGACCGACCGTAATCGTCGCACTGTAGGGCTTGTTGACGTGGTCTAACTTCGTCATCACACTCAATGCAAGGATGAATGCTCATTTTGATCAGTTCGTATTCGTATTGTAGCTAGCTTTACCCTCTTCATATATACTTTGATCGCATCAAAATATACATGCGACCGCCAGAGGAAAAAGAGCACAACTACATAATTTTTGCCTATTCTGATCCTAAGGGAAATGATGCTATCAGACTACTACTATGAAAAAAGTCACAAGCATAAACAATAGACTGTTATCTTAAAAATAGCACACTTACCTTACGCAAGGCAACAAGTTAATTTTGTTTGTATATTATTCGCTTTACCTTTTACTTACTTGTCAAACGCGACAATCGACATTCGTTTATCAGGTGTTTACATCTGTTATTGTTAAGAACTCTACTTGTATGCTACGCTGCATCCATACATTTGTTGTTATAGAAACGAACAACGCTTCCCTTTGTTGTTAGAAACGAACAACGCTTTTAGAGTCGTTACTCAAACATATTTCAATTCTGACCATACAATCGATTTCGGTGTAGTCAAAGTCTTCATGGCTTTTCAAGAAACAAGAAAGAGTTTCCCAAGCTTACGAAATGTCCGTGAGTAAGAAACGAGTACATACCAGACGAACAACACTTCATTTTTTGTTAGAAACGGAAAACGCTTCCCTTTGTTGTTAGAAACGAACAACGCTCTAAGAATCTTCATGGTGTTGTCGGAAACAAAGAGCGCTTTAGTGATAAAAATTTCACAACGTTATTGCCTATTAACAGTCTGAAATTCTGATCTTTTCAGTATTTGTTTCTTCGGGCGACTTGACTCTTTTTTTCGGGCGACATAACTAAAATTTCGGGCGACATAACTAAAATTTCGGGCAACATGACTCAGGTTTCGGGCGACATGACTTCGGGCGAGATGACTCTCGGGCGACTTGACCGGTTACCTTCATTTCTTGCATTGCAAAAAAGCAGACGATAAGTCAGAATAATGTGTTTGAAAACTTTTATTGTAAACGATTGCAGTCTACACAACATTAAAAAAAATATTGAACACCAGCACAACCTGTAGTGTTCCCTCAAGGTATTAAAAGGGTGTTCGTTGGAATTAAAAATCAATTACAAAAAAACACACACGCACGAAGGCACGCACGCATATACCCCCACGCACACACGCACGCACACAAACTCACACACTACATGAACAACCGAACGCAGGCTCTATATATGTAAGATAGATTTCATACTTTCAAAAAGTGAAAATAGAAAGGTTGAAAAAAAAAAAAAAAATGAAGCCATCTGGTCTGCATCTTGTGGCGATATTTCACAATCTGGATATTGCTACATCACATTACTTTCTCAAACTTGTTTAGAGAAAAACAAGATTTGTTGACATATATTTTCATCTTAATGGACACATTATTTCACAACTTGTATAACAAATTTCCTATTCAGTGCTTAGATTTAGGCAATGATTTTAAATATATATTCACACATGTTGAGTACTACAGTCATAGTTTTCCAGTACTTATCAAACTATGAAACACTCAGTGCTATTGTCTACTTTGTACAGGAAACAATTAGTTCTTCAACCCAACACACATCTTACAACACAAGTTTTCTTAAAAATAAATTAAGCACTACAGTTATGTAAATACATCAATTTTTAATAACACTAAAGCATGCCAAATTGTAAGTACTGGAAATAAGGTTCCTCTACATATTAGTAGTTAAAGTAAAATGAAATGTAAACTTTGTTTACAACATAAAGTTGGAGCAATTTTGACTCAGAGAGGATGTGAAGGAAAATGATGCACTGCCTTAAGTACTGCCTTGATTTTACATTGAAAATCTTTAAACAACCATTCAGGTTCTTTCTTTCTCTCCATCTTCATATCCTGAAAGAATCTGAGTTTAAAAATCCACTCTATGCCCTTTCGACTATATGAAACAATATATCTGGCATACATATCTTCACTTAACCTTTCTTGAGGCAGATGACACTATGGAGAGAATCCAACCATAAAAAAACTCTTGGAGTAAATTGCAAAAATTGGGTTGAACTCAGGTTATTTTGTGCTGATCAATAATCTATTAAGTTTTTCTCCTTGAAAACGTTATTCTAACAATTTCACCTAAAAGAGTACAAACACTTGATTTAAATAAATTGTTTCTTACTAATTAAATTACTACATATGTAAAAATATCTTCCCATAAGGCCTCTCAAAAGGAAAGGTCGTTTTCTGCACACACTTCTTGGCCTTCAAAGCAATGTGTCCCTCTAAATACACATTATCATAGAGATCACCGAGAAACTCAGTACCAGGCCCTTGAATGAGACCACGCAAGTTTTTGACAAACTCTCTCTTTGTCATTTTGTTCTTCACATGGGGACTGCTCAGATCCACACTGAGAAGAATTAGTGAGTGGCATAGAATAAATACACTCTCTGGAAAAGAGGAACACAAACTATCAGACAATGAATATGTTGAAGGCAGATACCTAATGATATGGCAGTGACAACAGAGCAAGCTACAGGAGGGGGACACAAACAGCGGAGAAGACAACTTGCAAAGGAGGTAGACAAACAGTTACACTGAAAGTGACTGGCAACATTTAAAAGGGGTGGGGAGAGGACAGGGAGATGAGAAAGGCTGCTTCCCGCTCTTGCCTCTCCTACCTCTGTTGCCTTTTGGCCTTTACCTACCTTAAGTTCTGCTGACCTCCAGTTCCTCTTTCACCTCATGTAACCCCTGCTACCTATCCTCCCTCCCCTCTTGCCACCCCTCCTGCTACTCCTCCCCCATGTCCCTCCACAGACAAGTGAGGTCTGATGGTAGGCTTAGAGCCATTAGCACAGTGAATCAGAAGAAACATGAGTAAGGAGGAGAAATTTAATTACAAAAATGGGACAAATGAAAAAGAGCCACAAAACTTATTGAGGACAAGCAAGAAAGGAGGGAAAGAAAAGATGACGAAGGGTTGAAAGTGGTAGGGAAAGTCAAGAGAAAAAAGAAAAGCTTTAGAATAAAGACAGCAGGAACAGCCTGGAGAAAGTGCAAAGGGAAAGAAAGAGAGAGGGAGATACAGAGAGACAGGTGACTGTAAGTTGATGTAAGTAGAAAGAGGCAAACCATAGGTGAATGATTACTAACCTGGTGTTAGGGGTGTGCTAGGATTTGTAGCACAGAACTGAATAGAGAACTTGTTCAAAAGGGTGTCTAAGAATTCTCCTCTCTGTTCTGGGGGATAAACTCTTTCAAAAAACTGCCTGAAATTACAAAAAGAGGTTCATATCTACTGGCGCACAGCCTAAAGCTTTCCAGTAATTTCAAGTGTGAATGTGTGACCTATTTTGATCAGGTAAGAGTTGTCCAGATAAAAATCATTGTTGGCATAAGTGATTGATGTTTTGACATCAATCTGAAGGGAAATCATCATCAGAGTTAAGTAATGAATTGATTTTCAAGTAAGGAATTGATTGTCTGTCAAGTAAGTCTAGTTTAAAATCAGTTTGAACTGTAGCGCTTGTGAATCATCATTACCATTTACCTTAGTGCCACAGGCAAAAATACCCCTTCATAATGCTGCATGTTAACAATTTCTTGCAAGACATCTCTTCTACAAAAAGGTAATGAAAAATGAGATTTTTAATGGTAGAAATAAATAGAGACTTGTAAAAACAGTTGGAAATGGCACAAACCATTTATCTTCTATGAGTGTTTAGTGATCCTTTTCGCTCTTACCTTGTATCAAGAAACTCACTGACAGACTTTCCATAAAGAGTACTAGTGCAGTTAATGAACTTTCCTATCTCTGTACATGAATCATCCAACACATTATGTCTCACTAGATAACTTATTCCCTGAAATAGAAAAGATAAACAGTATGTTTCAACACTTTTTTGGTACTATTCATAACATCGTAACCATATTTCAGTCTTAGGTAAGCTAAGTGCTTAACTATCACACAAATGATTTGGGTGTCCTCTACTAGTACTTGGACAATTCTTTTAACCCTTTAAAAACTAACATCAGTATGTATGTTCTTCATACTGTTCTCTAAACATTTCCTAAGTTGTTGACAAGGAGAACTTGTTTAATATTCAAGAGCTTCTTCTGTTGGTGATCATTTCCTTAATTCTCATGACCTTAATGTGTGACTTAGTAGTGATATTGTAGGGAAAAATTAGATGCAAGTCACTCTTAAGGGTTACAGAGTTATAGGATGCCAGTAACTCACTTCTGATTCATGCAAACTGTAAATTTTTGCCACCCAAAAATAGCTCTGAGGGAAAACAAGTACAAACAGAAAACAGTGCCTTGCTGTTTGATACTAGTATGAGAAAAAACTATTTTAAAATATTGATTCATGAGTCTCTCAGTGAAAAACAAATACAATATAACTTCACATATTGATTCAATTTACAGAACTGAACTTGAATTAAAAGAATTGTGTCGCTAATTAATCATGATCAGACAATTCCCTTTCCAAAAGGTTTACAAGTAGTCAAACTAAGAGTCTGAACAATAATTTATAAGCCAAAAATGTGAGGGAAAATGATATTTGGAAAAAAAAAAATTGTTAGTCAAATACAACTACTACAAAAAACCCACACAAATATGGACTGTTGATATTAAGATCAAGCTTAAAATAATGGACAAACAAAAATTTTACATAATCACATGAAATAGGTGCACCAACCTGATGTGGATCAAAATTAAAGAGGCAAGTTCCCTCATCTAGCAACATGTACAGTTCCTTGAAGGAAATCTTTCCCTGGCGGTAGAAAAAAATTTCAACTTCATTCTTTAACTATTGAGTTCCAACTTCCAAGTACATTTAAGTACAAATGAGATATTTGCTTGTGCATGTTTAGTCTTATGCTGCAATCAACAGTTTATGCCAGCATTCAGTCTTGTCAAGTGAGTTCAACAGAGTCAAAGCTATCAGCTTAGGATCAAATTCAAACTCAAAGGTTCTTTTCCTAATCAGGACAGCTGGACCAGGCACAATTTTATTCAGCTACTAGGTACATTTGTTCAAGGGGCTAAGTTGCACTGTAAGTATGCACACTAAGTTCTTCCAATTACAAACTTAACATGTCAAATTTCCATTGATCCCTACTGTTTTCAACAAGAAGGCAAGGGTATTGCTTGTGGGGGTCCTTCCCATGAACCCCCCTTTGTGGGCCTTTTTTAAAGCAAACAACCCACAATATCTAAGTGGTAAAAACTGGTGAGTACCCTCTCTTTAACACTGAGTGTGACCCCCTTTGCAAATCCTGGCTTCACCCCTGGAGGCACAATACAGGGCTGTAAATGTCAACAATCACAAGTTGCCGTGGTCAACTACTATGATGTGTGGTACTAGATAAAAGCAATTAAATATTTGGACATTCACTTCGTTCTCGATAATAAGATGGCAATCACACAGCTTACCTGATGCTTCCTGTTATATGCTGAAGCATATCCCCATGTAACTTTTGACAGGCTGAATTGAAAGCAAAAATAACAACAAAGTTGCTAAATTCTTCCTAATAAGTACCTAAAATGATCAATTATTCATACACACTAAGGGCAGCTCAAAAAGATAACTAGCTTATTTATCAATTTGCTGTGCCGCATTATATTGTTCGTAGGACACGTAATACATATTTCGTGAGTAATGATAAATCTGTCAACAAACAGCAATTTCGGCAAAGGAATGAACACTTTGTGGAGATGCTAGAGAGCCCTCTGAGTTTTTGTTACATTTTTTGATTGGATAAAAAACATCTCATCACTGATGAGTTTGTGCTCTGAGGATATTAAGACTGGTTAAATTTCTAATTTGATTTTCGATTTCAAATAATATTGGTACATGTACTTCCAAAGTTTATCTCGAAGGAGGCATGCACCAAACAAAACGTTGGTTCTTGAAAACGCTATTAATGCGATTAGGACCACAGAAAAGTATTAACTAAAAGTATAAAATCCATATTACAAAAAGGATAAAAACTAAAAACGGGCTTAATTAAGATAAATTACAACAGCGTTTAAAATAGTGTTTCCAGTTAAACTTATATAATCACAAAGTACAATGTCTGATCGAAAAGAAAGCGCGCCTTTCAACGTAAATTTGCTAGCAGAACACAAACTACAGTTTTGGAAATCACAAACCTTTGCCAGAGAAGTTCATTGTCAGCTAAATGCTTCCAAACACAAGCAGCAAGACATAGATCCGTTGCGTTCAAGTGCGACAAAACAGACACAGCAACTTCGGGGGGAAAATTACTCAGATCAGGGAAAGATTTCAGCTGATGCGGAGAATTTCTGCTTCTACGATGGACTATGGACTGAAATTGACCCATGCGTTCAAAAATGCATAATAGAACGTCGAAAGCTAAAAGATGGCCGGGGATTCCGCAGAACCCACTGCCGTTTCGGTGAAAATAACACTTTAAAATTTAAAAGCACATATTAATCTATTCAACTTAATGCAGAGTTTTGTTGTGATCATAACAAATGACATCTCGCGTTCTGACGTGGCTACGGAAGTGCGCGTGCTCTATGGTTGAAACTGCTGTTCGATATGAGCAGTAGGGGTCGAAAATTAACGAAAAAATTTTTTTTTTATTATCTTCGAATTGATCTAAGTTTGAGATTCTCCATTTTATCACGCACAAATCTATTTCATATGTTAAAGATAAAACGACATAAAAAATATTCACTGGAATTTTATTTGGGACTCTTTTTAAGCTTAGAATAAGATACACATATTTTTCGTCGATTTTGAGGTTGATATGGAAGTGCTTCAAAATTTTACTCCTTCAACACGACGAATAACTTTTGTGAATTTAAATAAGTTTGTTCAGAATTTACTTAGCGCATTTTGTGCTAATTATCTTAATTCTAAACCACAATGCATGAACCGCAATATTTTGAAATATATGTTGTGGTTCCTTTTTCACATGTTTTAAAACATGCATATGTTCGAATAACTGTTAATCTTTTTTTTTTTTCAATTTGCCTTCATTTTCTACTCGTTTCATTCATACATGTCCGCGAACGAAGATCTTTGTATATACAATTTTGATGATGGAATGAATTCTCCCCAGGCCTGCTACAAACAGAGGCAAATTTGAATGTCACGCATGCTCTCTCGTGCGGTTGTTAGGACGCTGTCTTTGAACCCGCGAGTTAACTATCACTAACGGTTTTCCTCTGAACATGACATTTTACGGAAATTTCCTTGACTTCGGTCGAAGGATGTAAAGAGCTGAGTAGGGAAGTCATTATAGTCTTCAGAAATGACGGAAAGAAAGTTTACCACGCTCAGAAAGCGTTTAGATCAGCTTGGCTACAGGCAAGCTTTGGGGATTGAATCTGTTCCTTTAGTGGAGAAGTTGTTTAGCGATCTTGTTCATACGACAGAGAGCCTAAAAAATGTTAAACTTCAACTGGGAAAGCAAGAGAAGGAAAGGACAGTTTACGAAGATAATGTGGAGCCATATAGAAGTGATAATGCAAAACTGGTCAAAGAAAACAATGAGCTTCACCTGCAGCTCATAAAATTACGAGAAGAAACTGATCAGGTTATCAGAGATCTGAAAACCAGCGTCCGAAAGTTAGAACATGAAAATGCGGACCTGAAATTTTTAAATACACAATATGTGCATAAAGTTAAGGCTTTGGAAAAGGAAAACAAGTCGAAAACTGAAAGGATACAGGACTTACAGGAGAAAAATTTGCATGCAGTTGTCGAAACTCCAGGTGGACGAAGGAAACAAATACCACTCCGTCGACAACGTATGGATATTGAAAGCATGGTTTCTCCTGCTCGTGATCTGAACGACAAGGCAGATGATGTACACGATCCCTATGTAGCAGACTTGTTAAACGTGGCTGATACAAGAATAGAGGATCTGCAAGTTCAAGTGTCGCAACTTCAGGACGAGAAATCGAGCACTGAGAGACGGAACAAGAGTCTTCGAAAACAGGTACAACTTTCAAGTGCAGTGACTTCCGGAAGCAATCGGCAGAATATTGATTTAAAAATTTAGCATGTAGAAGCGAAATAACCGGAGATTTTTTCTGCATTGCAGACATTCATTTTGTCTTTATCTATTTTCCTTTCGTTTTATTTTCTGCGATCTGAGATTTACAGGTTTAATTTTAGCTAACCTTTCAAGTGGTTGTAGATGCTAGTAATTAACACTTCTAGCTTGTGTTGAATTAGTGGCGATTTACAATTGATTTAGAAACTCTCGTATGATTTACACTTTGCAATATATGGCTTATGTCATTATGGATTATTTCAATGACTGGATTTGTTTTAATTTGCACACCTCTGACATAACTCTCAATCATTCAAAACATCAGGCTATTAAATTGTTCTTTGAATTTTCACCTTTCATATAAGTCACTCAAAAATAGAACCATCTCATATCTCAAAATTATCATAATTGAAAGCTTGCTCAATGTCACCTGCTTTTTTTTCTCTTAAATTTTCAAGGTGAATTGAAAATTAACAATGAAATTGAAATATTGTTTAACTTTACATAGATAATAGCTTGGATGTTTGAATGAAATATTTACTCTGCCTTCTGCATATTATTTTGAGTGGCTATGTAAATGCTAGGTGCCAAAATTATATTTCACACAATTGAGAATTGTTATAGCACAGATATACTGTCATTTAATAAAAGATGTCAGTCAAAACTTGATGAGAGAAATTTGACGATGTCACATGGAAAAAAAACAAGTGTTTTTAAAGTTGTAAAGATGAAAATTCTTTATAAGTTATTGACAAGGTGCCTTGAGAGCCTTAAAAGGTTTTGGATCATATCTCAATTGTGTCCTTTTTCATTTAAGGGATGATCTTGCCTTTGTATTTATCATAATAACCAATTTTTAACACACAAAAAAAATTTTTTTAGGTGGAGTCTCGTGATAAAGAAATTGAGAGGTTGAACCAGCTGCTGGATGGTGGGCGTCCTGTGGATGCAGTCCTTAGAGAGAGTAAAAAAGACAGCAGTGAAAGAGTTGTGGCTCATCTTAATGTTCAGGTATTTAAGTACAATCTCTGCTTTGGGATGTTTGACAGATGTGTTGGCCTGGTAGATTACAGGCTCGACCTAAGATTACTGGGTTTGGGTTTGAGCCCAATCCTGGCCAATTTGTTGTGCTCTATGAGTAAGACACCACTGGTTGGTTAGCTCAGGTTGAGACCAACAGTTAAGGCTTTTAAAGAACCAATGCCATAGCAAAGGAAGGAGAGACTCTGCTGCCTTTGCTATGACATCTGCAAATGGTTGGCCATTTTTGTCTTCTTGGATAAGGACAATAAAACGTAACCCCTGTCTTCTGGAGGGGATGTTAAAGAACCCAGACACCTCTCATGAAGAGTAGTGCATGTAGTTCCCTATGTTGATATAATATATCAATGTTAATTCTACTCTCTCACTGTACACATTTTCTTGTTGATCTAAAACCAAATTCTCATAACCAACTTACAAGGAAATGTGTAGCAGCTAGAGAGGAAAATTAATAGTCAGATCTTGGGAATTTAAGACTTAATCAGCCTGCCATTTCTTATGTTTCTATCAGGTGGATTATCTGCAGCAGGCTAATCATGACTTAGAAAAGCAATTAAAAGATACAGTCGACCAGAAAGTTGAGGCAACCAGGCGAGCCAATGAGCTGGAGGCGACAAATGCTGATCTTCTTCTAGAGCTTAAAGATCTCAACAGACTATCCAGACAAGTTGAGCAGGATAAAGAGAGAGATGTCATTGCTATACAATCAGAGTTGTCAGATACAAAGGTTTCATTGGCGATTTTTAAATTTTTAAATCTCCCTCAGTTGATACTCTTTTACTGGTAAATTGAATTTCATCTAATAATGGTCTTTGGATCTTTTCAGGCTGTTCTTAACAATCTTCAACATCAAGAAGGGACCCATAGAACAGAGATGCAGGAGCTCAGAAAGGTGGGTTGGATCCCAAATGCTCAGGTGTCAGTATGCTCCAGAAGCATCAGTGCCAGCATTCTCACCAGCTGTTTGTTCCTGAAATTCCCCTGCTTTACCCTTTAACTCCCAAGATCTGATTGTTAATTCTCCCCTCTAGCTGCTGCACATTTCCTTGTAAATTAGTTACGAGAATTTGGTGGTAAATCAAGATAATAAAAACTAAGTATTCTCATTATTTGCTAGCTGGAGAATATGCATACTGACATTAGAGTGCAAAGGGTTCAAGGTTTTGACCTAAGTCTCTTCTTAGGATTATATTTTAGAATAATTATTACTTTGCTCATTTCTTTCTTTGCCTTTAGGAACGTCAACGCCTGATGGAAGAAAACGAGCGCCTGGCTGTGCTTATGGAAAATGCTGAACAAGATGTGCATCATGTCACAGACTTACTGGATAAATCTGACAAGGAGAGGAAACGTCTGTCGGAGAGAAATGCCCAGCTCACCATTAATGGTATAAAATATATTTATGACTTATTTCTTGATCTGAAATTCTCTTCAGTCTGGGCTGTGAAGCCTGGGGATATTTTTATTTTGTCTGTAAGAGATGCTAGCACACAGCAAGTGTAAAATTTAATTGCTGAAGTTATTGCAACATTTAGCTCCTTTACCGACAGTCTGATGTCCCATTATACTCAGGCCTGTGTGAGGAGAGATACTGTGAGGGTAAAGTGTGTTACCTGAGAGCAAAACACCAATACCCTGATTACGTGTTGTTGTTGGAGTAATCTCCAATTGAGGGTTGCAAGTAATCCCATCATCTGGGATTACTTGGTTTTTGTTTTACTTCACTCTGTGAGTGGTCGAGAAAACTTACCCCACACTCTCAACCAATCAGATGCAAAACTAAAACCATGGCTTGGATACTTGTGTTTTCCTCAGGGCTTTAAGCATTGTTACTTTGAGTACTCATTGGCTCTTAAAGGTGTTTTCCTTTCCTCTAATTGGCTTTTGTCAGTGATTACTTTGGTTTTGGTATTATGACATTCAATCAAAGAGAGCTGTTCATGAACAGTGTTGACGATAATTGTCACAAATACCTCTCGAGCCTGAAATTGAACAATAACTTTGTAAGACTAATGGCCAATTGGTGTGTTTTATCACATACTAATGTTGTACCCTGTTGTTAAGATACTGCCATAAATGATGATGTTTTTTGTTGTTGTTTATTCAGAGAGGGAGCTTGTCATGGATCTAGAAAGACTTAAGTTGACCAAGTCTGTGAAGCCTAAGAAAAGTCGAGACAAGGTACAATTAACTGCTAACTTCTTTCTTCCAAGACAGTTTGTCTTATTGGCTGTAAGTTAACAAGGGTTACTAGGCAACTCATTGATAAAATACATGGGTTTCAGCCTTGTTTGTGCGATCAGCGTAGGAGTTGTTTCCAGATCTAAAAGCCAAATAAAACTGCTGAATGATCCAGCTATAGTAACTGACTGAGTGATTTTTCTCGACGAAGGCTAGAGACACAAGTGCGAACAAAGTGATGGGACTTGTCTGTGTTTTCTTTCCCTTTTTTTTGACTTTTTATCTTACTTTCAATCTTGCTGTTGTTTCTTTTTCATATCACTTTAAATTTTGTTAAATCTCTCTTACGCTTGTCACTTGCGTCTGTTTCGAGTGCTTGTGGAATTATCTTCAAGTAAATTAAACCAAGCTTTTCGTTCCGTCAGTCTCCTTCCAAGATAGAATCGCTAGTGAAAACGTTAGAGAAGGAGAGAGATTACTACAGAGGAGAATGTGAAACACTTCAAGGAATGATGAGGAAACGACTCTCTGCTTCGCCTCCTTCAAACCGCAAAGGAAGCAAGAGTAAAGGAAAGGTGAGATCCTGTGCGCAAGGTCACTCCCTTGAGTTGTAATCAAAACCAATTTCAAAGTGACCACCACAGCTAATCAGAACAAAGGTCAAAATCCGGGAAATCAATCCCAAAGTGTTCTCAATAGCCAATCAAAACACTAGAAAATGTCATTAGTAGCCAATGAGAATTCAAGGATACAACGCGCAAACTACTAGAAGCGCGGGAAAACACGGGTGGCCAAGACGCGATTGGTTTGTGTTATATTTGTTGTGGACCAGTTACGAAGCAAAGTGGTGCAAAAAAACGTGATCTTGAATTACTTCCCGCATTTGTTTGAAAATTATCCCTAGAAAACGCTGTATTGTATTGTATTTGCAGACGATTGGACATCTAGAGAGCATGACACAACTTTTGCAGGAGGAGAGAGACTTTTACAAACGAGAATGTGAACTTCTTAGAAATATGAAGGAGAAGAGCGTATTAATGTCACCTCCGACAAGAGAAAGGGTATTATGTTCACCTACTTTATTTAGTCCACTTTTCGATTGGGTCGCCAAACCAGAATCAAAGAAATTTCATCAGCGAAATACAAGGAAAACATCACGACAAGCTTAAGAGAATTATGCTGTTAAGTAAGAAGCGTAATTAACGCCTGCATTGTCCTGTAAGTGCCTTAATCGGGCTGCTTTTAACCAACCACGCTTGTCATGTCATGTCATGTTATGTCATGGATTTTGTCATGATTTTATTGATCGAGAAGGTAGATCATCGATGTGGTCTTCACCCAGATTTTCACTAATCCTTTTCTAATGTTGTTCCAGGTATCACGTGACAGCCCCAGCGAAGTGAACCGTTTGAGGAGAGAGAGGGATGAACTCCAGTCATTAGTAGAAAAATTCGAAAAACATCTCACAGAGGTGTGGAATTATGATATATTGTTATACTGTTGCTTAAAAATAGTGCTAGACTTAGTGATAGAATGGTATGTGCTTTTGAATCCGATCAATACACTGTAGGTCTTTGTTCAACCCTCTGACACCTAAGAGTGACTAGCATCTAATTTCTCATTTCGAAATCACCCCTGAATCGCGCTTAAGGTCATGAGAATAAAGGAAATGATCACCTACTGAAGAAGCTCGTTATTGAAACATTCTCCTGTCAGCACTCAAGGAAATGTATAGAGATCAGTGTGGATGTTTGGGTAAAAAAGGGTTACACCCTGTCTAGGTCATTGCACAAGACATGGTTCTCGGTTCTTCTCGTCACCAAGGGTATCCTGGTTGACGGCTTTGGCAGACTCGTATCCATTCATCACTTTTTTTCTGTCTGCAAAGAAATCTGGGAAGGGGATGGAGCGCACAAAAGCACTTGGGAAGGAGGGGGAAAAGTGGCTTCCCTTGATGAAACGCGAGTTTGCTGAATCCTTCCCGTCCTGATCAATCACTCGTCGAATAAGAAGAAGCAACAGGGTACGAGTGTGGGCCTTGGGTTACTCTATAATGGACTAGTATCTCATCCAGGGGGGGTACCAATACTGCTTCCGCAACAGAAATCACGACGAATTACACTTTTCCAGTCTAAAGGTTGCCTTCAGAGATATATGATATAGGTTGTACAGTTGTTGTATAGTTGTACGGTTGTACAATATCGCCTTTGTCAATTTTAGATTCAAGAGAATGTGAAAACACTGACGCAAGACAGGGACAATATTCAACTCCTTTACGAGCAGGTTAGCGATGCTTTTTTTCGATTATGAGGGCTCAAAGTGAGAACATGTAAGTGGTCTCGCATGCGGGAGCACGATCCTACTAGTGCTCAAGTCGCAATTGGTTTGAATTGTTTTTACCTTAATTTAATCGAGAAGGTGACGCGAGTTGTAAGCTCATTGGGGCAAAAAATGCAATGCCAAAGATGACTTTGCACACGTAATAGAAATTCCCTCCAAAGAGAGCACACAAAAACGTGTATTTACTCTTTCCAGGCCACGGACGAAATCCAAAGACTGCGCCGTCAGGTTTCTCAAGCCCGGTCTCCTTCACCCTCTCGAGCAGCCTCGGCTGTTTTGTTACGAGTGGAGTCTGAGAGAGACGCGGCACTAGCTGATCTTCGACGAACCAATACTCAACTTGACAATCTTGAGGACAAGCTTAAGGTTTGTAGCTATGTCGGAAATGAAGAAAGCCTAAAATTTACCGCAGTAGGAATTAAGATGCAATAAGTTTCATAACGTTTTTTCAGGCCTCTCAGGAAAGCAGTCTACAAGAAAGACGACGATATGAAGATAAAATAGAGCGACTGGAATCCATGTTGGAAAAGGCAAGTTTTTGCGAGGAAGCCGATTTTCGTCTTATCCGATAATGTTACTAATTTGTTACAATATAAATCAATTATCCTCGACATCAGGTAGAGGCAGATAGGAATGAGATGCACGCTCGAGTGACGTCACTAAGAAACATGGTGGCCAACCTCGAGGACCAATTGAAACAGACCTCGGCCCAGCTCTCCATGGCAAAGGACTCGGCCCTAGAACTTGAATCCGAGGTCATCAAGGTACAGCTAACCGCTGATCAAGCTAATCGCACAGCGGAAGACAGGGAAAGGAGATTGAACAGGAAGGCAGGGGAGCTACAAGCATCTGAAGAGAAATGTGCTCAGTTGGAGCGTAGATTAGGTCGGTATGCTACAACATTTTGAAAGATCACAAACAAGTTTGTCACAAGGGTTTAGCAAAAAAAAAGCCTCAGTTCGCCACGAGGATAATAACCTCAGATCTTTCGGTTTTGCCTTCTGTTGTTCTTTCACTGAGCGAAATCTTTACTAAACTCGTTCATAACAAGCGAATATGTGGAATGAAAAATGTCTTCCTCATTGTTTTTACTTGCGCGATGTTGTGCTGATTCTAGCAACATGCAAAACTCCTTTCGTCTAGAAACTTAAAATTACCTGCTTTAGCGGTGATAGTTATCTGTGGCTCAGTAGTGGGACAGAGCGCGTTATCCGAAAATTTGGGGCTAATTTCTTGTGGGAAACTCCGATTTTCCCTCTTTCTATTTAGTTGACAAGAGAGCTAAAAAAATTACCTTTTTTCTTATTAAACGCTAATTTTTTTCGTCTCTCTAGAGGAAATTGAGAAGAGAAATGAAGAGCAGAGTTTTGAAACTGCTGAGATAAAAGCCAGTCTGAAATCATTGGATCGTGAGAGAGATGACCTACAACAGCAAGTGGACGAGAAAACGGAAGAGATCATTCAAATGGAGGCCAAGAAAATACAGCTGGTTAGTTAGACAACAAATTCTCCTTGTCAGCAACTTACGAATTGTATACAGAACAGTATGGAGAATATGCATACTGATACTAGGGTGTACATAATGGTTTTTTTTTCCGGTTCCAATAAAGACAAACTAATTGTTTGCCTAAGACAATCCACAAAAGAATTTCTGGCATGAGGCGTTCTTTTTGTTGACTTTCTTATCAAACAACGCCGGGTAGTTAATTGCACAATTTTCCTAGGTGCTTCTGTCGTTACAACAATTTTCGATGTCCTTTTTGTTCGCGAAATTACTACGTCGTAGCAATTGGTGACACTATCGAACGAAAGTTGTACTTGCTGAGTTACTTTTTAACTGTTATAGAAGAAGTGTATGAACGGTACTAGAGAATTATTATTCAAAGAAAGCGTTGTTTTGAAAAGCGATATCAACAGAGTTCCAGAAACCACAGAGGACAAAGGAATAGTTTAGATCTTTCGATTTCACTTATTTCTTGAACATTTGTGTCTTCAATGGCGTGGTTAGCAGCGTTGCACTCGCTAAATTATCTTAAAACATACATTGATGGGGATGAGGTAAGATTTATTTATATTGACAGCTTCAACCAATCGTTCTGCAATCTTCCTGAATCTTATTACAATGTAATCTCAGTAAATATTCCAGTACTTCGCGTGTCGCGGCAAGAGAAGCCAACACTTTATTCCCGTGCCTCAGATCTCGCAGCTGAATCTGTCGAGATTTGCGGACTACGTGAAAATCGTTATTCATGATTACGTGAACGATAAATTTATTCAATACACAACAATATCTTTGATATCGAAATACCTCGTTGTAATTAGTCAGTTCCTTTAGCGACGAATTTGAAGGTGGTGACTGCTCGAGGAGAATAACTAAATGAAATGATGGGAAGGTTTCAAAAACAACGACTATAAAAAATGTATGGTCCTGCAATTGCTAGTTTATCATTGTGTAATTTTCCTTTCGTTGCCTTTAGGAGAAAGCTGAGAGCGAGTTAAAGATGAACATGGAAGATGTCGAGGCCCAGTTGAGGTATTCTGCGATGCTTTTTCATGATATAAACTGATTTAACGAAGTAGAAGAGCTAGTTAAGTCTGTAGTCAAAACAAAGAGGACCATTAATTCAAAGCTTATTTCGGTTTCTGTAGCTTTAAGTGACTGGAAGAGTTCTCTCCCCCCACCCCCACCCCCCTAAATGGGATGCTAGTCCAACTCAGGTTACCCCCCAGTTTTTGGCCAGGTTTCCCTAATCGTAACCATTTGCAGTCCTGGGTGGAGAGAGGCATGGTGAGAGTAGAGTGTCCTACCCAAGAACACATCACAACGACCCGGTCAGGTCTCGAACCCAGACCTCTCTTCTAAGAGCTCAGCCCGCTAACCGTAAGGCCGCCTTGTCTCCACCTTCAACGCACTCGGCGAGGTAAAGTCGGCAAAACAAAATTTCATACTTTATGTTTTTTTTCTTTTTCTTCTCACCAACAGTCACGCTTTAGAACAGAGCGGCCTCAAAGATAGAGAAATAAAGAGTCTACGGCGGCAGTTAGATTCCAGAGACGACGAACTGGCTGAAATGACACGAGGAAGAGAAGTGGCTTTGAAAGAGAACAGGCGACTGCAGGCAGATCTTAACACGATGACTGAGGAACATCAGGTAAGCAAAGAGAGTAACTAGTGTTTCCATTCAGGTACACTCTCAAAGGATAAAAGACGCTAACTACACTAACTAACAGAAGGCCAGCTACTCGTAATAAAATCAATAAACCTGCTTAACAGGGATGTCGTGCATATAAAGGAGAGTGGTAGATAGTATCTCTGGAAAGCCTGTTATTTTTAGTTTCAATTTGAATTCATTAAGAGAGTTAGATTGTTTTATCTCCTTAGGCAGGCTTTTCCATGACACAGCCTCGATATAGCTAAAACTTCATTTACAATAATTAGTGCAAGGCTTTGGAATGGATAGCTTGCAGACAGAAATAAAGCAGTCGAAACTCTTTAGACACTGCGACGCTTGAGGCATTGCTAATCCTAGCAGCTGAGTATGCAGGGCACGTGTCACATTTGAACCTAGACATTGTTTGGCTTACCGTCAACTCATTGACTTAGCTGGTAAACGCAGCGGTCGAACGTCAGGTATGCGCAAAGGTATCATTCCATTTTGGCTAGCTGCGCGCCATTTCCCGCGAAAAATTTTTAAATTTGTAAAAGCGAGAAAGATGAAGAAAGTTGCTTGTTGTTTCGCGAGCGTAAGTAAAGGAAATATTTTGAGTTCCCACTGAGAATCGAACCTCAGGCCTTTGGATTTCGCCCGTGATGTTCTACGCCTAATCCACAATGAACTCTTTAGTGAGCAAGGGCATCACCAGGTGGATATGTGAATCGCAGATAAAAGAACAGAAACTCTGGGTCCCTATGAGGAATCAAACCTTGACCTTAGAGCGGGAAAGATGTTCAGAATTTGTTCGTTGTGGGACAGACTGATAAAATGGTATGCCTATTTTCCAGTCCATTCATCAGCAACTTCAAGACGCTTTAGAAGAACAAGAGAGTTTGAAGGTACAAATAGCTGAGTACGCCAGACAAGTGGCTCGAGTGGAAGAACTTCTGGCTCAAAAGGTCGGTTCACCACAGTTAGATCATCGTCTTAGTTTTGTTGTTCCATACAACGTCCTTGAATCTTGGTTAAAAAAAAACCCTTCTTTTTAGCAAAATATCGTAAGTTTTTTGTGTTTGTTAGTGTTTTCGTCCCATTTATCTAAAGAGAAATATGAATTCTAAAAATTTTATCCGAGAAAAAGCGCCTCTCGATCGAGAGTCGTGGATCCAAACTAAACGTGACCGCATAGGCCAATAAGAACAAAAGGAAATGTTCGGAAAAGCCGATGAGGAATCGTGGTACAGGCGTCAAATGCGGGTGACCAAGTCGTGTTAGTTTTACTCTAACATTTGATTGGTTTTTGAGGTTGGCGCCGGAATTTTAGACCAATCATAGTGTAGAGTCAAGAGCGGGAAAATGCGGCTTACCAAGTCATGTTGGTTTTATTCTTACATTTGATTGATTAAGAGGGTGGCGCAGGATTTCTTTATCATTTCTGTATGTAGTGAAACAAACTCAGTGTAATCCCAGATTATTGTTACATTATTTTGACATTTGTCTGCAGGAACAAGAAAAAGAGGAACTTCTAGGGCAGTACCGAGTTCTGTCTGGTGAAACGGAGAGACTTGTCTCGGAGTCTAAGGCTTCTGCCGGACAAGTAAATAACTATCACATGGAACTAATACAGAAAGAACGCTCAGAGATGGAACTCAGCGATAAAATACGAAAGCTTGAAAGTGAAATACAACAGGTTGGTGACGACAATTTATTTTATGCATGTTTCTCGCTTTCGGGTTCACATGAAATTAATGTTGAGCGACAAGCTCCCTACTAGCGCAGACCATACTCTTTAAATCATAATAAAAACATGCAGGAAGGCCTCTCTTAAAGGGAATAAAAAGAATTTAACGAGGATATTCAAGACTGTATGCTGCGGAAATTGGCGAGAAGGTGTACTACATTCTAGTTTCTGACCCATAGAAAAACATTTTATCATTCTTAAAGATAACGATGCTTCATATTGCAAAGGCAAACGCTAAAAAAATACAATTCTGTTTACGTAGTGGATGTGAATTAATAAACATTAAAGAAATAATATCTTATGATTAAACTCCTATATAAACGTGAGCAAATTCTATTACCATTGCTAAGAAAACTTTCACAGTAAAATTTTTATTGGCTAATTTGGCAGCCGTAGTTTGGTCTTGTCACGCAACCCTCGAGAATTCTCGCTTTGCAGGACGGGATGAAACTACGGTCTCTTAAGAAACTTTAACCGAATATAACCTGAATTTGTCTTGGAAATCTTTCATCAGGTGAGAGTTTCGCTTAGGAATAAACGGCAACTGATGAGGAGAAATGTATTGCATCCACGCTCATCATCCGAGGAGATTTCTGAATAGCAAAAATTTAATCTCAACTTTGATATCGAACTTTAGATACTGGAGACAACTTTTATAAATATTAAGCATGTAGTTGATTGTTTATAAAGTTTCTGATTCAAAATGAAATGAGAAAAAGACAACCATACTTAATTTTAACCCTTGACACCCTACCATCAGTGTGCATATTCTCCATACTGTTCTCTATACATTTCCTGAAGCGCTGACAAGGAGAATTTGTTTAAAAATCAAGAGCTTTATAAGTTGGTGATCATTTCCTTGATTCTTGTGACCCTAATGTTTGATTCAGGCTTGAGTATGTAAGGAGAAATAAGAAGCTGGTCAGTCTTAGGGGTTAAAGGGTTGATAAAGAATTACTAATTGTTATTGAATGATTTCATAAATGGGGAATTCCAAACTAGGAAAATTGTTGAAAGGCAGTAATGAAGTATTTTACTAACTGTCATTTATTGTGCTCATTGAAATCGACTAATTGATTATTTAAATTTCAAAGCGTAATCTAGATTTAAAATGGTACATGTATTCAGTAATTTTCTTTTTCCTAATATTTCCGCACATTTTGGTCTTGCGTCAAGAGAATCTTTTAAAAGAACAACAAAACGTAACCTTTTTCATACTCTGTAATCCTTTTAAATTTTTAGTTCCTTCAACTTCAAAAGTACAAAATAATAACTTATAAGCAATGACACTGACTGATTAAAAATTTTGGTTAGGTTGTGTAAAATAGAGCCGACATGTAACCCATAGACACATAACACTAACCCCGCTAACCGATAACAAAAATTAGCCAGCATAAGTCTTAATTATGTACAAAGTAGATCGATTTCTACTTTGTTTATGATAACTGTAGCTCTCTAGGATTCAGAATTTTATGCGCGTTGTAAGCAAACGGGTTTGTAAATGACTATGGTAGGTCGTTTTAAGAAATTTAACGAAATTAAATACGATCCTACGAGAAATAAGTTTTAGTAAATTTTTGTTTTATTTGTAAAACTGAAATAAAGATTTTGCGACTACGTTTTTAATAACATCTGGATGTTTAGTGACTAATCTAAAATAAGCTAATATGGTTGAAACGAAAAATTTAAACTCGTTCCATTGTTAGCCACAAACCCTCCTAATAAAAGTCAAATCGATATAAGACGATCGGCAAACTAAAATATGACTTACGAACTTATAATATGACTTAAAAGCTCCTTACGGTGGCTAATTTACCTAATCAACTCAGACGACGACGACAGCGACGCTGCACCACAGATTTTTCCGAAACTTACCCCCTTTATACATACGGTATAGATAGCTGTTTTGCCTGAACTCGCCATAATAACTGATCTTGAGGCTTTGGGGCCAATACCTCAAAATGGAACTTGAGAAACACCTCGAAAACATCTTTATTTCAACCAATCACTTTGTGCATGAAAGCAGTCATGTGATAACGAACAAAATGTCATATCCTGTGGGCTTACATTCCATTGGATAGCCAACGAGGCACATAAACACACAAACCCTTCGAACCCAGGCCTTTTCCCCCGCCCGCTTTCTACAGTTATGCCCTTCCAGTGATCCATTGTTTAATGATCAGTTAAATTATCCAATCAGTATGGAGCTTCCCATCAAGCCTATGAGATTGAAGTGTCCAGTCTCACCCGGTCACTGGCGCAGATGGAGGAGCAGCTCAGACTGGCTAACGAAGATAGGGTAGGTGATAACTGAGTATGCGCAAGCAGAGACTCAAAATATCCCGGAAATCTCTTAATTACTGGATAAACTAATATATTGTATGAGAAATAAAGCCAAGGTAAGTGACAGTTTGCTCTAAGAACCGAAATTCGTGCTCTGAGGTTTTAAGGTCGCTTATGTGGTAAAATGTTTAAGATTGTTGAACAGAAATGTTATTTTTTATCAAATCTGCAATCTTTATGCTACAAACTGATTGCAGAGGGACCTCAAAGAGTGAGTATTTATGTGCACGGAAATAAAATTTATACCACAGACCTTGAGGACTATTAGGATGATTTGCCGAACTCCTAGACCTGAATTTTTAAAATTGATTCCTTTTCATAGTCGAAGGCACAATAAGAACGGCTGGTGAACTGGGGACGAGTAACCGGTTCTTGTAGAGATATGTTGATCTTGGTATTTGTTTTCAAAGAAGTTTTACAACCATTCTCATCCTTTCGTTTTTATGGCTATTTGATTTATAGGAGAGTATGATGCAAGATCTTTCAGCAGTCAGGGAACTTTGCATGAAACTGGACCAGACACGCGAATCTCTCTCCAGGCAACTGGCTGCAAAATCTTTAGATCATGATCAGGTTAAAATTCCTCAGTGTTAACCTTTTATACTTCACGTAACAGAGAACGATTCGCAATTACCATGATGAAACACTTTGATTATTTTGTACGTCAGCATTTTTTTAAAAATATATTTAACAAATAGATTCCAAGTTGCCGTGCGTCTGTTCAGTAATAGATCACAGAGGAGGTCAAAATGTGGTGAGAACAAAAAAGTGGCACACGAGGCGCAGCCGAGTGTGTCACTGATGTCACTTGGAATCTATTTGTTTTATATAATAAAGAATTAAAATATACGGAAAAAGTTTTAATTATGACGTCATCTATACGTCTGTCTTCCAATAGACCATAAGTGAGAACTAATCAGAATGCGTGCATAACTGAGCTTATTATATAAATATCTACAGATGCGGGAATTACTCGAAGACGCCAAGATGGAAACAGACGCACTACGGAAAAAGGTTTGGCCTGAAAGGATCATGTTCGAGAAAAGCAAAGATTATATTGCGTCTCATTTGTGACGAGAAATTTTCCTTAAAATGATGTTATTTTAGAAACCTATGTACGATTAGGCGCCATCATGATGAATCTTCTTTTGTTCTCTGTTTAGGTGTTTTCAGAGAAAGAGACTGTTAGAAGTTTAGAAGGAGTGTTAGCAAAGCAAAGAGAAAAGGTACTTTATTAAAACTTCTTGGTTATAACTCTGAGTTATTCCAGGTATTTTCGGTTCCAAGTTGCCTGCAATGCAGAGGTTTTCTTGACCAGAGTGCGCTTTACGATTACCTCATCGAAAGTTTGGCCGCCTTCGTGGATTTTCTAAAGCAGGGAAGGTTGCATAGAACAAGAAGTTTAAACCGCGTGGGAATGGGCAACAGGAAAGGAGGAAGGAGGGAAAGAAAGACACCCCTCGTCTATTTGCATTTCCTTTGCACTTCCTTGTCTTCCATGACGATGACGGTGGTCTGAACAATAGCATTTTATGCTAACAACAGAGGCTGAGAGATCGGTTTTTATTTTGACAGGAGTTTGTGGGAAAGAAGTCTTTAGAAACAACTTTGGAAGAAGTGGATAGATTGAAGGACAAACTGGCAAAAACAGACGAAGATAGGTGAGAACTAAGATGGGTAGGGAGCCTTAGGCTATGAAAAACAAACTTCACCTTTTAGCTAAAATGCTTTAATTTGGATTCGAAGAGTCAGTCACTCAAAACGAAATATCAACGAATGAAATTGGTTTCTGTTTGATCTCGGTTCTGTTCAGTTGTCTGGTACAAAACTTCTGGAATATAATAGCGAAGCGCACGCGCAGCGAAGCCCCATACCTGTAATAACGTTTACTCGCTGCAACAACTGTTTTTTTTCTTTTTTTTATTGATTTGTTTTGAACTTATTATTTTTTTAAAAATCATTTACTTTAAACTTCATTTACTATCAATATTTCATGACTGGAGGGTCTCTTAGGCGCCTATGATAAACCTTGGAAATGATATCAGACCATGGTATTTAATTTCCTTTCCTCTTTAGATCATATCAACGTCAAGAGGTCAACACTTTACGTAAAGCTTCTGAGAGACTTGAAGACGAAGTGGCCAAGTTGAAAAAGAAACTAGCCAACGAGAAATTTGAAAGGTGATTTATTTAGTTTGTGGGTTATTGCATCGAATCTTTGATAGAGTTGTCTGGGAAATCTTTGCTATGCAGAATGCAAGGAATGTAGTTCGGTCCCCAACCCACTCCTCTTGTGTTTCGAGAGTTATTTCCTAGTTTACTATCTGGTTTTAAAGAATTAAACGTCCTGAGTCAACATTCGCATCGTTAGGGTGTGATAGGAAACGCTCGAGTAAGGTACACAAACCCACTTTAATTTAAAAATAACAGGCCTTTAATTTAGGTTTTCCGTTCTTTGTGCAGGGAAAGGTTACTACAAGAAACGAGCCGAAAAGAACGAGATATTACCGGGTCAGCGTCCAGTAAGTATTTCTTTATCGTTTACAAGAGCATAACCATATTTTGCGGAACAATTTTTTTCGGTTCAAGTGACTGAAATTTCTGCTGGGAACATATTTTGGGATAGTTCTGTAAAACAGCGTAAAAGAAACGTAATACAGAAGAAATCCACGGGGTCCATAATTCGTTAATTGCTGTTCCGTCGGTGCGAAAACGAGAAACACGAATTTGACTCTTGATTCGCTTGCGGAGTTTGACTAAAGAAAACAACAAAAGCAGTTTTGTTTGCGCTTTAAGTAAATAAAGATACAATTTTAAAAAATACATTCTAAACGGAAAATTTATTCGAAGGGGAAAAAATTAAACATGCAGAGTGCGAGTTGGATAGCGGTTCATCGCTTTTTGTCTTTTTCAGGAGAGTCACTGACAGGCGGTTACTCTCGCAACACGGAGCAAAGGTTGTATACATCGTTCAGCAGTGGAGAATTTGCGAGACTAAAGCCCAAGGACATGTCTTCACCGCTAGCCTCTGATCACAGTGATACAGGCAGACGGCTGATATCACCCATTCGTAGGCGAAGCGTTGACGATGTAAGTTTCATCCGTTTGTAGGACGTTCCTTCGATGAAGAACACTTTTTCAAGAACACTTCTGCCTGCTTTTGAATCTTGAGCTTTGATCCTTTACACCCTAAGTATCAGCATGCATATTCTCCTTGCTGGTCTCTATACATTTCATTTGGTGCTGACAATGAGAAGCGCGAAAAGTAACTTGCTATCAAAGAAGTAGGAGGAGAGAAGGAAGTGCAAAAGTCAGGCGTAATTTGAACTTGAATGCATGAAGGGATCCAAAAATAGAGTGCCAACTAACTTACATATGTGCAAGAATGGAGTTCGGCTCTGCTAGTTTTTTTTTTTTTTTTTTTTCAGAATATGAAACTTCGCTAATCAACTCGTCGTTCAAAGTTTCTTTTTATTCCGTTTTTAGGACTTCTCAGATGCAAGCTAGCAAGAGTCAAATAAATTTCAGACAGTCCAAGGAGGGAACCGATCCGTTTCTAGGGCAGAAAAAATTGGAAGTACACAAAAATTCCTCATACATATTTCACATTGGATCTACTTTTATAAACCTTTGTAACTATCCGTCAACTAATTGATCAACTTATTTGTTTGATGCTTATTTACTCCTTAAGTATGTTATTGAGTTTTATAGTGTATATAAGATTTTATCAATGGTATAACCATACGTATCAGAAATTCACGTCAAGAGTATTGAGGTCAATTCCCTTCGAATATTATTTCCAATGATTCCGACTCAAACGAACTTACCGCAGTCTCGACAGACTTAAAAGAAAACTTTGTGATCGCTTTTCATGTTGGTGTATCGTGTTTTGCTCTGATCGCAAAAATTTAGGATTATTATTTGCAATTTGTTTTTGTAAGTATATGGAAATTTACTATAGAAAAATTAGTCCGAAAGTTTAATTGTTACCTCACTTTCGCAGCCTACCAGTCTCGACAATAAAGCGTCAGGTCATGGTTGCGCATGACCTTTTGACATCCGCAGTACAGTGGGCTCTGGAGTTGAGAATGCACATGATTATCGTCCAAACGGCGCATGCTCTACCGTCATTGTCTTTCTCAGTCGTCCCGAAATTGCGAGCAGCTAACGCGGACCGCGTTGATAGGCGAGTTATGATTGGTTGAGAAAAGGCTTCCCATCAACACTTTCTCCATTAGCTTTTTTCTTGCCGGACACGTTTTGAATGCGAATGGAGGAGAGTCAATATTGATAATTCGAAATAGCTTGTTTGTTTCTCCAACTCGAAGCTCCAACAAGCGGTTCAAATATAACTACCAAACAATGTCCAGCCTTTCTTACCAAAATGCAAGTCCATAGTTGTCAAATGCATTCGATTACAACCCACCGTAAGAAAATTGTTAGACTGATATGATGAATATTTGTAATTGAATTCAGTGTTTTCAAGAGTGTTAGGGAATTATTTGTACATTTTATAACGCTAAGAGAAATAAAGTTATTTTAAGAACCTTGTCCAGAAAATTCGTAGGTTTATCATTTATCTAGAGCGCCTTAAGCTGTCAAATAATATGGAGATTTTAATCATCTCTTTTTCCTTTTTGGTTTTAATCAACTGACTTAATTCACTATATCAACAGTTCAATCAGGAAAGGACATGGGAGGTTCCTGGACCGGGGTTTTGGAACATATTGATTCAAGTAGAGTTATTTATAGACAGTCTCTCACGGAGAAGTCTATTTTCAGAGACGTCATCCTGAAGACTAATCTTATCCGAATGTTTCGGGTGAAAACATTATCTTGTGAAGGAAGCGTCCAAAAACAGGCAAAATCCTCTTAAATCGGACAGAACAGTCGCAAATCGTACAAAACCGTCCAAAATTCGAGGATAGCTTCAAATGTCGGACCTAGCTATTTAAAATCGCACGGAGCGACCGATCTTTCCGAAATCAAGCAGAATCATTCTACTTAAGACTTACATGTTCAAAACCGGACGTAACTGTCCAAACTTGGACGAAGCCTACCTAAATTAAACGGAATCTTCCGGAAACTGACGAAGAGATCCGATATCGGACTATCGCGTCCACTGTCGGACTGATAAAGGCGATGAAATCGGACGAAAGCGTCCGAAGCCGGATGGAAGCGCACGAAATGGAACGAAAGCGTTCAAAAATCAGAGAACTGTCCGAAATTGTTTGAAAGACGAAAAACCAGGAAATTTTGTACCTAACAACTGGGCGTATCAACGAGTGACGGGTGATTTGGATAAACCTCTCCCCGCCAAAACAGCTCATATTTCTTTCCATTAGGAACAAAGCCCCCATATTTTAGCGCTTTTCGATTAAGTCTCTCACAACAACAATCATGGTCCATTAGCACAAAGAACTAAAAGTAGAATGTGTATGAAACCATTTTCAGCGAGGGAGAATTTTGGTTGCGCAAGATTCCTTGCCAAATTTGAATAACTTCAGCGACACCGCTCTAATAATTAATAATTTTAACACCGTCCGTAAAACGAAACTCAGATGCACTGATTACGTAACTGTAACCTCACAATCAGCTATTAGTAAGCACAAAGCCAATGGGAAGGAAAGGCGAATATGAAGCTTGTTGACTGAGGGCACTGAGAAGTAAGTCCAAAACAACATAAGTTCTTATCTCTCTGCGTTAACTCCGTCACCCATAAATGACTGCATGCGGTTTCCAATGTAAATTCCGGGGCAATGAGATAGTGCGACCTTATCAGAGTGTAGCGATCAAAAATAGATTTGAAAGCATTTCTTTCCAAATGCTATCAACGACTTCTCGAAACAATAGAAAGAGGTTCGACAATTTATAACCCCGTGACATATTTTTTGCGCTTTCAGGGATCGCTTTTCTCTCGTGAAAATAGTCTGTTTGAATTTGAGAATCCAAAACCTGAAAATAACAACAGGAAAAAAGACATCCAGTTCAAACCATAAAGTCATCTTTTTTTAATTTGTATGGTGGCTTTGCTTTTCGCCGGATAATCTCAGATATAGTAAATTATCTTTTGAAGGAAAGCATTTTTTTCTTTTGACACCATAGCTGACAAATTGACTAATGTTCTCATAGACATAAGTTTAGTCGAAAGGTCCACGACGTAGACAATTCACCAAACCAACATCAAAGAAAGATCAACATCATGTTCAACCCGGTAATGAAACGTCAGATTTTCATGTTCAAACCTCCGCAACAGCATTTTGGATTTAACTACTAGTGAGAAACTAGATCAAACCTCAAGCTTCAACTTAACACGAAGATTTTTGGGTATCGTGTCCGTGCTATAATTTTCGATATCAACATTCTTCGTGAGATGCCAGACGACCTTAGGTCATAACTCTAGGGTTACACTCTGCCAAATTTCGTCGATAAGTTAAAAGACGGTTTTTAGGAAGCTTACATAGAAGCCAAAAAAAAAAAAATCGCAATAAATCATAGGGTGATATGTATTTCTAATCATATTCGACACGGAAGACTTGAGGTAGATCTAAGTTCTGATTTGTTAAGGATTTTTTTATGTCCTTCGGATTTCTTAGGAGACATTTAATGGCGTGTTGAAGGATTGCAAGCAAGTGACCCAGAAGACGTGAAAAACAGCAGACCAACCATACGTTGATAGATTCTTAATGGACCGCTACTTTCGAATTCAAATCCTTTCAGTATAATCGAAAACTGAGTATCTTGCATCATCATTTATCACAACATTTTCAATACTACGCCACTTAACAGACTGCTTCTTCATTGTCTCGACACTGTTTGTCTACCGTTAATCGGATCCACGTTTTTGGTGGTTAAATCCTTGTAGACCTGACTGAAGGAACCCAGAACATACTTTACAAATGTGAAATGTCTTTTGTTCGAAGATTTGGGAATTCGTTCTAATCCCAAGGATCATTTGTTGTAGCGATAATGATAGGTCTTCGTTTCTCAAAGCGATTCTTGGCAAGATTATGAAGTGTTCTTTCAAGGACGTACTCGATTTGCTTTGAGTTTTCTTCGCGATCAAAAAAGAGGACGCTACTCAATTCATTCCCTGGTTCCGAAAGTAAGGCTTTAAAACAGCAAGAGGTGAGAGATTTAAAATTCTGGAAAATTCTCTGTTTTCTTACAAGATTATACAAAAATGTCTTTGCGAGTCTGTGCGAATTGCGCACAATTAGCTGCCGAGACATGTGTAAATCTGTATGTTTATTAACCACCGAAGGATTGTCTTACATATTCTAGTGTTCCGCAACTTGATATCTTATATACTTTATAAAACTTGCTCATAAATAATAAAAATGCATCTAACAGCAAAAATCTTGGAATTGTGAACAAAGCGTAAGTTTAGAGAGCGAAAAATTGTCCTCGTGCTCCTAATAATAATGAATCCTTTCTGTAAACGGCGCTAGTTGATATATCTTCACTCTTCCTAACAAAATTTTTCCAGTCAGTAGAGATGAGATGTTTCTCAGATCTCAGCTGTTTAAATTTTTTCATTTTCACCTTCAATAAAAATGTGAACATTCTTTCCAAATCTTCAGCAGATATTCTTGTTTATGTTTGTATTCGTCTCCTGATGACAACCACACAAACAGCTGAAACCTTCATATTTTTAAATGAAAGCAACCTTAAAAAAACTTATAACAAATCATACTGAGCTTAATTTCATGCGCTATAGATGGGCAAGGCTAGAATCTGCTCCGTTGTGTGTATTTTAATTGTTCACAACGAAGGTAAATTTATTTGGCTGGATATAAAGAAACGAAAGTTGGCTTTTTGATGAAGTTGCAGACGATGCTTGTTGTCACGCGGGGAAATGAAGGTTTTCTCAAACTCAGAGAGGAGAGATTGTGTTCTGAGACAGTAAGATGTTGTTTGTCATAGCTCATCAGAAATGTCTGTGTTATTCAAAATCTAATAAATTTTAATGCAGCTTGCTGTTTTAATATGAAATTTCAGTTGCATCTTGCCGATGAAACGTTTACAACTTCCTCCGATGACTATTATTTAGATGAAAAGAAATTTCGAGCCTGCAAAACAGAGAGAGAAAGGATATTAGCTTTAGAATTAAAGTCTGCGACACAGAGGTAACGTTTAAAAAGCATTTCACTACAACATTTTCATCGGCTGCTAAGTCTTCAAAAGCTGTCAGTATCTACTCTTGCCTTAGCATCTTGCGCCATTTTCCTTTGGTGGAAAAATTGTGGTAGTTTAATTTCAAAACGAAATGAAATCATCCATGTTCTAATAATCGAAGTTCAGTGAAAAGGTTACACAGAAAATTAGTAATTAAATGCATTTTTCCAATCACTCTGTTCGATTTTTTTCATCTGGTGTAAATGAAGAAGCCTTAGGCCTCTCAGGGGTCATCAGTAGTTCCTGTGCCGTCTAGCACCTTTCATGTCCATTAAGTTGTGGTTTGCAAAAATCACGCATATATTTACCTTTACTTAGAAGCAAAATTTAGGTTTTGCTCCTGAATATGGAATTGAGAAGAGCCTTTAGGGCACAAAAAACACATCTGCTTGGAATTAAATAGAGAAGTTAGCGGTTGACAATCCTAAACATAAGTTGCTAATTGGAATTTAAACACTCCATTACTCTTGGAGTATACGTGAGATTTCCGTTAAAACTATAATTTGTTGAAGTAAACCTTACTGAAACAGAATGGTCTTTTGGTGTTCTCCGTTTCTAACAAAGGAAATTTTACATTTAAAATTCAAATCTTAAACTGTTTATTCAGAGAATGTGCCAAATTTTCCTGAAATGCATTTTTTCATTAGACCACGATGACTCCGCCACACAATTATCGATATTGTTTTCATTATACATGTCATTAGTCTATAAAATTTGAAAGAATACGATGAGTGCTACGTAGACAAAATACAAACTGGTTTGTCTTTGAATTTGCACGCAAAGGTTATGGGTTCAAAGAAAGTCAACGTTTAAGAAGATTTAGGCTTTGCTAAAATGAAGCCAACAACATTGGGTTAATTTGATATGTCTTAGTTGTTAGATGCCGATATTGACCATCTTAGTCATGAGTTTCTCACGGATGTTGGAAGCGTTTTGTGGCTTGACTTCCTGTGGTAGAAAATGGCCCCAACTACGAAGTTGTTTATAGTTGTTTATCAAGCTAATTAAAGCATTCTTTGTGACACCACATCGTCCCACCCCCAGATGATCATAATTCATAGCTCGGCTCCGCCCTCTGATGAAGCTTTTTTAAAAGTTTACAAAGCCCATTTGAAACACCATCTAGTTCTCAAGACTGATACAAACGATCTTGCCTCATCCCACGATAGTCCTCGGTTTTGAAGAACAAATCTCTGGGCGCTCCATTAACCAGAACGTTTTCCGCGAACGAGAAGTTTTGTCATTGTTTGGGTAGCTAATGTGATTGTTATCTCATTATTATGAACCAAACTCCTCAACCATTAGCAAATATTACGTCTGACTCTCACGAAAGTTGTCCAAGTTTAATTAATGCCTCTATGCAAACGTCTACCTCAGAATGGCTTTTTCACTTGGACAAATGCCGATGAAATAACCAGCATTTGGACATTGCGTCCTAAATGATTTTAAAGAGCAAACAAGAAACGTTATTACCGAAAACCAATGCTGTAGATATATTCCGGAAAAGGTTGGACATTCTTCTCCGATAATCATATATCCAAAAACTAAGTCTAAGTTTTGTTTTCACTGTGGTTAGTTACAATCAGATAATGTTTTGCAAAACGTTAATGTTACGAAGAATAAAAGCGATTTTTAGCGAACAATTTTGTGGCCTGCTGACTTGGCAAAGCCAGTTTCTAAAGCATGGGATGTTCATTCTCTCTGTCTACTGACTAAATAAAATATTCAGTGATTCTTTCACAAAGCTGATTTGCAAAGCATCTCCGTGAAATACTTTGTATTTCTTTCAAAGATTAAATTGAAGACTGGAATGATCTGTTTCAGTTTGTAAGAGTCCATCAAAATGTATCCCAGCAAAGATTTTCTTTTGAACTCCAGAAGTGATATCAGGAGTGTAAGGGACTACAGTGTAATTTCGTAAAATTAAACAAAGCCGAAAAAGATGCAAATAATAAAAGGAAATAGTTACAGTCTCGCGGCCGTCTGTGACACTCACTATGTCTTCTACTATGATAACGTTGCACATGTAAAGGACCTCAAAATCTCCCAGTTTTTATCTTACCCATCATCACATCTCGCTTTCACAGAGTCCAAAAGCATTTAAGAACTCTTTAGAATTCCGAACAGCATTGTTTGTTGAAATAACACGAAATAAAACCTTGGAGAACGGTCGTCGTGTAAGGAAGTGAATATGACAGGTCGACATTTTGTTCGACTTCTGGAGCTTGTCAGAGCACTTGGACACTAAACACGAAGTTCTCTGTTTATCATCACTGCGCTTTTTAAATCAGACAGGACACTACTATTACGACAATCGTTAATATAATACGCGTTTATTTTTGAACCCGAGAAAACCACTCTTTCGCACTATTATGACGGATTCAAGATGGAAATCATTTTGAACAACCTGAAAATTCACCATGGCCACACAGCAAAAACTGCTAGCGCTCTTTGCAGTAAGTTTCTAAACTAATTTCTTATTCATCAAATGTTTTTTATTGTAGGGAAGTTAAGTGATGAGTTTTTAATATGTATATAGACTAGACACCTTATGACTCAACGTAAAAATATCAATTATTACACAACTATTCTCGAGATCATCGATAACCAACATCCCAAATAACCTCTATAGGTATTCAACAACCACCTTTGGGTTCCCCGAACATCATTTACAATTTATAAGTGGCTCTTTACAGAATATTTAGGCCGCAATGCAGATTCAATTTCCTGTTAATTTCCAACATTTTCCCATTAAAGATAAGTAGAAACAAATGTCTCAATAGTAACATAACAGAATCCTTTCGCTTCGCAAGCCATTTTTCCCACCAGCCTCGTATGACGAAGGTGTTACGTTCTTTAGCGGAATCACTTCGTGTTTCCTGAACACGTCTTCAATCATTTCGCGTAAATGATCTCAGTTTGGGCTGAACTTAGTTACAACATGTGGATAAACACACTTTTCAATATTTTTGTGCAGAAAGATTCGCCAGATGAAATTTATCATTACGCAACAGATTGTTGTTTGAGGCTTCCCACGAGCTCCAATGCCCATACGTGTTGCGGCCATCCTGTTCTGGAGCTTCGACGCGGCGGGGAAGAGAGTCTCTGTTTTTCGTCACAATTCTGTATCACAAAGCAAATTACAAAAAAAAGGTACTTAATCCCAGGCTCATAACAAAGCGAAAAAAAATACTTCCATCACTTTACATGCGTGGATTTAATCACGTTGCCGTTTGTCTACCGCAACTGGAATTGGTCAATGGCATGTTAGCTGAAATAAATGAATTAAAACAACCAAACAAGCTGTTCGCAATTAGTTCCACTTTTAATAAAGAAAAGAGCTGGAACCCCATAGAGAACCACGATGGTATTGTAACACATTTGAAGGAACATTATCGCTCAAATTTGTTGAGATTCAACGCCATAATTTTACCTTCTTGCAAAATGAACCATCAAGTCGGAGTGAAAGTATGTTCATTGCATTCTCGATGTCTTAACCGCTCGTCCGTTGACCGAAGTCAGTTAGTTGTTTAAGTACTTAGGACTGCTATTAAATGTAAAGCAATTATGTAATAATGACCTAAGCAGGAAACTCCACTCGAAAATTGCATTTCAGTATTTCGAGCTCACAGTTAACCTCCTAATATTCAAGATGCTCTTTTGTTATTTACCTTCGGTGAAGAATCTAATCGATCAGAACTGTTGCTGTCATTGCTAACAGTGTCGTCGTTGTTGTCTGTTTTGCGGCGTGATTCCTCAGGAGGCGTAACAATTTCCTGGCCTTGGCTTTCATCTTCCAGTTGATTCTCCAAATGATGAATGTAGCTCATCGCAAGTTTGAGTGTTTTGATTTTGGATAACTTAGTGTCGGAGGGAACATTGGGTATGTGTTTCCTCAAATCATCAAACGCAGCGTTTATGTTCTGCGTTCGTCTTCGTTCCTTTCTACTTGTCGCCGTTTTAGGTTTGGCTCTCCTTCTCCGGCAGCCTCCGTTAACATCTTGCTTGCTTGTGGGAGAACCGCTTTCTTCTTCGATTTCCGTCTTAAGAACATCGTGATCGTCCATGTTAAAACGTCTCCAAAGTCTTGATATTCCACTTACACGGTTTCAACTATAAATCTGGCGAAATCGCTGTCCAAACTCTCCGTACGATTTGTTTGGGAATCTCTACGCAGACAGCTGCTGAATGGGTTAAGCCAAAATTATACAACCGATTCTCAGAGTTTCTAGGTGCTATTGTTTTCAAACAGCTCTCTGTCGGTGCGAATCTGTCCCAGAATCCCACCCGAGTGTTTTCACGTGCGTGAGTGTTGATCAGTGAAAGCCGTGTGATATCTCTCATCGATTTCCGTTCTCTTATCTTCCTTGACCTAAACCTCCACTGACATGTGTTCAATTGTTAATTTCTGCTTACCAGTGTTTATACTTTCATTAGCCTTTTGGCGCCACAATTTAAAGAAGAAGCAATGTTGCGTGTGGTCGTTGCTCCAATGTTTCAAAAATGAGACATAAAGCTATGTAAAAACTAAGGATTTGGCCTCTCCCAAGAAGCGGGAAAAATCAATTTTCACTTGCGACATAGCAGACTTGGCATGCTATCAATTTGCACATTTTAGGCGTTAATGCACTGATAGTTTTGGTACGCACCATCAGCTGGAATATCGAGACAATCTGTAACAATTTTGCATCATTATTCCAAATACCAAGTAAAACAATAGGAGTTGGTGATGCGCAGTGCTTAAGATCCCAGAGCTAAAAATTGCCTTCAAAGCCACGTTTTGACCAAAAAGTGCTGGCAGCTAACGAAATTGGTTGTCTCTGGGCATTCGATTGGTTATCATTTGAAACTCAGGAAATCTTACAAGATAAATCCTGCCCAAGCGATAAAAACGCCAGCATTGTTAGCCTTCTGTCTTGTTTTCTGCCTCTCTTGGAGCAATCTGCTTACGAACTATACTCGGGCACACTCATCACAAATCTAGGGGAGAGCAGATTTTTTTTCCTATTTAAAAATCGAATTTATGGGAGCTCATCTAATATCAGCATTCAGAAATGTTAAAGATGACTCTTTTCCGGCTTTCCCATGCTCGTGGAATACAATGTACACCTGAGTATTCAAAATATGAGGAGGATCCGATTGAGGAGGCTTTTAATTCCAGCTTGAAAAAATAACCGGTCAACCACAACCGAGAATTAGAGATATCCCAAGTGATAGGTCAAAACATTATTATTTCAGGCCTCTGTACTTCTCAAAGGGCATATTTTTTAATTCCCTGAAGCCGGATCTTTGCCAATCAACGCTTCGTGTAGCCGTGAGAAATATATCAAGTAAGTGTCATTTTCGTGTTCAGAAAACTAGACAGTTGTACTTTTGTCTTTCAGCGCGAGGCTGGTTGAAACATTTCAGTTTGACATTAACGTCCAAATTAATTCAGCTTTTCCATCATCGTGTGATTTGCATAACTAATTGATTTAACAATGTGGGAAATCTTTGACCTTCACTTGATTATGTAATTGCACCGTAGCTAAGTCGTGGGAATAAATTGGTTTTGAAATATCCTTTGAAACCTCTTATGAGGTGTTTTAGTCATTAAGGCTGTGATAGAAATTACTTAGAAATTTAACTCAAAAAACGAATCTTGCGAAAAGAAAAAGCTGCAGCCTACAGCTATGCACAGTCTAGTTCATTTTAGGTTAACTTGAACACACAAAAAGATACCTTTTCGTCTCTCAGCTTTGACCTACACCTAATCATATGATGCAGAAGGCAAAAAGTACTTTACTCGCATTCTTAAAATGAATTATTGATCTTTTAGCATCTAGAGAGTCTTAATAAGTCTGAGTAGTTCTCTGAATTAATCTTCAAACTAATTTGTCTGGTGTAAGGAAGGGAACCTTTGTCTTAAATAGGCGTACAATGGGATTCAGTTCCAGTCGCATGTCGAATCAGTATGAATTACCAAAATTTCAAATGACTCTGTATTTGGAAAAACTGTGATACCTTTTTGACCTTCCGTGCCATCACGTCAAAGATCTTAGTTTACCCTTTGAGTCAAAGATACCAGAATTAAACCAACAAACTGAATCTTAAATTTTCCAAGTTAAGTAGTTTTCGTTCGTCTAGGCCTTTCAAACCGACGTGCCCTTCTCTCTCTAAAAACCACAGTCAGTTTAGGGTTCTACAGCTTTTTTTAATTATACTAATTCCGTTCTATTTAACGGAAGGTCAAAGCCTGGGGCATGAAACACCTTTACCTCACACACACACACACCTACGGGTTCACCCACAACGTGTGCTGCACGTATGAATCAGCGAAAATTAGAGCTTTTAACCTATCAAAGACATTTTTAGCTATGAGTAATAAACGTGTCAACAGTTGAGAACTTACGTTTCCCCTAGAAAACCCACAACTCACATAACAGTGGGTTTTAAGTGACAGGTAACTTATCTCTTCGCGCTAAATCTTCCGTGTGCCCCGAGGGTTAGATTTTTAAGAATCACGTATGTGACCAATTTTGCTTTAAATGTCTGTCTCTGCATCGAAGACTTAAATTTATGAACATCGGCAATTGGAGACAGTCTTTGTATTTCCATATGCAAACGTTTTGATGGGATAAAAGAAATCCTGCCGCAGAGATTTTCGAGTCCATGACGGTTTCTTACGAACCATGTAGTTGTACTTTCCTTCAATTTATCATTGACTATCAACAATATTAAGTAATATCACAAGTAATAAAAACACGCGTAAGATATCTTATCTGATTCAAAACCAAATGGGAAGGCATTTGTTGAAGTAACCAGTGTAGTCGTAGTTGGTTTTTTAAATGTAATATGGCACCAAAATTATCAGTCACGGCGCAAACGCTGTAAGCTAAACTACCTAATGTAGTAGTTTATTAAAGAACATACAGTATTGTTGCAGTACTAACAACGATTTCTATGCGAAGGTATGAAATCAAGCCATGTACGATTTCTATATATCTTCATGAAAATACAATCACAAGGTTTTGATAATTTTGTTGTGTAAGAGTCTGTTAATAGTCCCATTCAGACGGTATTGGCGCTGCGGTATATTCAATTTGCCTTATTCTGAAACGTATATTGGAGAAAACAAATTGCTAATTAAGAATGGTCAGTACCGCAAATGAAAGAAGCATTTCTATCATCTACTGCTTAGTAAAGTTTTGTCGTACTTGGTAGTGTCATTCTCCTTCATCCGAACAGGGGAAAAAAATCGCCTATGTGAGCTTCCTTACGCTAACTATCTATATATCAATAACAATAAAATCCCTCTAGTAAACATGGTAATTATCCTACTTACACAGTGCGATGAAAGCCGAGTTTGGAGGTTAGAATAGCATTACTAGGACTGAAGGCATGTGAACAGAATTGATCCTGAACTCTGCTCGAAAATCAAACGAGGAAAGTAACCGTCTGATTGGAGAGCTCTTAGTCCTCGCTTCACATTGTAACAGGCCAGCTAATCAGCCTTCCCTGCAAAGAAAACGTTATTGTTTCGCGCTACAGTATTTCAACACAACTTACTTTTCAAAAGCCGGTTGTGACTCTTTGACCTGCCAAAAGTGTCTTCCAAATCTAATTTTCTAGGCAGTTTAGCAAGAATTGCAAATCCTCTCGCTCGAGGTTTAACTGAAAATACCAATTCTAATATTTCTTGGAAATTCTCGCAGAAAAGGAACAATGTGTTTTGTTTACCAAACTTAGTTAATTATAAGCTCAAAATGTTCTTAAGAGCCGTTTGAAATGGCAGAGTATCGTGTCTTCGTCAGTCTCCATGCAGACAACTCAGTCGGCTTATGAGGGCGTCGAATATGTCGCTTTAGACTTAAATCCCAAATTCACATATCTTTAGGTTCCGTTTTACCATGACTAGACGTGCCCTTAGCTAAAATTACGGCGTGAGAAATAGCGACAGAGTCGTTAAAATTCCGTATAATTTTAGCCAACTGTGGGACGTTTGTTGGTTGAATTTAGAGCTATTCAGGCAAGTAGTCTCATACTAAAATTAATTCTGTGAACAGACTTAAGGTACAACTCTGGTTTCTTTTTTTTTTACACTCCAGTTTTACTTATTTGATTACATTGAATTACACGCTTAACATCCTGATTGATCAGTAACCGATAGAATTGTTTGGTTATCGTCAAAATACAATCTTCTTTACTGAAACTGCAACTTAGATATCTTGGAAAACGCACGGTACAGTGGCTACGAAGACATCTCATTTTTTGTCTAGACGGCTTGGGTTTGAAACTACGAATAACTCGAGCGAGCGTCTTTACTAAGCAATACTAAGGTTAACACGCGGAAAATTTTACTATTTCACTCGTGTCTAAAAACTTCAAATGAGTTCGTCACTTTTAAAACTTCGAGAGCTATTTAGGAATATTCAACAGATTTGGTTCATACATGGGTGCCTTGGACCTCAGCCAAGTAGAATATCTCTAAAGAAAGTCATCAGCATTTTTTCGATATACGATGTAACTCGCTTGATAAGGCTATGGCAAACTTTTTAAAATACTTATTGCGTTTACTACAGAGCATTGACAGCATGGCAACGGAACAACAGCCATCGTCTCAATCAATTTAGAATTCAGTTTCGCCATGGAGCCAATCATGGTTCAAGAACTGAGCGATGGGTTAATACATTATCTATGCAAAGCATTTCGCAAATAATAGGATTGTACCGTCGGCTTTTTGGTTCTCAAGTACAGTTGGACTGATGTTCTCTCTTACAGGATCTTCCTTCTTTTCAGTGCTTTGGAACAAAAATTTTTGGGTTGCCATGACATTGTCTGACTGGAGTAGATGACATCATCTCTACGTTTTATTGATCCTCTTGACAGAAAGGAATTCTTACTTATTTGAAAAACGAAAAAAAAAGTTATTTGACGTTTTGTAAACCCCAAATTCTCAGTAATACGACTTCATTTTACCTTCACTCGGCATATCGTGTTCAAGTGAATATTTTGAATGTTTCTGATAGTGCCTAAATTTTAGTCATGCAAGATTACTTTGCATTCATCGCGGGGAAAGATATATTTTCTATTAATCTTCTCTCCCAACGCGAAAAGGGGATAACTAAGAGGTATAAGAAAGACTTAAAAAAATAGTCAAAATATTTTCAGCTGTGTAGCTTTTACGCATATCGCAAATAAATCGCGATTTCTAGTATTTATCGTTCGAGAGGTAGACGGTTATAATGGGATTAGGGCCAACAGTTTCCGTCTGATAGGAAACTCACGCGACATAAAAAAGCAAAACAGAACTGCTCTACATGTCTTGGGTGTTAAATTTAAACAATCCATTATCGAGATTAGACAGTTGAAAGGTTGTAAGACAATTTTGGGGTGTTATTTCGCCGCTTTCGCTCTTTGTCGTGAGTTTGATTTTGTGGAGAGTTCAAGTTGGTGTATCACCCTGGCTTTCCCCCATCTTAAATACTTGACATAAAGCTCCTTATCTCACTGAAAGATGGCTTTTACACAAAACAATCAACAGTGAAATTCTAGTGTACATAGCAGGCAGTTCGAGTGCATCTTTACGGCATAACCTGCAAAGGTTTTTTTCGTTGTCATTTCCGGAATTTACACCTTAACGGTAAGTTTCTGTTGTAGTTTTAAATCCCAGAGAGCTAATACTAATCCATTTGTGGCTTTCGAAAACGAATATATCATTCTGCGCGTAGACTATGTCATTGTTAGGTGTTATCTTCGCAGATAAAGCTCTAAGTGCAATTATAACACTCTTCGTCGTGCCAAACGAAGTCACACGTAGCATGAATGCGACAGGACAAAATTGAATTTACAAACTAGCCTGATCTGCACCACTAAAGTTAGAACAGTTTAATGATGTTGCTAGAACGATAGTTTGTTAACAGTTTCAGTTGACAAATAGGTTTAATTTGTTCAGGGAATAATTAAAAAGTAATTTAAATGTTTACTTTCTTTCCAGCGCTCCACTAAATAGCCACAGATGTAGAGCAACTCCAAGAATTATGAACCTTAAGTGGGAACTGTAATGAACACCAGTCTGAAGACTCTTAAGCTTAGAGCTAAGAACGGTCTTTTGTGGAGCTGTTAAAGTGATTATAACGTGCCATTCTTAATGTTTGACCTTTTGACAGATTAGACGTTTTAAGTCGTTTTAAGTATTTTCAAGAAGACGAGGAGATAGTCTAAGACTGCCACTGAGTGCAAAGTTAAAAGAGATAACAGAAGGCAAAGGTCTAACTTTATCAACCTGATAATTTGTTATCTAAAAATTCATTTACTCCTAAACCGAAGTTTTTTGTCATTTTTATCAAATAATAAGCATTCTTGAAGTACTTCGTGGGCGTAAATAATCACAAACATATGTTCACTGATGTGTTTTAAATGATGGTTTGTGGAAGCTATTGATGATATTGAATAAACTATAAAGCACATTGAAGTGAGTGAGAAAATCTAATCAACGAAAATTAAAGAAACATTTACGCTGTGCGGTCCTACAATTTCATCAAACCGATAAGATTTCAAAATGGCTAATCTGTTCCTCGGGCGTGTGTGTTCTAACGGAAAGTTCGCCATTTAACTTGTTTCTGAAACAGTTTCGCTGGGTTCCACGAGTTTATACAAGGAAATTTTACTTTAGTAAGTTTTACTATAACTTGTTATCGATCTGAGAAACAACTGATTAGTTTAAACGTTTTAAAACTTTCATCAAAGTATTTTCACCGCACACAGAAAAAAGTCCTCATCACGAAAAGCATTCTCAAGTAATTTCTTAATGAATAAAGCCTTAGTTTTATTAAGCATTGTTTCCTTTTCGTATTTAAGTGCAGTTCTTTCGGAATCACTCAGCAGAAGGATGAAAAAATAAAAGTAAACACTTCCCTTCGTGGTTATTTTACGCGGACTGAATTGCAGCTACAAATTACTACAACTGGTTTAACTTCAATCAAAACAACTGCACGTTTAAATTTCTAGAGGAAACTTGAAAAAAAAACCTATATTTGGAATATTTTTGTACAGAAGATCTGTTTGTCATGAACAAATCGCATATTCACGTGAAAATATCTACGTTCATGGACAAAAACCTGTCTATTTGTTATTCCAAGAGATCTTATTTTTCTACGAAGTTGTTTGAATTTCAAGTTTTCCCCCCAATTTTTACTTTTAATAAACGGATAAAACTGTCAGCAAAACACTGAGGAAAATTTCTCACGAGAGTTTACTTAAATCTCAAGGGGAAACAGACCTCATAAGAAACACGTGAATTTCTGAGAAAGAGACCTTTCTTCTTTAAGGGAAGCAGATATCCCGTTACTCAGATTAAGGAATCTATTATTTTGAAAGGGCTCTTGAAAGACAAAGTAATCCACAAAATAAATTATTAATGCGTACTCTAGACATAATTGAATAAAGCAAGGTCGAAACCCTCCGCGGAAGAGCAAGACCTTCCACTTCTGATGAGCTTCATGGTGAGGAGGCAACTTTTGGCAGGGTTTTTTGTCGTGACTTCTACGAATCTCTCGAGAAACAAACACTTGCGTTAATTGCCTTTTTCTTATTTGTTACATCAGTTATGTCGAAGATTCATTGTACTTATTATTCATCACACTCCTGACACATCTATTATCCTTGAAATAGGGAGTTTGAGGAAAGTATTGTTCCTTTACTCAGTAAATTCACTCGCAATGTGAGAGATCGGAAATTCTGGAAATTCCTCTTGATTTTCTTAGAAAATAATTCAATTAAACAAACAAGCAATGTGTGAACGGGAAATTTTAGTTAGTTATAAAAAAATGCCAATTAATGTAAGAGAATATTTTAAAAACCGACTTAGACTTTGTTCGCTTCTGATCCTTATTACTTCAAGAGACGTCACCATTTTTGGAGGACATGTCTTACGGTTTTCTACAGTGTAGTCTCGTTCAGTTCATGAATGACCGTTTACCAAGAAGTTAAAATAATCATTTTAAAAAGAAAAAGAAATTGATATACCTATTAGTTTGCGACATGGGAGTGATCATCAATTCCTAACTGATTGGTGACTTGGTAAATTTGAAATTATTTCTGTTTATAGTTAGAAATAAGTTACTGAGGTACACTGATCCTGGTTCGTGAAGAAATCTCACGAAATCGAGGAAAGCAAACTCCATAGAACTACTTTTCCCGAAATGAGAAGGGAGAAAAGAAAAACGTGTTTGCAATGGTCTCGAGTTAGTTCAGTTTTGTAAATTTTACAGAAATACAACTCATTTTTATTTTTGTTCGAGGAACATTTTCATGAATGTATTCAAAAAACGCGAGTGTTCGTAAGTACTAAGAAATAATCTGGATCGAAGACTGTAGATCGATTTCAAATTGACTGGTCTATTAACGGTTTTCTTTACCTTGACTAACGTATAATGCGGTCATTTCAGTCGCAGGAAGAACTTGTCTTTAGCAGGCAAACGAACTTAAGTGCACGGGTAACAAAATTATCCAGTGCAGTGTCGTGAATACATCCACTCATGTTTTTTCGAGTTCCTTGATGTAATCGGCGTTCTGGTTAGGTTTCATTAACTCATACCGGCGAACCAAGTTCAGGTGATACACTTGATCGAATTTTCCGAGTCGGTGTCTTGTGAAATAGTTAGAGCAATGTAAAAATTTGCAAAAAAAGATTTTTGAAAAGACGGTTACGTTTTTATAGGATTCGATAGGGATTTAATCCTTTACAGCAAAAGCTGTCTCTCTCTCTTGATCGCCCTTTAACGAGTGAAATGTTTTGTCAAAAACTCCTCCGCTTTGCAGCAAAAGCCTACTCTTGATTACTCTTTTATGAATGAAACGTTTTTTTAAAATTCCTCTGCGCATTACGTTTTGGCCGCACGTAGTTTTCCTTTGGCGCTCATGTCCTGTTTGCCTCTAGAATATTTTACAGCACTGCTTTAACCAGGCGGCTGGTTCGTTTCACATACTGACTCTTTGCCTTCAGCAGCGGGAGAAAAGAGAAAAACGTCATTTCTCGGCTTTAACCCTCTTGCATATCAGTTGAGATTTCTAGAGCACGGGCGAGGCAGCTAAAACCATGTTCTAAATAAGAAATCCGGCTCATTTTCAACCACAAACCGCAAAATTTCTTAATACTTCTTGGATTTAGGTTCAAACGCCGATGTGCGAGAGAAAAACGTGTTCTTGTAAGTTACGAAGATTGAAGAAGCATATGTGACGTAAATTAAGAGCCATGTATCGTAAATTTTAGCGCCAAAACCTCAGCTTTCTATAATATGTACGTTAGTATATGACAAACCTTCAAAGTCTATTGTTTATGAGGGCAATTTTCTGTTTAATTGTATATTACATTTTGATAGCTATTTAACGAGAAATTTCTGTGACGCGCTTCGAGTAAAAACAGTAAGTAATTTTATAAATATTCACAACTTCGAGTAAAATAACAATAAATAAGCTTAAAGTGTTTTCGTTCCACCCACTTACTCACTGATGTACCTTGAAGTTAACAAACTACTTTAAGTGTTTAAAAATCAACCAAAGATTTTCATCTATGTTAAATATAAACTACACAAGAGATCTGTTGAATTATGATAATAGGTCTATGTAGCAACGTTTTTTACAAGGGTCATCAAGTACGTTTAAAAAATAGAGGTTGTCTCTATATTATAGGTGAAATTTCGCTGAGAAATGATTCACGTTTTAAAGAATAAGCGAGATATTATTTCACATTGGTCGCTCGCGATGCTCAAGTGCCATAGCTGTTGATTATCTTTGCTGCAAAACAAAACTATCCGCAATAACAAACTAATCCCATAAATGTTTATTACTTTACACTATACTCTCGAGTGTTCCCATGCGCATCTAGCGCCTTCGCCATCTCCGTCAAAAAAGCTTAAAATTTCACTCACCGATCGATTAAAAACTATATTGCGAATTTAATTGTTCAACCATTGAAGATTTAGCCATCTCCCCTCACACCTTTATTTGGACGCTTCGTATGTTGCTTTGCATGTACACGTCGTAATAAAGCAATGTTCGCTAGATCAGTGAATTTAAGAGCCAACATCTAACTTGTAAAATTGAAACGACGAAATTACGGTAGAACAATAAGATGAAGTGTCTCATGATAGCGTCCCGCAGACAACAGGCGAAGGTTCGGAAATAGATGTGATGCATTCAATTGTGGCTGATCCAAGAGTACGTGTGAGTCGTGATTTCGCAAGTGCGACCCATACCGTCAACGTTTAAAAATCTGTTTCTCTTTCCTGGGACTCACGTCCGCATTTTGCGCCCGGAGGTATTAGGAATTAAGCAGGTTCGGAGTGGCAGAGTATCTTAGTTCCTCAGCTCCATTGCCCATACATACTGCGGCCATCCTGTTCGACCTCTCTTTCTCTGAGTAGAATCATTTTGGCTGGCAAGCTGTTGAATAAAGAACATCGAATAAAGCACCAACATGCGAAGGGAACTGCATATCGTAGGCTACGCAAATGTTAGTTACCAAACAAAGATAATTTTACTTACATTATTTTCTCTTTTTCTCTTCTCTCGGCCCTCATTTTGAAACGATAAATCCGCTACAAAGTTGCGATGACTTCGGCTCGTCTTCCCCTCATTGCTCTCCTCGAGAATTTCCATCAGAAACTTGATGTAGCTAATGGCAAGCCTGAGTGTTTTGATTTTCGAAAGCTTCGTGTCTGGGGGGACGTTTGGGATATGATCCCGAAGCTCAGCAAATGCTGTGTTCATTGTAAGAGTGCGTTTTCTTTCTTTACGATTTGCGGAGCCGCGAGGAAACTCAGAGCTGCCTGTGTCGGGAGCTGACGAACTCGGTTGATCACACGACTCGCTCTTTGACTTCTCTTCTTTCAAGGGTTGCTCCATTTTACGATGAAAATGATAGCTCTTCTGGTAAGGAACGGTTCTGCAATCAATAGATACTTCGCGAGGACTTTGAAACCTCTTCCACAGTGAACAAATAGCTACGGATTTCGCAGCTGCGAAACGCAACCCAACTGCGTCTCAAACTAGATGACGGAAGTTTATCAACGCATTACCTAACACTTATCATCCAATTACAGAGCTTTAAAAACGTGGAATTACAGATAACCACGGTCTGTTTGAAAAAACTTAATAGGGATCACACCTGTTAACTGAGAAATTTCCATAACATTTTGACTTAAGTTCAAGTAAATACGAACATCTCAAGTGTTATTCGCTTTTTCCAAATAAACACATGAACATTAATTGACGTGTTTACTTGCTTGTCTACTGATAAATCGTAACGCCCCGTAATCAATGTCGAGCGATGTCAAACAAAACTACACCAAGCTAATTTTGCATGTAATATCTAGAAAACTTACATTAAAATACGCCGCCTCAGAGGTTTTCTTTGGTGAGGATTAGGCAACTTTTCACGAAAACTACATTAGGGCACAATAGAGTTATGCGTGGAAAACGTCAAATCACACCTCCATTTTTAATGTCATTAATGACCGATTCTAATTTTCCTTTGTATTCTCCTGAAAAATCACAGCACAACGACATTTTGCTAAACTCTGTGCGGAATATCTTCTCGAAGGTTTCTTTTTTCACCATAAACATAACACTACGGCAATATTAAGATTCTTCAAAACAATTCACAATGTTTTCATTTCATCAATGACCCGTAGGTGCTTGTCGGCGCAATCCCATGATATACAGCGAAACGAATTCTCACAACTGCGCTTTGATACATGTCAATCACTCTCGAAATAATACCGGAAACAGTTATGGTTTCCGGTTTGGGGATAAACTCAAAGTTATTTATAAGTCAATTACGGAACATGGCTGGGATCCAGAATTTAAAGTCAAGGTGAATAATTACTGGACGCTGAGAAACGGAAAAAAGGAGCCAAAATGAAGGTATTGAAAGTCAAGTTAAATACAAACAGGAGAACACCCTTGAAAAAACTCCCATACTTGAGTTCAGATTTGAATTTGAACTATAATGAATTAGCGTCAAGATTTTTTTCTAATTATTATTACTCGCACGTGTTTGAGGTTTGTTGGGGTTGATTTCGTCGCAAAAAAAAACCTTTTAGCTGAAATGGTTACATGAAATATTTTTTTATTTTCGTTTTTGTAACCAAATTCTAGTCGTTTGAAGAAGTTAAAAGAATTTCTCACCCGGCTCACATGACTCGCATTTGTCAGATTTTTGAGTGGGCAGGGAATAAATATAGATCAGAAAAAAGATTAATGTCGTTTTACTCTATAGCTTCGTTTAGCACAAAGTTTGGCCAAAGTCCAATGCGGTTTTTGCGTGACAGACATATTGGGGACACCAGCATGGACAAACCATAGCTTACATTCATTAGACTTGCTCTCATTCTTTGGAACGGAAGGGTAAAAATAAATCATTTCAAATAAATCTTCTTAACATGATAGAATATCAGATGATATAATGAATTAAAGACAAAAATATTAATTTTATTTTCCATCACCACTTTATTAGTAGACTGGACTCTAGTAACAATTACTTCCCGCCAAACTTAGTAGCCAAGCTTTTCTGTTGTTCTCGAGTGCGCCTGGTAATTTTCATCGCCAGTATGTTGGAGCCACTTTTAGAGGTTTTATCCGCTCAAAGAGTCATTCTAGCGAGTAGTTCGCCGAGGAGATGCGAGATCCTGCGAAAAATTGTAAAAGTTTGAGTATTCTTGCAAGGTTTAGATATATTTTTGTTGTAGTGAGCGATAAATTCCTCATAGATTTTCCTATTCGAAATTCAGGGCTTGAAGTTTGAAGTTATTCCATCCAGATTTGAGGAAACACTTGACAAAACCGCTTTTAAGTATCCTTTTGAATATGTCTTGGAGAATTCGAGACAAAAAGCACTAGAGGTGGCTGGGCGAGTCAATAAGGTAAGTGCCTTAAATGTAATATTTTGGCTCTACTGGAGGTCACTGGAGAAGAACTTTTAAGATATCCTATGTCGATCCATAATAAGGTCAATCTTTTAATTAATTTCTTAATCATTGATTTTAGTGATTTTTACCAGACCCTTCCCATGCAATTTAGCTGGGGATAAAAAAAAGTAACACTATAAAGTTACTAAGAAATTCTTGTTATTCAATTCATTTGCAGTAGTGAGTTTCATTTTCAGCAAAACTGCTCTGTTGATAAAACAATTGACTCCTGTGTGATTTGTGTGTTTTTCGAGATAAAAAACACTGCAGAGGTACCCAGGAAGCTAGAGTTGCTCTTGGCTATCCCTTAACCCTTTACACCCTAATGTCAGTATGCATATTCTCCTTACTGCTCTTTATATATTTCCTAATGTACCAGAAAGGAGAATTTGCTTCACAATCAAGAGCTTCTCTAGTTGGTGATCATGCATTTTCTTTATACTCTTGACTTTAAGCTGTGATTTTGGGGCGACATTTTATGGAGAAACTTGATGCTTGTCTAAGGTTAATTAAGATTCGCTTACTTTCCAGAGTGATAAACCCACCTTGATCATTGGATCTGATACAGTTGTTGTAAGTAGATCTTACATTTATGTCAATTTTTCTTGAAGGACTAACTGCAGAAAAATCTGCATCAGGAAGGAATGATGGTTTTTAGTTACTCTTCCATCAGTACATTAGGTACATCCCATAGTCTTCTTTTTCTTGAAAACCGTAATTGCATCAATAACTTTTTTGCATTGGCAGGTCTTAGATGAAGTTATTCTTGAAAAACCAAAAGACAAGGAAAATGCATATTCAATGTTAAAAAGGTGAATAAGTTCATGATTATTTTCTTGTCTGAGGTGCCCCACAGGAGGTCTGGGTTTAAATGGATGTGCATTAGTCTTAAGCTGCAAATCTTTTTATTTCTCTGTGTAAATGTAGAGCTGTTTGAAAATCAAATAAAATCAATGTATGTCAGACTTTTAAAAAACTTTCCACTTCCCTTCCACATGGAAAATTTGGCATACATGTCAAATGCTTATGTGAAATAAGCATGAAGAATACTTAACATTTGTGTTTACATTTAACATAATAAGCACTCAAAGACCTGTGTAGGTGCATCTACTTATCCAACTTGATTTTTCTGATCTTTTGGTGGTATTTTCATAACAACTGTACTGGCATATTTTTTCAGTTTGAGTGGTAAGGATCATGCAGTATTCAGTGGGGTTACTCTTTTACAAAGAGAGGGTGCCAAAGGTATTTATACAATTATCTGTGAAATATATCACTATAGTAGTGCGGCACTGTAATAGTTGTTTCATGGGTAAGGCTATCCAAAACAATTATTGTTCATTTCCCCTTTGCGGCTTTTGACTCAAAATCTTGGGGCTCGCTTTCCAACAGAAATGTTTTTAAAAGAGGAAAAGGCCCTTTGCATAATGGCAAAAAAAAATAAAAAATTTGAACGTAGAAGGAGTTTAACCCTATAAGTCCACTAGTGACCAAGACAGAATTTCTCCTTACACTATCAGTACAACATCAAGCAGACAAGTAAAGAGAATAGAGAAAAATATCAATTATGGGATTATTAGTTGATCCAATTCCAAATTCTCCAAACTTACATCATATGAATTGTATGGCTGACAGTAAGGAGAAATACAAATGAGATCTTGGGAGTTAAAGGGTTAACCAGATCCAAGACCAAATTCTCCATTTTAGTTGTCTTGTACCATTCCTGAGGATCAGTGAGGTCCATGTGGAGTGTGGGGTATTCTTCAAATGGAAATCAAAATGCAAAAACTTCCTGAAACAGTCAAAATTAAACTTGCTAAACTGCTTCAAATTTTAATCCTCTTTTCATAATCATAGACTGATCGGAAGTAAATTCATTAACATAATATTGAATATAGAATTAAACTAATTAACTAAATTTCTCCTCTTGGAGTGATTTTCAGGAAGTTGTTGATAGATAAATTTAATCTTAAGATAGTTGAGCAGATTAGTACCTTATGAGAAAATTAACTTCTTGTCTTTTATTGGCTTAAAGAACCCTGCATAACCCAGTTTTATGAGGAGACATTGGTGTCATTTGGAACATTAACAGATGAAGTGATCCAGGCATATATTGCAACTGGAGAGCCAATGTGAGTTCTTGGTGAATTTGTCTGTTTTTTTTTTTTCTTCAAATTTTTAGATTTAACTGTATGTTTTCATGTATGCATAAATTTTTCACCTGCATCAAACGCTTGCTAATTTGGTGATAAAGGAACTGTTTTGCCATAAGGAAACGAGGCAACAGATTTTTTCAGGCAAACTTGCCATGATGTGTGGCAAACTAGTTGGGGGTGAACCTGCAGCGAGGTAATGCCTCGGTCTCGGTCCGTCTTCAGCTTTGAAAGTTTCCACAAAGGTTTTTTTTTCTTCTCAGGGACAAGGCCGGATCATATCCTTGAATATACTGTAATAATAATAACAGGGCACAGATCCTTGCGCATGTGCTCTCAGACTGTTTATATAGGACTGTTTATATGGCAGTCCTTGTTTTGTTGGCGAGCCAGTGAAGAACATTGGCGTTGCACCAAAACTAAGAGCTAGAACGGGCCGTTTTCTTTCTTTTTCTTTCCCCGCTCGTTAGATAGGAGGCTGGGTGTTTGAGTCGCTGAGGCTCTGAGTCATGCGACCCAGAAGCCCTGCCTCTGGGACTAAGGCCACTCTATTTTTCTTCTATCAGAGTAAATTTGAAACTTTCCATGTTTTATTTGTACTATTTTCTTCATTGATTTTCGCGGCCAATAAGAAATAAATGTTAAAACAGGCAAGATTCCTTCAGCACGGGAAAGCGCGAGTGACTAAGTTACGATTGGCTTTAGTTTTTACATCTGATTGGCTAAGAGGTTGGTGTGAATTTTTTTTCTTGACCAATCACAAAGAGTATTGAAGTAAAAACCAAAGCTATACTGGGATGCTTTCGACACTGTTGAAAATTGCTCGGTGCATGTGCTTTGAAAATCTCACTGTTTTCCTTAACATCAGTTAAATATGGTATTCAGGGAATTGGTGGCACACTGGTCAAGTCTATACATGGTGACTACTTCAATGTCATGGGATTTCCTCTGTATCACTTCTGTGTTCAAATGAGAAAATTATATTCTGATAATAGTAGCTAACGCTTATATGTAGTTTTTATATCCATACAATGTGTAATGGAAATCTTTCCTCTCGCCGAAACGCTCCACTCGCACTCCTGTCAATAAAAAATTCTAAAAGAAAAAAATCATGCGTTGAATGTTTGATGTTCTCATAAGCTCATGTCGTTGCCAACAAGTAACTGGTCGAATAATACTTTCTTTTGTTCCACCTCAAAATGGTTTAAAACCCAAATTGGACTCATTTGTGGGAAGATTGGGAGGGAGAGAGAGAGAGGGCCAAGTCTGTCTGACACCCTTGGAGGAAACTTGTATTTTGCGTCTGAGAATTTGAGTGCATTGCACCTGTATTAGGTTCATAGTGAGGACGATTGAAACGGCGAGCAAGCAATATACAGCAAGAGACAAGAAAAGCGAAATGCTTTCCTTCTTAACATGTCGTTTTCACTCGCCTTGCCATGCCGGGCACGCGTAAGGGGATCAATTTTTTTGCCGGCCGTGCGCCAATTTCCCGCGCAAAGTAATAAATGGAATCATAAGAAGCAGCAGCTTTCACGGAAAATACGCGTAACAAATTTAAACGTTCATAGATAGCTGTGAAAGAAAACAATCGAAAAAGGAAAACTTGAGACTTGAACGCAAAGCTTGTTTGATTTCACTCGCTGTTGATTTATCATTTAATTTTGAGCTTTATATTTTAAAACACCGTGACTATGTCTGTAACTCGTGCAAGGCAACTTGGTTCTCATAGCCTGGACCTCCTCAACGTTTACTCATGCGCAGACTTTTGACCTCATTGTCTAACGAAATGGGGGGCCTGGTGTGGACCGATGTGGCGGCTTTCCTCGAAATTAGTAAAGGCGGAAAGATTTTAATGAAGTAAGAGCTATTTTTGGGTCGCAGTTCCGCTTTCAACAGAGGAACATTTTCCCACGCGATAACACTTTTTTTTAAGGTGTCTATCTTTTTTTCTTTTAGGACATGAAATATGTTTTCACTGTAGCGAAATAAACAATGACAACTATTGACGACAAACTTCGCTGGGTAATTAAATATTCGAAGTATGTTTTTGTTCACTTTGTTCCATCTCATTATGTCATTCAATCGCAGAATTATTCATTCTTGGACAAGTTTTTAACACTTATGTTTCATTTATAAACACGGTATTCTATACAAGGATAAATTTACCGTGAGAATAAGATTAGCCAATTCGGAAAACTTCACAAGGACCATTTGTATGGGTTAATGTGCGCTAAAGTAGCAGAGATCCACACCAAACGTAAACAGGAAGATCTTGAATGAGTCGTATTACTAGGCATTATCCACCCCTATTTTCCATAAGCGTACGTTTTACCCGTGGTAAATTTTTTATCAATTACGGATAAGCATCCAGGTTTGTTCCCAAATTTCGCGCTGAATAAAAACAACACTGTAGTTTATAAAAAATCCCAGCTTGATGCAGACGGTCAGGGCTTTGAAACTCCGCTAAACTTAGAGGGGGAAAAAACCTACTTTATCAAAATAATTTTTGAAATATCTTCATGCGAATTTGAAAATAACTTTTCCTTCTTACCTAAATTTCTTCCACTCCACAAATGGGCGAACTCAACACTTTTAGCCCACTGTCATAAGTGAAGGTTTGATGGCAAAAAAACCGTGACTATAGTGCGATGTAACTTAAAACTGTAAATATTCAGGAGTCGATAACAGATTTTTTTTAGCAACCGTGCGCCTTTCAACTCAATGATTTTACTCCTCACTTAGATTCCTACCAAGGTGACAGTGAAGTCAGTAGCTTTTATTTTCATATTTTATGGACTTAATGGCCATTGTCTCTGTTAGACTTGAAGGCGACGATGAAGGAGATCCTCTTTGGTCTTTTTGATGAACCCCGCCACACGTTTTCTGTGAACATTCATTATTCTGATATGTGTTGTAATGATAATCAGGATCTTAAAAAGTGTCACCTTTTTCTTGCTTTGAGTTTGACTTCAAGTATATACAGTTGTAGTTAAAGTTTGTTGGGATAAAACTTCGGGAGTGTAGTTGAGTTATTGCCATTAGTTGTATTGCCCGTCACATGTAAGGCGACATCTACTACTCCAGATAAGTTGATTTTTCTATAGAACATTTTCGTTCTTTAGTAATTTAAAGGTTGATCTAATCACGAACAGAGCTTGAGTGATTTATTTTTTTAATCTTAGGTCTTGGCTCTTTGTCTTTACTATCTTTTCTTTTTTCTTTTTTTTTTCCTGAGGATGAAAAATTCTTTTGTATTTTTTGTTGCTTGTCATCGCTCATTCAATTTTAATTATCTCGTAAATTGCGCGCGATACTAATCTGCACGCGATCCATTGTTAAGCCAAATCTTTTAAGCAGCGGTTTGTTATAAATAACAAACTGGACTGAAAATAAAATGAAAAAGAAGGTTGTTGTGTTTATAACTTAAGTGGAGAGACATCGTGTATCATAACTTGGAATTTGAAATTGTTACGCGAACTGAGGTTTGCGCTAAAAATTCATACTGTAAAAAGATTGAATCGACTGATTTTAGAACGGATGCGTCTGTTTGCTGTTTGTTTTCTAAGCCAGTTTCTATCACTCCAGAAACGGTGATCAGAGGAAACACAGCGAAATAATTTTTCTTCAACTCGCGTCTTTTAGCGTTTCATTGTGCTTGTGTCTCAGATGGTTGATTCATTACCTATTCAAACCACTTCTCTCCAGCAAAACACTTGTATGGCGTGTCCCATATGGTTGCCAGCTAAAACGACAGACCAATGTCACAAGATTCTTGGGTGAACTTGTGAAATGAGTTTGTTAAAGCTTCTGATTGAAAAGAATGTCAAAATAAGGCCATTAACTCTTTCACGGATTCTCGTAACGCAGCACTCGTGATCTCGAGAGATCACGTTCGTGAAAGTCATCATCATCGCTTAGTTGCTCCTAGTCTCTCTTCTTCAAAAGCGTGAAGCACTTTGTCAAATGCTCGTAAAAAAAATGGATATTTCATGCCTTTGGCTTTTTGTTGCTGGCCAGGTGACTGTTTCACCAACCAGCTTCGGCCATTTCTCTCGATGTTTGCAGTTAACGTAACGAATTTGTCAAAACGGATCAAGAATCGCCGGGCTAGAGTCGAAACGGGATAGGAGATGTTCAACTATCCTACGGAATTCTTCATTCATGTTACAACTCGAGCACTAATATTTTCACCGGCGTATTCCGCAGTTCTTTCGCCCCACAGAAGCTGCCGACGACATTTCTAACTACGTGGACTGCCGTTAGGCGTTACCAATTACATTGTTCGATTGCATCTTTTTAGATGCAAAAAATAAAAATCGATTAATAAATTCAGAGGCAGATTAGAAAACTACTCGATGGTGTCAATGCTGGATGTATCCATGTGTCTTACTGTCGCTGTTCTACGACGCACGAGGCCCCTCAAAAGTTAAATTTCCTTCGTCGAGACGCTGCCAGTATAACGCCCGATTCTTCCTAATTATCACTTTTTATTGTAGCTATAGGTGATCAATGTGTAATTTCTCCCTACATTATCAATACATCGTCTTGCAGAAAGGTGACGAGAACTAAGAAAAATTTCACCACGCAGACATTGTTTGATTTTTCACCAAATTCTTCGAGGTAAAATAAAGAGAAATGTATAGCAGAGTGTAAGGAGAATTCATATGTGATCTTGAAAACGAAAGGAATGAAACATGCTCGATGTCTCACTTATGCGTTGTTGCTGAGGTTCAATGACAAAATTATCTCAAACAGTGTCGGTAAACATCACACAAGGTGATCAATTGTAATTTTGTTTTCTTTAATTACGGCGTGGGAAAACTTCCCATGAAGATGTTTAAATGGCTACGTGAGGAGTCCAAGGGCTTGTTGGCGTAAATGTGTAGTCATTAGAACACAAATCATTTTTAAAGAATGCTGTCGTCAACAAACAGAACAACCCACCAAAACAACAGGAAATACCTCTTTGTCGCTAAATCCTCAAGATTGTTTTTACAGGAAATGTCGATTAATGGTAATTAAGAGGAAATGTAAAAGACGACTTGAGAGTTCGAGTGAAACACATATTGCGAAAGATCTGATTGAAATCAAATCTTTTACAGTTTTTAGTTTTTCGGTGTGATAAAATAATGACCGCGATAACTTGAGCACAGTAGATAACTTTTCAAGAGAGAGGTTTTGTGATCAGTTCAAGTAGGAGGGTCGTGTTGTTTGATGGCTCGATAGTATTACAGAGTAGGCGTTTTATCAGAAGCGAATGGTACCGAATTCCTGTGGCTTTTTCTCGCGGATTTTTCGCTAAAAGCTTTAACGGAACAATTGGTAGTTAAGCTGAGGGATGGATGAGTTGTTAATGTTTTCGGCGCAACACTCAGATCATCTCGACGTTTAGCATCCAATGCTGACACAAAATTTTTAGGCGGTTATCAGTTTGTTCTTGCGCTTTTAAAGTGTCTAGTTACTTTCCTACACATTGCTTCCTACTGATCATGCTGAGCTGTAATCGATGACCCCTGCTGTCTTGAAATGGTTTATCATGCTTTGAAAGGGTTTGTTTTGCAATTAAATGGTTTACTCGGACCACTTGGTGCACATAAATGGTTTACGAAAGCTCCACGTTCTCACTCCAAATTTAACAACGAATGCCCTGATTTATTTCGGTTTTTCTCCATTTTTTACAAAATCAAAGACTTATTGAACAAGTGAGAAAAGCGAAAAGATATCCCAAGTTTTCTCGGTTCGCAGTAGTGGTACCCGCCGCATTTATCACTCTAATTATCTCATCACCATCAATGATTTGATTGTAGAAAGACGAATATTGGAGTTGACCAACTGGCGCCATCGATCTCTGAACATTAAGGCACTTCTGTCAAAGCCAAGTTCACTAAAAGAACTCCCTTAGGTCCTTCGACATTCACTTACTGCCGATGAAAAGATGTAAAATTGACGCGAGTAGATAGAGTTCCCCCTAGAAATGAGCGATAAATTTTTCTTGGCTGAAACGGAATTGTCTCACCCGCTGTTTTCTGCACCTGGGTGATATCATTACTGCAAGCATTTCTCACTTCCTCACAAAAGAGCAAGTGGCATGACAAATTTTTCAGAATAAACCTCTTCCTGCATTCAGATTATTTTTTCGGTCACCTCCTTTGTTTTCAATTAATTTTCAAATGCGCACGGTATGTGAAAAAACATGAAAAGCTGTCACTCTGAACGAAGAACAAGTGAAAAAGTTTTAAAAGTGCAAGCAAGTTTATTGGAGAATTTCTAAGTGATAATTAAGCGTGAAGAACTCTAGGGAAATGCGGTGACTTAAGTCGGCTTGGCTACGAAGAATTCACCGTTAAAATTTCCTTGCGATTGATTGGAAAGAGTCCGATATTGGTTACAAAGTTTTGCAAACAGAACAGCGCTTTCCAGCGCAAACTTTCGTGCATTACACGGCGCAGAACTGTATTCAATCCCGTGCTTCTAATATGATTGACGCCTGACAATATTTGCGCTGTGTCACGGTCACGTGGAACCAATCGGACAGTTCGCTAGTCGTCGGCGACGACATGGCGCAGTGTTAAAAGGTTTTAATTGATTGTTTGCTGAAGCTAAAATTCACTTATTGCCTCAACGTTCTTGATAAGCTTATGCATGCGTGGTTCAAACAAGTATACAACATTACGCTTGTCTCGAGAACATTCGGCCGGCAAAATGTCGCTAAAACATTCCAGCAGCCAGAGAGCAGGCAACTTGTCGAACAATGCCAGAGCGTTTTCGATCGCGTCCCTCGTCCATGAAGGTAAGTTATCAGAGGTGTCTTTCTCTAGAGTGACTACAGGCATTAAGGATTTAATCGTTTTGAGTCGGCTTATATATTTTGCGTTTCTTAGAAGAACTTGAGACAAGGCCTGATGAGAAAAGTCTGCTATCTGAAAGAGAAAAACACTACTCACCGGTCCCACGAAAGAAGCTTAAAACTTTAAAACCAAATGCCATACTGGAAGGCAAGGAACTTTGGAACTGCTTCTATCGGCTAGGTACAGAAATGATAATCACGAAGACAGGAAGGTCAGTTCAAGTTTGCTTATTGCACGTCCGTGCGATAAGATAATTACTTACCACAGATCAGAGGAATACGATGAAATATTTCACAGTTTTCCTTAAATTAGTTCACAGATTTTGAAAGATTTTCAAACCTTTCATTTTACTTCGCTCTTTTTTAAGTTGTTGTTTAGTCTTGTTAGCCAACGAGCAGTTTTCCCGTCCATAGGCCGACTCAAGATGTTACTGATATCCCAGATATCGCAAATTGACCGGTGTGACAGGAAAATGGCCTCTGTGCGGTTTATCCGTTAAAACTCTTTAACAGCATGTTTTCAAACAACGAATTGTTACTGTGGTTATGCCCTTTGTGGTTTGCCGCTCTGTTCAGTAGCACAGACGGTTTTCCTTTTCTTTGTGGTGTTGTTTTTATGGCGCTATCAACAAATTAATCAAAAGCTGCGGGGGTTAATTTTCGAAACAATAACAGGCTAATAAGTTCGGAACGAAGAGAAGAAAGAAAATCCAATGTGAACTGTTAATGCACCTTAAGCTAATCTTCTGGAATTATTGTTTTGAAAAAACAAAAAGAGAGGGAAGTGCTGAAATGTAAGCTTTTAAAGTATATATGGCCAAGGCTACTCAACACTCCTTAATCAGAACAAATTCTCACATTTTCAACAATTGCCACCTCACCATTATATGATACTTGAAATTATATCCCTGTGCGACGAAAGGAATAACGTTTTGAAGTTCCAAAAGTTCTAAAAAAAGATAGAGGAAAATATGAAAAAACACTAGAGAAATGGGAGTGTACGGGAATGAAAAAGGATTTCTTAGTTGCTTCAGTTTTGTCGGCTTTATATTTTGTAGTTCTTTCTCTGATGTTACTTGAAGTTCGAATTCATTCTTTATTGGAAAAATTGCCGTACTTTTATGTTAAAAAAAAATCGCCCTATCATCCGCTAGCCTCAGAACTTTATCTAGTTCATTTCAATTAAATTCCTTTCCACATCACCCCGAAGAATTGGCTATTTTTTCCCTTAAATTCACGAATAATTTTCCCCAAAAATGTAACAAATGACATCTCTTTTGTGGTTTTGAATATACTCGTTTCCCCACCACCGCAATCGCCCACTGTAATACGGAGCATTTAAACTTCTTTTGTGTGTGATAACACCCATCAGTTATGAGTTTAGAAAGGAACTTCTCCGACGACTATCGTCACATATGCCTTAGCGTTGACTGTCAATGAACGGTTTCCAGCAATAACTTGGGGCGTTTCATCCAGAACTCGAATCAGCCACAAGGTGAAGCCACTGGATCATCAGGAAGATCACGTCGAAGAAACTAAAACAATCCTTCAACTAAATTGTTTTCGTTGATAGAACTATGGATTAAAACTGGACTTCCATTTTTTTGTGATTTTAAGAAATTGAAAAGGCGAAAATTTTGTCAATTTTTGCGCAAAAGGTAAAATGAAACAACAAATGGAAAGCTTGCGCATCCGGGGAGACCAAAAAAGTTTCGTCCGGTTCAACTTTTCCCGCAGACCCAAGTTTTTTCGATGATGTCATTTATTTCATTTTACAAACGTAAAGGCCCGCAAAATTTGCTTCCATCCAAGTTAGCGTGCCTAAAAGGACTGGAAATGCAGGTTCTTATTTTCACTAAAAGAATTGTGGCCTAAACCTCAGAAAGTCGCGTACTCCTAGCGATGGAAGGAAATATTTTGAAAATGAAAGCCATTCGCGTAAATGATTCGCAGATATAGACGCATCTTTGAAGGCAAGATCACTGTCAGTAGTGTTGTGACGCAACTAGATTGAGATGACTCACAAGTCGTTTGTCCGTAATCAAAAAAACTTCGCTAGAAGTGTCATAAGTTCATGATTCTTTCTTAAGAAAAAAAAAAAAAGGGAGAGGATCTCGGCGATTCCAATTGTTTTTGAGACAATTTGGCACACTATAGAAAAACTCTTCCGCATCTAGGCAAGGGTGTCTGAAGTTTTTTTCTTTAGAGTAACGCTGCAAGAAAATGGCTACTTGCAAAACTGAACAAGAGGTCATTTCTCCCGTTTGTAGACAGATCCTCAGTTTATTTGGACCACGTTTTTTCAGCTTTACGCACAAGCTAAATTGAAGCAAAAGAACCAGTGAGAATTAAACCGATTTTTTGTTTCTATTTGTTTTGGCGGCAAGCACCTGCTAATGATACTCTCTAACAGTGATGGTCTTCCTCTCTGCGTTTTATTTGTATGTTAATGGTTGTGGTCATAGGTTCAAAAAGTTCTTGAAATTCTGTTCAAAAAGGAACCAAGGAAACTTTTATCCCTATTCTATTACCCAAGCTTAAGAAAAATGGAGAGTTACCATTAACGTTTTTGTTTTGTTTTTTCAAAAAAAGTGGCTTGTATAAAGTTTCATTATTTTGCTAGTCATATCCACTTAAGAAGTCGTAGAAATCCATAGGAAAGCAGCACGCAAAAGTCACGTGATAAAGACATTAACCTGAGACGCTGCGACTGCTGTTTGACAAGCTCTGTAATTGCACCTCATCCATTCTGATAAAAACAGATCATTTTCCCAGTTTTCTTCCGGGAGATCAAAAACACTAATTTTAAAAACCTTTAAGAAGCCTTTTTCTTACAAACCACAGGGTTAGACCTACGACAGTTGACGATTTTCCGAAAATAAAAGTTGATCGAAATCGGCAATCAAAAGAGAGTTTAAAAACGCCATTTTTTCCCCTACCATTTAATTAAGGAAAAGTTGTAACTTTTAATTAGCTAAGAAATTTCGTGTCTCTTTCAATTTACAGGCGAATGTTCCCGACCGTCCGTGTATCCTTCGTGGATCTTGAACCTGATGCTAAGTATGCAGTGTTGTTGGATATTATGCCTCTGGACTCTAAGCGGCACAGGTACTCTTATGCGGACTCCGCCTGGTTCGTTGCAGGAGAAGCCGATGCAGCGCCCCCTAAAGTGATGTGTGTTCACCCTGACTCCCCGTTCACGGGGCAGCAGCTGGAAAGACAAGTTCTCTCATTCGAGAAAGTCAAGTTAACGAACAACCGAGATGACAAGCGAGGAAATGTAAGTGTGAGACGCCCAGGCATTATCTACTGACTTTCAAGTCGATAAGAGTGATGTATGACTTCCTTATTTTTGGCCATCGTCAATGGTTTATCTGATAAAGAATTGTCTACCCTTTCGTGGGGATAAGATTTTCCGGCGGCCTCCCTCTTACCTAGCTTTATTTCTGTCGTGCCTATAAAAACCATAAAGGTAGTTTACATTTGTAGCAATTATTTTTTAATTATCAGAACAACCTTTGCTTTTTACGCAATTAGATATGCTTTCTTTTTTGTAAGAAATGATAATTTAACGTTCGAAAGAACATTAACGCAAATTGCGCTCGACAATTTTCTAGCTCCGTCCGTTATCACAAATATCTAGAATTGATCTACAGCCCAAAGTGTCCGGTTCAAATGCCTTACAGGTGTCTTGTCTGCGTTTTGCTTCTTTAAAGCCGTCTCACTAAGATCAATCCTATTTCATGACTAGTTGTTTTTGCGCAAACGGCCTCCAGGTTTTTAACACATTCTTAACACTTCATACCCTTCGTTTATCATTTTCAACTTGACTGTCGATCAGAAGTTGCCACGGGTTTACTGTCTTTTTCTCAGACATGAATGATTAAGAGGGAAATATGTAGCCATCTATAACGACAATCATGTAAATTTGGCGCATAAAATATCCTCGCGAATCTTAAATTGAGAACAATTTGCGCCATTTTGCACGCTGAAGGGAAAATTTTTTACGCGCTTATAATGTACGATTCTTTTGATGGAATTTCCACCATTTCCGAATTTTCTTACCCCATGCTTAAAGACTTTTTCTCTCCCGTCACAACTACTCACAATCTGGTTTCGGTTCTGTGCCATGTTTACGCTTGCCGTTGTTCGTTGTGACTGTAAATTGATCTGATGTTTTAGTTACTTATGACATGCCATTAGCTAGCTGTGATACCATAGAACAGTCCGCCTTTGTAGCGCTTCAATACAAAACTGAACAAAACAATTCCACCTGTTAGCGAGATCGTCACGTCCCTTTAAATTTCAATTGAACTCAATTTTATTCAAGACCAAAATAGAAGAACAGGAAACTCTCTTTTTAGCAGATATCTTCTCTTTCAAGCAGATATGTTCTCTTTCAGTGCGACGTTCTTTGAATCTTGCATCACAGCGTCTTTCAATGATTTATTAATTTTGCTTCAGCTTTCTTTGTTAGCAAAGGCCTCTTGAAATGCCGGCTTTTATAGACATCTCTGCCCCTCTACATAAATTTTAAAGCACGGATGAGTAATAAGTTTGCCTCTTTCCGAAAAATGAAAAATTCAAATTGCTCTGCTAAGACTTTGGCGGTTGAGCGGGATTTCAACTTTTACGCTGTTCTTCTGCGTCATAAACTGAAAACCTTTTCCACATACTCCTAAGGTACTCAAGGAACCACAAACAAGTCTCAAGTTCCCTATGATGAACGCTTTAAACAAAAAATTCAGCTGCTTTGGAAAGTTCTCGAACTCTGCGTGAGGTGATGTTTCGCGGCCATAAAATAAATCCTCATGGGAAACTTACTCTATATTCTGTCTTCTTTTGGCGACAATTTTTTGAGTGACAGGAAGAAAACCGCAACTGGTGAAACACGATACAAAATCAACTTCATTCCCCCAACCTGCTCTAGAAATAGATATTTCTTATTTATAATTGAAGAAAGAGATACAAACTTTCAAAAACTGACTTCATTCATGAAAGGTCTGCAGTTTTTAAGTTCTCAACCATTAAATTTAGTGCTTCATGGGTACGCAAGCAATATAGATTTTAGAATGCAATAATTGGAGTGAATCGTTTTCCCGCTTTGGATAGTGGCTATCAGAAGCTAGGCGATGCAGCATTTTCGCCAAAATATATATGTAAAGAATTAATTAAGGTGGAAATGATTTCCATGTGTGTTCCATGTAAGCAGCTTCAAAAACAGAAAGACAACAGAAAAAGAAGTTCTTCTTTACCACAAAGAACGATGATGTTTGCTAGCGAAATTTAAAAACCCCCGCAATTTGGAAATGATAGTGAACGAAATTCGTATGAAAACTTCGCATATAAGGGTGTATTTTGTTCACATAAACTGCACAACCTTATGCTGTTTTTCAGAAATGTAATTTACCTCTATAGAGTTCGAACTAAGGCGTTTGTGATAGCAAAGCGTGGCTTTATGACTGAACTTGTTCAGCTTTTAGGAGCTTTGTAAAGGCTCGCAAGTTGGACAAAATGTGTGTTTTCACTGATGCGTTGTCTTTTTACTTTTAGATCATTTTAAACTCCATGCACAAATATCAACCACGAATTCACTTGGTCAAGGATCCTGCAAGTGAAAATGTTCACAAAACAGACTTGACGGAAGCGCAGACCTTCGTGTTTCCAGAAACGACATTCATGGCGGTCACTTCGTATCAGAATCACCTCGTAAGTGGCGTTTAAAACTATGTTATATTAAGAAAGATGGTAAATTGCAAGCTCGGTAGTCGAGTAAAAATGGTGTGAAACAATTGTTATGAATCTAGGACAAATTAAAAGGAAGTCTTTTGGTCCAGAATTTTTTGTCGTATTGTATACTAACTCAGAGAAGAGAGAAGCTGTTTGTGAGTTTATGCTATGCTTAAATTAAACGGGGCAAGCGGTCTGCGTACTGTTAGAATCGGCAATAAATGTCGAAGGTGTCCTGCCTGAAGCCTAAAGAGAGGAGGAGTCCGGATAACTTGGTACAATCATTCAGAGCGCGTTTTAACGCATGAAGGAAGATTGAGTTCACGATAGGTTGCGACCTTTGATTAAAAAGATTCATTAATTTCGCAGATAACGAGACTCAAGATTTACAGTAACCCGTTTGCTAAAGGATTCAGGGACTCGATCAGATTTTTAGGTAACACAGAAAGGTTCGTATTCATCTTTTATTTTCATCTAAGACCAACGGTTTTACTGCATAAATCGCTGCTGTTGTTAAAAATTGAGGCATGAAAGCAGCACTGAAGAACCATTTGCTTTCCGTCTCCAGAGAGAGCTATTTAATGTCAAATGGCATTCAAGCGTACGAAAATGAGGATGGCACATGCTTTCTTTCAAGTGGAGCGCTGACCTATGACTCAAGAGACTTGTTTAGTGATGGTAAGTCTTTTTGAAATCTCCAGTTTACGAAATCTTTTTTTTTCTCGAGACGTATATAGATAGACCCCATTCATTTTGACTTTGTCGCCTATGGTCTACAGTGATTTACTTCTTAATGAAGAGATGAAAATCTACTAGTTGTGAAAAGGCCCGAGTGGATAAAAGCTTCGATTATAACTTTTTTCCGGCCTGCAGTGACGTTTAATTGGTAAAACAGAACGAGATAACAGCTGCAGAACAAAAAGGAGCAGGAAGCTTTAGGTCGGGTTGCGTGAAGAAGCAACCCAAGCCTCGAAGACTTCCCTCCATTTTTCCACCCGGTCCAGGCTTCCCTCCTTCTTTTCTACCCGACCCAAACTTCCCTGTTTTTTTTTTCACCCGATCCAAACCTCTCTCCTTATTCAACCGAATCAAAGTCTCCTTAAGTCTCCCTCCTTTTTCAACACGACCCAAACCTCCGTTCTTCTTTCCATTCGACCCAGATCTCTCTCTTTTCTCCCACTCGATCCTAACCTTCCCTCGATTTTCTATTTTTTTTTTCGCTCTGCCGCATAATTCGCCTGGAACAGGCTCAGGTTTTTCTGATATAAAAAATATTTATACTTTTACTTTGGTTCAAATGGCTGCCACCGCAAGAAACAAAAAATCTGTACTGTACCAAGAGATCATAAGATGATCTCTTAACCATACTTATTCTCGAAGGCACAATGGCTTTTTATACTGATGAAAAATAACTGATTTTTTAACAGAAATTTATCAAGTATCAGCCCCTGCACAGTGGGGATCATGGGAAGATCTCTCATGCTGTCACTCAAGCAGCGTCACTCTTAGCAACAGTTGCTACCCTCACTCCATCCAGTGCGCAAGCTCAAGTGATGTCTACAACAGGGCGCATGCGTGGTGGCGTTATCCAATCTCGCATCCAGAAGATGGCGTTCTGATTAAATACTAAGAGAAGCTCATCATAGAGCCCTTAAAAAATACTCCGTGGTAAAAATTCATTGTTATTCAATAGACCATAAATCCTCGAGTTAGCCCCTTGCGCGCCCTTCTTAGATTTAGGATAAAACGTGGGGTGGGAGGCTTGTTCAAAGAAGGGCATTTGACGGGATGGGGGAAAGTTTAAGTGGTCCCAAACCGTGGCTAGATATTCTCGTTCCTTGTAATACAACATCAGTTGTGTTTAAATACACAAAGGAAATCATAAAATTTCAATAACGGCACAGTTGGTACTTTTATTTTTCCAAACTAATCGTGTTCCAGAACTATACAAGAACAGAATTCAGGTAGAAATCTTACGCTGCGATTACGTGTTTAATTATTTCGGCGAGCCCGGTCAATTTTGCTTTAGAACGGGAAAGGGGGAGGGGGCGCTTATTTAAAATTTTTGGTAGATGGAAGGGGTGCTTAATAAAACGCGCGCGAGAAAAGGGCACTTTAAGGGAAACGCGCGAGGGAAGGCGCTGATTCGAGGATTTACGGTAATACATTTTACTTTCAAACCAAGAAAATAATATCACTTGTTAATGTTGTTTCTCTAAACCAGGAGATATTTGCAAAGTTATTTATTTATAAGATGTATTTAGTTCAATTTTCTAAGTGATCGTCTATGGCGTAATGACGGGCTACCATCAATCTCACGAAGGCCTCGATATATGGGAATACTTCCTGGTGTTTTTTAAACAATTTATCAGTATGGTGTCTCTCAACCAGCAGCGTTGGACGCCATGTTAGCTGTTATTGGGCAAAAAACGCACAGGTTACATTTGACTGAGAAATTTGAAATCAGTCTCCTCGGCTTCATGTTTAGTGATAGCTTAATGAATTTACGTAATTTTTTTCAATTATAGTCCTTGAAATAGTGCCCGATGTGCGTCTTTTAAAGGTTCTTTATCAAGTTTTTTTCGTAACTGAAACGGCGATTCCAAACCTTGTGGTAGTTCCATCGTTTCTAACGGGGTTACATAACATTGTTTTTGGTACGTAGTTGTACTAGCTTCACACAACCCTTCAACTCCCAGAAGTGATTAACATGTAAATTCTCCCTATAATATCTGTTCATTATCGAGCAAAACAGGTAATGCGAATACTCAAACTTATCAGGTAGAAGTTGTTATCTTGATCTCACACAAAACTCTCGAAACTAATTTACAAGGAAATGTGTAACAGCCGGAGGGGAGAATTTACAATCAGGTGTTGGGAGGGAGAGGGTTAATCATGCACAATGAATGAAGCTCTAAGCAAATTTTAATTTATTAAAATATCATGGGTATACGGTTCATCATGATTATTTCTTCACACGGACTGAAAGCAAAAAATTTAAAAGTTAACATGAATTGTTGTGTTTTTCGGTCTCTCGACCCTTACAAAATTTAATTGATTATCACTGTAAAGATACCGAGTTGTTAAAAATATCATCAATGTATTGTGAAAAATTTAATACAATACAGTTATGAAATACAGAATAGCCCAGAAGTAAACATGGATTCTTTAACTGATAAGTGTTTTTTTATTCTTTTTCATAGTTAGTTTGACAGGCAAGGTACAATGGTACCAGAAACTATTATTGGAGATTAAGAAAAGGAAGGGGGGGGGTTGGAGAGCAGAAACAAAGGAGGGTGGAGGGTTGGGGCGCAGAAACAATGCCTGGCATATGGTAAAACAAAGTGAAAGCAGTTAAGTCTCATTCTAGAATGTTTTCTTTCATTCAGAGTTTAGAATCCACGTTGGTGAATTCGAAGAGAACTACTAAGACAACCCTCAGCAAATTCTACAACTTTTTTTGCAATTTTTTTCCATGTAATCTTTGTACGAGTGACGACAGTATCCACTGGCTGCCCATGAACGACAGTCTTCCTCTTTGTCCACGCAAACACCTTTAAAAAAATAATTATCAGGAATCCAATCAACTTTGAGAAAATAAAAGGGGGGAAAGGAGGGCTACCAACGTTTTCCACATTCGTGTATCCACTTGCTCATCCCTTTGACTCCGAATCTAGTTCCCATACTCTTCGATCTTTATTTCCCTTCTCGAGGAGTGGGGAAAAGAGACCCTGAGGACGAACTCACTTCTGTTCACCCCTTCTCAAAAAGAAATTCAAAATATACAAATGTATATAACATACATTGTAAGTAGTGTATGGCATTAAATAGGAAAAAGCAAAACGAAACAAAAACGTATTCGTTTCCAGGGAAGAGGCAACGGCAATGAAACCGATGACTTCTCTATTCACCTTTCACACAAAGACAACTTTTCTGGCAGTTCTCGTTCATGTAATCCGTGTGTCCTCTTTTACAGAATCCTTGTGACGCCCAATAAGCGCAAAACCTGTGCTTGTCTGAGTAACGACAACCTGAAATATAATTAGGACTTGTTAATCAAAGACTCACCCTAAATCCTCCAATCAGCACCTCCCCTAAAATACGCACCCACTCCCTCATTCAGTGTCCGGTGTGGTTTTGGGATATCGTTAACTTCTTATTTCCTTTTATGCCCAGAAAAGTATGATTACAGATCAGTCAACAATAAGGTATTCTCCCGTACTAAGGTGCGGTGTCTACCGCGAAGTGGTTGTTGTTGATTCCGTTAACAGCTACGAAATAACATATTTATGAAACAAAACAGTCTCACCTGTAGGTGACTTAGTTGTAGGCCTTACACTCGGTGGCTCGTCAGTTGACTTAGTTCTGCAGTAGAGTAACTTAGCTTGCTCGATATCCCTCCGACTCAGTCCCCGAGTATTTCCGAGCCGTGTATCGCCGTTTTTCCGCGCGATGGTGGTTCGGCCGTTCATGCTGAAAGCGCGGGAATCGTAATGCATCACACTGTCGTAATCATACGAGATACCAAGACTGTTAATTCTCCCGTCTGCGTATTTGTGAAAGGCATACCTAAATTCTAAACAAAAAGAACAGATAAAGCTCATTGGCATTAATTCACTTGGAAGGATAGGTAAAGTAGAAAATAATTGCGCCGAAGTCCAGGAACCCTTCCTACCTTGTCTTATTGTGGAATCAAGCTTCTTCGAGGCCATTAAAAGGGATATCTCTTAACACTCTCTCGAGTAGCGTTGTATGAAAGAGGGGGGGGGGGGGGAAGGAATGACCTGCTAGCATCCCAGCCGGGGAGGTGACATTATTCTTTCAACACTCTGCTTCTGCAAAGCCACACATAAGAATTCTTTCGATTTGTCTTCCTTCCTTTCAGATCTTCTCACATGATTAATCCAACTTGACATTCACGTTTGTTTTACTTACGAGGGTAAATATTATTCCAGTAGATGTTTACGTAGCTGTCTCGGTCGGGCCGAGACTGCTCGTGCCAGAATCCGAGAGCATGACCTGGAGCGAGAAGAGGACATAGTTACCACAGAGGTATAATATGTCGAATCTGTTTGCGAACTGAGCTATTAATTGTGGAATAAAAAAAATTCAAGAGTTCAAGTAGCTTAGAGATCTCTTACCAATTTCGTGGACGACGATATGTAGGTGTTCACATGCGCGTGCTATGGAAATCCGCTGGGCACCTCCTTGCCTTCCAACGTGCGAAAAACAACTGAAATGTAACGTTATTTTATCATATTATTTCGGTTCAGAAAAAGATTCTCAATTGAAAGGAAACAATTTGTCTTTTACTAGACCGTTCTGCTCACCCTCCACCGGCAAAAAAGCTGATGTAAGATCGCTGATTCGTTCGCTGGACGAAACGCAGGCATGGCACGTGTCGGACCCAGTGATCTATCCCTTGTTTGATTACCCGGTGAGCGTGACCTGGATGCCAGAAGAGAAGATTGAGATTACGAAGCGCGAGGAGTGGGTGAGAGAAACAGGAAGAAAAAGTCAACATTTACAAAAAGGTACTTTGCTAAAAAACGAAACAAACAAACAAAAACTGGTCGCTGAAAATTTTACGTTTTACTTACGAACGCTGGATTCAAGTTGGTAGGGGATCTCTGGCTTGTTATTGCTTCCAATCCATCTTCGTGCAATGTTTGAAATGGCAGCTCGTTTACGCCTTGATGGACTGGTTGGGCTGTCACGCGGTGGGAATAGGCCCATGTCACGCAATTCGTCACGTATATCTTCTGTCATCAGGATATCTCCTTGAAAAAGCTCGTATCCGTCTGATATGAGTGACAAGTTAGATCACAGATTATTTTTAAATGAACTTGCTTCTGTTTCCCTCACTTGAATTATGATCTAATTCTCCCAATTTGAACCACAATAAGTGATTAATGACTATTAGAGAGATTCTAACAATTATAATCATAACCATTACAATTTCCCAAAATGTGATTGGTGCATCAGCTGCATTATATTTCACTAATCACTTTGTACATTTGTAATAGGACAGTGTAATCAGACAGTTTGCTGTAATTTGACACCTAAAACCGGACAGTTGAAGCAGCCAATCATACTAAATCCACTCAGCTAAATCCACCAATCACAGAATTGATCACAATAACCTTAGCAACAACCACTTACCCTATAAAAAAAATCAGGGAAATTTCCAAGTATTTCGCGTTAGACATTGTCCTTACTGGAGATGTTTGTCCTAAATGTATTTGTTGTTTATTTTTTTGGAACTTGTAATGGTTATGATTAATTGGTAACGGGACTTCGTGTCGTCCAATTCTGTAATCATACTCGTCCTTAACAAATCGGACTCCCGCTTCGCGGTCGTCCGATTTTGTTGATCACTCGTATGATCACAGACCGAATTGGACACCGCTCGGTCCTATTACCATTATAAATAAATTTGAGAGTCTCTCACTCACCTCTGCTCTTTCCTTGTATGCCGTTCGCTTCCATGATCATTGCGAAAGCTGACTTAGGCGTCTGAGTCTGATTTGCCTGAGTTTGCGTGGAATTGTCTTGAAGAAGAAATATCAAGAAAAGTTAATACATATACTTCAAATGTTTTCCCTTCCATTCGTTCCCTTCTCCTTACGTTTCTGATCATTGTTTTCTCTCAGTTCAGTTCATTGAGAATTCGAAGACTCGAGATTGCCGAATAAAAATTCTGTTTGAATCACACAGACAATTCTTGGTTGAAATCTTTTACTGCGAAGTAGTCTTAGGAGTGTTATAGATGTCTTAAATATAATGTATGCTTGCATAATGAGGCAGTAAGTTTCAAGATTTTCTCGAGTGTGCTGTGTAACAAAAAGAAAATCTGGTTGTGAGCAACAAATTATCATTTTGAATTCCAATGACTACTGAGAACAATCAGATAAATGAGCGTTCAGAGTTTTGAGACGAAACAACCAACCTTGGGTTTTTTCGGAGTTTTGCAGAATATGACCCCGAGCATTAATCAGTAGAGTACCAAAAAGCACAAATGTCGCGACGCAAGAGTCAAACATGTTGCTATTCTTTGGAAAACGTATTCGAAGACGTAGCATTAAGAGCACGCACTTCGCACTAAAGCGCAACAAATACTATTAAAAGAAAAGCATTGTTTATTTTCAAGGCGTCGCGTTGACAATTGATTTCCATTTCCTGACCAGGAGTTTTTCCAGATATCAAATCCAACCAGACCAGCCGCCCTCATGTACCACGCAATAATAAACATGAAATAATTGCCTCTCCTTGACGCACTACCGGGCAGACAAAGCAAATATCTCTTCAGCTTGCATACTTCAGACAACGATTCTATTGTATTTAAAAGAAAAAGCGTTTGTGCCTAGGAATTTTACCCTCCTTATCCTTCAAGCGGTCATTTCCGTGCGCTAAGACCGCGTGGTTTAAGGAGAAATAAGCTAATGATCAATTTGATGTAAACGGGAAATCTCGGTTAGGTACTGGATGTCTGATCATAGAAGCATTTTTGGCCTTTTTAGAACTTTAACATCTTAACTGGAATGAATCCGAGAGCTCACAACGTTTCCTATGCGTGGTATGTGCAATAAACGTATCCTTTTCCGCTGTCTGACGGACGCTCGGAAGTAATGTTGATCGATCTACCATCGAGTTAGATTTCCATATTTGCAGACAACCCAAGTAAAGCCATCATGAGACACATGCTGAGGAGTATCACTTTCAACCTTCTAAAGTTCATAAATAAAGCCTAATCGCAAACAAGCGCTGTGGAAAATAGTGATGGCTTGATCAGGTCCATTTGCGGACCCATAGTCGCAATTTCATAAGCACGAAATAAATCATTATAAACGGAAAGAAAAACTATTCTCTCATAATTTGTCTGCTTGTGCGACGTCGCCTCTCAAGATGACTGCAGCTCTATGACGTCATTATATCTTTTGTCACGCCACTCCCTCGCTTGTTCGTGACCAGGCATCACGTAGGTGGTTTTTAGTTGGGATCACGTTTAAACAGAGCTAGCGTTGATGAGTTTTGTGATTGCTGATGATCTTTGGTGTAGAATAAGTACGATCGAGATTTTTCAGATTTTTATCTCCAATTTAATTTTTTAATCATAAAACATAAACAGTTTCTCCTGCATCCTGTCAGGACAGAGTGCGTGACATGAAGGAAAGTGTAACTGGATTAGCTTCTTCTTACTAATTGGACTTCACACGTTACCTCGTACCTAAGGACTCCATAAAAAGGATTCCTCAATCCTCGCTAACGACGCATTAAAAGAAATCTTTTTAAGCATTTTAATGCTTTCAAAAGTTGAGGGTACGTAAAGTTTCAGGTAACCCACGTCACGAGAAGTCCTAACAGTAATGATCCAGATTTATTTCAACGGGGAAGTTTTAATTGTAATCTTATTAGGGATGGGTGCCGTTGATCTTTTGTAAACCTACTTAAATCAGACACAGCCCTGACCCTTCTTTGCGTTGTTAATAGTTTCTTATACGCCACGCATTTTATGAGAGCATAAAAACGCATAAATCTGTCCACCTTTTCTAGAGATCGGAAGTTGAGTAATAATTTGACCTCTCCCGCCTCTGCTGATGACGAAGTTTAATGTTGTTATTACCAAATACGTAACCTGAATTCACATCAGCAGATGAGGTGTCAGTTAACAACACCCACAATGAGAGATCATGTTTTATTAAAAAAAAGATATATAAATAACCGAATCAACTTCGGAGAGTATCTCTCAGCAAGAGCATCCAACAGAGCGTACGAACAATTTTCAGTACAGGAGAAGTGACACTAGACTAACGATGTTTCGTATGATTCTACTGGCAGTTTTTCTGCAAATGAGTGAATGCATTTTAACACCAGATGGACTAATGCAACCTCCAGGTATGAAAATTTTTGAGTCAACTGCAAATTTCAATCGATAGATTTTTGAATACTCCTAGATCAAAGTCGTATATCCTATATTGGAGTATTTTGAGAGTTTTTGTAAGGTCAGCACAGTCAATCATTTCTATGTAAGGACTGCAAAGAAGTCAAAACTAAACGGCATCTCAATTTTTTAGCCCCAGGTCAACTGCAGGGAAATACCTCGACACAAAAAGAGGAAATGTCGGCTTTTCAAGTCATCGAACAGGCCAACAATGCTGTTGGAAACTTACGAAGTAAGCACTGATTTTTTTAGCTAGCAACTTATCTTCTTTACTCTTACCGTAACCAATCTCATGAATGACGACATTCTTGTTGTTTCTTCCAAAATATACTTTGTGCACAAAAGTAATTGAAAAAAAAAAAATAATAAAAAAATTAAAAAAAAAAAATATATATATATATATACACTCCGTGACTGAGTTCGTAATTTGCAGGTTTACCGTTTATGTGAGCGTGCTCTGCGATTATAAATACGGTTTTCATTTATTAATTGATTTAATTTTTTATACTTTTTGAGTGACGGACAGGAGCGGGCTTTTCTTGCACGAGGGAGATATCGAACTAACAGGCTGGCAACGGAAAATTCTCAAGAAGCAGAACTCAGGAGGACGACAGAAGCGCGGTGCTATGAGAAGTCTTGCTCGGCGGTGGATGGATTCAAGCGGGCGTCCTTTGATTCCCTACTACATCGAGGGCAGTGTGGGTGAGTGTGGACGCATGAATAGAATGCAAAACTATGGGTACTCTAAGTAAGCAAATTTTCTTTCCCCAAGCCACGCGTGATCAACCCTGAGGGACGTAGGTAGAGTTTTTAGCCAGGGAGTTAAGGGGAGGGGGAAGGGGGTTACGACATTAGCCCATTAATCTAAGATATGAATTAAGCAGATCGCTCTCCACGTACCTTACACCTCGCCCCCTTTCCCTTGTTTACGCCCTTACATTTCTCGTGTCGGATGAAATTATTTTCGCCTATTTTCATTTAGAAAAACGGAAAGCAATATTAATATATTAAATTCAGAAGAGATAAGCGCGCAAATTATGATCGTTTTGGGATGTGTGAAGACCTTACACTTTTCATGAACTTTGACACGCAATCTCGTCTTAACAGTAATGGTTTTAAAACATTAAGGTGTGGATTTGTCTTGTTACAGCGCATGCTCGCCGTGTTATAGATGCAGCCATCAGACAATGGATGAGTAAAGTTCCTTGCCTGAGGTTCGTTCGAAGAACAACTCATCGTAACTACATCAGCTTCTTTTCTGGAGGAGGGTAAGGAAGAAACTCAATTATTGGGAAGGCCAGGTCGCTTAGACAACGTCAAAAGCACTGTTTGACGTCAATTTTTCCATCTAACATTTGTGTTCTTTCATTTTACAGCTGCTATTCCATGGTGGGACGAGTTGGAGGAGGACAAAAGATTTCTATTGGACGTGGCTGTGATCACATTGGCGTGGTCGTTCATGAAATTGGTGAGTGAATAAGAAAAAAAGCTTAAGAAGTTTGATTTATTTGCTGCGGTAGTCTGGCAAGATTTGAACTTCAGAATCAATAAATCTTATATCTCATCTTCTTTATAAAACTAACATTTGCTACGCATTTTCTTTTAGGACATGCTCTCGGGTTCTGGCACGAGCAATCCCGTCCCGATAGGGATCGTTACATCAACATTCACTGGAATAACATTCCAAGCGGTAAGTGAAATAAACCACTCGAAAGCCATATCAGCTTCATCATTTTCCCTTAAATAACCTAATATATCAAATGAAATATTTATGTAGGTATGTATCATCCCTATTAAAAGCGGATAAAACTTTGTGAAACTTTAGTGAGCCAGAACATGTTTCATCGTTCTCCAAACCCAAATTGTAAGATTTGAAAGATTTGGATTGTTCAAATTATTATTCAATGTGAACCAAAGGTTTTTTGATGAACTGAAGCTCCTAATACTTCAACACAATATTTCGAAAAAGAAGTTCAGCATACATCGTCAATTGTTTACACATCAACTCATTTTGAGTTCTATATTCCTCGTCCAGGATTCCACTCCCAATTCAGGAAGATGTCGACAAGTGCCATTAACTCACGTGGAGTCTCGTATGATTACGACAGTGTGATGCATTACCACTCTACCGCGTTTGGTAATGGACGTATAACTATCACACGCAAAGATGGCAGCACCAAGCTGGGAAACACTCGAGGATTGAGCGCCAAGGATGTTCAACAAGCGAACCTGATGTACTGCAACGGACAACCAGTAACTTCAAAACCACCCACAGGTATTGCTGCATTGTTTTTTTTTTTTTTTTTTTTTTTTTTTTCCTCTGGCTATGTTTTTAACCTGGAAATGTTCCAGATTCCACAAAGCAGCGAAATTTGGGATATCCGGGACCCTTTAGCCATCTGATGCCCTCGTCATGATAACCAGCTTAATGTTTCCCTCTGGTACAACTTCATTCAAATCATCGGATGTAATGGGTACAAAATTGGGATTTCATTTGGTACCTTCTTAATTCAGAGCGTTCACTTTACAATGTGTGAAATCTAGACAAGTTTTGCCACTAAAGATCTGACAAAACAAAAAACAGAAGGGCGAAGTTTCGAAAAATCTCGGCACAGGTTCTAATTCAGAGGGCAAACTTAAAATCAATAGTTCACGATTCAAACTGCCGCATTAATCCTTTAACCCCAACAAGTGATCAACATGTAACTTCTTCCTACGATATATTTACATTATGTTGCATAAAGGTATTGAGAAAACTCCAATTTATTAGATAATAATTGTTATCTTGATCTGACACTAAATTCTCATAACTGATTTACAAAGTAATGTGCAGCAGCTGGAGGGGAGAATTAACAGTCAGATCTTGGGAATTAAAAGGTTACATGACTTTTCACATCACATTCCAATAAAAAAAAAATTATAAAGTTATAATGTCTTGATTCCAATGCATTTCCCCAACTTATCACCCCACCAGCCTTTCCAATATTTTTTTTGGTACTTCCCACTAATGTCATTCTGCAAGTGTCTGGTAAGCTGTTGCATCCTGCGGTCACAAAGTGATTTGCTTTCATCAACAGGTTGTCGATACAAAGATAATAACCGCAACTGTCCATCTTGGAAGGCCAGGGGTTACTGCACACACACATATCAGGCGTATATGAGACGAAACTGCCAAAAAAGTTGCTTCTGCGGAACAAGTGAGTTAATTTTTTCCCTAACCTGTCCAGTTTATCAAATTTCACGAGTTCAGTCCGTATGTTGCTTATCATTTAATAATCATTACAAGTACTTTAACTGGAACAATTTGTAATTTTATGCGTGTCTTTTGTGTCAAATCATATCCACCTTGCTCTGATTTTTATAAATTCTTTTTTAATCTTAAGACTTAAGGATGATAGCATTCAATTGAATGAATGAGTGATCAATCTATTTATTGAATTAACCGTTGATTGTTTCCACAGACACCAACTGCGCTGACCTTCATCAAAACTGCCCAAATTGGAGAAGAAGAGGTTTCTGTCGTCGAAACTCACAGTACTACACCTACATGTCAACTAATTGTAAAAAATCCTGTGGCTTATGCTAAGAGCGCTTAGTTTTCAGTGCAAGAGTTGTATTATAAACTAGTATTTTTTTAAAGGAAAAATGTAAAACCGCTCTAAGCATTTTTTTAATCCAATCTTAAGTTTTTAGGTGCATTAATAAAATGTGTATTCTTTAATAAATAGTTTCTTTTCTCTCTTTTCTTTCCAAAGTAATAGTTAATAAATATAGATGAATTTTTGACGCTGCAAGGAAGAAATCAAGCAGCAGCTTGCTGGACATTAAAGTGACGTTCTGTTTACTTGTCTTTAAATATATATATTTAAGCAAGCGCGAGCTGAACCCGAGGCAAGTGGGCGAATAGTGCGAGGATAGTTTGCGGAACTGGATGCACTCAAATGAAAGAGTCATTTTTTTTAACGCACAACTGATAAATTTCCTTCATTTGTTTTGCGTTTTTCAGGTGAACTTAGGTAAGCGCGAGGCGCGCGTAACAGAATCGCGCCAGCAACGCATATTGATGTACGAGCGCAAGGAGTTGAGTAATTTTTTAGGCGCCAGTCCCCTTCCGTTCTCCAACTATAGAAGCTCTTGAATGTTAAATAAATTCCCCTTGTCGTACCATACGATATGATTAGAAAACAGTATGAAGAATATTTTTGTTGGGTTGTAAGGGGTCAAGGAGACTTCAGAAAAGGTCCTTGGGTTGGAAAGGTTTCAATGTATACAGTTGTTTTGCTGTTTCGACGTTTCGAATCGTTTGCACGTCTGACTTATGTCTGGGTACTCACATGCAGTAAACGTGATTTGTCTGTCAAATTGACAAGTCGGGGAGTACAGTGGGGTTTATATAAACATTTTTTAGACATTTTCGAGGTTTCTCGAGCACCGATGTTGTTATTTTTTTAAAGATATTTACTTTAAAGAGGTAAAACGCGCGTTTTGTCAACAAGCGCTGTGTTACAGGAGGTTTACAATATGCGCCACGTGCTACCGGATAATAATGACCAAGTTTGTCTTAGTCATACACAATGGAATGATGACAGAAAAGTGAGATATGACAGGACAGAAAAATATCCAACTGTGTTTTACCTGTGTAATAAAAATTGAAAACAAAATCATTTGTCACGTCTGCCACAACTTTGATGATATAGTGTCTAAGAAGATTAACGCTTGCTACAGTCTAAAGCTGACCGTTGCATATTAGTTAGACATGATATCCTTTTGGGTTTGTGCAGCTTTGTTTGTGGTAGCACAAGTTGAGGAATCGTCTGCAGCTCCCACAGGTAAAATTTCGCTTTTGTACTACGCAGTTCAAATTGCAGCCGTGTTTGAGTTTAGAGCTTCGTTTGTCTTACTCCGCGCGAATAAATTACCTCAGCTCTCGGGCACTCAATCTGCCCTCAATTAATTTAACTTTTTGTTTTCCCAGCTTGGTCATCTTACAGATCGGGGAAAAATGGCACGAAAAAATTCAAAATTACGCGGTGTTTATTCTTTTACACACTGTTTTTTCCATTCATCAGTGGTCCTCTCCTTGAACTGCACTAGTTCCGCTAGTTCCGTTCTAGTTTTTGAAATTTGTATTGAACAGTCGATAATTTCTATTGAAGTATAGTGAAGAAAATAAAACTAATCATCAGCTGGATTTTTGCTAGTCTCAGATCAGCTACAAGGAAATTCGTCGAAAGCAAATACCTCGACAGCAAGAGCGGAGTTCTCCGCCTCCGCCTTCCAAGCGATCGAACAGGCCAACAATGCAGAGGCAAACTTACGAAGTGAGCACTGATTTTTTTCATTAATTTATCAAATTTTCAGATTTGCTTCATCCTTATGCTTTATCTAGTCTTATGAATGACGGCGTTATTGTTGTGGCTTAAAAAAGTTTTCGCGTAATACGACAGTAAAAATCTGTGACCATGTTCATTACTTGTGGGTTTAATGTTCATGCAAGTGCACTGTGCGACTGACTCGCTTGTCATTTATTCATTAATTGTTTTTATTATCATCAACATTATTCAAGTGTCAGACAGAAGCGGGCTTTTTTTACACGAGGGAGATATCGAACTAACAGAAAGCCAACGAAAAATGATCAAAACCCAGATCTCTGGCGGACGACAGAAGCGCGCTACATTAAGAAGTCTTTCTCGGCGTTGGATGGATTCAAGCGGTCGTCCTTTGATTCCCTACTACATCGAGGGCAGTGTGGGTGAGTGAGTGCTTATAAAAATCTACAGTATCTAGTTTCTCTCAGCAGCAGTTTTTGCCCACGCCTGAATAACCGCAAACCTCACTTCTGCGACACGGGCAAAGTTTCTAGAGAGGAGTAGGGCGTAGTGGGGGGGGGAGGACACTAGCGCCCTAGTAAAATTTTCCTGATATGCTAGGTTATTATTACTGTATTGCATGTGGATCGAACTGACCTTGCGTTCCTCGTATCAGATAAAATAAGTTTGCGCTTTTTTTATTTTGAAAAACGGAAAGATAAAGGAAGCAATATATATACATATTCAGTGAGAAGGGAGATCTGTTGCGCAAATGATGAGTGATTTTTGCTTTAACTTTAACCCGCGATCTCGTCTGTACAGTGATGATTTTGAAGCATTAGGGTGTGGATTTTGACTTGTTGCAGCGCATGCCCGCGGTGTCATAGATCAAGCCATGAGACACTGGATGAGTAAAGTTCCTTGCCTGAGGTTCGTTCGAAGAACAACTCATCGTAACTACGTCAGTTTCTTTTCTGGAGGAGGGTAAGGACGCAGTCATTGTTTTTACGTCTACACTGTAGGCCAGGTTACCAATACATCTGCAGCGGGGCTCTTTGATGTCATCGCGCCGTCTAACATTTGTGTTATTTCACTTAACAGCTGCTATTCCATGGTGGGACGAATTGGAGGAAGACAGAAGATTTCCATTGGGCGGGGCTGTAATCAAATTGGCGTGGTTGTTCATGAAATTGGTAAGTGGTTGAGGAAAAAACTAATAAAATTTGAAACATTTACTGCGCAATTCTGACAAAAAATTGGCTCGTCAAGATGGAGAACTTTATTACCTTCAAGCCCTTTTTCATATTTACTTTTATTCTGATCGGATTTTAGGATTACTTTGGTTTTGGTTTTACGAGACTCGGAAAAAAGCGTTTTAGTGTATCTCGGAACCATTTGTAAGCCCTTCACGCCAAGATCTCACTAGTGACTCTCTTTACTGTCTGCCAAACAATTCTTATGACGTTAGTGCGGGGAATTTGGTATTGGATCAACTAGTAATTCCCCTGATTGATATTTTTCTTTATCGTAATATCTTGTCTGCTTGATTTATTATTGATATTGTGGGGAGAAATTATACGTTGGTCACTCATGGGTTAACTATGAAAACAGATGATGGAAATCATAGACATTTTTGAGCTCGGTCATCAAGCAGACGCTTCTTATCACCAGCGCATAAATTCATTTCTTGCTAGTAAGGACGAGGGACAAGCAGCTACTCAATATTATGTTTATATACGAATAACATTTAATTTAGAGAGTCTCTCTCACCCGAAGAAGCCTCCCAAAAATAATATTTGTTTTAATTACTTTTCAGGACATGCTCTCGGGTTCTGGCACGAGCAATCCCGTCCCGATAGGGATCGTTACGTCAACATTCTCTGGAATAACATCCCAAGCGGTAAATGAATTAAGCCATATAATCAAGTTGTCATGCCAGTCAATAGCGGGCAGAAACTCTGCCAAACCAGAGTAGCACAGGAAAACTAAACTAACTTTGGCGAGAAAAAATTTCTTCATTGTAAACTACAAACCTAAAAGATTGGGATTGTTTGAATTGTTATTCCATATCAAATAAAAACCAGCAAATGGGTATATATTACCTTATCTTGATTCGTATGTTTGTTCTCCAGGAGTCCGCTCCCAATTCACGAAGATGTCGACAAGTACCATTAACTCGCGTGGAATCTCGTATGATTACGACAGTGTGATGCATTACCACTCTACCGCGTTTGGTAATGGACGTATAACCATCACACGCAAAGATGGAAGCACCAGGCTGGGAAACAGTCGAGGACTGAGTTACAAGGACATTCAACAGGCAAAATTGATGTACTGCCCTGGACAACCCACAAGTAGACCTGTTACTGCAAGACCAAGGCCGCCCACGGGTAACCAACACGCCTCTGTTTCCTTTTTCCCCGGCAATTTTTTTAGCTTGAAGTTTTTCCTGATTTTGCAATGTCCAGTGAAATCTGACACCTACCGGATCCGATCTGGTGCATGCGTTAAAATCACTAGCTTAGTGTTTCTCGCATCGTCTTAACGCTGTTACCCCCAGAAGTGATTAACATGTAACTTCTCCCCATAATATCTGTACACTATCCAGAAAATAAGTGATGAGAATACTAAAACTTATTAGGTAGAAGCTGTTATGTTGATCTAATACAAAATTCTCATAACTACTTTACAAGGAAATGCTTAGCAGCTAGCGAGGAGAATTAACAATCAAATCTTAGGAGTGAAAGGGTTAAATGGGCACCTCACTGGGACTGCAGTTAGTGTCTGCTTGACACAAAGCGTCTGCTTGATATGGGGCTAGCCTCACAAGTTTTGCTAAAAACGATTTTAAATGATGAGCAACAGCCAAAGTTCAAAAAAATCTCGGCACAGGCTCTATTTCAGAGGAAAAACTTCAAAGGAATAAACAGATCCGCAATTCCTTTCAAAGGAATATTTTGATTTAAGAACAATTTGAACTGTCGCGTTTAGCCAATAATACCATTATGATCCTGTGCATTTTCCCAACTCACTCTCTCACCAGTCCTTTTTACTCACTTCCCACTCACGTCACTCTGCTTGTATCTGTTACGTTGTTGTATACTGCAGTCACAGATATTTCTAATACTGAGAGATCTGCTTTCATCAACAGGTTGTCGATACAAAGACAATAACCGAAACTGTCCATTTTGGAAATCCAGGGGTTACTGCACGCACACACATCGGACGTACATGAGACGAAACTGCCAAAAAAGTTGCTTCTGCGGAACAAGTTAGTTTCTCTTCACAAACTGTCCAGAATGAGACGTTAATGATCATTAGTAGTAATTTAACTGCACCACATTGTAACTTTGTGTTTGTATTGTTTAAATAATTGTAGCGACTCTGCTTTTGTTAGAAATTTATTCATTTATGAATTTTCATAAAAAATAATAATAATGATAACAATAATAACAATATTCATGATATTTGATGATTAATTCAACGGCTTTTAATGGTCAGGGTCAATTAGATGAGTTATTTCATGCGCTGAAATGGTTAATTGATTTATTTATCTGTTTGTTTTCTCAGATACCAACTGCCGTGACCTTGAGCGACACTGCCCAGCTTGGAGACAGAGAGGTTACTGTCGGCGAAACTCGCAGTACTACACCTACATGTCAAAAAATTGTAAAAAATCCTGTGGCTCCTGCTAAACCAGCTTAGTCTGCGAAGCTGGAAAAATGTGAAATCACTCTGAGGCAAAGTTTGTTGTAGCCGCACGTTTTTCAATGCGTTAATAAATTGTTTATTCTCTATCTGATTTTTTCAATAAATAATACCAGGGTATTAAAGCCGGGAAGCTATTTCAACAGTTTTCAAGTTATTACTACATACGCATTAGTTTACCGAGCAGAAACTGTCTGCTTCAAGTAAACTCCTTGAGACGTGTGCGTGTCTGACGCAGGTATGGTGACAGGTCACCCACGCTAAACGTTACCGTGATTTGTCTGGCAAAGTAACAAGCTGGGAAACATGGAAGGTTCAGTCAGTGAGAATTCTTCATTCATTTTCTCGGGGTTCCTAGAAAAATAAAACGTTATTTTTTTATGGTTATCATGACGAAAGCTGTTGAATCTGGAAGTTAATTTGGAATATAAATCAAAGTCGGGGGAAAAGTGCGTTTTAGCAGACGCTGTCTTGCAGGAGTTTTCCAATATGCGTTACGTGCAACCAGATCATTATGACCACGATGGATTTGATCAGGTCAAAAGGTAAGGCAAAGTGAGATATGAGAGGGCAGAAAAATATCCAGCTGTGTTTTTTCCCACGACATCCGCATCATTGAGCAATAAAAGTGTCTACGTAATAGGAATTGATGAAAACACATTAGTCACGTCTGCCACAACTTTGATTATATAAGCAGAACAAGAAAGCTTTTCTATTACGCTTGTTGTAGACTGAAGCTGATCCCTGGAGATAAGTTCAACATGAAATTGTTGTGGATTTGGGCAGCTTTGCTTGTGGTAGCACAAGTTGAGGAATCATCTGCAGCTCCCACAGGTAAAATGCGTGTAAAATTTCTCCTCTACACTGCGCACCTCAAACTTTAGCCACGGTTTACGTTTAGCACTTCGGTCGTTTTCCGCGCAAAAAGATTAAACCACAGCCATTTATGCTCTTCCATTTATCCGCCTTCTTGTCATTTTTTTTTCCAACTTCCTCGCTCCGTTTGGCTGATGTTCTCAGTAATGTGGAGACATGTTCCACGTGCAAACGATGCAGGAGCAGAAGGCTTTGTTGTGACTTTGTGCTTTTGTTAAGATTCTACAGATGACATCTGCTACACTCGCAACACAACGAACGGAAAGTGCTGTGTGTTTCCATTCACTTACAGAGGCGTGGATTACTATGAGTGCACAACGAAAGATTTTGGGAGAGAATGGTGTTCTTTAAATGATGTCTATGAAACTCACAGGCAATGGGGATTTTGTGGTAAGTTTCGATAAATGCTTAAAAATGAGCGAACATTAGCGCGTGTATGTCTATTGTGAGCTACTACGATATCCAATTTCTAAAAGTTTACAGACGTCACAGGCCATGGATGTTTCAATCGGTCAGGAAATGTTTGTAACTGGAAAGTAACAACAAATATCTGGGAATCACCAAGAGATATGAGGCAACAATTTTGGATCAGGCGGCATATTAAATCAGAAGTTATGCGCACTTATTGATTAGATTTAACATCTCCGTGAAATACTCCTTGTTTTTTTTGTCAATTATCGACTGCTGAGTTGCGAAGCTACTACAGCTCGATATGCCATTAAAATAATCCCCAGGATCACTTATCAGTGGAACAATCAATCACTTCCACGGTCACAAAAGAAATTTCCCTTTTGATGACGGATACAGTTCAAAGTGCCACATATTGACAATTTCGGTCATTGGCGTTACACTGTCTGCGTAAATCATGGTTTGTGCCGGCTCTCCGCATAGGGTACACTATGATGACCTTGGATAACCGCAATAAAAGCCCACGGTTTGTCACGCTTCAGGTGTAAGGTTGGGTAGAGTGCTTGACGAGTTGGTTCGAAATTTACAATAACATGATGAAAAAAAAAAATTGCAGCAAAATACTCGTTCGGAATATTCATAGATTCCAATTTTTTCTCTGCTTAGCCCTCTTACAGACCGAAACAAATTGGCACGCGAACTTGCAAATTTACGTGGTAGATCCGGGGTGTTTATTCTTCATTTTTGTTTATAATCCCAACCTTTAACTGCGCTATAATTAGTAAACCCCTCGTTTTCTCTCACATTTAGCACTTATCCCTTCAAAGATTTGTTTATATTAACCAAGCTAATTTATGTTTATCCTAGCAAACGAGACAATGAAGCCTGTCTTTGACACCATTCTTGAAGCAACAGGAGAAAATGGCAGGTCCAGAGGTAAATTATTTCACGTTTTTAACTATACAGTTACCAGATAAGTCGAGAAAAACTGGTTTCATGCTACAGACTGTTAAGTTCAGGTACTCTCGCGAAAAACTCCACAACCGCGCACAATATCGCAATATATAGAATTTTAAACGCCTTTTATGGTTGATATTCCTGCCCTTACTCTGATCTTTTTTCCTGTTTAGATGGAAAAGAAGCTTTGTTTCAAGGTGACATAATCATGACCCGAGAAATACGTGACAGCCTCAACAGTCGCGGGATCCTGGTGCCTCCCAAGAGGATGGCAAAACCTCAGAGCAGACGAAAGAGGGCGATCATGAGGGTGTCTAGAGGCAGCGACCTTCGATGGCTTGTTGGTAGTAGTGGAAAGCGAGAAGTCCCCTATTACATTACAAGCTCGAACCGTGAGCATACGTCTAACTAATTTTATAATAGGTCTTTGAGTATCTCTCTTAATATTTTGCTTTTGAATATCATGAAATTGTTTCTATCGTTTCAGTGTTAGGCTTCATCGTAGATTTTAAAAGAATAATTCGATTTTTACACCTTCAGATAATGTGCGTGGAGTTATCCTGCGTGCTATGAAGCACTGGGAGGAAAGAGTGCCTTGCCTAAAATTCGTACAGAGGAGCAGGGAGAGTCGTTACCTTAGTTTCTTCTCCGGTGGAGGGTGAGGAGCAGATGCTTATATCGTCAAAGACTAACTTAGCGACGGAGGAATTAATTAAGTGGCAACATTATAGACTTAATACCTGCTTGCTTGCCTAACGGACTTACTGAAAGACTGACTGAATGCCTCACTGGCTCAATGGCTGACTGACAGACTAACAGAGTGGCTGACTCGCTGACTAACTGACTCACTTGCTCACTGACTCACGAGGTAACGGACCGACTGTCTGACCGACTGACCAACTAACCGACTGACTGACTGATTGATTGACCAACTCTCTGACTGACTAACTCAATGAGTGACTCACTCACTCACTGGCTCACTGACCTACGGAGACACAAACCAATTGACTGACCGACCCACTGACTGACCAACTAACCGACTGACTGACTGACCAACTGACTGACTAACTCAATGAGTGACTCACTCACTCACTGGCTCACTAACTTACAGGGTAACTGACCGATTGACTGACTGACTGACTGACTGACTGACCAACTAACCGACTGACTGACTGACTAACTCAATGAGTGACTCACTGGCTCACTGACTAACTTACGCGCTGAATGACGTAGTCACTAACTGACTTACTCACTAAGTTTATTACGGACACACATACCATTACTTCTTTGCAGTGGATTACATGAATAATTTCTCTGAACTATTAACCCATCACAATTAATAAACACACGTTAACTGTTACTTTATTTTGATCTTTCAAGGTGTTATTCTATGGTAGGCCGACAGCCTGGCTCGGGGCCTCAGAAAATCTCCATTGGAAATGGTTGTGGTTATCTGGGTGTAGTAGTGCACGAGATAGGTATGGCAAATCTTTGTAACAGTATCTGTTTCTTCTATAGTTGGAGCTTACGTGAGGTCAGCTTAGAGGATAGAGCGCAGTCGAGTCTAATTTATTGTTTACTAATTGTTTGTTTCATAACAACTTCCAATGATTTGTTTTTTTTTCTTTGTATCCCGCAGGACATGCCCTCGGATTCTGGCACGAACAATCCCGTCCTGACAGAGACTCTTATGTGACAATTAACTGGCAAAACATCCAAACGGGTATACTTTAAAATTTTTATTGATGACAACGCACCTACTTTGATGGCTGAAGTTTAAAGTTATATCTTAAAATATGGGTAAGATTTTTGCGTGGTTAAAATATTCAATTTTTTTTTCCCGCTAAGGTATGGCGTACAACTTTCATAAATATGGAACCAATCGGGTAGACAGTCGGGGCGTCTCGTATGATTACGACAGTGTTATGCACTATTCCTCCACGGCCTTCGCTAACCGCAGGGGAGTAAGAACTATCGTCGGCAAGAACGGCCGCACTAACCTTGGTCAGCGGTATGGGTTGAGTAGATTAGACGTTGAGCAAGCCAAGATGTTGTACTGTGGTCAGCGACCCAAGCCACAAACACCTCCGCCACCAGGTAAGTTTACCAAACAGACAGCTATGCTTTTAATATTATTAGTTAGCCAGCTAATGTGTTATCAAGTCTTTACCGATTGGGTCTAGAGTTTTTTCCGTCAGGTGTCATTCTGTCTTCCGTCAATTAATAGAAAGGTGTGAAATCAGTCTTTCAAATGAGTCACGGAGTTCACCAGTCGATAAATCGTTAAGACAATCAATCTGTCTGTCCGTCTGTCCGTCAGTTATCTGTCTGTCTTTCTGTCTGTCTGTGTCATTGAACCAGTATATTTTAGTCTGTCAGTGGGTTATTCGCTGAGTCAAGACATGGATCAACGATAAAAAAATTCAACTTAATGTTATGTGATAAATCAGTAACTCATTTTCGTTAACCGCGCACATAAAAAGCTGAGGAGTTGAGCTTTTTCCCTTATTAAGTTGAAAATTGGCTGAAAGAATCCCTAACCCAGGATTTACAGTCTGAACTTTTCTAACCCACCGTTGATTGTCGCCATCTTTCCATAAATAAAAAATTTCCGGCTGAACAACATGTTCAGCAATGAGACCGATAAACGTACCGCTGGTGACTTGAAAATATCAATAGTATATTATACCTCCCTCGCTCTCAAGGTGACCAAATAAGAATTTCTCCTTACAGAATCAAAACGTTTGCAAGTACCAAGGTGATGAAATTAGGTACAATATCACTTACGGAGGTTTTCCGAATCAACACTAAATTCATAGAGCTAATATTTAAAAAATGCATGACAAATTTAGATATTGTCGTTATTTTTATTTTGAATTCAACGATTTCTTTTTCAAGTTTTTTATCTTCTATTTTGGGACAGGTTGTTCTCCTGATCGTCACGATTGGTGCCCATATTGGGCCAGTGAAGGATACTGCACTGATCCACGATATTCCACATACATGAATACAGACTGTCAGACGAGCTGCAAGAGGGGGTGCCAAAAACCTCGTGAGTAGAAATCAGTACAGTGCTCAGGGGCGGATACAGGGTGTTTTGATGCGGGCAAGGGAGGGGGTCAAAGCTTTTATTCGGAAAACATAGGTTGTTGTTGTTGTTTTTTTTTTTTTGCATTCTAGTCTAAATGAGCTACGAAATATTTCTGAGTAGTAACTTGCGATCCTGTCGTTGCAAGAATTGTGGTGTCAGACAAATAATTAAAATTTTGCAGGTCTTATAATGGGGCCTGGGCTCCATCGACCCTCCTCTTGGATCCAATCAACTAGACCTTTTAGCTAGTCTCGTGTCCAGGCCTTCCATGGCCAAGTAGTCCTACACTCCAGTTGCAGCTACACGGTAGGATCCCCCCCACACCCACTCATGCCTCCCTGTCGAGATAAACATAATCTGGAAGTAACTGATGATTGGTCACGAATCTGCGTTGCACTCTTTGTGTTTAAGGCTACATCTTTATGAATTTGCAGTAAGACATTGTGTTTCCTTTCCCGTTTACTCAGCCATCTGCAAAGACGAACACAAATATTGCGCAAGTTGGATGAAAGAGCCTGGAGATTACTGCAAGAAGTACGAATCATACATGAAAATTTACTGCAAGAAGAGCTGTGGAAAGTGTTAATTGATACAAATTTTATTCCCATTTCTCATAATCGATCGATGATTAAAATTAATGATTGAGTGGCATTTCGAAATAAAACCTTGGTGTTAAAAAAAAAATTATTTTAAAAAGAATAAGAGTTATGGACGTTTTTGATCATAGTTAATGATTTCACATCAATTTCCTACGAGCATCATCTTGGAATTTGCAAGTCGATATTTTTCCACGAAGAAAAATCATCTTTTTTTAGCAGTGTTGTTTGATAATAGTGCTTTTTTGGTGGCTTTTTTTTTTGTTTGTTTTTCACAAAATGCGTAATTCCAAGACAGGATATTTCGTGGTTAATATATTATGATATTATGAGTTAAATTTGTCATTAAGAAAAATAAACGCTGATTTGCAATTGCATAAGAGTAGAATTGTGATTCATGGGAGGACAAAAAATATTCGTTTTACTGGGATGTTTGTTATATGAGTGTCCTCGTTCAGAAGAATGTCTGCATTTGCAATTATGAAGGAGATTGTACTCAATAACAAGACGGGATGAGATGTTCATACATGAATATGGTGTAAATAAAATAAGAGAGATGGTAAGGTTTGAGCTCGGTAAAGAAATAGAGAAGGATGCTTTTTTGTCTTGTCACGAGCGTGGGAAAGAGAAAAACTTCTAAGTCTCCATGAGGAATCGAAAATCAGACCTTCGGTGCTCTACTAGTGAGCTACAGAGGCTGACATTTACAAACATGACGACCCTTAATTAAAAACATGACGCCATCAACATTGCTGATCCTAGCAGTATGCAAGACGCGTGTCATATGAACCTCTTACTAACCCTCGCTTCCTGTGGTCGCCTAACCCTGGGCAATACTGTCCCACTGAGCAGAACTTTATTAAAGCCTTCGTTCAAGTCATGAATTCCTTGGGAAAAAAAGGTATGGCTGTCTAGAACGACAGACAAAGGCTGGTTCAGAGAAGTGATCCAACCATTAGTACAGACAGGAACTTCAAATCGGTCGTCATGCATTACACGCGCTGAACATGTTTGTAATCATGTTCGAGGACAAATCGCTGACGCCAATTTTTGGTCAAGCGTAAAGAAGCTCTTGATGTCTTGATTGAATTTGGCGTGAAAATTTGACGTTTCGGTTGAAGCGAGAGCCAAACAAAGCTCTAAAGGACAAAACATCCTAAGTTGCTGAGACTGAAAACGACCCTTGCACGCTCCTATCCTGTTAAAAAAATAATTAGGTCCGAGATAGGAAACTTTACCTTGATGCACGTGGAGAAGCTGAACGAAACAGCTTGAAATTTCCGCTTCGTAGGAAAAAAATACCACACCTGAAGAAAAGATAATGCCACACTGTTTTAAAGTACTGCTCGGCTTCACGTATTGTCTCCGTTCTTCCGGACTCTATAAATTCAAAATTATAATAAAAAAAAAAAAAAGACAGCACTAAGTTTTAAAGACAAAATAGCCAACAATTACTCTTTAAAACCTGACACTTGTTGGAAATTGGCCGGAGAAAAGCGTTTCTGCAGAATCATGATGCAAACAACAAAGGAGTTAAGGTTTCACAGAATAAACTGAAAAACGCTTCCTTCATCTCTTATACAGAAAACAAGGATAACACGCTGCGAGACAGCTTCACGCGTGACTGGGTTTTAAGTTGAACGAAGCAGAAGACACAACACAACGCGTGACGCTTTCATGAATAAATCGTTTACTTTTTCTCGAGACGTGAGCTTGGGACGCCTGTGTTTCTAGAAATCAGCTGAAAGGAAAGTTCAGACTCTAAGGAAGAACTTTTCTACTTTTGGCTGATTCTTGCTGCTAATTGGTTAGCCTGACATAAGCCTTTTCTGACACAGTATCAAGCATGATACCGGCCATACAGTTTCGTTCCTAATTTAGGTTATGCATCCGCTAGAACTGCCACGTTTGAATCTTTATAAGTACACTTCTCAGGTCATAAAAGGAGCAGTCTTGTCTCGGACGACTTTGTTCGAAGTCAGTTGTAGTTTACAGAGCTGTGGCCGTCAGTTAAGGTGAGGATACTTCATTTCAACTTCAGTTCTTACTGCTTTCACATAAAGTCTCAATACATAAAAGAGAACGATAGCTAAAAAGAGCGACAATTGGATTTGCTAGTTGCCTGGCTCGTCTAATTAGAGGACTTGGCAGTTTGGACCGAACCAAAGAATCCGACCCACCGTAACTAGACTCGTAATCTTTAATAATTTCGGTTCCCTTGCCAATGGAAGGCAGCGGGTAAGTGATCCAATAATCCGTTTCAGATGATTCAGATCAGTAATCTGATGAATCCCTGTCCAGAGTGGATTCAATGGATAAAGGATCAATGATCTGAAAACGGATTTGCACCAAAAGAACGCTACAGATAAGAATCCTTCTCTTGATCATCCCGAAGAAAGGCACCTTAAATTTTGAGTTATTTTACAACATATCCTTTTTTTCGTACCAAACGTTCTAGAAGTATCCTGAACCTAGCAACAAGACCATTAAGACACGTAGAATACAGATGTTATGAGCTGTTTTTTATCTGAACTCGTGGCTAACATTCATTGTTTGTGTAGCTGTTGTAATAAATTCAAGACCATTGGTATAAAAATTTACAATTTACGTTCAAACCATACGTTGAAGATGCAATAAACGCAAATAAGAGAAGAGTTCTAAGTCTCTCCTGAGTTGTTCGAAGTCCAGTTATCGCATTTCCCCGGTGCCGAGGAAATTAGAGACGGATTTGGAAGAGCTGCCCTTCCGTTAGCCAAGCGAATGCCTCAGCTTGGTATAGTTTCCCTTCCATCGCTGGATAGCTAAAAAGTATCGTCACAATTATGTACGTCAGTTATCTTTTCAGGGGACAGAGAATGGCGAGTCTGCGTCGAGTCAGCTATCTCCTCATTATTTTGTTTTTTCTGGATGTATCCTTCATTGACCACGTAGCCACACAATGCGGGGTTCACTGGAGGCCTGCTGGAGAAGATTGGGCAAACACTTGGGATGGAATGCTTCTTTTTAGCTGTCCAAAAGGTATGTTGCGTACCTAATCAGTTCAGGTGAAAGAAGGAGAAGAAAAAAGGCGAACTCAAACGATGTGCACATATCTCATCTGAGTTAGAGAAATTCTTTTCTCCTCGATAATGAGAGGAGAAGTATCTTGTTGAATTGTAACTCTGATTACCAACTCTTTTTCGCAACAGGTAAATCGATCCGTCGCATCCATAGCATCCACAGGAACTGCATAGAAGATCGGATCTGGGCTTTTAGCTGTGAGCCAAACTCTGCAGCCCAAGTATGCTCCTGGACAGGATTCGTGAATAGTTATGACGACCTTCTGAACTTCAAATGTCCAAACAATGGTTTCATTTCAGGCATATACAGTGTGCACAGCAACAAACGCGAGGATCGCAGGTTATTCGGCTTCTTATGAACAATGAGCTTCGATAATAATCTGATATTTCATTGGACATGCCTAACTTCGCTTTGTGATTTGCCGAGAAAAACTCGCGTCACATTCTCTACCAATCAGATGTAAAATTGAAAGACTCTTGACTTGAATAACCCTAAGCCTTACCCAAGAACCCAAACTCCTCTATTGCAGGTTTGAGTTCAAGTGTTGTCACAGCAGCAGCTACAGCCGCCACAGCTGTAAATGGAGCCACACCACTAACTGGGACGCCGACATCGACTATAGCACCACTTGGGGTTGGCTGGCTGGAGCACACAGCTATCACAATAACCATTACGAGTATGTAACTCAGCTCTGACAAAGGGGGACATCAATACAAGTGGAAATCAATCTTTGATATAGCTGTTTTGATTATAGAGATGCGCCCACTCTGGTCGTTGGATGATTACATCATTTATTACACCCATTTTGAAATCACTGGTGGTCCCTGTAATCTGATTGGCCCTAATTGATGCGATTTATTCACGAATCGCACCATTTTTTGCTTTAAATAAATTTCCCAGCCAATGAGGAGGCTACACTAAAAAACAAAACAACCAATCAGATTTAAGGCTTGTTTACAGTAACCGATCAAATTGCAGGAAAATGAAAGACAAAGAGTATCATGTGGCAAATTTTGCAACTTCTGTTTCTGAACTCTTACTTTTTCCCTCAAAAATGGACATGAATTTAATTTCAGACCGGCTCAGAACTGCATCAATAAAATTTCAAAATGGATGTAATAAAGTGGTAATTGAACCTCGTGTCGTGCAATTTTGGTCTGAAATCATACTTGTGATTTCAAATCGAACTTGCGCTGCGCGCTCGTTCGATTTTGAAATCACGCGTATAATTTCAGCCCAAATTGTACTCCACTCGGTTCAATTACCATTATATATCGCTATTATCATGCGACGCGCTTTTGATATAATTGGACGTGAGATATAGGGACTGGGTCGAGTTCATCAACTCGACCTAGTCGAAACTTCCTGCGAAAGGAAAGGTAAACTTAAGGAGTGGGGGGGGGAGGAGTAGAAGGGAGGGGTAAAAACAAATAAGAGGGCAAAAAAAGGAGGAAAGATTTGTTTCTTATATCCTTGCCCTTATCTTCCCATTCTTATATTGTTATCTTCTTTCGATATCTTTCAGAGACCGAAGATGGCAATTTTATCAATGTGAGAAGATCTAGCTGTATCAATAAATGATGAGGACGGTGCAATAAGAAGGATTCTATCACGTGGTTAACGTTTAAACTGATTAATATGATTACATTAGAAAAAATGTGATCTTTAAAGCTATCGACGCCTAAATCAACTAAGGGAATTTCTGAAAGTTTAATCTTATTTTGTTTTAATTTAAGCTTTAGAAAGGCCAGCAGGGCCTTAAACAAATCGATTTTTCAATCCGTCAAGCTGAAGAAATTTTTTTGAATAAATTGTTTTCGGATACTCAATCATTTTCAATAAAATATATTATCATGAAAATAATGACTGAATACGCCTCGGCCGACTCATATGTGTGCATAGATACCTTTACCTGCCGCAAGCATTATTCAAGAGGGCTTCAAATTTTAAATCATGGGATTACCATCTAAATAGTTTCATACCCAGATCTTCCGTTTCTAATCATATCCGTTGGGTCAAGGTAGAGGTCGATTGCTTTCTTAGCACCGCTAAACTTAGCTTTGTGGTAAAAATGGAGAGAAGGAGAGAGAGGGAGGGAGAGAGAGAGAGCCTGTTATCCTCTTCCTATGCATTTGATCTTTCCTCCACATTTTGGAGTTTCCCCATGTCTTACCTGACCAATGTTTTGTGGTTACTCTCAAGTTGAAGCGTTTTAGACCTCGCTTCAAATAACTTTTAACTACACTTTACGATATGTCTCCACGTTAATATATATATATTTTTAAATATATTAACATGGAGACGTATCGTGAAGTGTAGTTTGCTCCTCTTTCATCGTGATTTTAATCTACGCAGGTGAATTTTTATCACTTTTGAATATTTGAGTGCTTTTTTTTTTTTTTTTTTTCAGGAGGGTCCTTTTGGGCACTCAAATTTGAGCAAGAAAAAAATAAAAGTCCAGAATATATACCTGAAGTGAATGATTATAAAGTTCGCTTCACAGCCTGGGGCATATGTCTTGAATCATATCATTTATTCCGCTTAGCAGTCCAACGTCCTGATTCGAAGAGATCATGCATCTTCATAAGGCTCTGACAGATTTTTTACGCTCTTGTCACATTTTAAACCAAGACATCGCGGAAAAGAGCAATCTATTTCAAAATTGATATAATTTTAAAATGTTAATTACTGTAATAATTCGATCTAGCGCCCGAGCGCTTATTTTCTTTTGGTACCTCAAGGGAGGGCGCTTATCGAGGGCAAGGCGCTTGTTTCTCAAAAGAGAAATAGAATGTGCGAAATAAGGCTCTGATATTTATTCGAAAAGGATCAAGAAGACTGGAAAACGGACTCGTTGTCCATAGATCCTTCCTGATTATAGCGACCAGCCAAATTAGGATGAGATGAACGGACGCGGCTCCGAGCTCTCTCTATGAAACTTTCAAAATTTTGATCCTTAATAGGTTACTATGACCGCGTTATAATCTTTTGAGTTTCTTAATTGGTGACAAGCGAATGTCTGCTAGACGAACAAGGTCGAAAGCAAAGCAACGAACCGAAATGCCCGACACTGAAGCGAAGCTAGACGCAGTACTTGCGAAGATGGACGAATTGCTCGCCGCTAAAGATGAACAAGAGTCGAAGTTGAACGCCATCCTGATGAAGCTAGAAAGTTTGGAAAAAAGTCAAAAGAAAACCGCTCAGGATGTCGACGAATTGAAAGATAGCTATAAACTTTTAGACCACGGTGTGACCGAGGTTAAAAGCGCTCTTGCAGAGAAGGCGAACCGCAAAGAGATAGACGCCCTGAACAAAAAAATTGAAGACTTGGAGAACAGATCCAAGAGGAACAACGTGGTTATATGGGGTTTAAAGGAAGGCGCCGAAAAAGATTGCAGCTCCGTAGAAGAATTCTTAGAGGAAGAACTTTTCAGTAAGCACATGGGCCTCGATAATATCGAAGTCATGCGAGCGCACCGTACGAAGATCAACCAAGCGGCTGCGAGCGCTACCGCTCCGCAGTCAAGGCCTATCCATGTCTACTTACTTAGATATCCTGATAAAGGACGAATTTTAAAGGCTGCAGCGAACACCCTGAAAGATAACCCTTTCTGCGACAGTCAGATATTCATATCCGACGACGTGTCAAAATCAGTTCGAAGTGAAAGAGCCAAACTACGGAAAGATCATTTAAAGCAACTTAAAGAAAGAGAAGGAGTCCAGTTCGCGTTCATCCCATGGTCAGTTCCCGCGCAGATACTGTATAAAGAAATCGATTCTGAAGGTCTCAAGTCCTTTAAAATCAGACATAAGTAATCCTTATGTTGCTGTTTTGTTGTCATTATATACTGCGTAATTGTATTTATAGCTAAATGAACTGTATGATTTATAGTTTTGTTTACAATTTCGGCGCAGACAAAACTGCTTGTCACTTTTAATACCATAGTATAATACAACCATTTGCCATGGAGATCTCGGCGAAAGTGTGCAGCAACCGAGATGGTAAGTGCGCTTTCGTTTGTTTGTATATTTTGTGTGTTGTTGTTTTGTGTCTGTGTTGTACTTCTTGTTCAAAACTTAAATTATTCTCTTACTACTTTTACATTTGTTTTGATATTCTATTCATTTTCCGAGCAAATAGCACCTATTATAAATGTGATAACACTTAATTATTCTTGCATTAAGAATGCATAATTCGAAAGCTAAGCCTGAAAGCATCAAATTTCTTTCCTTGAATGTTAGAGGCCTAAGCAACTTTCATAAACGTAGGGCAATTTTTTCCTGGTGTAGAAAGCAAAAAGCCGATTTAATATTTTTACAAGAAACTCATTCCACAACAGAACGACAGGATCAGTGGCGAAAAGAGTGGGGCGCTTCTATTTTATTTTCACACGGCAGTACAAATGCTAGAGGTGTTGCAATTCTCATAAAGAATAGTTTGAACATTATTATTCAACAAAGTGAAATAAGTTCGGATGGCAGGTTTATTGTTCTAAAAGCTGCTATTAACAATGAGATATACATAATTGCAAACATATATGGCCCAAACAAAGACGCCGATGCTGTCAAGTTTTATCGTAATTTATCAAAATTATTAAGAAAGGACGAATTTGGTAATGAAGAAAACATTATTATAGGTGGAGATTTTAATTGTCCTCTCGACATCACACTTGACAAAAAAGGTGGTTTACCGATTCCTCGAAAATATGTAATCAACTCTATAGATGAATTGCAAAATGAATTCAGTCTGCACGACATTTGGCGCCTAAAAAACCCAACATTGCAAAGCTTTACCTGGGGGCGTTGTTCACCTTTTATATTTTGCCGACTAGATTACTGGCTAATATCCGATAAATTACATGATTTGGTAACTAAGGTCGATATCATACCCTCGATCAAAACAGACCATTCCGCTATTTTTTTAGAACTTGAAGAAATCGAATCAAGTGGAAGAGGAGCTGGCTTCTGGAAACTAAACACTTCTCTATTGGCAAATGAAAATTATAAACATATGATAACAAACAATTTACCGACCTGGCTGGATGCAGGTAAAGATATACATGATCCCAGACTTTTGTGGGATTGGATCAAGTTTAATATAAGGTCAAACTCCATCATATTCTCCAAACAAATAGCTTCCATTCGACGGAAACAAGAAGAGGAATTAAATAAACGTTATCAGGAGGCAGTCCTAATGTTTCACACAAATCCTTGTAACAATACGCGTCTGGCACTAGAAAAATCTAAGCAGGATCTTGAAGCACTGTACGAGGACAAAGTAGAAGGGATTATACTACGCGCAAGAGCTCGATGGCACGAACACGGTGAAAAGAATAACAAATATTTTTTAAATCTCGAGAAACGCAACCATGTTAAAAAGCATGTAAGAAAGCTGCACATTAGCGGTGTAATTTCTACTGACCCCTTTATGATTATGGATTCACAACGCAAATTTTATAAGAACTTATATCGTAGCAGAAATGTTAATCTAGATAATGCAGAATCATCGATTTTTTTCGATAGTCCAAATTTACCCAGTATTTCACATGATTCAAGAATAATATGTGAGGGTAGAATAACTGCGGAAGAATGCCAGAACGTTCTCAAAACTTTTCCAACTGCAAAAACGCCAGGCAACGACGGGTTACCCATTGAATTTTATAACACCTTCTGGCCATTACTTAGTGATACTTTGATTAATTCATTTAATGAAGCTTTTATGAAGAAGGAAATGTCCCCATCTCAGAGACAGGCAGTGATTACTCTTATTGAGAAACAGGACAAGGATAGGACTTACTTAGAAAATTGAGGCCAATATCCTTGACTAACGTCGACGCCAAAATTGCGTCCAAAGTTATAGCGACCCGTATTGTCAAAGTTTTACCCGAAATCATTCATAGCAATCAAACTGGGTACGTTTCAGGTCGCTACATAGGGAAGCCGCAAGATCAATTCTAGATATAATGGATTACACGAAAACTTATGAAATCCCTGGATTGCTACTTTTTATAGATTTTGAGAAAGCTTTTGATAGTCTGGAGTGGAATTTTATGTTCAAATGCTTAGAAGTCTTTGGATTTGGATCCAGTCTTACAAGATGGATAGAAACCTTTTACAGTAACATAACAAGTTGTATTATCAACAATGGAACGCTCTCAGCTAGCTTTGAAATAAATCGAGGTGTAAGGCAGGAGACCCCTTTCTCCTTACTTGTTTATCATTGCTATGGAACTACTAGCAGTCGCTATTCGCTCATGTTCAGAAATAGATGGAATCAAAATAGATGAAAAAGAATTCAAAATGGTACAGTATGCAGATGATTTAACAGCTTTTGTGTCGGATATCAGATCTGCTCAATACCTTTTTAAGTTACTTGATCAATTCCAAAAATGTTCTGGCCTAAAGGTGAATTATACAAAAACCGAAGCAATGTGGATTGGCTCTTCCCGTAATAACATCGAAACACCTCTAGCATTGAAATGGCGTAAAACTGTAAAAGCTTTAGGGGTTCACTTTAGTTACAATAACGAAGAATCAGTGCAAAAGAATTTCTACGATAAGCTCAAAGGAATTAAATCTCAGATACGCTTGTGGAGTTGGAGAGGCCTCTCTCTGTTTGGTAAAGTTACAATTATTAAGAGTTTACTACTTCCTAAAGTTTTATACATCTCGTCAATTCTTCCTTCTCCTTCGGAGTTCATAAAGGCCCTTCAATCAATTATATATAATTTTCTTTGGAAGGGTCCTGATAAAATCGCCAGGACAGCAGTAATAAATGATGTTGAATTTGGTGGCCTAAAGGTAACTGATTTTACAACGTCAATTATGTCACTCCGACTTTCATGGATTGGAAGATTTCTAAGCGATAATTTTTATCCCTGGAAAGCGTATCTATTACATTTACTAAAACCTTTTGGTGGAGAATTTTTTTCTTCATTGTGATTATAATATTAATGACTATAACATTTCCCCAATATTTTATAAGGAGATGTTACACTGGTGGTCAGATTTTCGTTCTAAATTTGATCTTGTAAGTCTACGTGAAACAATCATCTGGAACAATCATAACATTAGAGTAAACGGCAAACCTTTATTCTATTATAATTATAATAGCGCAAATATTATTCTTTTAAGCGACTTAAAATTTGATTTGAGTAACACAGAGTCCTTTAACCTTGCAAAACGTAATGGTTTAAAAGATTCCAACTTTCTGACTTGGACTGGTGTTCGTTGCGCAGTACCAAGTCATCTAAGAATTCGATGCCACGAAATTAAGAAAGATCATGTCAGATCACTGCAATTTAAAATCGGTGATAAAATCTTTGATCCAGCACTTAGCAAGTCTAGGGATTTCTACGGTTTGCTTATATCCAGTAAGGCGACAGAGTCCAGAGGCTTCACAAAGTTGAAATCTAAATTTTCTATTGATGATGTGGAAACAAAAAAAGGCCTTCTCATTAATAAGGTCCTGTATCTGCGAGACATATGTGCAATGCTTTCAATTTAAAATACTAAATGACATTTTATTCACAAATTCCCGCTTAGCTAAGATAGGTTTAATACAAAGCGATCTTTGCACTTTTTGCAATACTAGTGCGGAAACAATTGATCACTTATTCTTTTACTGTGTTTACTCACATGCATTTTGGGAAGAATTTGAATCTTATTGGATCGCTATAGCCAAAGAACAAAGGAAACTTGAGTTAAAGACTATTTTAATTGGTATCACAGATACTAATTGTTCTTTATTTAATTACTTAATCGTTTTAGGTAAGCTACATTTATGGAATTGCCGTAGGAATAATAGTCTTCCTTTTTTTTCTTCGTATAAGGAACTAGTTAAAAGAAAATATGAAACTGAATGTCACATTGCGGCTAAGTTTAATGATAGGAAGATGCTAGAGGCTAAATGGAAACCCATTTTGAATTATAATTTAATAGATACATAGGTGTGTAAGCGAAAAAAAAAAAAAAAAAAAAACTGTAAAAAGTAGGGTAAGAATTGCAGCCTAAGGAAGTATTATATAGTAAGTAGAATAAGTAACGTCTTGTAGGTGGTATTGTAAGTAGTGTTCGTCTTGTTTTGTAAAGTAGTGTTCTTCGTGTTGCAATTAAAAAAAAAAAAAAAAAAAAAAAAAAAAAAAAAGGATGAGATCATTTGCTCATTGGAATGAAGGTGCTAACTCAATAGGGAAGTTCATAGGAAGAGGGGCGCAGATTCGAGGGAGTGCATACTTTAGGGACGCTTGTTGGGACGAGGGCGCTAAATCAAATCATTACTTATCTTTTTTTCCTTTTCTTAGCTTTACTAAAACCTCAGAGAAAAAAAATTGTATTAAAGGTTACAAAGAATATAAGCACCGCTCTCTCTCACCTCGTTGCAACGTCGCACTCTTGAAACAAAACCAACACACAAGTTTTGACAGCGAAACCCCCCGCCATGCTTGAGGAATAGAACGCTGACGTGGCTGAGAAGGGGAATGGATCGAGTAATTTTAGCAACTGATGCAAGTAAGGTGACGTCAGTGAACAGAAAACGTCCGGGGATTCCCCGCTAAATCCGGGGTTTTTATTCGCACTTTCGCTTTCCGAAGTTGTATTTGTTCTCGGATACGTGAGGGAAGATAATCGTATGAAACCCATTTTTCATTCACTCTTGGTTTTGGTTAGAAGTCTTTGAGTTAGAAAGAACCTAAGATCGATTTTGAAGGGCTGTCTACGAGAAACGACGTCACAGAAAAACTCGTGACATCTTGAATTTTCATTTGTAATCGGGTTACATTTCCTTGCATGGTAAATATTCGATCTCTTTGAGTTTCAAAATCATCGAAATTTCATGGCTTAGAAGTTCACCTTCAGAATCTCAGATGGTTTAAGCTGTTGTTCAAACGTTTGGCATCGAAATCCTTCTCAGGATCCATTCCGGTCCATCGAAACCTTAGCTGCTACTTCTCTCATTGCCTTAACGAAACACGAATTGAGCGTGCCTTTTAGATAACTGTCATGTCCGCCAGCGTCAGTCCGCCTCCATCGAGTGAGATGAATAGCTCACACTCAAGTGAAGGTAGCAGTGTAAGTGGCTTTGTTGTAGTTTCTAAAGACGACGGACAATTGCTCAATTCCGACGACAGTAAGATTGGAAAAATAGCTGAGATTCCAGGTAAAAGCGAAAGCCTCCCACAAGGCGGAAGTGTGTCGCAGAATGAACATGAACTAGCTGATAGAGTTCAGAATCTTTCCAAGGAAAATGAACAACTTAAGGGGGTGCTGCTTCAGAACAATGAACTCCTCGAGGTAGGGTTCATTTCAAATGTTAATATAAGTTGAAATTATGTGAAACCAGAGAATACCTGAAGAGCTTCACTTTCTGGTCACAACTTAACAAATACCTCTTAGCGCGGAGCTAGTTTGTTTGAGGAAAATAAGGTGATCCTACTTGCTGTATATTAACGATATCTGATGCATGACTGTATTTCATTTAGATATGACCCACAAATGAGTCTACCTGATACTGATATGAGCCTCTCTGACCTTCAACAATATTGATGGTTTGTTTCAAACTCTTGGTCACTGGAGATAAGTGCAAGAGCACAAAAGCAAAGGACAGTGGTTGCAGTGGTCAATAAATCTGTTGTTTCTGCCAACCTCATTTTTAATTTGTTTCCCTATCAGTGAGAGGGTACCTTGTCTGAAATGTCTATTTGTTTGGTTGTTTTATTGGTTCTGTTGATCTTGTTTGTTTCTGATCTGCAGCTTGTTTTCAATTAAAAAGTTATATCATTTTCATAAAAGAGTCAATCACCTTGCACTGCACCCTTACAAACATTTATTTTGTACAGGTTGTCAACAAACAAGGTAGTTTTAACTACTTTAGCTGGTGTTACGAGGCAAAATTTGCTTAGATTGATGAGTTTTAAAGTACTTACCTATTTCACTGCAAAACACTTTCCTATAATTTATTGACAATGATCTCTTCTTGTTGATTTTATAGAAATATTTTGAAGAACTTGCAGACATGCAGAAATCTCAGAAACAGACAAATGAGTCTTCACGCAAAGGGTATGAACGTGCCAAGGAGATGATCAAGAACCTGCGAGAAAAGAATGGAAAATTAAAAACTGAACTGAAGAATGAACAAAATAAAACTTTGCAACTGGAGGAAGAGCTGTCCAAACTGAAGGAGGCAGATCAAAATGAAAAGTCTGCACATCTTGAAGAAAGTTATCATATAGACAAGGCTAACCCAGATCAAGCGCAGTCTCTAAACGAAGTGGTGAAGAAGCTTGAATCTGAAAGGGCCACCCTGGAAATGAGTAACAGCAAACTGCAAGAACGTATTTCCTGCCTAAAGGCCATGCGAGAAGCTGAGCCGGTAAGATTTACTTGTTCTGAAACTGTCACCCAAATCTCACCAAGCCCTAGGTTTTCAGCTTCCCACCTTTCTATTTTTTTTAGTTGTCTTTTTTTTTTCTATTGACAGAACACTGAAACAGATGACCTTGAAACTCTGGTTTCTCTTGACACCCTGTCCTCTGACATTCCTCTCGAGAGTCCCGAAGCAGTTTGGGAGAACTTAAGGAAAGTTGAAACAGAAAAAGAAATTTTGAAGGTAAAATTGGAGGAGATGAAAATTGAGAGTGAGCAAAACCAACAACAGTTTAATCAACTTGAGGAAGAACGCGACCAGCTTTTAAAGAAAATTCAAGATATGGAGCAAAGGCAGGTATTAGAAGAAGAAGATATTGAGCTGGAGGTAGCTGAAAACCAAGCTTCCACTGCAGCAGCCACAGAGCAAATTGCTGCTTTGAGTGAACAGCTTAGAGTGCAGACAGAGGTGATGAACAATCTTACAAAGGAACAGAATGCTTTGAGGCAGGAAAGAGACATGTACAAGAAGAAGGCTGAAGAAATTGAACAAGTAAAGATACTTTTGTTGGTTGGTTGTTTCTGATGACTTAAAATGTGGACACAACTAAGAGAAATGGATAAAATGAAGAGCATTTTATGATCTTACACACAGTAGAAGCAGAAAGAGGGCAGAATCTGTACTAGGAATGGGGGTTTACACCAGAATTAAAAGGAGTAAGGAAATTGAGAGTTAACTTCAATGTCTCTCTCTTACCTATAATCATGTCTTTTCTTAGTATGTCACATCAAAAGAGTTCACTTTAGATGGAAATGAGATTAAGTATGTACTATGTATATCCTTAATTAAGTTTTCTTGGTTTTGTAGAGAATCACTGAGAATGTTGAAACTATAGGAGAACAGCAGCAAAACTCTCCTGAAAAAGGCAGTGATAATCAGGAAGAACTAAAAGTAAATGAACTACGCAATACACTTGAAAAAGTGAAGAAAAACCTTTGGGAATACCAGAAACGTGAAGGAGATCTTCTGAACAGGGAGAAGGCTGTTCTTGAGAAGGAAGAAGAACAAAAGCAGGTGTGTTTTATATGTCTCATTCTCCCCCGGCCAAGGCCTCTAAAAAAACAGCCAAATCTTCCTCTCAAAAGACCAACTAAATAAGGAGTCTCCTTTCACCCCTCAGGAGATTAAATTTCTGGAAAAATTTGTGTTTTCTCCTCTCCCCTTCAGGATTTTCCATCGGTACTCACCATACATATTCCATAGATCTGTGAGGATCTTCCTTGCAAATCAGTTGAAGGCATCTTTACTTATTTTATTAAATGTCAGTAAGAGCCTAAAATGAAATTTTTTTCACTTTCAATGTTGTTCATTGGAGCTCTCTCCACAATGCATTTTGATTTATGATTTAAGCACAAATTCAAATTAACAGCAAAACCTATATACATTATGATGTTTAATGATTGATAGTTTATCAGGTCAGTAATCATAAGAAATAAGTTTGGCTTTGTCTCCTCTTAATGCAGATTATGAAAGAAAATGAGAATGTAAAACAGCTTGCTGAAGCTCTAACAAATATTGAAGCACTTTCGCACAAAAAGAAGGGTCAGGAGATAGAAGTAAACACTCTGAGGAGGCAGCTGAGTTCAGCTGCCTCAGAAAATATGATTAAGTATGTACTATGTATATCCTTAATTATGTTTTCTTGATTTTGTAGAGAACCACTGAGAATGTTGAAACTATAAAAGAACAGAAGCAAAACTCTCCTGAAAAAGGCAGTGATAGTCAGGAAGAACTAAAAGGAAATGAACAATACAAAACACTTCAAAAAGTGAAGAAAAACCTTTGGCAATACCAAAGACGTGAAGGAGATCTTCTGAGCAGGGAGAATGCTGTTCTTGAGAAGGAAGAAAAACAAAAGCAGGTGTGTTTTATATGTCTTAGTTTCTCCTGCCCAAGGTCTCTAGAAAACAGCCAAATATTCCTCAAAAAGACTAACCAAGTGAGGAATCTTCTTTCACCACTCAGAAGATTAAATTTCAGGCAAAATTTTGTGTTTTCTCCATTTTAGGATTTTTCATTAGCACTCTGTCCATACATGTTCCATAGAGCTGTGAGGAACAAATTTCCTAGCAGATCAATAGAAGGCGTCTTTACTTATTTTATTAATTGTCAGGGAGAGGCCACAATGAAGTCTTTTCACTTTCAATGGAGCCTTTAAGCAATAATAAGCATTGTAGCTCTCTCCACAATATATTTTATGTACAGTTCAGTCACCTAATCTGTTTTTTTTATGATTTAAGCACAAATTCAAATTAATAGCAATACATACGTTCATTATGAATTTTAATGATTGATAGTTTATCAGGTCGGTAATCACTGAAATAAGTTTGGCTTTGTCTCCCTTAAATGCAGGTTATGGAAGAGAATGAGAACCTAAAAGATCAGCTTGCTGAAGCTCAAAAAAATATTGAAGCACTTTCCCACAAAGAGAAGGGGCAGGAGGAAGAAGTAAACACTCTGAAGAGGCAGCTGAGTTCAGTATCAGATGAACTCACTGAGACGCATGAACAGGAAGTTTCTCAGTTAAAGGAGTCATTGCAGACAGTTATTGACAGTGCCAAAGAATTGAGAGTAACTGTTGAACAACTTAGGGAGGAGAATGAAAATCTTCAGAAACTTGTTGAGGAACTGAAATTAAGTGCAAGTCAGAAGTGAGCAATACATGTCTTAGTGAAAATCTTTCTTAGTTAGTGTGCTGTTGTCTTTGCAGAAAATAGCTGTTTACTATGGAAGAATTCAAGGGTGTTAAAAATCGAGAGGAGATATGGAGGGTGACTGAAAGTATCTTAACCCTTTAACTCCCATGAGTGACCAAGACAGAATTTCTCCTTACAATATCAATACAATATCAACCAGATAAGTGATGAGAATAAAGACAAATATCAATTTGGGGATAATTAGTTGGCCCAATACTAAATTCTCCGAGCTGACATTATAAGAATTGTATGGTTGACAGTAAGGAGAATGACAAATTTGATCTGTGAGTTAAAGGGTTAAATGGAAAGGAAGATTTGAAGTGAATCTGGTATTAGCAGGAAATGGGGTTGGGAATGTAAACCAAAATATAGCTGTATCAGAGGTGTGAATATTTTCTGTAGGAAACTTTTGCTTTTTTAACTCTTGACAATTTGGGAGGGCTGAATTAAATGTTTTGTATATGGAGAAAAAAACTGTTTCTTGTATAAAACATACTGTGGTCTGAAAGAAGATATCTGAAATTAATTTTTATAGGGAAGAGGAAATACAGACTCTAAAGGAGGAAACAGTCAAAGTGTCCAATGAACTGAATGAGGTTCGGGAGCAGGAAGTTAACCGCTTAAAAGAAGAATTGTCAGACAAGACTGAGGCACTGACAAATGCAGAGATTAACATAAAATCTATGGAGACTCAAGTGACACAATTAATCAAGGAAAATGAAATTCTAACAGCAGAGAAGGAAAGGCTTATAGACGAATGCATGCAACAGTAAGATACATATTGTTCTCCATGTTTCTTCTCGGGTCGGGTTGGGTCAAACACAGAAACAACCCAATCATATGAAAAGCATTCACTGCAAATCCCTGTATAAAAAAGAAAAATCTCTAGAATAGTAACGGAGCACAGGTTGCTTTAACCCTTTGACATGTAAGAGTGACTATCATGTAATTCCTCCTTGCAATGTTACCAACTAAATAATTTCTTGACTGTTAAACAAATTCTCCTCATCAGCAGTTTAGGAACTACATAGAGAACTGTATTGAGAATATACTTAGTGATCTGTGAAATGTGATGAAGTTGAAATTTCATTTCACTGGGGAGTTGAAGCAGGTTCTTGCTGTTTTACTTGGTTTTAAATGCTCCAAACATCTTCACTGAGTAGCGAGTTGCACACACTCCACAATAACAGCTTTAATCATTTTCTTTGTATTGTTGTTTTCTCAAGGGAAAATATGTATCAAGATCATCTCCATAAGATCACTGATGACAGTGAGAAGCAGAGATTGAGGAGAGACCAATTGATCGAAAGTCTCAAAAAGAATATGTCAACCACTAATGCAGAACTTAAGAAAACACGCCTAGAAAAGGAAACTGACAGGTACGTGAGTTTTGTTAGGAATAACCATTCTCTGTCTTGTGCGTCTTTTTTTCTGCTATTTAATGTACGTTCGGTTCAAAAGACATATTTATCAATTAGTTTTACCTACCAAGAAGAGACTGTGTAGTGATTCTTTAGCCCTTTACTCCCTAGCATCAGTATGCTAGACATTTCCTAGGGTTCTGACAAGGAGAATTTGTTCAACAATCAAGAGCTTCTTTAGCTGGTGATCATCTCCTTTATTCTCATGACATTAATGTGTGATTTAGGGGTGATGTCGTAAGGAGATGTTAGTCACTCTCAGGGGTTAAAGGGTTAAAGTGGCAAAGTAGAAACGTGCAAGAAGGCGTTTCCAACAGTAATAGGTAGCTATTAAAATGATTATCAGCGTTGGGAATCGTTTTTTCTTTATATAATTTTTTCAATCAGGATATCCAGAAATGCAAGGATATCATGCTTCTCTACAGCCTCTCGGTAAACTAGGGCTGAAATAATCATTTTAAAATGATGAAACAGTGTGAAATGATGAGAGTTAACAATGAAGAAAGTTTAAATTTGAACTGTTTATCTTTAAAGGGCGGCCTTCCTACAACTCCAAGAGGATTTAGATCGTACAGCTGGAGACTACAATGAACTTTTACAAGCATACCACACAACGAGTCAAACGAAGACGGTTAGTCTTCTATACTTATTAATTAGAATCTCATGATACATTTTCTGTGCTTCGTCAATTCCTAGTTCCACTGTTTATGTGACCTAAGAATTCTCCCATGAACTGTGATGGGGCTGGTAAGGGGGGAGCAGGAAGCAGTGGGTGTGCAGCGCTTACCCCCCCCCCCTCCCCCATCGATCTTCACAGTTTTCACATAGACTCCCAATATCATGTTAGTGCATGTTTATTCACAGTAAATTTCACTTGCTATTTTCATTATTTTTAATCAGTTCAACCTTAAACCGTTACTTCCACGTCGTACTTCTCCTTGCGAGCTTTCATGTGCATCTTTGTAATTTTGTAAAGATAATTTGGAGTCTAGACGGTTTTATCAGTGAAGAGAACCTTCTGACCTAGTAGCTGATAAGTCTGACTACAGGCAGGGCTTGTCTTTTGTGTAGAATGTATTGATATTCTAAGGAGAAGTTACGTGTTTATCTTTTCTGGGAGGGAAGGGTTCAGAGTAGCTATCTGCATCTCTTACCGAAATGTCGAATATCCTGTATTTTTTATTTTCAGAAACACGAAGCCCACCTCCAAGAAGCTGACGAACACAGAAAGAAGTTGAAAGAAGACGTAAAGATTAAAGAAGATGAACTCGATAAAGTACGTCAAGCAAATTATGATCTGGAACAAGAGCTTAAAGCTCTACGGAATGAACAAGAGAAGCGATCGATTCTCGAGCAAACAGTAAGTAAAATTTTCACATTACAGAAATTAAGCGAAATGCACGAAGCCGTTGCCCTTGGCTGAAACTTCTGACCACAGAATAACGTTCTCTAAACTATTGGTACTAAGTGACTCAAATTGATAGTACGTATGATAATAATAAAAATAATAATAATAATAATAATAATAATAATAATGGTCATGATATTAATATTTTCATTATCGTTACCATTATTGATAATGATAATGATCATACTATTCCTAATTAAGAGCAAAGTATCGTGTGCTATTGGAACGAAATGGCTAAAATCAATAGTACTTATGATAAGAATATTACATATAATGACGATAACATTAGTATTATTGATATCAATATCATTATCATTGTTATCGTTATAGATAATGATAATGATGACACTAGTTGTAATTAGGAAAAAAATGTTTTGGACTTCACACATATGCACTCGCATAGAAATTAATTCTTTCATTATTAGATTTTACGGTTGTTTTCGATGTAGTGTCGTAAGCCATTTTTTATTATATTGGTATTTTTTCACGTAGCGCTCTGAATGATCCGCTCCCTCATCCATTATTCTTTCCATTGATTCATCATTGCTTCATTTATTCGTTCGTTCGCTCCCTTTATTTAATTATTTATTTATTTAATAATTTGCCAAAGGCAGGTAAGTTTACAATAGGACAAGGTTGTCCCCTACTAGGTAAATTATCTTTCCCTATCCCTTACAGATAGACAAAATTGAAACCCAACCTACTTACAAGCCCCCATGCAAGGAAATAACAAAATATATAATCATGTACGACAGAGAAAAAGAAAAAAAAACTAGTTGATTGACATGTACAAGAATTAAGAGTACTGAAACGATATTTTACACAAACTATTTTAAAAGAGGGGATGTCGTCTTGATTGAAAACTTTGCTAAGTGTTAGATAAATGAAAGATTTTAGTTTTTTGACGAAAGACGGTAGTTCCTTTTCAGCTCTTATATTATCTGGTAGGGCGTTCCATATGTTACAGATTCTTACAAAAAAGGAATCTTTATGAAGTGAGGTTTTAGCTTTCTTATTTTTGAGAAAAAGACCAGAGGCGCCACGGCGCGAGCGCCCACTACATAACTCAAAGATCTTCTAAACCTTGTTCTTCCTTTTGTTTGTTCTTTCTTTCGTCTATTCTTTTTTTTTTAACATCTATTTTTTTAGTTCATCTTTTTAATATTTTACTTTCAACACTTAGTTGCATCAGTACGAGGCTGATTTTCGAATTGAACGCGAAGCCAGAGAGAAGCAACATGGGGAGATATTGGGCCTGACTGAACAAGTCCAGCGGCTTCAGCAGGAAAACCAGCGATATCAGGATGAGATCTATCAGTTAAGCAACAGGGGATTCGTGGAAATGCAACGCCGCCATGCCAGTGTTCCTTATCATACCACAGACTACCCACCCCATCAACAAGGATCTCCCGGAGAATGGTGTGCTGGATTTCCTAGAATGCCTTTTTTCACCCGTGGATCCGAACAACCTGCAGAAACCGGGAGAGAGGGGGACATGCGGAGTCCTGGAAGGGAACAACAAGTCTCTGCTCCACCGGTGGATGAAAATGATTGGCAATGTCCAACCTGTCGCGGGGTGTTCCCTAATTTTGATGCACTTCAGATTCATGCTGTGGCATGCCAAGGACTCCAGCGACCACCTTCCGTAGGCGATCTTCAGCAAAATCAGTGTCCAAGCTGCATGGAGTTATTTCCTGATATAGAAACCCTGGAACTTCATGTAGAGGAATGTCTGGATCAACATCAATAGTGAAATTATCCTGACCTCAACGTATTTGACCGAACTGGAGGATGTATTGGCAAGAGGAGTGGACAGTCAGGGTGAACTGAACGTTATAAAATTCTTAACCACTAAGCAGTGAAACAGTTTGTTCCTAAGCTTTTTATATGAACATTTTTAGCACGAAGCAGCATTCTGTATCGATAATTTGACGCTTAAAATGAGTTTTAAATGCAAGCAGAAGTCATACAGGACACTGTGAGCTGTTCTGTTGGCCGTTTCACTTTACTTAAATGAAAACCACGTCGGAAAAAGTCTTGAAAACTGCTTTAATAGGATTACAGCTTCGATGCAATTTACCGCGCTATTTGTTGAAAGCGAGCAGATCAACATAGGGGACAGGTAAGTTTAACCGCAGGGGGCAGTATGATAACCAAGTTTTAATTGACCTTAAAATTTAGCTGACCAGTGAAGGTGTGACAAACTTGGCTTTTTGTGAGATACAGATATGACGTATTATGTTACTCATATATAAGTTTCATTTTGGTAACGCAATATCCAATTCAGCGGATTTAGCCCACAACTTCGACGTGCTCTTGCGTTACTCTTGTTGTTCTGTAAAACTAAAATCTCCTAGACAGTCTAAGACCGTATTTATCTGATATTACAACTGTAGTTCAAGGATAGATTAGGTAATTTACACTCATGAATAAAGGGGTAAGTTTCTAAAGAAACTGTGGTGCTGCGTCGGTGGGAGAGTATAGCAGGTAATTTAGTGTTAACAACTGGGTTGAAAACGTAAATTAGCCACCGTAAAGGGTAAAAAAGCTGACGTTTCGAGCGTTAGCCCTTCGTCATCGCTCTGACGAAGGGCTAACGCTCGAAACGTCAGCTTTTTTACCCTTTACGGTGGCTAATTTACGTTTTCAACCCAGTTGTTAACACTAAATTACCTGCTAATTTACACACAGTTTGTATTGGAAACATACTGTCTCGCATTAAGAACTAAATATAATTAACGGATGACGATTCACGACAGTGATCTAAGAACAATAGTTGAGTTGATATGTTGTAGAAACACATCAAAAGCTCTCTAAAGTAATTCCAGTTGTTTTTCAAGTGAAGTACAGAGGGATAAAGGTTAATGTTAATTTGAAGGATGTTTAATACCACTTCCTTTAAGACTTTGTAAACAATTTATTTTAGTAAAAAATTTACTTTTATGTTTTATCATAGCATAGTAAGTAGACTACGTTGACTCTGCGTGTGTAGTTATTTTTTTCATACATATGAAATAATGTTTAAAAATTTGGTTTTCCTTAAAGGCTCTATGGGCTCCTGTCAAAGGTAATTAATTTGGTAAAAGTGTAAAAAATTTTTTCTTCTTCAACTGAAAATAAAATCTAAAGGAATTAAGATGCGGTTCAAAAACTGCTCTTAACAAAGCATAGATTATCAGATAATTTAACAAGTCTTTTACTGGGTTAAAGACTCCATAGTCGAGAATTCGGATTGTCGACAGCTGCATTTGCTTAGAAGAATAGCGGTGAAAATGTAGCATCATTTGATAAATACTAGCATATATTTCAGTCTTGATATTCATCATAGTTACAAGTTTTCGTTCCTGTAGATTAAAGCACAGAAACAAGAAGTGTCCAGTGTTTTGGATTGGGTTTCCAGCCTTGTCCCCAACTCCTCCTCATCTGACTCCCGCCACTTTGAGCCACAGGCCTAGTGACGACAAGTTGTCATCATTCCAGCACACGCCTTGCTACGTCAGACAATAATGAAAGACAGTGACTAGATTTTTCCGGTGTGTGGATTAGGGTCAGAGCGGTGGCACGCACTTTCAAAGATTAGAACGAAGGCTTCCAAATGTGTTTTGCCTTATTTCTGGTTTAGTGGATGACGTTAGGATATATACAGACAAGGCATGCCTCGCGAGAAGGTACGTGCGTGAGTTTTCAGTTCCCTTTTTCTAAGACCTCCTGTTCTGTCAAAAGAGACAGTTTACACTTACACAAGGTTACCGTAATTTATGGTGCTCATTCGGAAATTTCGAGTGAATATCGCCTTTATTTTATGACGTTAAAAGCCAACTAATTTACATATAGCCTACACACCACGACTTCCTCGTACTTTACGTCAACATTCGGCGCTTTTAGGCTACGAAAGAAGTTTAGTAATCGTGTTTTTCCTCTGCACAATCGAAGTCTTGGAGTGACCAGCACTTATCCGCTCGGGTTTCAGTGAATGACTTGTTTATAAACGGCTTTGTTCGTATCGCATAAAGCTTACAAAATACTCAACTTTTTTTCTGAAAAAAGAAAAATTTGTGAGATGCATGGGCCGCTACTTGTTATTTATTTGAAACTAAAATTGAAATATAATATTTATTATAAAAGAAAAATGATGTCCATAGTTTTCTGAATAGATGGATATTTTTAATATCTTATCAATTAAGATTAATACGGCCGGAAATCCAACAAAGGAACAGTTTGAGGCTCAAAAGCTTAGAGCTTAGCCCGCTTGCTTTTGTAAAATTAAAGCCGAGTTTCCTTTTCCTATTTACGCGCATCCATACAAAAAAGTGAAGATAGATATTCAGCACCAATTGATAACACACCAGTATGGAGAGAGCGAAGCGGCCATGGGAAAATACCCTAATTCGACAATAACTAATTTCGTAATTACCAGATTTTTCTATTTCACCCTCCCCTCCCTAGTTTGTTGAGTGACCCATCATTCCTTACGAGCTTCGGCGTTGATGTCACGTCCGTTAGTGTTTTGGGAGAGAAGGAAAATATTAAGAGTTTGTAGAGAGATTAACGGGAATCGTAATTCGGCTGTTGGCCGCTTTATTATCGAACTTTTGACCTCGAGAAAACATTCAGGATACTACCCGTAGTGTTGAAATTTGCTATCTGGTGAAGACATGGCGGAAGGGTCGCAGGACGGACTCAACTTACACATGCCGAAAAAGGTTAGTGGCGCCGATGATACAAGTTTCACGTCGATATGTGTCATGCGATACTTCGACTCTGTTATCGCCAAGTTTTCTTGGAAATGATGGGAATTATTGGTCAAGTCAAAGGACATGGCAGTTTATACAACTGATCCTACACAGCAATCACGGCTGCAGAAAACAGAGTGTTCCGCTGTCGATGTAGTTTGTTGGACTCGATAGGAGCCATTTATGTTGATTGTATTCATTCTACAACCAACTCATTCGTTATTGAATAATTTTTGCGGATTGACAGTTCATCAGATTTCAGCTCTCTGCTTTTGATAAACTTAAATAAAAGTTTGTCTATTTTTTTGCCTTTTAATTAATGCTTTTAGGATACTGTTTCTTGCAGCTCGAGGTAGTTTGTTATGGTCCCAAGCTTCGTTTATTTACTGTTTAAATTTTATTTCAAATCGGGTAGATTATGCTATCTCCCCTTTGACACTAAATATTTATCTTTCCAAACGATCTCTTTGGTTACTAGAACGTTAATTAGATTGTTTTTCCTTTATTTCTCTTCTGATAAGTTCTATAACTCCAAAGGAGGTTATGTTTTGCGTTACATTTTGGGCTTACAAACATTCTCGTTCAAACAGATATCTCCCCTTGAGTCAGGGCAATAATTGCCGCATATTGTAACGGTAGATTGGGAGGTTTTATACAAGAATATTTAGTTTAAGTTGTGTTATGGTTTCATGTTGATTGAAAAGAAATCTATTGCACCAGACCACACGGGAGAAGTTTAAATAGACTTAGATGCTATGTACAACTGTAAACAGCACAGCTGTGTAAATTTCCTTAATCGAAACTTCTGAGATCCACATCAGTACATGATGAGTTGATTGAAAAAAGTTGATCCCAGGTTATATGCTATAAGAAGATGTTCAAATTAGAGGAAAGAAACAGCCTTATGATTCTTTCAGTTAATTTTTGCAAAGGGTATGTTCATCATGTGATCAACTGAGGTAAGGTCTATAAAATGTTCATAATAACGTGACCAATTTGATAAGACATTGCGAGTTGTTTTGATTATTCTGGGCATTTTCATATCTTTACATTTTATTTCATTTTGCTGCTTACAGCCTTTTTATCACATCAGAACTGTGTATGTGAGTTAACGATGAAAATATTGGTTTGACTAAACTGAATCAATATAAGACACTTGAACAGACAATATGATCTTAATAATTGTTTGGGTGGGCCTCATTTCTAACATTATTCTTATATTTTCAAAATTTCATAAGATTAAATTAAAACTGAAAATCTTATCACCAAAATCAAATTCATCACCATTGGAGAAATGTTAAAAAAAAATTTGCTTCTTTTGTATGAAATATTTTCTTTCAAGAACAAATGAACAATCAACAAGCAAGAAATATTTCTCTCATTTTAAAAACATGATCCTCACAACATTGTTTCATGCCATATGCTGTAGCTATCCAAGGTAATCAGTGCCGAACATCAAAGTTAATGAGAAAGACCAGTCAAAATGTCATTCAAAACAATTTTTTGTTCATGTTTTGATTGTACGTTTCTTCCCAAAAAACCTTACATTAATAATTTTTGGTGGTAATAGAAATACTTTGTTTCCTGTGCTTGAATTCTCATTAAATTGTATGACTTTTAGACTGTTATGATAATGACATTCAAATCTGATTTGCATTAATAAAATTAGATCATGCATTTTGATAGTACTTCCTTGTTGTAATTAAACAATTGCTACTTGAAACTGGAACCTTGAGTCTGATAAGCTTTGAGAATAGACAAGAGACTTTGGGTATCAAATTTCAAGTCTAGAGCTTCTAATATTTATTGTACATTTAAAGGATTTGAAGCAACCAAACAGTTAAACAGTTTGATCAAGTAATCTGATCTTCAGAATGAAGATATCACCAACTATTGTTGGTGACAGGGCATGGTACTTGAAGATCAAAGAGGAAGCCTTCTTGAGTCAGTTCAATAAAAGAGGATGATGACTCAAATCCTAATTTTCATAACTCATAAGAGTTATTTTTAAATTTTAATAGAAAGCATATGGAATTTATCCAATAGAGTTGGATCATGGCAGTTTGAAAATTGTTTCAACCATCTGATGACTTTGTGTAGATATTGCTGAATATTATATGTTGATAATTATTTCCCTGAGGAATTTTGTTTTGAAAAGGTAAATACCTGTTTCTTAAAGTCTCATTGACATGCATTGTCTTCTTTTGTAGTTTACTTTAGGCCACGAGATGAATGCAGGGGCCCCCTGCCTACAGTGTGGCCCTGTGAAATGTGAAGGGGGATTGGACCTGCATTTCTGGAGGTTAGTTATTACCAATTAAAAATGCTCTTCATCGTGAGACAATTTCTCTTTGTCAGCATCTCAGGAAATGTTAGGAGAACAGTATGGAGAATATACATACTGATGTTTGGGTGTAAGGGGACTAGTATACCTTGCAAAAGGCCTGGTAATGAGTGTGGATTCGTACACATAGTTACTGCATTTCTCTTTGGTTCAAGTGCACTTTTACATAACTTGAATACGGATAGCAAAGTACAAATTGAGGTTTTTTTTAAAGTTTAATAAATATGCCAACATTGTGCTTGATACTCTGATGAAAGCATTATTCCCAAAATTATGCTGGCATAATTTATCTGACACCAATTATTACTGAAGAAATTTAAAATGGTTTCCATGTTTACAATCAGCATGCGTACTATTTGAATTATTTTATAATTTTATTTGTCAATCAACAGAAAAATCTGCAAGACATGCAAATGTAAGCCAGAGGAACATGATATCAAGAGTGTGGAAGAGGCTGCACACAAACTGGTTGTACACAGCTTATTTTCTAAAGACTCACCCCAGGGACACATCCGTGACTACTTCCGTAAACTGGAGGAAGCCAACAAGAATAAGGGGCAGCAGTCAGAGTATGCTAAACAATATGCATGGGTTCCACCGGGTCTGCAGCAGGGTGTGGTGAGTGTCACAGTAGAGCTCAGTTCACCACAATTTATTTGCAAAAGGGAGCAGAACTATTTAAAATTGTTTGAACCTGTCACTCTCAGGAGTGACATGAAGGGATATCTCTGCATTATATCACATCAGTATACAGCACATTTTCAAAATGAAAGGTGATGAGAGGAAATTAGAATGTCAACTACACAAACATGTGAATGGGGTAATAATTCAGTTTTTACTCACCTTGACAAAATATCATTTTAACCTTTTCAATCCCAAGATCTTTTTAGTAATTCTCCTTACTGTCTGCCATACAATTCTGATAATGTCAGTTTGGAGAATTTGGTATTGGATCAACTAGTGATCTTGAGTTGATATTTTTCTTTATTCTCACCACTCATCTGTTTGACATTGTATTGATTTTGTAAGGAGAAATTCTTACTTGGTCATTCACTGGAGGTAAAGGGTTAAGGTTCTTGTGTATGTAGGGATAGTCACGTATGAGGTTTAAAATGATTCAGTATGATGACTTGCTGGACATCTTTCTGGGTCAAATCCCCCTTTACGAAAGTTCATTTTTTTCCCTCAGTTTGAGCTTCAAGTAATCAGGCTACCAATCTTGTAGTTCTTTTTCCTGCACAGCTAAGAAATATTATGTATTTCCTTCCCAGTTGATGAAGTACATGGAGTCACTACCTCCAGAGGTTAAGCCCAAAGTTGGTAGTGAAGGTGCCAAGTATCGCCGCAAACAGATGATGTACCAGCTTCCTATTCATGACCATGATCCAGAATATTGTGACAATCTAACTGAACCAGAGAAAGCCAGCATGAGGCAGTTCTGTGAGGATAGAAACCAGAATGCTCTTGGGGTTGGTGATGTGCGTGAAAAAACCAACCCTGTCTCCAAGTGGGTGAGTAAAAAAAATAAGGAAAAAAGAGCCTAACTTAAAGATGCAGGCTGTTTCAGTAGCTGATTTCATTTAAGCAAGTCTGGAAGTTGGGTCATAAACCAGAAAGTGCATATCAGTCATTTCCTTAGCTTGAAAGTGAGACAATCTATCAGCCAGTCCCACAGCTAGATAGTCTGTTAGCCAGCCAGCAAGGCAATCAGCCATTCCATCTGTCAGTCAGGCATCGAGGGAGTTGGTCAGCCAGCTGCTCAGTTTGCCAAGAGGTCAGATAAAAGTCAGTCCATTGATCAGTCAGGCAGTCGGGCAGTCAGTCAGATAGTCAGATAGTCAGATAGTCAGATGTTAGATGTAGTCAGTTGGTCATTCAGACAGTTACAAGTGAAACCAGCCAGTTGTTCAGTTGTTTTTTAAAGCAATTTATTATGTTTGAATGAAACTCCTAGTCTAACTACTGAAAAATTTATTACAGACATGTTACAGATGTGGTGGCAATATCAATCTGGGGGAAATCGCTATCTTTGCATCACGTGCCGGAGAGAACAAATGTTGGCATCCAGGATGCTTTGTGTGTACAATCTGCAACAATCTATTGGTGGATTTGATTTATTTTTTCAAGGACGGAGCCATCTACTGTGGAAGGCACTATGCTGAGCTGTACAAGCCTCGCTGTGCTGCCTGTGATGAAGTAAGTCTTGAAGTAGCTGCTGCCTTAAAATAATGATTTTTCTGGGGACTGGTGTGGGTCAGAGGACTGCAAGGGCGGCGACACCTGAACTGGCGCATTGTAATCTCTAAATTTTCTTTTTTCTGGGTTATTTAATTTCATTTTTGTGACTACTGCCATCTGTAGAAGGGAAAGCCACATATGTCATCGTTATAACTGAATGAGTGTAACGATAGAATCCTGATCTTGACCCGATGTTTCGCGGTGCTGCTTATTGTTTATCTCGGAGTATACAATGAAATAGTGGAATGGCGGAATGGCGGAATGGCGGATTGGCGGAAGGACGGAATATCCAAAAAATATCCAAAAACGCGGAATGCCTTTAAATATGAATCTAAAGTCTCAAAAAATGGAATTGCTATGAAATAAGAAAATTATTTATGACTAGCAGGCGAAATTAAAATAAGCATGTAAAGGTTTTTATTGGCTATATCTTCCTAGAATTAGATTTACAAAATTCCAAGGTTCTAACTCGTCAAAAGAGGCTATCTGCACTCGTGGAAAACAACTCCTCTCGAAGGCTTAAACTAAATTCTGGTATATAAAATCTATGCGTGTGTCAATAAACGCCTTTTGATAAGATAAACAGTATTCGGTTTCATGCTCGGTTCTAATTAAAAAATAACATAAATGTTCACAGTGTTGAGTTCTTAAGGTTTAATTCTTAAGGTTTGCAAGGTTCAGTTCTGAGATTCGTGTTCCGTTTCTTCACAAAGCATAGATAATCATTGGCGGAGTCCAGAGGGTAGTAGAAGGATGAGGCTTTGAAGCTAGCCCGTTTGAATTATTATTTAAATTACTACTGTTATCATTATTATTATTGTTAATATTATTATTTGTTGCCATTTAATTATTGGTTGAATGTCAATTAGACGTTATATTCTTGAATCGTCTTTCTCTTGTGGAACAGGGTACTCATAAATATGTGGGATGCAGCAGGTTTTTGTTTCGCATGTGACAAATATTCTGCAACACTACCTTCTAGCGTCATTATACAACCTCTTGCTCTTTTCAATGCAAAAAAAATTGTGTTATATCGGTAGCCACACGCAGTCTTTAACTGTCTCTTTTTGTGTCACATGATCTAATGCGACTGGTTTGGTGCCAGTGTGGTCACCATCGCACTCCCATTTTTGCGCACCACCCTCCACTCCCTTCTAAATTCTCTAGATCCACCCCTGGGCTCGATTGTAATGATATTTCAAGAAAGTATCCCAGGAGAGCCTAAAGTACAAACTTTGAAAATAAGGGATTATGCACTCTCTGATGAATACTCCTCGTGACAGTATTCAAATCAGTAATGAAAAAGATAAAGCCCTCCACTGTTCACTGGGTTTTTTTAGTAAAGAGGTGCTAACATCAACAGTAGTTTTCAGTGGTACTGATTTATCATTTCCAACAGTGAAATGGAGTTCGGGGAAGGGAGAAAGGATTGATGCAAGAGCAAATAGTACCCTTGGTGCAAACTCGTTGCATATTTGCTCGACCTAAATTGCGAAGAAGAGCACATTTTTGTGTGATCTAATTTGCAGCGTGAACTCAGAAAATATTGAACTCCGAATATTCGACTTTGCAAACTTAGGATTTCAATTCTTCCGAATTTCTTTCTTTCCAGTTGATATTTAGCCGTGAGTACACCCAAGCAGAGGACCGCAATTGGCACCGGAAGCACTTTTGTTGTTACGAGTGTGACAGGGATCTGGGAGGTCTCTTGTATGTGGCACGTGATGGTCATCCACACTGCATGGAGTGCTACAACCGACTGTACGCGAGGAGGTGTTTTGAATGCCGGGAAATTATCAACGCTGATGCACAGAGGATCGAATACGAGGGGGAGTTTTGGCACGCGACAGATGTGTGCTTTAAGTGTGGCATGTGCAAGAGATCGCTGATTGGAAAGCAGTTCCTTCGCCATCCTAGAAAGAATCAGATCTTTTGCTCCACGGATTGTGCCAAAAGGTACTGAGCTGGGAATATAGATTTACAATGACCAAAGTGGTGACAAGAAGCTCTACTTTAAACGAACACATTTTTCAGCCTGTAAGGGTGGTGATTTTTGCGCTTGCTTTGATGCTGAGTACGGCGTAGCAGCTGCTTGAAGTTGAAGTAGTGACGTAAGCTCTGTTACTCGTATTCGTAGCTGTGCCGCTTGATTTTCATCGAGCGCTCATTGAAAACCGCCCTCCACTCACGCCTCTATATTTTAATTTAAGAAAGAAGTTGTTAGATTTTAGTTGGATCGTTATGTATCGCGAGACGAAGGGGTTCAGAAGTTGAAAGGAAAATTGCAGCCAAAGTTTGAAAAGAGTTCCTGGGAGTGTTGAAAGCTTTTTAATTATTATAAGTGATGATTTTAAGGGCTGACACGATTTCTGTTTTGTCATGTTAAATTATCAGAACACCCTTCAGATTTGCCATTTTGACTGAACCCCATTAAGAAACTTTCAATTTCCTTATGAAATGTCTAGGAAAATACCATATTTGCTAAGTTATTAACCATTTCTGCTTCGTTTCCTCCAATGTCGGGTTTCTTACCATTTGAATGCCAAAAGAAGTAAATTTCTCGTTGTGCGCGATCAAATTCAGGCGTTAGGTGGGCTTGCCCAATGGCCAGTAATTACAATTAGAAGACTTCTGAATGAGGCACGATAGAATCTTTGGAAAGTAGCATAGTGATTTGATTTTCGCTTTACTTCAGGTAGAACAAAGCATCAAACTTTTTTTTCTGCTAACCCGAGCAATGTTCCTAGGTTTCTTTCAATTCATCAGTATTTTAAGTAACTGACGCCTCTGTACGGCCTCCTAATTGTATTGTGGCTGTCATATTATATTATCAGTTATTACAATTATGAAACTTTTCTGATCGTTGTCGGATTCACTTGCACTGGAGTTCTGTTCAAAATCCAAATAAACATGGAAAATTAATCATACCTTTCATTAACAGGTTTTCCAGTCTGTTTTTATCATTATTCTATTCTATTCTATTATTACAAGTAGTAGTAGTAGCAGTATCAGCAGCGAAATGCAGACGGTCAACTCATCAAGGTATTGAAGAAAAACGAAATTTCATTTTTTAAATCGAGACGTCCTTCTTGCTTGATGTATACGCTGATACAAAACAGAGAAGCGGTATAACCCGCGTCATATAAGATGCGCGAAAATTCGTTACCTTGACAACCCCCCTCCCCCTCCCCCTCCCTTTCAAAAATCCTCGCTACACCCCTGTGCTTCTAATGAGCCACCACGATCAATGATCCCGAAAAATATATATACTACTAGAGAGGGAAATTAATGCTGGTGGGAAATTTGTCATTCTGCTCTACAGTAGACCAATTTGGGCGTAAATCAGCCTTAAAGGAGCCTCGATAGGGGAGATTTTGCCTGACTGACGAAGAAGCCTCCAATGTCCGGCGCTTACCAGGTCAAAAGTCACATAAAATACTGCGTGGGTGCCTTCTTGTCTGATAATCAGTTCAATCTCGTCTACAGTTTGGGAACGTTTAAATATATGTTTACTTCATTTGATGACACTTAAGACGCCACGAGGGAGCTCTTTTCATTCACGACCATTGATTTTACTTCCATAAACAAATCAAATGATACAAACGAGTCAAGCAAGCCAAAACAGAATTTCAAAATGATCAACGTCGATTCAAAAGGGAAAAACAAACAAGAATTCCATTGATATTGATAATATTCACATGCTCCTCATTTAATTGTATTTACAAACTCCAGAAAACACAATGAACCACGCCCATAGTTAATGGTGGACGCTTTTTCTTACCTGTCTGGTCAGATATTGTAAATACTCTAAAAGAGCTTTAAATTGAATTTCTTCCAAAACTGCCATGAATAACATCACGTAACACTTTCGATTGAACTCAATTATGTATTTCACGGAGAAAAAGAGTGACCACTCTTTGGTAGTCGTGCTTTACATAAAGGCCGCGGAGTTATTTGTATTTTTCTTACAATCAAGGGTGCTTTTCTCCCTGTAAAGAAACCAAGCCCTTACCTTGTCCCTTCATCCACAAATAACTTACACTACTTCAGTTCTCGACAGGCGGGAAAATTTCACCCCGAATCAATCAATCGAAATAAAACCATGACGAGGACATTTTCATAACCACAAATGAGTATTTGAGGCACTTTACCAGATCACTCTTGTATATTACTTTTTTAAGAAATGTTTCCACTTGAATGTTATAACTTTTGCGGTCTGAATAATATACATAACAACGCAAATGTTAATTAAGGGAAAAAAATGCCAGTAATTCCTGTAGTTAAAAAAAATGGAACTGCAATATTCTCTTCTCATCCGGAACTAACCACTTCTTTTAAATTATTTAATGGAAGAATCAATGGCCAATTTAACCTCTAAATAGAAATCTATTTTCAGTCTTCACCTCTCTAACCGCGATATTTCCTGTTTCGAAATTTTCTCGCTCTTTGGGAACACAAACGCGTAGAAAGACATGCATCTCTATAGAAGGAATTTCTCCACTGCCCTTTGCTCTAAACGAATTACAACCGCATCGGTTTACTTCTGCACCGTCTAATAAATGAAAGCTTCTTTGATCAGACTTCTAATGGAATGATTTGCCAGTCATGAATCACGTAATTAAATTGGCTTTCATCAGAGAAAAGTTTGGAATCAGATATTTTTAGCTGAGTGGCTTCAATACTCTAGATTTTAGTGGTGTTCCTTGGCCTGACTGGTTTTTCTCTGTAACCAGTTTGCACAAATATTTGTTTCTGGGAAGGCTTCCGTGGAAGTATGGTAAAAATCACAACAATTTCACCCACAAAATATTAGTGAGATGGCTTCGTGACAAATAATTAGTTTCAAATTTAACTCTAAAACCGCAAGATCGACCATGACCTGTATTTCTCATAAAATTTATAATCAATCGGGTTTCATAGAGATCTAATATTCCCTGATTAACAGGTGTTAAAACTTCACTGAGGAATATTCACAGAAATTCATAGCGCAAGGATAAAGTATTTTGTGAAATTGTCCTTTTGACAGGTGGTTACTATAAAAAGCCTCGCCAATGGATTTTCGTTATCAAACAAAACTCCTATCGCCCATTTTCAACTCGTCATGTTTCGCTTTGTTGTCAGTCTAATCTCTTAATCGAGTGTTTCCTGTATAAGACCCCGTCATTGTAGTTTCCGTCCTAAGCCACTGTATTTGTGATATTGAAGAAAAACCAATAAATATAAAAGAAGACTTTTGTGTGTAATATTGGCCTTTCATGGCTGTCATCAATCAGGTTTAATCAATCAAAAGGGTTTTAAGTGGAAACAGCAGTATTTTGCGGATGACGTGAAAAATTCAGTAATATCTCTCTCTTTACTCCACCTTGAATAGATGCGAAGACTGATTGTCACTATTAATTGACGACCAAAAATCATCGACTGAAAAAGAATCTTCGGCAAAATCACGGGATACTGTGAAAACATTTGGAAGTAGAGACAGGATTTAGACGTTAATTTAATATGAAGTTGTAGGAGGTGACGTGCTATTACGACCTACGAATGTAAAAAATTTCTTCGTTCTTGTGAATGGCTGTATTGTTTGCTGGTCAATAGAGCAGCAACAAGCATTAGTGACTTTGTAAATGTACTTCCTGGCTCGATTAATATCGCGTTGACTGATCAACTTGTCTCTGAGATTAATAGCTACTCAATAAACTGTCACACATGCGGCTGATTCACATGCAAATATCGAAAACCTCAAAGATTACTTTTCTTCGTTCGGCCAATGAGCCGTTCGCTCAGTTAGTTAGGAGGCTGATTGCAACCAGGCTGGACAAACACAAAGCAAGCTAAAAAACTACTATTCTCCTCGACTGTGGAAATAGTTTACCACGTAACGATTATGGTAAGAAAGTTTTCCTTCATCCTATTCCAAGGCTATAATTTACGATAATTTCAAACTGACCAAGTCTTGCATGGAAACTGATTTTATAGAAATACAACGTAGGCAGTTGATACCACTACTTTTAGCTAAGTTAAACAAATATCACAGCGGAATTCGTAGCGGTGGTTTTAAATACAAACTTGTTGAGTCGCATCCGTCCAAAAACAACACTAAATATCAAGGATATAAACTTGTAACTCAGTTCAAGTAGGGTTCAACTGAAGAAAGTGACATAGTGCTAGTCCTGAGTTTTTGTTGTTTTTCACGTTCGTGTTTTTCATGAGCGCCCTTTGACGTGATAGATGACAAATGAGCAATAAGTGCGCTCGAGGCAAGCCTGTGCGATTTAACAATCAAGCGGATGACACACGAGGCTCGCATGGTTGAGCCTCTTCATTTTCTTTTCGTTCGTCGGTCGCGGAGTATCGTATTAATTGTAGCTATAGGATTACATGCATTTCTACGGGAGCCAGGTTTTTCTTTTAAAACATGCTTCATCAGTCGTGGATAAATATAGATATTTATTTGCAAAGTCATAGCCTTGCGCTTAAAGAAGAAAGGGGGTTTTAAACGTACCCATATTTTTAAACATTGCAATTGACATAAGGTGTGAGATATGTTACTTTGAGAAACTACTGATCAGTGTGGTCCATCACACGCTTGTTTTAATATCAATTCGAACTAATGTAACAAGAGAAATAATAATAATAACCTGTGCTTACTCAACTGACCAGTGTACTCGACCGTTAAATGGGCCAACACGCTTCACTGAACTGCCGCTTGAAACAGGTGTGTACAGAAAAAAAAAACAAAAACAAAACAAAGTACATCTTAAAAAGTGCCTACTTGAGAATCAAATCGAACAGTCATTTTATAATTAAGACCAATGATCTCAGCTTTGAGTCATCCTCAGTTCACTTTGAGGCTGGGAACACAGAGATAAACACAGAGAGAAACACAGAGACAAAGTGTTTTTGTACGGCGGTTTAACTTCTATCGTGCAGTTTCAATCAGTTTTCACCGTGAGAACAGAGGAGATAAAGACAGAGATCTCAGTCTTTTGATGCGCCATGCAAGCGGTTTTGTATAATATATAAGTGGCTTAGTTATGATGTTAAGACCGAGTAAGCCGCTTAATAAACAAGACGCCGAAACAAGTTAACGCCTTATAATCCGATAAGATTCATCTCGATCACGGTGTTTTTGTTAATCGCAGTTTTTACCTTAAACTCAAATCCAACCTGTAAGGACCGTAGCTTTCTCAGTGAAGTCTTCAAAGAGATTCAAGGTTTATCTTTTCATGGATTTTTCCGCCTCTATCCGTATCGCACGCCTTTCATATGTCTCCCGGCATAAATATACGTTAGACATCGGTGATTATACAAAAGCTTTCAGTGCATAATGTGAGGATAATTATCTCAGTTTTTCAGTATACGCAGGCGTAGGATCCTTCGTCTGGAGGAAACGATTCCAGTTGCAGGAAAATTCGAGAAAAAGCAAGTTTGAGCATCAAGATTTCTCGTTCTTTCATTGGAAGATAAAATCGAGTTTCCTTCATAATCCGGAGGGCATGACATTGAAATCTCCCAGGAAAATTTACATTTACATTTACAAACAGCAATTCGTGATCTTTTAGAGAAAACAATTAAGATCCATCAAGAAGTCACCCGAGGACACATATCATGCACTGCTGAAAATTAAGGGTTTTATCCGTTACTAAATCATGAGCTGCGCTATAATTGAGAATCGTGATCAGCTTACCAGGTGGCTCAGGAGAAACAATAAATAAAATAAACTTTAAGTGTTTCTAGATCGTATAGTTTGAGAAAAGTGCATTGTTCGGCATGAAGATTGAAACCAGTTTACTACAAATACACTCACTTTTCTGTAAGAAATGTAGCCGAGTCTACATATAATAATCCTGTAAACTGATGAGAAAATCATGTTGGAACGTGAGAAAACTGGGCTCATACTGATTTTAAAGCAATATTATTGTCAGAATCTT